TTTTTATCCGCTTTGCCTTCTTTTTTTCTTCACCTTTGATATGCAGTCAAGCTTAACGATTAAACATTCTCCACAGATAAAAACAAAAATGAGCGTGAAACAGATTAAGACGTTTCAATTCTTTTTCCAATGATGTTATTTTGTAGGTTCAATCTGCGCTTTAATGATAAGAGTTCATGATAATAATGTCCGTTTAAGTAATCCAAATGTGATAGCTTTTCAAGCGAACCTCGCTCACATATAATTCCCTTAATTAGTCAATTAAATAATTACCCTTGTTCCCTACTTGTGTGTCGAATCTTATTCTCTCAAACAAAACCTTACGCCATACGTTTGTAAATATGTTCAACTTAATGAAAAGTTAATGTAGACTAATTAAAATCTCATAAAATTACGGAATAAACAATCTTAAGATGTCATGTTTCATGAGAATGTTTATAAATAAATATAAAGAAAGAAATACATTGATAGCGCGCTTTAGTGCTACTTAATCATAATTCACTATAAAACGGTAGTTAACAGAAATAATTGTACTCATAAATTTCACTTTCATTTCTACTCTCTCACATGAACAAACAGTCGGAAATTATAGCTTGTGAAAAACATTTTTCGCATGCATAATATTTCTTTTATTTTATTATTATTAGACTCTTACCATAAGCAATGAGTTTAAGAAAATGTTTTTTATTGAAATTTTAATGGTTTTTATGGGCCTTGATCTTGACTTCTTACGACGCTTTTTTCATTCTTTCAAAGAGTTGTTGAGTTCTTCCAAATAGATATGAAACGAAATCAAACTTTAATTTACATACAAGCAGATTGTCCACCAGCAGATCGCACACACACACACGCATCTCGATCATTCATGTTTTGAAGGTCAGAAGAATGAAAAAATTTGTGTGATGTCGTTTTGAGAATATGGGTCAAACTTATTGAAAACATTCGAGAATTATCTAAAAAGTATTTGAAAAGAGAACAAAAACTGAGAATTCCTGAGCAACTTCACACTAACGAATGAATCAATCCAAAGTTATTGCGTCACGTTTTTTGCTAACAAAGACCATTCCTTTTTAAAAAGTTTGCAATCATGAAAAATCTCAGAATATATCTTGTGACATCGTAAAAACGAGTTTTCAGCTATCGTTTATCTTGGTTTAAGCATTGCATAAATACGATTTCTTCATTTTCTATTGTCACCATACGTTCAATTTGAATGACAATCGCTGATTCATTAATCTGCTCACGTCTGAATTTGCTTAATATTTCTTGAAACAAATAGTAATTTTGAATCATGAGCATTTTTTATATTTATGGTATTTATGGCTTATGCTTAGAATGGAATATGCGTCATGGTTTATAATATTAGAAATAGATAAATATTCGATATCGTTCTTAAAATATTAAAATGTTAGCTTCAGGATATAAAAAAAAAGATTTAAAATTTTAAAGAAATTTTTAAAAGTGTCATTTAAAGAGTCAATACAAAAAATAAAATTAAACAAATGTTTCAGATTATTTCAATATCATTCTAAGTCTCTTTATAAATGTTAGAATCTACATCTAAATTCAGTCATTTCCTCGACTTCATCAGGCTTAGGCTTCATTTGTGATTGGCAAAAGTTTTCCTTTTCACAATAGAAATAATAAATATTCAAATTTAAATTCATATTACATTTCCCAGCTCAGTCCCAATTTCCTTTCTTTGATTTCAACAATCTTCTTGTGCCTTTCCTCTTCGCTTTGTATGTAAATGACAAGTAAAAGCGAAAAATAAATGAAAAATAGAATGAAAATACATGTGGCATGCGGGAGATTTATTTACAAAAGAAATGAATGAAATCAGAATGGTTGAAAGGTATCAAGCATGTACGAAATGATATGCGATTCAATGATGCATAGAAGAGAAGAAAAAAACATCCAATTACATTCTTCTTTCAATTTTATTCCGATTTTTCTTAGTTTTCCTTCGATAGAAAATAGAAGAGTTCGAGTAAATTATGGTATTGAAAAGTCATTTTCCATTTGATAGAAAATTCTATTAGGGGTTTTTCTCAAAAAGAAGAAAACAATGACATAAACTAGAGAAAAGACATTGTGCTGTCTGCTGAACAACAAACTTTGTCGTACAATAAAATATCTAAATGGAAAATGAATGGAGACATGTTGAAAGGTAGAACAAGTTTGATATGCAAATTTTATCTCATTTATTTACTTTTCATTTTCTTCTCTTTTATTTGGAATTCAACCAAAAGTTTGAATAATGGAAATTCATGATTATAAATAACATTTACATCACAAGAAAACACGGAAAAGCAGACAAGTTGTTTCTCGGGAATTGATTTTCCTGATTTTTCTTCATTCTTGTGCTTTCAAATGCACCCTCGAAAATAGTGAAATTTTCATCGATTCTACATGTTTTTTCCTTATACTTTACTTGAGACAATTATGGTTTCTTTCCTTAAGTAGAATTTTGCTTTAAGTTGAACAGAACGAAGTGAAAAGAATGAAGAAAACAACAAGGACTTATTGCCACTTACTTATTTTCTTTCTTTCTTTTTATCCTTCGAACTGTTTATATTAACAACGCCTTAACAACCATGCAGAAAAATGAACGACAAAAAGGAGTGTAAACGTCATCAGCGAGGGCAATGGAACCAGGAAGTGTTTTAAAAATCGATAAAGTTATTACTGTCGTTATGTCGAAGGACGTTGTTGCTGTTGCAATCCTTTAACTTTTATGTTCTTTGTTATTTTCTTACCCAACATTTTCAACCCTTTAAATTTTGTAATATTCTTTTTCCGAAGGACATTCTTAATGCTTGGCAATAATTACGAGTACGGGTTGTGTAAATAGTCAGAGTTTTGTAAAATTATTAAAGTAAATTTCTTCATTTGCCGCACATTTATATCATGGATATAATAACGACAGATTGTGGGCGGTTAAGCAACCTCATTGAATAAAAGACATGAAAAGAGGCTTGCAACATTAGCAAAGAGTCACATATTGTATAAATGTTTATGCACAATCCAGTTTTCGCTTTCTCGGATTCATTCGTGTATTAAAATGTGTATGGACAATGTGCTACTAAAGAATCAACAATTTGCTATAATACATCTTCGTATATTGAAATAGTTCCGAAAAAGAAACAAAATTATTATGAGACAAAAATCTCTCACATCTCTGCTGTCTTGAAGCACACAACATCGAAAACATCTCATATGAATATTGAACAGAAGCGTATCACGGCAAAAGTTTGCCTTTTAAATCGATTTCCCATCTAGACCCCCGCCGTACCACTTTTATTGTAAATTACTTCATTGAACTTTCTTCGTTTCTTTATTTCTTCGTATACAAAGATTGGTTTTTGACGTGTCTCGTGCTTGTTGTGTAGTTTTCCAAATAAAAATGTAATTCGCCCATATTGTCACGTAAAAAAATTTGTATTACGTTATCTTATGATGTATTAAAGATGATGAATCGTAAAAAAGTCTCCGCTAGTGTAAGTACTCGTCGTTTTTGTTTTCATTCTTGCACCAAATAATATCGAGACGTGATGAGAGTTAATCCATATTGCATCAGTGAAATGGAATCATCGTTTCTAGTCTCCAAAGGAAGCGAACAGAGAGAAAAAAAACTTGATTTAAATAATTAAATATGATAGAAAAGAAGCACAAGTAGCAAGAATGCAACTATGATGATTAAATTCTTGTTTCTTAGATACCTGATCATAAATAATCTATTGATTCATCGACTTTCAGTCGCATTTTCTATCATGTTTTTCTTGATTAAAAATTCAAGATATTTGGTAATTTAGCAACTTTGACACTTAATACTTAGTTCTCCTAAGCAACTTCACTCAAATGATTTCATTCAACTTTCTCTTATCTTATCTCTTATGTTGTTTATCCTGCTTCTCTCATTTCGTGACATATAGAAGAATTATTTTAATCTACGAAAATATTAATACACATCTTACAAGATAAACTCTCGAGTAAGAAAAGTTCTTTCATCCAATTTATTCAAATTATCTTTCTAAATTACAAAATTACAAATTGCAAAATATTTCTCCCTATCCTCGAGATACAAACAAACAACACCGCATCGTCAACGATATGCTTTTCTCATTCATTTTGTTCGTCTTATATTTGGCCTTATAATAATATTAATAATAATAATTTTATGCAAAATAGTTGACTCTATAATTTAGGACACGAGAGAAACGTGATGATTTTTTTCTTCTTCTCGACTTGTTTGTTATGCGGTTCATATTTTAGAATGTTTCTCGTAATCTACTTTACTTTCTTATGTCCTTTTGTTCTTCTTGTGAGTTTAGATGAAGAAAATTATTTCAACTTCAAGATGAGAGATGATGAGCAAGGTTTATTCTTTGATTTGATGCAGTGCTCTAATCTTAGATAGAAATAATAATAAATTGCTGACAATCTTTGTTATTTTGAAGCGTATGTCTTTTTCTTATCGCTTAATTAGTAACTATGCTCATTCTTATGTATCTACGTGAGTCACACGTTTATCATGCTAAACAAACATAATAGGGGGGAGAGATGTGATATCGCGAGTTCACAATATTTTGCTGATACTTTTGAGACCACTAAAGCATTACACGACATGCTTTCGTTTGTGGCCCAGACAAGAAAATTTTCATTTTACATATTTCACATTAATTTTCTTACAGTTTTTTCTCATTTATTTTAATTTCCAAAGAGTTCAACAAACGAAAGCACAACACCCAAACTCAGAAATGTTTTAATAATTACATTCGTGGGTTCATAAATATCACAATTTTATTTACCGAATATCAACATTAATCCGATATTTTATTGATGCTTTTAGAAATTAAAAATTCCTTTTAAAAAAGAGTTGCATGTAAACTTAAATCTGAATTAATGTTCATTATTTGATTTTTTACTGAACAATAACAGAAACTAATGGTAAATTAATTATAATTTTTATAACTTAATCGATTTCTGTCGTAGAAAAAATGTTGATCAAGGTTTCATTGATGAAAAATCTTCGTCACGAAATTCTGTTTGCTTCTTACAGTTCTAGAAATATTTTGACAGTTTTCTGTTATCTGCTGGTATGATAAGTTGAAGTGGAAAACTTGCAAAACTGTTGCAGAAGACAGTGTAGTTCTTTTACATAATACTGACTTTCACTATGAAAACGTTGAGACATTCGCCATACCGCATGTCTTGTCAATGAAATGGTTTCGTATCACGCGGAATGAAAGTCCTGACTGAGTGCTTAAAGACAGTTGAAATTTATTTGTAAATTATAATTTCTTGCAAGACTCTCCTCTATCCACTTAATTTAATTGAAGAAACATTTTTATTGCAAGACTCTCCTGAATGTTTCTTGCTAATGTTACTGTTCTCTTATGAAAATTAATTTACTTAGAGTAAAAACATCTGCAGATGACATTTTGTGTGCATTAAAATGGCAAATGTTTACTTCTTGTTAGAACCCTTTTAAAATTAAGAATAAGAATAAAATGAAAGGAAAAAAAACTTCAATTATCCAGAGAAACCTCGATGGTTGTTGAAAGAGGCCGTAGAACGATGATTGGGTCATTTATTTTCAGTGTTGAATTATGGAATTAACTAAACATGACGCTGTTTTGAGAAATAAATACACCGACCGCAAATTATTCATAAGCATGGAGACTGCCTAACTCAAGCAAGACAAATATTTCACAAATGTCGAAGAGAGAAGAAAAAGTCGATATTAAAGCAAACAAAAATTTGCCGTTTATTTGGTTAAAGTAATAGAAAATCCTTCAGCAAGCACCAGATAAGCAAATAGCGATATGCGGTACAATTTTCCTTTGTATACTCAATGTGATGCATTTTTCCCGTTTTTCCATTTTCTTCTTACACAAACTTCCCCCCATTTTCATTTGTTAACTTAATAAATGAAGTCTAAGAATTATTTTTAAAAAGAAAGCCGAAGTGAAGATTTATTGACCTACTTTTCATAATTTTATTGATGTACAATTTACATTTTATTGGCATGAGAGTGATGATGAATGATTAATTTTAACACTTTTTAAAGATCTATCTACTGTCAATGGTAATGTTTACATTTATCTCAGTTTTTATTATTATACAACTACTAAAAATCGTCAGAAGGTCGTAAAATCATCATAAAATTGAGCCATAAAACTAACCAACATCATTGAATACTTCACCAGGGAAAAAAGTGAAACCCCATTAGCAATTCAAGAAGCGATTCTTTTTACAAAGTCATAAATCATTTTTATGACTTTATATCGGAACATTTGTTGCATTCAAAGTCACACACCGACCACTTTAATAACGCGGAAATTTCCTAGACAGGCAATAAAAATTTGATTGCAAATAAAAACTACACGAAATTATTTTATTATGATCTATCACAGCCGTCAGTAAATCACGAAAGTCTAACTCGAAATGAATTATGATTTTTGTAAATATTTTCGCATTTAACGCATTGTTTTTATGTAAACATAAATTGTTAAATAAGATTTAATCATATTCATGAGCGTTTTACTTCATAAAAGTTTATGTTACGCTTAAGCTTAAGCTTGTAATGGGAAATTTAAAGTTCCAATAAAGACTACATGAAAGCCATTCAGTTTTACTGTGGGAAAATTAATAAAATATGGCAATAAAGTTTTCTTTCATTCTTCACAACTGCTTAATAGTTCTTTGGTCTCGTGTGTGCAGTTAAAGACTTGCGTGTTTGCGTAATTAATCGAATAAATTATGAAAATAAAGTTAATGACTATCAATTAGTCTTCTCCGTCACTTTCTGTTAAACTCCTGATTTCCTAGCGATTTATTTGCATTGAAGATTGGGAAAAAAGTATAAACATAAATTGTATTAATCTCAAGACAGTGATTTAAAGAAAAGTGTTTTGCTACCGTCGTCTTAAACAGCTGTTGAATCGTTAACAGTCCATAAAATCCCGAAAAAAAACCGACGTCTGAATAATAAAAATGTTTTATTACCCAATTTTATTACAAGACAAGGAAAATTGAAATGATATATGACAGAAGCAACACACTTTTTTATATGCCATCATCTTGTTTGATTATATGGCTAGACGGTTTTTCTCCATTCATCGGTATATTTGAATAGACGTGCTGCCAATTTGCATAAATCTCATGACAATAGGCTAAACAAAGAGTAGGATGGACGGAATGAAAATTGATATTGATAGGTGAACAAGATCATAATAAATTTAATATTCATTCAGATTAAGAATAGAAGTTAAGTATCAAATGATATTATACAAATGCGCTTCTTCTTTTTAAACATTAGAAATCATTTCTTAAACCATTTAATGCTAATGCGAAGAATTCACCCTTTCACCGCTGTTTGATGACCCGTCATGTTATGACTTTGTTTATAAACTCAAGAAAAGTTCAATCTAAAATGAAAATAATTTAACTAAGATTATTTCAAAGACGTCAAATGAATTGGAACAAATCACCTCTGTTCTCGTCGACAAACAGTTTTACACTCCTTGAGTTTCTGTCGCCATTCCATAGAGCAATGAAGACTTTTCTCAAGTATTCTTCAGTCTTTAAACATTTTCTTTTTGAATACTTTTGGAGACGTTCCATATCATCTCGAGGAGTTGCAAAAACTCCATTGATGTGTCACTGGAATTTTATTTTCGTTGCATAGTTAATTTATATTCTCCTATGATTGCGGAATAGCCTTATACAACATTCATTTCTGCTAAATCGCCTCTCAGTATTGAATAAATTATTGATGAAGTCGAGATGAGATGAAAAAGGCTAAAGAAAAAAACACGTCCATTTGTAAGTTCCATTCGAGAAATCATTTTGGTCTTCATTCCCAACTCCAAGAAACGAGTTTGGTGACATTCCACGCATGTCAAATGATGTTGAATTGAATTTACAAGACCACTAGATGTTGTAGGTAGTTGCTTTTAAATATTGAAACTGATGAACGAAGAAAATATGTTTCTCTTAAAAGCGAATTCTTTATATAAACGTTAAAAAAGCTTTTCTGTGTAAAAACACGAAAATATCTTTAACGTAGTAAGTTTTTGTGAAAGAAAATCTTTGTCGCTTACGTTACTGCGTCTGTGTTAAAAACTTTACGCCTTTTTCATGATGGCTGCAGTAAAACGATTATTGATTTAATGAACACATTCAAACGTTTAATAATGGCTGCCACGTATTTCTCGTAAACTTTACCCAATAAGAACGGAAATATTATTAGAAACTACTACATTCACAGTCCTATGTCTACAATGATTCTAACTTGACGTAACGACTTTGTTGGTGGTAGTGAAAGCTTTTGGTTTTCTATCGTGTTGTGTTTGCTAAACAGATATTGTCTGTCCCTCTTTAATAATATGTTTTAACGAATTTCTTATAATATTCGGGTCTTTCAAAATGTTTTGTTTCTCGGATTCTGCAAAAGAGATCGCTCTACCATAAGTTTTTACTTAGCAATCGTAGCTTGTCTACACGTTTATCAAATTATCCAATTTCTCGCACGAAAGTTTGTCTTTAAGAATACCTTACGCAAACTGTCCCAAATGACATTTTCGAATCTCAAGCGGTATGATGAAGTTTTGGAAATGAAAAGAACCTGGCGAGAACTTCATTAATGAAAAAAGTTTGGCTCTATATTGCATGCAGAGAAGCTTAATCAAAAAGTTACACAATTCTTTTCTAGACGACAAGCATTTATTAAAAAACTTTTCCAGTTTAGATGAAAATATTTTCCAAATCAACGATAGAAATATTTTTGCTTATTAAAAAGAATAACAACATTCAATTATAAAGTTATGGAGTTTCATTTCTATGTTTAATAAATAATGCTTAGGTATTAATGCATTCTGCTTTAAATGACCCGATTCTGAAAAGACTTTTTTAAATTAAATATATCAAAAGTCAATGTAGCTGCAGCAAGTTATAGCATGGAGCACTCAGACTCATTACATCTCTGAAAACATCATATGTATGATTCCAAGGCGGAATGTCTCTTGTCTGATGTTTTAATTTTGACAAAAGCCAAATGGAAAACGTTTCCTTCTTCTTCTTTTCCCATTTCGATATTTAACCAACATGTAGCTGAAATTGACATTTCTTTCTCTATGTTGTTGGTACAATCTAATCAATGCTATTCCATTTTAAGGGAAGAAATAGGGATACGTGCGAGTGTATTTTATTAAGAAAACATTTTGGGGTTGAATTCATTTTTTATCGAAAACTTTTTTTCTTCCTTTTCTATTTTCCATAAATGCTGACAAAAATATTTCCTTCGAAACCAAACAGTTTCGGTATGTCACTCACTATTCCCACATCTATTTATGTACCTAGCAAACAAGAATCTTATCAGATTGTTTTAATTTAAAACTTCTTCAAGAAGCAAAAAGATATCGAGGCAATAAATAATCAAAAGCAACGATTTTTCCTCAAACCATTTGTTATTTATCATTCACTCTTTCAATACTTTTCTTTTCGTTTTTGTGGTTTTTGCACTTGCCGTCAGTAAATCAGACAAATGGGTAATTCGTATGTTTATAATAGAAAAAAAGCAAGCAATGGTAGACATAAATAGCATTCGTCTAAGCCATACAAACGATCGCGGCAAAACAAATCCTTGTCTTTATTCGCTCAATATGGATAAGAACGTAAATATGTCGCTTTATTGTTGAGTAATCCAATTATCGAGATAATTTATTACAATACTTTATTCTTATGTTTTCCTATTGTACGCTTACTTTAAAACATGTAAGTACCATTTCAATTGCAAAGTCGCGTGAAGTTTCTCTATAACGTTTTGAATTAATTTTACCAAATGTTATTTTAAGCACGAATGTGAAGAACGAATAAACAATTTTCTTCCTACGTTCTTACACCGACGGCGCTTGAGAATCATTAAAAAGAAAAGCAAAAGAAAAGATAGAATGAGGCAATCTAATTCAATTAGTTTCAATTTTTAATAACATGAAAATTTAGAAAGTTAAAAGTTCTGATGAAGGTATAAATTAAATATAAAGATAGGCAGGCGTTCTGCGCCAAATATTTTCCAATATTCCTCCTTACGATATTAAATGATTTTATTAAGAGAAACTTTCTTTCATAATTTTACCTCAAATATGTTCCTAAATACGGAATATAAACTTTCATCTTCATAGAAGTAATCGTCCCATCTTTAAATGATTCTGATAACCGCAAAAATTTGTATGAAAAAAGAAATAAGAGGAAAAAGCAGCAGATTGCGTCAGACAGATAGAAGTTGATTAAACTTCTTCCTCCTGTTTTCTTCACTTTGCTGCTTAGTATCATCTTACAATGTTAGATTAGACTTTCCTTCCTTCTTTCCTTCCTTTTGTTTAAAAAGCTATTTTTTTTGCTTTTCTGTATTACATTACTTACCTTCTCACTTTTTTTATGATACGAAAACTCTCACCCTCGCCATGTAATATTTACCGAAAAGAAAGAATGCCGGGGAAATGAAATATACACAATATGGCTAAAGTTGCTATCTTGTACATCCCCCTACAGAATATGTATATAATTTGCTTGTATCTCCCAAAAGAATTCATATTTTCGCTACAGCAGAAATTTTTCCAGCAAATGGTTTACCTTTTTTTCGTAATTTTCGGCGATTTTCTTTACTTTTAGGCTGCTTGTTTGTTTATTTAGGGTTAGAAAATGTTTGCCGACTTGAATTTTTAATGAAATTTCTTTTTTTTTCATCTCTTCCTTGTTTGAAGAATATTTGAAAGTTAGAAATAAAACATGAATTCAACACAATTTCATAGAAAGTTATGGAGTTAAACCCTTGATCCTCGTTTCTTACATTCACCTGGTTCTCGATTAAATGTCGACATTGAATGGCTATTTATTGATGCTCAAATATCTTGTGGGAGTGTACGCTGTTAGACACAATAGGGAAGTTAAGTTGGAAGAGGATGAAATGACGTTTTGTAATATTTATTCAATGCCATTTTCTCTCTCTTATTCCCGTAAGATTCACCGGCATATTTCACTTGCTTTGACTTTTATTAAAAATATCTACGATGTTCTTCTGTGGCATGAGAATTACGTCTCATCGTCGTATTTTCTTTTTCATAAAATGTCGAATAAAATATCATAAGAAATGGTTATTGCAATATTATATTACAAAGAGCGAAAGTATAGTTTTCTAAGATATCATTTCGGAATAGCATAAAACCTTTTCTTGGATTATCCAAGCTATGCTCATCTCCCGATATTATAAGCTACGTGTTTATTTTCAGAAATTCTTCTCCAATAAAGTATGAAATAGAATGAGCCGTCATTGTCTGCGATGTTGTATCGATAAGTTCCCTTTATTCCTTACACATTTCTTCTCCCCAATTTTCATTCCTTCATACGCATCAGGGAATACATATTTTTAATTGAAAATGCTTGCTTTCTACAAGAACGATGAAAGCACCTAAACTTCCACATATTTCTTTTTCCAATCAACCTTTCAACGTAGAACGCTCAGATACGCATCACTTGTTTCTCATTCGATCACTAAATGAAATAGGTTTGAAGAGATGAGACATAGGAAAATAGGTTTTCACTACCTACGACGTCTGCCATTAAAGAAAATCTATTTATATGTTATAAATAATGAAAAAGGGAAAACTAAATTATAGAGAATTGCTCTGACGAGGTCGTTTTGTAATTGTGATGAACATCCATTTGAAAAAGTTTTTTCCTTCAGTTTTTCTGTAATTGAAATGACTCGTTCTTAGAATTGGAGAAATTTAAAAGTGTGCTTGAAAAAAAAACTTTCTCCTTGACACAATTGTATCGTCTCCACAGCCATGAAACGAATGTTTGTTAAATTATTTTTTAACCCTTTTTCATTGCGTCTCTTTCGAGTTATTTAAACCAAACCCGGAAGAGTTTCTGTTTTCGTAAAGGTAGGCAATCCGTTGTTTGTCCTTTTTTGTCTGTTTACTTTCACTTTGACATTTGGGAGCGTTTGTTTGACTTAGACTTTCATAGTTTTATGATAGCAGTAAAGTGAGAAAAAAATTCACCTGAGTTGAATGTTGAAAGTTGAAGCCAAAGCCAAGCAATTATTTTCTCATCAACTGTTGCAGATGTGAAACTTCTTATTACGTTTCCTTATTCTGTTACTTAAGCTTGAAAAATATTGAATAGATATTATTAACATATTTTTCAAATTTCTATGCTGGAAATTCTTGATATCAGTTTACGAAAAACGAAAGAAGAAAAAGAAAAGAAAATTTGTGCAACCCGTGCACGAAGACGATTTTATTTTCCGTTTTCCTTCTTCCATCCTTCATTGACAATTTTTGTCATAAGCTCACGAACAAGCTGAGGTTCATTCCTATTATGATTTCCAATTTAGAATAAATTTTCCATAATGGCTTAGATACTTTCTCTGTTCGCTCGCTTACGCAGGTTTTTCAGACATCAGATGGTTATGAAATGGCATGTCTCAAGCAGAATTATTCAACTGTAAAGGGAGATGAAACTTTGTTCTTCTCTCTTCGTTGTCGAGGAAAGCAGATATGCTGAGAATGTAATGAGAAAAATATGTTGATTGACGGTATTCGTATTACCAAATTAGTATTCTTATCTTGTTGTTTTTTAAGTTTCCATTTTAAGTATAAACCCTTGAAAGAGGCAAATACCGATTTAGCGTATATGATGTTATATTCTGAGATGGAATTTTCGAGAAAATTGCGAAAAATTTTGAGAAACGTAAAGAATTTTAAATGATTTTCGCAACTGTCAGCACAAAGAAAGAAAAGTTTTTCTTCGATGATGAAAAGTCATTTTCATTTGTGAAGCTCACAACTCAATGTGATTATCGCTAATATTTATAATACTTAGCAAACAAACGCTTTTATATGTACATAAACAGAATGCCAAGTAATTGAGCAATCTTAAAATTACGGATTAAAAATTATAATAAAAAAATTGTTTCCATTTACCAAAAGGTCGTAAAAACTGGGTGCGTGCTATAAGTTATACACACATTGGGAACCAAAAGAAGAAAAATATAAAAAAAATATCATCAGAAAATGAAGAAAAGAAAAATCTTAAAACATGCGCGTTGATGAGAAAGAAAAAGAAATTCATTTTCATTTCTTGAGCAATGTCTGTAAGAAAACTTACCAAATCGATATTATTTTACGATCATATTGATTCATGTAGCATTATGCATTGAGCAAACAATTCACTGAGCGTGAATTAAAAGGATAAAGCATTTTATTATATTCTTTTGCTGTTTTTTCTTTGCAAAGTTTTCCATTGTGTAAGATATGATTTTCCGCATAAAATCGTTTAGGGCGTTTTCTCAAACTTTCTTTTTTTATTCACGTCTGCATGAAGCAAATATCGATGAGACAAAATTTCGCTTATAACTTTTACGGCTATGCATCTGAAGACAATGCAACGAGTTGATGATGATCTGGTTTGAAACGAACTAAATGGGAAGAAACAATTGAGAATGACTTCGCTTTGCTATTAGCTGAAGACCTCTTTAAAAGAAACTTTCGATCGATATGGCTGAATTAGTAATGACCATATTTTATAATCAAATTTTCATTGCCGACAATCGAAACATCCAGCTTAAAAGCACAATAGAGAGCCATAAAAACTATAATTTAAATGACATTTGTGTTGCCTTTTCTCCTCTCGCTGCTGAATCTTTTTTTATCAACCACACTTGATTTTTTTTTGCCTTTGCCGTTCCTTCTATCTCGTGAGACGAATTTTATTACATACATTAAATACTTCTCCCTGTAAATTGGAAAGGCGAAGTAAGATGCAATTAAGTCTGCAATTTTATTACATTTAATGATGCATCCAACTTTTTGTTAATCGTCCAACGAAAATGAATGTTTGTTGAAGCGCGTGTAATTAATAATTTTCAGAGATTTAAAACAATGTCCAATGATGCTACAAAATCATCCGATATTTCTTTTTGTTAATTAAAATTTTCTGAACAATTAAAAGTTTTTATTGCTCCACTTTCAGGGGTTCATTTAATTAAATTTCCTAACAAAAAGAATGAAATTTTACTTCTCAGAAAATGTTATGTCAAGTGTGAGATGTTGAAATTCCGTTTCTTCAACATTTCATTGAGGTTAACAAACCGATAAATATTTCATAAGAAATAAAAAATGTCAAAGACAAATCTTTATAACCATTAACATTTTAATTCCTGGGAATATTATGTGAAGTGGTTCCTCGATATTTTCTTTTTGATGTAGAATGTAATATGAACTACCAGGACGTAAATGCATTTCATTGGCTTCAAGCTGCTCGAGATCATTATCATAAATTAGTCGTTTACTCTCTTTGATCTCTTAACTGTTTATTTACTTTCTTTTATTTAAGATCTTCTTTAAAACAAATCCAAGAAGAAACAATTCATTAAACAATTTTCACTTGTTTTATTCTTTCAGATTCTCTCAAATCGTCTCGACGTCAACACTCAAAATCTGTGGATTGTAAGTATCATTTGATTGATAAAAAAATGAAAACAGTAAAAATTACAATCAATTCTGTCACGACAAATTTTTACGATTGTTAAAAAATATATTTTTAAAAAGCATGTCAAGTCGAATTGGCACTGTCCGATCTTTCATCTCTTTTCTTTCCTCCACCATTGATGTGAGTGCGTTGAAAAGAGACACAAATAGTGTCTGACTCCATAGCAACGAAATCTTAATGGATATATTTATACGAAATTCTGGTTCTTGCAGCCATACTTGGATTTATACTGCTTTTCAAACCCAACAGAAAGTTATGGTTTGCTTAATGTTTTGAGTTTATTTCTTTCTGATGCCAGGCCCAAATGTGTTCTGAATTGCCACTTCAAATGACACAAGAGTTATTTTAATCATTTTTCTCTATAATTATTGGCTTTTTCAAGATAAGAAATTTATTTTTGAAGTTCATATAATAAAAACGTCGAATGATTTGTGAAGTCTAATGGCAAAGTCACCCCAACAATCAACAATCAAAATGCTTCTATGAACATAAAAATAAAACAAAAATCTAATTGCTCGAAAATTTAATTAAAAATTCATTTGAAAACATAAATCTTTGTCCTTGTATGAATTTAATGGCTTTTTTCAAACACGTCAACTTTTCATAGAAAACAAGATGAGATTAACAATCATTCATTCATAAATGACGTCAAACCGTTTATGGCTTTAATGTTAATAAAAATATTTTTATGATTTTTAAAAGAGGTTTGTTTAAGGAAGTTACTGAATGTTGTTGCCACATACTACCAATCATTTTGATGATATTTTTCTTTGTGTCGTTTATTCTCGACACATTCCTTTGAGAGAATACAAGAGGAAAATCTTGTCAGTAGTAAAATTCTTGCATTAATAATTAATTAAGAAAGAAATTTATAATCAAAATAAAATTTAAGCTGTTGAACCTCCTAAGAATACTGATTTTATTTAATTCTCTTCTGTAGCTTTATGGAATTTTGTTATCTATCGGATTCTCATGGAAGAACACGATTATCATTTTATGACTTTCATTGTGAACATTTCTGCACGATCGAGACAAATTAAATTTATTTTAAGATTCTGCCAGCAACTGTCTTGTCATCGCTTGTATTGTACAATATCTCGCTGCTCTCTTTTGCTTCAACCACATTCAAAAGTAGATTTTACGACCGCCAAATTCCTCCACAATCATGCCAAATTTAATTCGTTTTGCTTTTTATTTATTTTACTTTTTTTTTGTTTCATACAGCATCTAAAAGAAAAGATTGTTGAAAGGCAGAAGAGAAAGAAAATCAAAAATAGTTTCTCAAAGTTTTTATTTGGGTCGTAAAAATTCGACTACATTATCATTAAGAGCACGTTGGCATTCAAGTCAAGTCCTTGGGTTCATCATACAAATACTGATAAGATTCCCATGGGCGGCTTATTGGATCCATTGTGTGCTTTCTGTCGCGCCATCTAAGAAAAGATCGAGAGAAACATGAGAGAAAAAAAAGAAAATACTTCTTAAGATGACATTTTTATGATAACTTTAAGTGTTGAAACTCGATTTCTTTAATTCGCAATGATCATTTTCCGGCGACAACAAAGTTTGTTTAATTTCTTCAGCTTGCATAAATGTAAAATGGCATTTAGTATCGAGTCGCATACCTAAAACTGAGATTAAGTTAGATAAAAATTCATGTTTTAATGAAAGCTATTAAAAGAAATCGACAATAAAAATATTTTCCTTAAAAACTTTTTAATATTTACTTAACGACTCAACTGATGTCATCTGAGTTTATGTTCGGTGTAGGATGTCTTGACCTTCGAGAATGAGATGACGAGGAGAATGTTGACGATAAGAGATCATTCAGCAGAGACATGTTGCATGTGCTACCTCTTGTTACGTATACTGAAGGTAAATCCGGACAGATTAAGCACTCAGGATACATTCAGTATACGTACACGAAGTTGCATCCAATCACCAGTTTGTCATAAAACACTTTATCTCATCATCATCGTACAGATGCCAGATACTCACTGCAAAGAAAAAGAAAAAGGAGAAATGTGCTTTAAAATCATGAACAAGAAGACTCGATGATAATGTCGTTACAGCCAACTATTTGCCAAACATTTTATGACTTTTGCTGCGTAAAGTGTGTTCGTTAAATATCAATTCATTGTGAATGTTGCGTGTCAGTCGTAATTACGAATAGAAAGCTTCAGTGTCAAAGGAGCTATTTTAATGTTAGAGTGTTATCTACATCAGATAAATATTACATTAAGCAAGAAAGCTTCGTTCTCCATTCTTCCTTTTACCCCAAATACCGAAAGAGAAAAAAAAGACCAAGAAGTTCTTTGCAATTAACATTTTAATAAGACCACCATACCATGAGCCCCAAGAGAAATTTATGGTTTTCGGTTTTATGGTTATAAAAAATTAAATTCAATTTAATCTCCGAATCAGAAAAGTTTTTTCTGAACTTCGGATAAATAAGTTTACACATACTTATTCGACAAAAAATCATAAAACGTAAATATCAGTAAAAGTATCCGCAAATGTTCATGTGAGAATACAAAAGAAAAACTGACAAAAATAAAGTCTCAGCATTCATTTCTATTCTCAAACTTTCCATCGCCGTTTGGTGGTGGTTTTCATTATACTTATATATGGCGAAAAACTAAATTTGCTATGTTTTTTTTCTTTATTCTCTATGTTCAATATTCCGAGAAAAAAAAGGAAGAAAGAATAAAAAAAATCCCTTTGGGGAATCTCAATTCTTTCTTCTTTTATTATGTTTCTATGTTCAGGTTTTCTTTATGCCATCATCTACTTATGTTCATCTTTCTTTCTCCTTTAAACAACAAACACATAGGCGAGATGATTTTTTGGCTCCTGTTCTCTTTTTATCGCGTTTTGTTGTATGGCATTAAATTTACATAATATACCAAACAATATCAACTTTTAGCGTTCATTTTGAATTAAAATTGAAAAGATTTTTCTCGCTTAGATTGTGTGTGCGACAAGTTAAGGAGAAATGTAAAAAAAGGGAAAAAGGGATTGTTAGTTTATGGGGATGTCAGACGAAAATGAGAATGGAAAGTAATGCAATCTGAAGGTAGCTTTGGGAAGGAGAATCTTGAGTTTTGAGAAAAGTAGCTTCAAATATTTAATATGAAAAGTGTGAAATCATACATCAGACCGATTATAAATCGCGTCATTGAACTCCAGTCAGAAATATTATCTGTTCAACTAAAAAGCTCCCATGAATATAATCATATTCCTGCTTAAAATTACATTTATGATCACATCATTCTCATGTACGATACATTTGACATGATTTGTAAATCACATGAGACATCGTCTGTGTACATTAAATGCAAACGATACTTCGTCTAGCATGAGACTTATTGATTTTTCTTTCACGATGACGATGTTCTCGTCGAGCTGTAATTGACTTTGTTGGGTATGCTGTCGGTTGTGCTTTCGTACAATTCACTACAGAAGTGAAGAAATCTAATTTGATGATGCGCTTTTGAATATTAATTCGCAGAAAAAGGAACAAATATCTGCGCTACATCGCAAATCGCTCCCTCGAGCTATGAATTTAAATCGAAAAACAGACAAGAAAATGCTCGGTAATTTAATAGAAACTAGGAAAAATTCTAATAAGAACAATTGCTGCTTTTGTTTGCCGGATTAATAAAAGAAGATTATTGTTGTGATGGGCGAAACATTGGCAATTTTAAGATAGTGAAGGAAATTTGCAATAAAAGTGTGAGTTTCATTTTGGTCTTTATGATAACGACACGACAAGAATTTTCCTCTTTAATTTCTTCGCATGAAAACTTCTTTAAGGGAACGCTGGCTGACTTTTAAAAATCAACATCAAAAACTATTCGACCTTATGTACTTTTTTTTGTTGTTGTTAAATTTCCCTTCTCACTCTTACATCATGCAACAAAGCAATCACACACAATGGTATGTCGAATAACATTTAGGACCACAGTGAAATGTCTAGAAAGCGGAAAGGCCTCAACTATGAATGGAAAATATTAATAAAAATAATAGCATAAATTTCTTTCCTCACACTCTCTTCTCATGATTTAAACAATAAGGTTTCTGATGACAAGGAAATTTCAACTCTCCCCTCGTGTTATGGCAGGCAGGATAAAATGAAAGAAATAAAAATATGAAGCATGTAACAGTACAGGAGATGGCTGATGGTTTGTGTACCATAATCGGTTAAAGAAAAAATGTGCTGTCTAATACAAAAAAATCACTAAATTATGAACATAGAAAAATGTTTGCAAGTGTGCCATAAGGTAAAACGCTTGCCTTCGCACATGAAAATCGATTTTCTTCTAAAGCGAGGGAAGGAAGTCTCATTATCGTGGCAGAAATTTGATGAAATTGATTTTTGATTACAATTAGCATACATATAGATAGGGGTTGGAAGTGTAAGATAGGCAAGCCTCCATTGCGCAATGTTTCCATCATCAGCTTCTCTTCAGATGGTACGCACGTAACAGACTCTAGATGCCATACACAGATAGTGAAATGAAAGGAATAATTTTAATTAAATTTAATTAAAACTATGAAGATTAAAGTGCTAAAAAATTTGTTGAATGTAAAGTTTGTCAGCAACAGAAGTACATTTACGTGAGGGGATCCATGCAATATTCAACAAACACATCTATCCAGTCGATTTGACTTCGCTTCTATATGTACACAACACAAAACATCTTATATACACGCTTAACGCTTAAGAAGAAAAGAATATTCTTTAACACATATTGCCAGCACTCTGTGTCTTAAACCGACTGTAAAACTTTGTTAATTAAAAATAATATTTGCTTTTAGCAGCAAGTGACGAAAATTAATGAGAACACCTACATTGAATGGCAAACAAAGTTAGCGTTATCGGAAGTGCCTCACGCGGGGCTTTTAAGAGAATTTTCACGAGTTTTTAAGTCACTTTAAAGGTGACATTTAACTAAAAACAAACTTTTCATCTAAAACACTTAAAAATTTAGGCACTTAAGAGTTGTATCAAAGTTTTTACCTCACAAGCAGTTACTTCGTGAAACATCTGTCAACTAAACAGCAAATAACCAATTTACTTTACGAAACTTTACCTCAGATGACTCAGAATATTTTTTTACTTTTGATTTCGTTGAGTAAAATTTATGAATGATACCATTCTAATGAAACACTTTTTCAATACTGACTTATCAAATATATTAAACTTTTTTCTATTTTATTTCTAACGAAAACAAATGAAAACAGAAAAAATATATATGAAAGAATACAACCAAATGAACCAAAATATATTGTACAAGTGTGTTGGTTTGATAAATAGTCTGAGATTAACAAACCCCCGAAAAAAAATAACATAAACCACTGATATTTAACGAAACGAATAGAAAACCATAAGATGAAAAGTATTAAAAAATAGAAAAAATAGAAAAGAAAATTATAGAAAACTTAGAAAAGTTTAAGTTATCCAGAATAAAAAGAAAAGTCGTTAATATAAGACACAAAAATTTTTGTGGATAAGAAAATGAAAAGATGTTTTCTCAACAACGTTTTGCAACGATTTGATAAAAAGGACAAAGGAACAACAGGCACCGAAAGATTTCACCGACTTGCTTCCACAAACAATGAGGAAAATTTGTTTCGCTCATGTGGAAAAACCTTGTCGGCGCATACATTTACATGAGAAAATGCTACAAACACTCACAAAATGAAGAAAAAGACTAACACTAACACTTCCATATGAATTCATCGGGGTATCGTGCTCAACACATTTAAACATTAACTTTGAGCTTTTACTAACACTTCTTTAGACTCACCGCCTGAAAGCTCTCCTGGTACAAGGCAATTTTAGCTGAAAACAAAAATATATCCGTCTTCTTTTATCCGTCATTGCATTATGCATTTTATGTTTCTGCAATTCCTATTGAGTGTGTTTGCCATTCGGGAATTTGTAGGAAAGCAACAAAATTTTAATTTAACGAGGCGAGATAATTTTTTCAATAACTTTTACTTTGGGAACGTAGAATCAAAGTATTTTAAGAACTTAGGAAGAAGAGAATGTTAAAAATGCTATGTATGAAAATGGAATAATATAAAGCATGGATTTTATGTTGGCTTTTATAATTTCAAGCATTGAAATGAGAAAAGTTAGATCAAGTTTGTTTTTTCCAGCTTCTTTTGTGTGGGGGCGGTAAATGAAGTTTGTAATGGAAAAGACAAAAACATATTCCATTTTAAAACAAAAAAAGAAAAAATGAAACCCTAAGAATCAATAGCGAGAAGAAAAGGCAAAAAAGTTTTTTCATTATCCCCAATACGGAGATGGAGATGAAAGAATAGTCTGCATAATTTAATTATCAACCTTAATTTGATTCCAGCCGTCCCCAAAATTCTCCTTCTATTTTCTCCGTTCTTTTCTAATTACATTTCAGGAATCGTTAGGAAAATTTCACGACATTCTTGCGTCCCTTGAAGGTATACCGTGAAATCTCGGTAACTGTTAAAATATTTCCAACATCTTGTGCACTCTTGGGTTTGGGGAGAATATTCAAATCTCTATTTATTCTTCCTTTAGGTTATTTCACAATGTTTCATGTTTAAAAAAAAAATTTTAACTTCGCTCTGTGAACACAAAGACATTTTTTAATCGTACATTTTGGAATACTCCTTTTTTTCTTCTTTAGACTGTAGAAAATCGAAATAAACCTTCAGCTCAGTGCATCAAATGCATTAAAATCTTTCGAACATTATTTTTATTGCTGCAATATCGAATGCAAGCTCGTTAATGATAAGACAGCAATTTATTGTTCCCAAATTGCCATTTCAGGCAAAAAAAAATGTTGTTGCTTACAAAGCACACATGAGATGTATGAAAAAAAAATTATCGTAAACATTCTACCTTAGTCCCATACGAAGAAAGAGTAAAGCAGCTAGTAAACGTACATAAAATCTTATAATTTATGAGAATTGAAGCGTTCTGTTACCGAAAAAAAAATGTTTTACGAAACGAAATCTTGTGTTGCGAAAAAGAGAGACTGAACAGTATAAAATCAGAAAGAAAAGTGTATAATAAAATTGAAAATTTATGATTTTTTTTCTGCTTCTCAAGGAATTCTTATTTTTCCTTCTCTCGTTTGCCTGAGATTATTAAGAAGGCGTTTTGAAGATGAAGAAAGCTTTTTAAACGGTTCTTTAAATTCATGCAAGGGTGTGGTGTGCCAGCGACTTTTCGCTAAGGGTTCCTTTAAAAAAATATGAAATGATTGTGGAAAGTAGTAAATTATAAAAATTAGAAATGAAAGGAAGCTCTCGCCCATTATGGTTTTTTTTCTCTTCTTTCCAAAGCGATAATAATTTAAAAACACGTTTTGTTGTAACGCTATTTAAGGAAAAAGAAATCATTCACTAGACAAAAGGTTATAAACATTAATGGTTGCAAAACTGGTATCAACAGAAAACAACAAATCACTTTTCCTATGGTGGAAAAATAAATCTCGCTCAATGTTTTCACAACATTTTCATTTTCCCACTTTCATTTAACATTGTAATGGAGTAAATAGAAATGGGAGAGTAAATAATAAAAACATGTTTAAGTTTACGTTGTTAAATTGTAACAAATCATCATCATGGTCTATAAAAATTTATCGCTTGAACTCACTTCATACATTTCCTTTTTATTCTTTCTTTCGTTTGTTTGAATTCTTAAAACTTAAAAAGAACAAAAAACGAGAAATCTTGAAGATACAAGAAATTGAAATATTTGTCATGGGAGCTGCTTAAGATTGGATTAAATAAATTCATTTGAATATCTTGTTTCTTGTGAGGTAAAGAAGTCATTTTGAGGTTGAACGCAAACGCCGTCGGCCATTGAATACATTTTCAAATATCAGCATGATAAAAGCGAACAAAGTAATTTTCTATTCATATTCTAAACTACACAAACGAACTGAACAAAATGAAAATCTTTAAAGTTTTCTTTTCTTTTCATTTCTTCTTTAGATTTAATCTTAACATTGATCCAAAAGATTTAACTGAAATTTATGCTTCTGTTATGCTGGAGATTTCAAATATGCTGATAATACTTATACTACAGAAGATTATTATACATATAGGATTTGCTCGTAAATTGTTTAAATGGAATCCACCCTAATATGCAATATAAGAACGATCCCATTTCGAACGAGAGAAAATATACATTGGAGCTCCATTTCGAGCCCAACGTAAAAGTATCAACAAAAATTATTTTTCTTCCATATTTGGGAGCTATAAAGTAACAATTTTATGTGTTTTATAGGAAATAATTTGAACTCAATTTCAAATTATCGTATCGTGAGGCTCAAGCCAAAAACTTCTGACAATCAATGTCTTACAGACAAACATGTCGTAATGGTTGGGAATAAGAACTTTAACTTGTATGCTTTCCTGCTGTTTTGCTTCTCATATATGCATGTATAACAATATATTCATAATATTTTATGTTTCTTTGTCTTCATGATATTTTACTCTCGGTGCGTGATATCGCATGTATCAGATAACAATTGAAAATTTAAAAGACAAACAAACTACAAATTCGATTTGGTCAATCTATGCAGCAAAAGTGTTGCCAAAAGATTAATAATTTGTCGTTCAACAAAATTATTTCATCTCATGTTGTTTGTTATTTTGTTCTCCCAAAACGACGTCTATCATAACATTAGCATATTCTTGAGTACGTGAAACCGTTTCCCTTCGCTTGCTCATCTCTCGAGAGATGCCGTTAATGGACCGAAGAACTTTAACAATACCCAACCAATCTCAATAAGATGAAGATTTAAAATTTTTTTTTGACTTACAAAAAAAAATATGGTAATCAAGCTGAAAACGTTGAAGAAGTAAAAGAATTCACAAAAGTTTCCATAGGATGATAGCATGGTATTTAAAGGATGCTGATTAAAGATAATATGCAAATTCAATAGCGTGTAACATCTCTCGTTCTCGTTGATGCTGTGCCTATTTAGATTCCATTCTTACGCTTCGTTGATGTTTGGAAACAAATGATAGAAATAACTGTGGTAGAAAAGACGAGAAAATATCAAAATCGTTAAATAGAAAAAAAAAACGTGGACAGAAAAAGTAAATAGAATTGAAATTTTTTGCGATTACATTGAACAGAAAAGAAAGAAAAGATAGAAACTAGCAGCATTCTGTTGCTACCTTTTCCTTTCATTATATTTCTATTCGCAACGAGGCACATTTTGGTTGGGTCGTTTTCCGTATCCCCTTCAGCATAATCAGCTTCTCCAAAGTTTTAGCAAAAAAAAAGGAACATTCGATTTTTGATTTGAAAAAAGTAGTAGCAAGAAAAATGTAATGAACGAAAAAAGAAAAAAAGGTATGTGATGATCACAAGATTTTATCATTTAATGCGTACAAAGAAAGGAAGGCAAAAACATATTCCAAGTTCCACCATAAAGACCAGAATCTTCTGCAAATTTCTTTCTTTTGGCGGTGATTTCATTCGAATCAACTTCTTCGTCTACGCAATTATTGTATTTCTTACCTTTTCATTCACCGGATAGAGAATACTGAAGGGATTGAAGATAAACACAATTACGGATCATCATATTCTCAAATGGCCTTTTGTTGAATACATACGAGCACTGAACACCCTCGTTGACTTTCAAAATGCTGATTAAATTTTTCTTTTCTTCTTTTAAACACTTTAAGAAGAGAAAAAATGAGAATTTGTTAAGACTTTCAATTTAAGGATGATGTCATTAAATACTCGAGATAACACCATTTAGTCTTAACAAGAACATGAAATAAACCAGGAAGCAGAAGATTGTACAACACGCTTTGAATATATTTTTTGTTAGTACAAGTGGATTGCCATGAAGCAGATTGTTTAACATAATAAAATCATCTATGGATCTTCAAAACATTAGCATCCATTTCGATTTATTGTTTTGTATTTTTATTGTTTTGTAATCGCGTGAACTTGAATCTTAACTCATTATGTCCGTACACCAAGAAAGCAAACGCAAGTCGAACATTTTAAAATAAAAAACACAATTAAAAAACTTAGAAAGAAAAGAAATATTTTCGAAATAGAACACAAACATGTTTTTAAATTGATAATAAAAGCTATAAAAACGAGCAAGTTTAATATGAAATTTTACGATTATTTTAATATTTACGGTTATGATTATTATTGATATACATAATTTAAAAGCGGAAAAAAAATAATTCATTATAAACTTGAAGGAATGAATGAAAGAGAAATATTTTCAAACGTTAGCGTTTCTGAGTTATCAAAGCTTGCATAAATTTTCTCGCCACTTATGAGTTCAGCGAGAGAAGGCATCTAATGGCAGATAAAGTGAGACTTTTTGCGTGCTCGGCATTTTATTTAACACATTTGGAAGCCTGTTTTCTATGATCTTTTGTTGCTTGTTGAGTTCTGCGTAGATTGAATATTATAATCGGCGTGGCTCTTGAAATATTTATCCCAACAAGCCAAGATTCTCTTGCTACTGTCTTTAACCGGATCTCAAAGACATTTATCTTTGATTTGTCTATCAACTGGCTAGCAGAATGACGAATGAAGTTTTCTAGGGTGGTCTACGACCTCGTTGATCTCAAAATAAGATCAGACATGTCAACAAACAATTTCGAGAAACACATTAAAGTTGCGATTTAAAGTCTTCAGTTCGTAGACTGACAATTATGAGATTATTCACGTCTTTATTTCAAATTCATGTGACTGCGTCAAGATTTTAATTTGATGATGGCTTCAGTATTTTTAGTGTCTTATAATTGATATTAAACTGATGTTTTATGAGCAATAACTTTTTTTTATTAAATGTTATTGATTATCATGCTATTAAAAATTTATAGTCATTGATATCGTGCTTAGATTTGTGGGTCGATAATAAAAGGAAGAAGACAATAGGAAAGGTTGTAAAATAAAATCATTAATGACTAGTGCACATGTTTTTTATATTCATTTTTTAAAGGAATTCCTCATCCATAAATATGTGAATAACTAAATTATCACCTTCTTCAAATCACTGACTGTCAGTCTGTATTTGCGTCTTTTATGACATCAGTAGTGTCGCTTTAAATCTCAACGTATTCTTGTCATCTTCTTGTATCGTTCGCCACCGCAAAAAAACCTAATCCTATCATAAAACGGAGATCGTGATTTGAATTTGTATGAATTTTATGAGCGAAACGTAAAATTGACACCGAAAAATACTCGCAAGCATTAAATGCATAGATTATGCAAGAAGTCATGCTTGATCGAGCGAAATATATTCAGAGATTAGATAAACGTTTAAGATGACAATTTCAACATTTAAGAGAGAATTTGCAAGTACTTCGAATGCGATAGAAATTTTCATTGACATAGAAATTCTAGGTCAGTTTCATTTAACGAGTTTAGTTGTTTATAAAACTTTATTTATTATGAAAATCGTTCAGATCAAGATATTAAACAAATAACATTTATATAAGATTAATGGCAAAGTTGGGGATTGTTTGCTCAACGCTCGATCATATATATTTAGAATAACATATAATGCAGCCATTGTCTAAATATCCGACAGTGCAATAAATAATTCTGTGTAACATGCAAATTATGGGCATTTGTCAGGCAATGACTGAATATATTTATTCAAATTGCAGACATTTTGTAACAAAGAACAAACTTAAATACTTCACATAAATATATCAAAAGAAAGATGGAAAATCGAAAAATAAGAAGCACATTACATAAATTTCTTAAGCAAATGCTTAAGCCTCAATTTTGAATGAGTGCGTGACATGTGACGATAAATAATTGTTACAATACAGAAAAAAAAAATACTTTATAAGGTTCGTTTATTTGAATGTCGCTTAGATAGCTTACGCTGAGCTAAAACCGACTTTGGCAATGCCGAGTCGACAGTAAAGTTTATGATTTTATGACCAAGAGGTGTCTCTCAATGTACAATATCTAGAAAGGTTTGTCGAGGAGAAAAGAGTGACACTCAACGAAGATAAAGCGAATGAAAGAAAAGACAACAACAAAAAAATATCGTGGAATGTGAATGAAATTTAAGACATAAATCGTTGAAAAAAGCCTAATTAATGGCGGTATATCGCTGTTTAATGGCCACCGCAATGTTTTCATTTAAATTTACTTAATTATTATAATGTTCTTTCATTTTCTCTTTCTTTCCAGATTGTGAATAATAATTGTGATAAAAATATTATGGTGACATGAGTTGTGTAGTAAAAATAATATCTTGGGATTACTAAATACGCCAACCTTACGATGACTATTTGAAAATAGAAAGAGGTAAGTAATGAGACATTTTACCTTGCATAATATCTTTCTTTCTTCTTCAAAATCACCTTTCAATATTTATTTAAAGTCGTAAAGTAATTTTCGTTTGAAACCATGAAAAAAGACATTTAAAAGAACTTTACCCTTTATGCAATCCTTTTTTTCCTTGTAAAATGCATTCAAGGTTAAAATTGCATAACACTTACATAGGTCATCAAAGCACACCTTTTAGTATTGTCGTCCCTATGATCAATAAAACAATAAAAAAATCCCTCAAATCCTTCAATCTTCGTTGAAGATGTGAGTAAACTGTTCATAAAGTTCCTCATTGTCGTTGTCGTTTACGACTTTGCATTTTCTTGACGTAAAACAAGTTTCTTTAACTTTTTGTTATCTTTTAAGTAAACCAGGAAGTTGAAAATATTTGACTGTGAAAAATTTATGATCCACAACCCTTTTAACATTTGCAAAACATGAAAGTTGGCTTCAAAGAATTTTTCCTCACTCTTATGTTGTGACTTCAAGTGACAATACATCAAACACATGACAGAAAAAAATGAGAAAAAAAATTGTACAATGTTTGCTTCAGTCATAATAAATAATCAATTAAAGTGTTTTTCAAAAAGTCAATCTTCTCTTAGATGAGTTTATTAATAAAATTCGTGAGTGTCAAGAGATTAAACATAAAATTTATTTTAATGTATGAAAATTAAATACAATTTATATTTCAATTAACGCAGAAAAATAAAGTTCAGTTAAATATTGTGTGCATAAGTGACTGATAAACAGAACTTCTTTTAACCAAGCATGACTTACTTAGCCAGCAGCATTCATGAGAGAAGAAAAAGAAGGAAAGAAAAAAAATTGAACACATGTTCGAAGTGAAATATATTTTGACATTCGAATATAAAGGCCAACAGTAGCGAGTCAAACATACAACATGTTAGAAGAAGTTTCAGTTGTGATCAAATTTTCTGTGCTTGATTACTTTGAGTGCCTCACTTTGTAGCATAATCTTGTCATTTCGTGTCAATTGATGATACTTTCTCTCGCTAATTAAGAAATTGAAAATTGAAATGACTGAGCGCGTTTAATTGAATTCGTTTCAATTATTATTTTATTAAAATTAAGGCCATTAAAATCGTTGAATATGTATCATTATTGAAAAAGCTTCAGTTTAAATAATTTCTTTCAATTAACAAGAAAATTATAAAAATACTGTTGTTGATAGAATGATGATGTCCGTGACCGACCACACAAATTCCAATAATTATTCCCTTTCTTTGACGCCTATAAAATGTTCAGTTTTACTGCGAATATCACTTTTATCGTTTTTATATTGACAATTATTCGTATTAAAATTTTTCAAACTGCAATCAAAAGATATTTTCATAATGCAAAATATATTAAATAAATAATTATCATCAAAAAAGAAAATTATACCGGCAAAAATATCTTTGCGATTTAAGGAAAAGAGACAGAACGATACAAAGTGAAACGGAACATTGGAAGCCATTGCCGTAAAAGTAAGAAAGAAAGATGACGGAAGAAATTTCTCTCAATTTCTCTCTCCTGACATTGATTGCCAGTTTGACTCTCTCATTATGTTGCGATATGCAATGTGACGGTGACAAGTGAACATATTTATGTATGCACTCGAGCATTAGTTTCTCTTTTTCATAATAATCAACATCACTTTGTAAACATCGCTTGATCAAATGTAACATTTATTATTTGTGAACGATATCTGAGTTGGAATCTAATAAAGTTGTCTGGGGAAAAGTTTTTGCAATAACATCAGCAGTATTGTCACATACAAACAATATTTAGTATTCCATAGAGTTGTTAATATCAAAGAGTGTTAACTGCCAAATATCAGTCGAGATTGTTCGAAGGGGAAGCTTCATTGGTATTCTTCAATAATCTTGAAGAAATACAGCAGTTAACACCCGACGAAGTCTTAAATATTGTCGAAGGAAAACATATCAGTGTCCATGGGTTACATACTGGCACGAGGTTTCTTTTACGGTGATCATGAACGGAAATTCATTTTAGAGACAAGAATACTTTGTTGCATTCTAAAGCTTCAAATGGAAATAAATTACAACAAAACAATGTTGCAAATACCACAAAAAGACCTTTAACTGTCTAAATAAATATTTTTAAAAAATTATTAATTATATACATTAATTCGACTGTTATCGAAGTATAAATGATAACTCAGAAGTTTTATTGCTGACAATCCCACCAATTATTATTTCTTAATTCTCGAAGGAAAATAGTTTCAAAAAATAGCATAAGATGCGATCGTAAAGTTAAATGAAGGCAAAAACCAAATTTTAATCAACAAATGTTTTGTTTTTCTTCTTCTCAGGAGAACCATAAACATTTTTGGTTTCTCTTTTTTCCATTCATTCTTAATTGACGGTTTTCATTGAAATATTTCAAGCAACATCATTTTATTGTTTATTTAAACGCTGTGATATTTATGACTATTTTATGTATTCAATGATTCTATTTAAGAGTATAATTTTAAAAACCAGCAATGATGAGAAGAGTGAAGCAAGCTTTCAAAGAAACATTAAATCTTTTTTCTTTCTTTCATTCCAATGAATTTGATTGATGGCTATAGTCTTAATCTCTTAGTACATGCCGACATCTTTGAATTCTTTTGATTTGTTGCTTGTGAAATGGCTTTTACAACAAGGAATCTTTGCGGGTATTTTATTGCTCATCAAAGTTTCGTTTATAGATTTTCTTGTAGTTTCTTATAAACAATTAAATATTTTAATGTCACACATCGTTTGCTTGGTATTTAAAAAGAAATAAAATTAAATACGAAGATTTCGTCAAAGCGCCTTGAGATGACAATTCAAATGTGATTTAAAGCGAATATTAAATTAAAAGCATGTTAAATCTTTTAATGGCTTTGAGTGAAAAGGGGAACCATATTTTAATTTTAATTTCATTTTGGTGTCTTCCTTGAGTGGATAGATCAACTTTTGAATAAAAAAGTCATCATTGTGTGATCAAAAATATTTTAAAAATTCAATTTGCTTAAAATAGGAAGAAAAAGCAAAACTTTCACTCTAAACTTTTTATCTCAACTTCCTCTGAACGAAAATACTTTCGTCATTTCATGGTTTGTCATGGAGATGGCACTAGAGAGCTGAAGGGATGTTTATGTCAAGGGATGATTTCCTTTCCTCTCTCCCTTTGATTTCCTTTCTTTCCAACTTGATGTTTTGCTTTACCTCTTGAAATTACTTTAGCGAGGGTTGAAATTTGAATTTGATCGACGATAACATGGTTTGACGTTCTAAATTATTTTCCCTTGAATGCTATGTCATGTATGAGTTCATTAACATAAAAATAACAATTTCTCTTCTTTTTTCTTTTCAGAAATAAAAAAAAAGAAACATTTTATGGATACGCGATAATCTGAAGCGCTCAGTGGTATGTACAGAAAGATAAATTTCAAGCGAGATGCCGAATTTGATTGCATTCACCTGAAAAATTAACATCATGATGGAGAGTTCAAGTTTTATGATGAATTTTGAAGTATTTTGCTTTAACCCGTCATACTCTGCAATTTTTCATCTTTTTTTTTGGTATGAAACAAGATTTTCATGAACAAAGTAATGATTTCCAAACGATTAGCTTTTATATTTATGGATGGGAAAAGCTACGCATCAAAAGAGTATTTATTATAAAAATTACGATTTGTTTATGTATCAATGGCATAAACATAAATTTAACATCTCAGGGGAAGTCCTGTTTATTGAAAAATTTACATTTTCGTTTTATATATCATTGAAAAAGAAGAAAATGAGAAGGTTAATGGATCATTTAGCGATAAGTAAATTATTTCCAAATAATTTTTTGATCATAAATAAATGAAAGGATTTCATATTGAAAGATTCTCTTCTTTTTTCGATGTTGTTCAAAGGAGAAAAACTCTGCAGAATTCAAATTTGCAGCTCGTAAAGTGTAAGGAAAAGTCTGTGTGCATCAGTGAGTGAAGCGAGAGTGAGATTAAACACAAGCGCTCCAAAAGGGAGAAAATTGTTGGAAAAAAATAGAAAAGAAAAAAAAGAAAATAAGAATGAAATGAGATGAGATGAGCATGAGCCTAACTGAGCAAGAGTGAACATTCTTCACTACACGCAAGCCTGACAGTGAGGAAAAAGGTGAAAAAATAAAAATGAAATAAAAAATTATGTTTATTATGGCAATGAAAGAGATAGACATTTTATGCTTTTTATGTTTTGCACAACCATTCAAATCTCACTGAATTGTTATGGAAGTTTGATAATACCCCGTCGAAACAATGCCATGTCTGCTGTATGAAAGAGAAGGACGAAACGATGCTCGCGCGTTCAAGAATGGATTCAGGAAATATGGAAATAAATGGAATTTTACGATGTATTTGTATGAATGGAAGAGAAGTGTGTGGAAACGTTTGTTTCCTTTACAACAATGAAAGCATGAATAGCTGCAAGGTATTTAAACAAATAGTTTTATGACGTGCATTATGAAGTTCTTTTTCGGTTCAGGCTAATTTATTTAAGTATTTTTATTGTCGTCATAAGAAATAAGCAATTAATTCACTCAATAGGTCTGCGGTTGCTCACGATATACAAAATAAAAAAAAAGAACTAAAATAAAATAAATGTATATGTTGAAGGAAAGCAAATGTAATGTTGTATAGAATTAGATTGTAAAAGAAATGAGATGGAGCATAGAATTGATATTCTTTCATGTATAGCCTTCCATCTCATGTCAAAGAGAAGACAAGAAAATAATAAAATATCAACAAAAGCACCAAAGGTCGTATTTCTTATTGCAGTTTTGACTGACTTAAAATTAGTTATGATTATGACTCTATAAAGTTACACATAATTTGCTTGTTTATTGAAATAATAAGAATTAATTTGATGTCAAATAGCAAAGTTTATTGTTATTTGGAGTCTAATACCATTTGACAAAATGAAATCATTTTGATTTTTATTATTATGCTCATACTTTCTTCATGCATCAAAAAATCTCACCCAACTGTTTGTGGTCCGACATAAAACAAGTCCATAGCTTTAAGGCAAATTCATTGAGATGATTTATTGTTTACGGTTACTTCCTTTGTTTAGTTGTTTTTAACTGATAAGAAACACTTTCAACGTCATCATATTGCGCAAGAAAGGCTTCTTTTCCATCAATTTGGTTCCTATTTAGCATTGTAAACCCCGCTCAGCATGAATACAATAAGAATTTTCTCAAAAATCTACTTTTCTCACTCGAGCACATTCTATTCGTCTCCCTTTAACTTATAGTGATGTCTTCCAATGTGAACACACACATTGTGCAAGAATCAAGGAGCAAGTGAGATAAATGTAATGGAATTCATATAAGATATTGGAGGAAAACAAGTTTTTTTATCATCATACAAATGCTAAAAATTGTGTTGTATGTAATAAAAAATACTATATAGACGTACTATTATTTTTTGTTGATATAAAAATATTATTCTTCTTGTTTGTTTTGTGTACACAACACACATTATCATACAATTTTTTCTCTTCATTCGCCGTTCATACGTACAAGCAGTCAGCGAGCGCTCTCTTATACACCAATTTTTATATTATACTTTTTTTTCGCTTTCTGCATGGTATAATAATATTGTGTGTTATGATCGTATCATAAACGAACTACTTGTCATAACGCTAACATCTATTCGGACTAATAAATACGTATTTTTTATATTTAAAAGAGCTGAAAAGAAAAGAAAGAAAAAAAAGTATTCTTATTACATAGCAGTAATTTTTATTATGTTAAAATTACAGACTTTTTGGTGAATAAAAATACTTTTTCGTGTGAAAAGTAAAAGAAAAATAAAAGTTCTTAAATTCTATGGAGAAGTTTTGTGTCGGTCAAAAGTAATTTTCAAAGAGATAGAACGACGTGGTGAGAATATAAAGTGATTTGCAACATCTTTAAGAGAAAAAATAAAAAGATAAGACATATTAATTATATTTAGTCACAAAAGTGCATCAAGCAAATTATTGTACGTAATTATTTATGCAATAAAAAGTTATCTTTAAAATAATTTCTGGTGAAATTGTGCAACAAGAAAAAGGAAGAGGTGTTTGCACAAAATAAGGCAATAAAAGATATTTTTCGTGTCATAAAAATATTTCTGAAAAAGGGTTCCAACTGTTACTGCAGAAAACACCGAAGCAAGCACAACTGAATTGTTAAGAAATGCCTTTTGTATTGAATGCAAGCTTCTTGTGCTCAAAGTGAAAGTTGAACCTTTAAAAGTAAATTCTGTGGGAGATTGAAGATAAAGAAGCAAGTTGAAAAAAATATTGTGACATCATTCGATAAAGTAAGTTGATCATTTTCCTTAATTTTTAATTAACCGGTTTTTTACGATTAAGGCGCTAACAATTAAATCTTATCCCTTCGATTCAGATCTCGCCGAAAGTTACAAAAATAAAAGTCGTACTAACAAAAAAAAATTAAACTCTTTCCCCGTACTAACATTTCATTGACTGTCAATTGATTGAAAATCTCTGAAGTAGAAAAAAAAAAAGATCTTTAAAATGTCTAACGTGGCCATGTCATCAAAATTCATAATTGATAGTATGTTGCCCAAATATGCCCACCAGTTTCAACCATTTATCAATTCCCATCTCAATAATCAAACATCAAATACGAATTCGAATTCAACAGTGTCACAAACCCCTAATTCTGAAGGTAGTCCGTTAACTGGTAGTGAAGAAGGTAGCCCAAATTCACCACCGACTAGTAAAATGTATCCATTTGTATCAAATCATCCATCGGCGCACACGAGCTATCCATCGATGCCAGGATTTTCCGGTTTAGACGATAAATCATGCGGGTAAATGCTTTTATTTTGTTTTGTTTTGACCAAACATTTATATTTTGCACAAAATTTCATAAAAAAGAATTTTTTTCTCTCTCGAAATGTTTTTATACACGACAATGGAAAATGGCGTTATCTTTTACGAGCTTCGTCCCTTGTACACACTCATTAATGTTGTTTGTGTAACACTCATGAGTTAGTTAACATCATGATAAAAATGTTATAAATGGAATGAACAAGTGATGGTTTGAATTTTTATTTCACGACGCAAAGGGGTAAAGAAAATTAAGATTTTTTCTTTCCAACCAAAGGCCCGTCGGAAAACCGAAACGAATGTTGATTTTCAAACCGCATATTCATATCTAAGTGTGGGAAATTTCCGTCTCGCTACCATGTAAACGCGTGTGCATTACCTTCTAATAGTTCGCTTTTTCCCTTTTTTATATGAAAATGAAAGAAAAATGTGAAAAATTACATAAAATTTATTACAATTCGACTTTCATAAATTACCTTGTAATGTGCCTTCTTATTTCTTTATCATTTCCCTTCTTTCACTCTCTTACCCATTTTTGAGAACGTACTCGTGTATTTAAATGCGCGCGGAGAGATAAAAGATAACGCCATTTTCATAAATTTAGCCCTCGATTTAAGAACTCGACTTCTCGTTTGACGCTTTTTGCTTTATTTAATTTTGTTTCTGATTTTTTTTTGTTTTTGGATTCTTTTATGAAGCGAGAACTGGTTCGACGGAATCGAAGGTTAAATGAATAAATTTGAAAGCTAAGAAAATCTCGAAAGAAAAATGATCGTGAAAGAGTTATTTTATGCATATGTAAACGGTCTTTTCTCTTTTATTTTATTTAGTCGTTATTCAGAAAGCGTCATGAATAGTTATCCGTCGATGGGCAGTGCCTCGAGCATTGCTCAATTTTATCATCAAGCAGCAGCCGTTTCCGCAGCCGGTGGTGTTGGAATGGACACATTAGGCAGTGCATGCTCACAACTTTCATCGGGTGCCCTGTCATCAGTTGGCTCCGGTCAAGCTCTTTCAGAAATCACACGACATCCATGGCTCGTTCCCACTGGTGAGTTTCAATCATTTGCAATTAGTTTAAGTAAATTTCTATCGCATGCATCCAACATTACTCACTCAATGTTTCCACCCTTTTCAATAATTTATGATCGTTTGGAAAATTGCAAAAGCTATGAACGTCACGTCACGGTTTTCATGTCAATATTCATCAATATTTTATTTTTTTCCAATTAAATCATAAACGCACTCGTATGGAAAAAGCAGTTAATTGCTTTTTAAATAATAGTTCATCATATGTAGCAGGTTTAGAGTTCTCCTGCCTTTTTTTCATTTTTATTTCCTTTTTACGTGATATTTTTACTACTATTTTGACTATGACTTTTACGACAAGAGTTTTTATTGCCTATTATATGGCCTATAATTCTAAAATAATAAATGTCGAGTGTGAGTTTACCATCAAAAACTGCAAACTACAAACAAATAAACTAATAACTCGACTTTAAGATAATAATATAATTTCGTAAACAAATTATTATGTTTTTGTTATCCAATGATCGGAGAGTTCTCTGACTCTTCATTCACAAACTAACTAAATATTGCACATTGTACATATCACAACATTCGAATCTGATTTTATTATCTATTTAATGATTTGGCTTTTCTTTTTTTTTGTATACTCGCTGGTTTTTTATTCCGCTTGATGACACATAAACATCGGGGTAGACACACGATAATAGACGATAAAATTACGTCATATACGAGAGAAAGAGCGGATTGAGTGCGATTTTCGACGAAAGCCATTAACGAAACATATACGAAAAAAAAATTTTCATTCATAGCTATTTTATTACTTTTATATGTTCCTGCTCGTCTTTTGATTCATTTGGTTCGTCGCTCTTCGTTCCATCAAATATGTCACAAAATAAAAACATTTTTTTGATCATTCACTGCACGCGTATCACGAAGAAAAAAAAATATGAAAAAATGAAGATTTCCTTAAGCGCTTTTGGGTGCGAGAAGCGAGAGTCAAGACGCGATATTGAAATATTTGACCATGTTTTAAGCGTTCAAGGTTAGTTTTTATTTTATTTTGTGTACGATGTGGAGAAAAAAGCTAAACTTTTGATGACTTTCATGTTTCTGAAGTCTCGAGACAGTGAGAAAACATTCAAAAAAATAAAATAAATGAGAGAAATGAAGGAACACCAAAATACTTATAATCAAAATGTCTGCACCAGCGATTCTCAAATGTATCAAATGAAACAAGTTTTCACCTTTATTTTCTCATCTTCAAGAATTAATTTTTTATGTGTTTGAATAAGATGAGATGAGAGTAGAACATTTATTTAAAATGGCGCTGATTGTAATGTTTTATGGTATCTAAAATGGTTTTATATGCTAAGACGTATTTAGGAAAATTTGGAATTTCAATTATTTAGATTTCGGCCATAAATTTTCTTTTCTTTTGCGCCTTTTCATTCTCATTTCGCTGCCGTCAGCAAAACGTACACGATGAATACTTCGTGCAATTGAAAAAAATTAAATTAAAGCTCAAGATTTATTGTTCTTGAACATCAAAAAAATAAATTAAATAGATTAAGCACTCACGCTCTCTCGAAGCGCTGAATTCACTGTGCTGGATTCGTTTTCTTTATGATTTTTTCTTTCCTCGTGAACATGAACCCAACAGCGATAAACTACTTGAACTTCATTGTATGCGGATGACGAAATATCACCCAAGCTGATGAATATGTAATTGTATAATAATTCAAAATTGTTATGATAGCAATGAAAATTAATTTAAATTAAAAATAATTGCTAATCGTGTCTTATCTCGCTTTTTGGCGTTTATATAAACATTTACTACTGTCAAGTGGTCGTAAGAATTCGTGATTCCGTTGACTTTGATTTTCTTAATCTACAATTTCAGTCTTTCTTTACTTTTTTCACATTTTTTCGTTGATTTATTCAACAAATGTTTCTGATTATTCGAGTACAACACTTTGAAAGAATTATCTAACGCATTGTCGTAGCTTAAATTGATTGAAATTATGTCATTCACTCGACTGACTATTAAATTTAAATCTTTTCTAATTCGATTTCATTTCATTTTCCTTTCTTTATTCTTCTCAAAAATAGATTGGATGAGCAACCCCTTTGATCGTGTCGTCTGTGGAGATTTTTCAGGTAAGCAATTCAACCTTCTTCCTTCAAAGTCAAAAAAACAAAACAAAACTTTCTTCATCGCCATAAAAAAGAAATCTTTCGTTCTGTTCGATAGTTTATCGATTCGATTTGTTTTATGACAATAATTTATGCTGTCAACAAATAATAAAAATAAACTTTTAAATACAAGAAACAACAGGCAATGGGACATAAAAGTTCCTTCTATAAACTTTTTCTTTCGGTGAGATCGTCATTGAGAAACAATTCGAAAAAAATGTGGAAGAAAAGAAGAAAAAATTCTCGTCAGTCGACTACCGACGGTCAAACCTGATTCGATGATTGGAAGCAAAAAAAAAGATGTTCAATGTTGCGTGACAAAAGAGAAACGTTTTTAATATGAAATGTATTTTTATAAGGAAAATTTCTCGACTTCGCTGTCCATAGAAAAGCAAAAGCAAAATGTCTTCTGCGTTCACAATTTATGGATGATGAAGGAAAACCCTTAAGAGCTGAAAGCACAAGGAAAAAAAAACTAATAAAGTGAAAAACTTTCACATCATAAAATACAGCACAAACTTGAATTTTACGACCGTTCACAAAAAATAAAGAAAAGGAACGCAAATAAATGAATTTCTGATGCTAACGACCAGTTTATTCCTTTTTTTTGTCATGTTTTGGTACAACAAGAGAAGTTACGAACGGAGAAATTTTTGAAACGAGTTCAAAAACCTTTTTTATTCTCTAATTTAAATTAAAGTTCTATTATTTATTAACCCATCGCCTGCTCAATATATTGAAACCACTGACAAACACTCGAAGTCATCTCCATTCTCTGCTATGTCGGTAATTTAATACCAGAGACCATTTCAGTGTTAGGACGATAGTACCCAGAACGGCCATTACTTTTATGCTTTATTTGAACGAAAAGAAGGAACTATGTGGTCTATTTTAATGTGCGACTAGAGTGTGATGCTTAAGGGATGTAAGAGAAAAACGAAATAAAAAAAAGAAGAAGAAGAAGAAGAAGAGAAATAAATAAAATTAACCATTTTACGATCTTCTTCTCTCGTACGCCTCAAAATGTCCATAGAACGCCGTCGAGTTAAACAACAAAAAAAAAAGACAGAAAAATTCGATAAATCATGAACACAAACAACAGAAATGTCAAAATACGTATTAAGTTTATTGTTGAGGCACCTTTTGTGTCTCTCGCTAGAAACGTGGAATTTTACTTTTGACATGATTTTTTGATGCTAAAAGAAGCTGACGATCGAGCGTGTTGCTTCTCGGACAATTTCAGGTCGTAATATTTAAGTTGGCAATCTCTTTGAAGTTTGTCGTCGTGCTCGGTTTTTAAAACACTTGAATAGCATAAGATGAAATGTTACTGAGACAAATCGCATTCTTGAAGCCACAGCATTGGCACTTAAACGTTTGCAATATGTTATTAATGCCTTTTTATTGCCTGTTTCTAAATTTATTGGGCATCACAAAAATGCAATCTCCGACAGCAGGGGGAAAGAGGTTTGGTTTGACTAGAAAGGTTTGGTTGGAGGACCCGCTCGTATCGGAATTTGTATCTTCTCTCTTTTTCTTTTTCATGCCGGTTTATCAATCACCAACCGCAAGAAAACAAAAAAAAAAGAAACAAAAAACGACCACGGAAGAAACAAAGAAACGAAAATTCAACCTTAAAATGGACTCTAAGAAATGTTTGAAAATAAAATCGTCATTGCTTTATTAAAATCCACATATTTATATTCAAATCATTCGATTTTATTTCAAGATTTTATTTTTAAGGCATCGTTTCTCGTTTTCGAGACATTTTGATGAACATTATTTGTTTCATTTGTATCTTAATGCTTTCATTCGTTTCTTTCTCTTCTTTTTCTTATAAATAAATCCGCCAAAAACTAAGAGAAAAAAAAAGTATTTTGTCGAAAACAGAAAATGTTGTTGGCGAGTTTAGGATTATTAATCATTCGTAATACTTTTTATAAGCCTCATAATCGTAACAATTCAAATAAAAGTCATTACGCCGGCGAAAAAAAATACCATTTTTATAACCGTTATTATTTTAATTGATTTTATGAATATTGAAACGGTTATTGCCACACATTTATTAGAGTGAGTAGTCATAGATTACGCAAGTTATATACTAAACATCTCCCTTGCTTCCGCACACATGACTCTCTGTTGTTGATGTTAAGTAGCTCTGAACATATTACAGACATTATGGGATGTTAATATGACTGTTTTTAGATATTAGCTTTTTATAAATATTTAAATAGAAAACTTTTTCTAGTTGCAAGAAACATGAAGATGTGCAACAACTTCAACTCAACTGTCTAAAATCACTCAGTAAAATTTTATTAAATAAGCTAAATGTGGTGATTGAAAAACCGGATGAACCATCGAAAAATAAACATTTGAAGGATCAGCAAACTAATTTTAAATTAACTTGCCGATTGAATTAATGTGCAAGTTGAAAATATTTGTTTTATTTAATAAAATAGAGAAATTTCGTACTCAGATAGCATAAATTTTAATTTTCAATTCCTCTGCGGGAACATGCTTTCATATTCATTTAACACGATGAGCATTGATGTTAAGGAAAGCAAAAGAAAGGGAAGAATGTTAATTTCAAAGCTTGTAATTGCTTGAGATACCGAACGATGTGAAATTCACCCTCAAAATGCAAACAAGAATTTTACTATCCTTGATATCTTCTTCGCCCTTTTTACACGAACACAAAGAAGGTTTTTAATGTAAAAAATAATAATCAGACCAAAAATATCCTTTAACGTGTTTGTTTTATATGCTTCGATGTTCAGCAGAGGCGGAAATATGCGAAAGATACTCTTTTGTGTATGATAAAAAGTCATTTCAACCATTCTCTAGATGACTTTTTTCCTCGCTTTTCTTTCTCTTCTTCTTGCGTGTATTTTTGCGAACAAGCTAAAAAGCATTTTAAGCGCTATGAGGCATCATGAGGATGTACAAAGTTGAATATTTTGAACATTACCATACATACTGAACTCTCGCTCCTTGCCTCGAAAAACATTCCAACGATGAGAGTTGAATTGGAGAGGAGAAGAAAAAAAAAACATAACGAAACGTACGAAAAAAGGGGACTCACTCGACGTCTATATTGCTTATGGTTATATTCATGATGCCATTTTGATTATTTTATTCTAGTCCAACTATAAAAATAAATTCTTATAGCGAATAAAAAAAATATGCACATTAATTTTTCCTTTCTCTTCTTTCTCTCTTCGTCACTTTTCCGACTTCATTGTTTTTAGTGTTTTTCGATTTTTATTACTTCCGATTTTCATCGTAATTTAAAATAATAATATTAAATGAAAATTCTGTATAATGTCTTGCTGCGAGAATGAAAGGAAAGGAAAAGAAAAATGAAAACTTCTTGTTTTTATAGTTTTTCATTATCCAGTCGTTTCGCTATTCGCGTGCCTACTTTAATACTTTATTTATATCGATTATCAATCAAGAAATGAGAAATTAGAAGTCTAGAATAGTTTTGCCTGTGTGAGAACCATTCACTCCCATCTCAAATTACAATTTACGAGCATTTTTCAATTAAACATACAATTGTAATAAATAACACAGCACCGGAGAACGATGGATTCATGTTGTTTAACGCATCGCAAAGGGAATATCTCGTAAATTTTTACAATATTTACTTTTCATATTCGCAGCACGTACTAATACATTTTATATCATTTTTCCTTCGTTCCTCATGTTCATATATTTTATAAATAAAATATCAAGCGTATATATGTTTGTATGTACATGATATACCATAAAAACAATAAAACGAAGCATAAATATTCCTGGTATGCTGTGATGTGAATATTGGAGACCAAAACGAATATTATAGGAAAGAATGTTACATGTGAACGAAACTTCATCATTGCAATTGTGAATAGGCTCAAATCGTCTACAAAATTAATTTGAGATTCATAAAGTTAATGAGAAGTGCTTGTTGGAACATACAAATCTTCTTCTTCCATTTCCTAGAAACTTTTTTGACAGTAATGTTTTCGCATACAAAATAATTTTATCATAAATAAATATTGAAATATCGTCCATTGTTCTCTCCTACATAGCATGCCTTCAATGGCTTTGTTTAAAATTAGATTCTTACTCCCTCTTAAGAGGCATTAAAATCGTGAATTATATTTCCCGGTGGACCCAGAACAAAAAATACATTTGTTAATATAAATATTCGAGCAGAAAAAAAATGCTTTTCAAGACAATAAATTCATTCCTTCCTTCTTCAAAAAAAAAGAAAGAAGAGAAAGAATGAACATCCCTTATCCGTGAAACCATGAGGGAGAAACGAAGATGAAGCAAACCTTGTAAACATCTTGACGAGGAAGAGAAAATATGGCAGATAACAAAAGCCAGTACACTCAGATATCAGATGCAACACACTGATGCTTATGATCCGTATCATATATTTACGCTACGAAGCCATTTCTCTTCTTCTTTTTCCTCCTTTTCTCTTACTGCCACTGCTGCTGTAATACATCGGTGTAATCCAATTACCATAAATTTAATTTCAAACTTTTGTTGGGGGAGGTATAAAGTAAAGGAAGAAATTGCAGAAGCGAGAGACAATAAAAGAGTGTTTTCCATATTGTTTTTAGTGTAATTTATTATAATGGTATTAATGTGTAATTGCTTACCATAGGTGCCAAGCAATTTTCAACTTTTTCCAAAGGGAGTGAAGAAAGGAAAAGAAAGAAAAGTTGAAATCTTGCGCCTTTCGTTTAAGGCTGGCTTTTCGGATAAATTTGTCACAGTTAGGTACAAATGTCTTTTCTCATATATGATGCTTAAGAGATTATATTAAAGCTTAGATTTTATGCACATGCTAATGGGCTGATTAGTTAGTTTCTTTCATTTTCCATAGTCATGAAGTTAAACTCAACATAATTTATGGTCTCACTTTACCCATTCCTTTCGATAATACCATAATTTTGAAGCTTTGTGACATTCAATTAGCTGACAAACGCCACTGGAAATACCAACATGGGTTTTGAGAAGAGAAGAATGTTGAAGATGAAGCACTTTGGGGAACTGCGTCATCGTAATTTTAATTAAAATCAACGATCATTGAAACTCGTGTTAAGTATCATTTGAATGTAAACTTCATTCGTTGTTTAGTATTTTCCTTTCTCTTCACTCCATTCTTCTAATAAATACACGCTTATGATTTGATGAATGTTTATATATCAAAGAGAAAGAGAGAAGAGAACACTTTGAATAATTAATCACTTTGTTGTATTTAAGTTATAAATATTTACATGACGAAAATTGTTTATGAAGCAATAAACACATGAAATTTGTTTAACATGATCATATTGCGTGGTTTTAAAATGTAAGTAGTTAAATATACACACATCGTCTTAACATCGCCAATAATGAGCGATTTGAAAGTGAGTTTTGAAGTGATAAAAATCAAATTAACTATTAAATAAAGCTCGATGATAGAGACGAAACACGATAAAGTTTCGCAAGAAAATGATTCTCATAAATAGCCAAAAACTCATACTTAGCAAGAAAAAAAACTTTAAAAATAAAAATTGATGTAACAGTTCGTAAGCTAATTAACACCGTAAAACCCAACAAATATCCATGAAATTGAGCGATTTAAAGGCGCTGTGCGAACGATTGGAGGGAGTGCGAGAAGCGCGAGCTGAAATTTTCTTCATAAATTAAATTGAAACTTTTCTTTCTTTTTTTTTCTTTTCTCTTTTTGTAACGAATGAAAAGCATAAATTCTTCACCTTGGAAATTCTTTTGGATTACATTGAGACGTTTTCCATTAAAAACTTAACATAAATTTATTTGACTTTTGGAATTGTATTATTTTTCGAGATGAGAAAAGACAAACTCAGCAGTTAATCGTCATTATTCTGTTCACTGAACTGTTGGATTTGTTTTCTTTTCCGTTCCATCTTTATGTTTTTTATGCTCGTACATATCTATCGGAAAAAAAAGAAGTTGGACGACGCTCAAGTCGGAATCAAGGGTGAAAATATATTTAAATGGATGTGTATGTGGTTGCCATAGAAACTCAAACTCCCGTGATTCAGGAGACGTGTGTTGTTGCTGTGTTCTTTTTTTCCTGCTAGGTAGAAGGTTTCCTAGATGTTTTAATGGCTGCGCTCCTCCCCTACAATACGCTACGCGCACACTGGGGGTGAACAAAATAATTTTTTCCCAGCAGAGTTTTCATTAAAAATCTCATTTAATTCACATTTGATTCTGCTCTAAAAGAACTCTATGCTTTTTAATTGGATTTGCATAGCATGATTGCATTAGCGATAAAATATGGATTTTAATTTAAATTTTAATTTGGAGATTTGCGTATTCATGATAAAGAAAAAATTGCGGCAAAATTTTGTGTTTTTTTTCTCTTCATATGCTGATAATCTTATCGAATGTGCGTAACTTTTTCCACATGACAATAAAAACCATTTCTGGAAATAGACATTGACGGAAATGGAAGAAAAAGAAGAGAATGGAAACGAAATGAAATGTAATAAAATTTCCTTCTTTCAAGGAGAAAGTCATAAAAAATTAAATTGCAAGCGGAGCATAATGTTGAACGCTAAAAGACAACAGAAAAAAAAAAGTTTTAGGCATTTTTATTTCTTCTAACAATGCCAATCCATCAATGTGCGTTGACAACAGAAGAGAAAGCTTGAAAGAAAAGATAAAACAACCTTAAAAAGGATAAGAAAACCCTTTGAGTGTCCTTTACGGATGAAATCGTTATTTTTGTGTTGTGATAAAGCAAACTAGGATCCAGGGATCCTCGAGAGAAAGCGACAGAAATGAACGAGAAATCTTTTGTATAATGTTGGAGAAAGTTTGCTTTTGCCGGTCGTTTACGTAAACTATCGCAAGATATCTTTGTACATGGTAAATAAACCCTTTTCTTCTCCTTCTCCTTCAACAACTTTTTTCCAAGGAAGTTTAATTTAAAAATTCATTTCAAAAAGAGAAAGTGGCAAGAAAGACTTAAAAGAAATTTCTTAAACCATTTCTTATGTTCTAGGTCCAAATGGTTGCCCAAGAAGACGTGGTCGTCAAACCTACACTCGTTTTCAAACGTTGGAGTTAGAGAAAGAGTTTCACTTCAACCATTACTTGACACGTCGAAGACGTATTGAAATTGCACATGCTCTTTGTCTTACCGAACGACAAATCAAGATTTGGTGAGATCATTTAATGAATTCATTAACATTCAAATTAAAACAAAGTTTTGTTTATTTTCCCAGGTTCCAAAATCGTCGCATGAAGTTAAAGAAGGAATTGCGTGCAGTTAAAGAGATCAATGAACAGGTAATAAGATGAAACCGAAGTCAACTTGACCATAATTTGCATAGATAATTACAAATTATTACCCTTGGCCAAGACTGAGAAACAGAAGCCTTAAACCAACTTCATACAAGTTTCCTTACAAGTGGTCTGCCCATGCTGTGAATAATGCAACAATTTTGCTGTAAATATAATTGCAGCTAACATGTAGAGAAGATTCAAAGATAATTTGCATATAATCACAGCTTGGACTTCTTCTCTTCATGATCATTGTTGTTGTTATCCAATTTATCTTGTCTAAGTCACTTAAATTATGATCATCCCACACTTTCTTTTCGGTCATTATGGAATTTATTTCATTGTTGGATGTTGTCTATGGATTTTATTTTATTTTATTTACTTTTTTGATCATTTTAATGAAAAATCAATAAATTTCAATTTTTTTTTTGTTTCTTCAATAAATTGAAACGAATGAAAAACAAAAACAACAAAAAAATAAAACAGGCGAGGCGTGAACGCGAAGAACAAGAGAAAATGAAGCAAGACTCAATAAAATCATCCCAACAACAACAGCAACAGCATCATAAGACACAACAGCAACAACAGCAAGATCATGCTGCCATACTGTCATCGCAGAATTCTCATGGCCATGGACCACATAGTGGACATGTTGGAAATCATAACGTTGGCGGATTAGTTGGCAACCATTTGCATCATCCGTCATTAGTACAAAATGATTTGAAATTAGGATTAGGTGGAATGGGCGGTGGTCTAGGATCGATGAGCATGATGGGACAATTGGATAACAAGAATCAAGATCTTTTAAAGGCAGTCAGCAAAGTCAGCTCATAAATTATCAAATGATTCCGTCAAATAAATAACAAAAAAAAATCATTGCAAGTGCAAGTGACAAAAAAAAAATCATTGCAATAAAAGTATTAAGCGCTGAATCTCAAAAGAAACAACTTCATGATGAAAAATGAAACTGCACGCAATGACTTATCATAAGAAAATCTTTTTCATTTCTCTAGTAAACGTAAAAAAAAGAAATAATAGCCATTTATGTTGCTCTGAGTGATTTCCCAGAAGCAATTAATGATTTGAGTGCACAGACTTTTAACAAAAAATTATAACTTAAAAGTCAATGCAGGAAGAAAAAGTCTACAATGATGGATTAAGAATGCCGTTAAAAATATGAATAACAAAAAAAAGAAAGTAAATTCACTGATGATATGCGAATACGTACTAGAGTTAAGCAAGCTAATAATTCTCTTTTGGAAACTGTTCAAACTTAGATGACGATTTAATGAAAAAGAAAAAAATAATTAAGAAAATTGGTTCAAAGTTATGTGAGGAATCTAAAAAAAAAGGTCAAAACTTATTAAAAAAAATAATTCAATGATTAAATGGATATTCTGAAAATTTATTTTAGTTGTCGTACTGATCTTTGGTGACATTTGATCGAAAATCTGAGAAATACTTTTAGTAAAAAAGCTTGCAAGAAAGATATTTTCGAGAAGACGGTAGCTTTATGTTTACACAGCTTATGTTTAATTAATAATTTTATGCAGCTTCCCCTACCCAGTGTCAATTTAATTTCTTAAGCCATAAGTTTATGTTAAGTTTTCATTAGCTTTTCGTTTTATAAATATTCTTCTCAAATTGTTTTTATTGTTCACTGAGTGCAATCACGAGAAGTGAATTGAAGTGAATTTTCTTCAATCCTAGAAAAATTCTTTACTTCATGTACTCAGTAAATTAGCGGAAAAAGAGTTTACTTAAATTATACTTTCTAAATTTATCTTGTGATTTCTGAAATGTTTCGGATATGAATTTATTTTAGTTAATGTTTCATCCTTCTTTCTTCTCGTATCTACTTTAGTTTAATATTATTTACTGTAAAGTTCTTTTTTTTTATTGGCAAACAAATTAATTTTAATAAAAGAAAAATCTTTTTAAAACTATTTGTAAGTAAATATTTATGTTTTCTTGCTTTAATGAGCTATGAATGGTTGTGCAAATGTATGATGTGCCAAGAATGAGAAATTTTCTAGGGATTGAGTGAATGAAAGGTATGAGAAAATATTATTTCGTTGTTATTCATGATTTAGCAGTCAACAATTCTTACCCTTTTTGAAAATATCCAAATCTTGTCAGTTATTTATTTATAAAATATATAAAAGTTTCTCGAACCGAAACTCAGATGTATCCGTCTTAATTAGAAGAACATAAATATTAAATAACTTTCATGGAGAAAAACTTCGTTGATGACTACTTTGTATCATATTTTTCTATTCATATATTATGGTCTTATTAACTAGAGCTACACCTTAATACAGTAATAGATTTGTAAGTGTATCATGTAATGAAAAGTTCAATGTTTTATCATCGAAATGATTTATTGTAGAATTTTTATCGAAGGTTTCATGGGCTACGAAGATCATATAATGGATATATAAGATTTAACCTTATGTAGACACAAACACACAATAGTCATACCAGGTTCCCTAAACTATAATAAATTTCATAGCAAAGCTAAAAAAAACTTCTCCAACATTAATAAGATAAATTAAAGTATATAAACATGAGAGAAAATTTAAGAGCACAAAAAAATATTTAAACATTATATACGTAAAATATAGTCAGGGTAGTCTTTAACTCATTAATTATTCTGATCAGAAAGTTATTCGAGAAAATAAATATCCACCCACGTGAGATCAAAGTTTGAATGTTATTTCGTGGATAAAATCAACAACATTTCGATCTAAATTTATTTATTTTCTCGAGATAAAAATCTAATTATTTAAACGATTTGAAAGATCTAGCGTAGTATCATAGGTTTAAGTGCTATAGTTGCTTCCAATTAAGAAAAGAAATAACATATAAATTGAGTAGATATTTCCTTTTCTTTATTTTTTATGCTTCAACTGTCTTAATTTTTGAGTGGTAATCGATTTTTCACATGTTCGTTCATTTTAATTTGTACTTTTTCATCTTGAATTTCATAAAAATATCTTCGAAAGAATCAATGCTAACTGTTTATTAAGTTGTTTATTAATTAATTCTGTTGCGAATATTTGTTCATCTTATATTAATAACTTGAATTTATTTTCAACTTCAGACGTTTTAAAAAGTGAAATAAATTTTCCAAATGCATACAATGTATATAAGCTTGAAGTGAATCCATTTAACAATCCCACATAATTGTAATATTGCAGACGAGGTTGATAGTTTTTTATTCGTTTACACAGAACAAGTTACGTTAATTTTTATTATGCGATAAAATTTTTATTTGAATGGAATTCACATTTCCTGGCTTGCATTATTATTATTAACATTATTACGATAATATCACGTGAACCTGTTCGTAGTCTATGTTGCAAAAAAATATGTGTTTGACCCTCAATTAACATTTTTTTTAATTCTTTTTTATAATTTACGATGTGTCAGAAAACAAAATTTTATTTCATGACTATAAAAGTTTGACACTGTTTTAAATGAGCTTTTAATATTTGATTATTCAGTTCTAATGATAATGTCAAAACCTTTTTTCACCTATTTATAAGTACATCAGACATATTCACTGATTTATAAAATTAGCCAGTTAAACGAAATTGCAATGTATAAAATAAATATTCCCTAATTGTAATGAAGTAAGAAATAAAAATTAAATTGAATGTGTAATTGAACCATTTTGTGCTAACTGACGTTACGAGATATTGATTCAAATGTCGGTTCTTTTGTACTTTAGATAATTTAAATAGAGAGCAAAACGACGATTAGGTCGCAACACCTTACAGCTACTCGTGTCGAGCAACATTAATAAAGACACTTTATGCGAATGCTTGTATGAATGACGCTAAGAGTGTGATATTTATGACCTTACATTGTATGAATGAGTCTCTAAATGAAAGCGAGACGTCGAAATATGCAATGATCATTAGGTCAGCAATAACACTTTGAAATAACTATCAACAATATAATCCAAAAATTTATTCACTATGCAAAATAGCTTCATCTTTGTTAAAAGCCCCGTAAAAGAAATACATAATGACAATGTTATATATTTACTATCTAGGAGTTCTTCATGTCGCATCCACAGTAGAAGAAGAAAAAATAAATAAACGCATGAGAAACCAGAAGGAGAAAAAAAAATGTTCGCTCAACTTCAACACGACATTGTAACAACTCGACTCATAAAGACACAATATCACGTTTGTAATAATTTTCGGTGCTGAAACTGAATGACCAATGTCGGGTTGTTTTTGCCTGTTCTTGCTTTTCAAGAGCAGACATCATTTTCCTGCAGTTGAATTTGTATACAATGAAATAAAATTATTAAAATATGTTCGTGCTTCAATTTTCTTTTGGTCGTTTCTCCAAAGATTTCCCAGTGAGAAATATTTGTTGAATCTTTTTTCGTCTGCAAGGTATAAAGGCAATCGAATTTCAGTTTAAACTCAACAAGATTTCTGCATACTTTACACATCATAAAATCACGAAATTTCACACTGGGCTTAAATCCAAACAGAAACATATTTACACGAACAACAAAAGCATGAAACGAAAGCCTCTGAAGTGAAATAACCTATCCCACGAGCACAGTCACGCTGTCAAACAATCTTTGTTTTTTATGTCTCAAATATCTTGAAATATTATGATAATTTGTTTTTAATTCTGAATTGGCATGAGATGATTTATCGCATACTTCAACCGCAGAAACCATTATAAAATATGCATATTAACAGTGGTGTTGTCGTTCTGTTTATGTTTGTTTTTCACAGAGCTTATCTGAGTCAAATGTTTCGTGCTAGCGGTGAATAAAGAAACTTTCACGTTGTTTTTTTACACCCAATTATATCAGAACATATTGCAATTAGACTCCATGGACAAATAAATTTAAACGAATTATTTACAGGGTCCAAAGCCCATTCATTTGTCCACTGTTCTTTCAATTAAATTGTCATAAATAAATTGATAAATATTGCAACAAAAACTGAAGTCATTTCGACATAAATCTCACTCACAGTGTGTGCATTTACCAGTGAGCTGCAATTTATCCATGAACATGTATCTAGATGATATTTTTTAAACAAGTTTGAACTCTTTTGTGCACGCAGTTCATAAATTACTTTATATCACTGACACAAATTTACGTTAACATGTTTTTCATTTTTGCGTTCGATGTCGTTATCAAAAATGCATATTTTAATTCTTTTAATGGAAGACTGATTAAATATTTGAATCTTTGTAGATGAAAGAAGAAAGACGAGATTTGATTTTCCTACCATGAAACATTTTATCTCACAAAGAAAAAAAACAAAAACATTTTTATTTCTCTCTAATTTAAGCCAAAACGTGATGTTTATTGTTTTTTTATTGATCGTTAATTCCAATTAAATATCTGGTTATATTTCAATTAAGATTTCCCTAAATTTTCTTTTAAGCCAAAGTAAGTAATCGATAATTTTTATTTTTAGCTGAAATTTAATTTCACTGTTGTTCTCATCGCAAAGTGGAATTTTATATCCTAAAGATTCTCATCTTTTATGTAACAAGGAAGCCTCCCAGTAAAAATAATTTCTTTAAGTGTTTGACTTTTCTTTTTTAACAGTTGCTTCGTATCATGAGAAATCAACACTCATCTCATCGTAACAAACCAGCAGTTAGGCAAATAAATAAAGTGCCGCAATAACAATTTCTCCTTTTTAATTTACAAATGTACAACATAAAGTTGGAATATCACAATCCGAAAGAATCTCAGATATGCTTTTCAAGCCCCCAAAATACGAAGCCAGAAAATTATTAAAACTATAAATTTTCATGTTCTAAATTAATGAATGAATGAATCTTCACTTTTCTCAAAAAGCCATTGTGATATGTATGAAAGGAGACATTTTAAAACATTTCTCTCTCTTCCCCTTTCTTCCTTTCTCATTTCAAAGCCGAATAAATTTGCAATTTCGACATATTTTTGTGACATTTTGATATTTATGGCATTAATATTTTTCTCTTCTCCCTTTTTTTTTCTCTTTTATGTCCCATAAATGTATATAAAAGTTCTCGCATAGCTCTACAGTCAAGTGGAAGCATAAATGATATTGCCAACAGATAATTTTAAAAGAAAGTTAATTCAATTAGGCGTGCATAAGCATAGTGACTGAATGAGAGCTGGAAAGATTACAAAATGGCATATTTAATTGAGATTGTGTCTGATACAGAATCCTCAAGAGAATTAAGAATTTGAGATGGAAATTTCACAATGTTTCCACACATTTCTTTCGATGGTCCAAATCGAGTCCTGTATCCTGTATTTATAGCTTTATTTTATGTGCTTCATTGATTTTTTGACACCACCAGATGAACTCTATTCGGCATGCGCTTATCGTCTTCAGATGTTCGATACATTTGGTACATGTACCATATAATTCAACTCAAGTGCCTGGGAAAATATTGTGAAGACATGAAAACCATTTACATTTCCTCTGGTTTTTCCTCTTAAATGCTTTCCGTCATCTCAACCAATAATTCTTGTTTAGGTCGCTTTTTGAAGAGACATTTAGGGAAAATTATGATTTGATCGACTCTTATTATTTAAGGCGATGATTTTCCTTTCAAGAACATAACTGAACGGCTTTCACTAAATTATTGCTGATGGAAGAATTCGAGAATTCGAGAATTCTTTTACATTGACATTGAGATTAACTAATCTTTTGATGACGTCATTTGTCTCAATCTCACTCTCTCCCACTATTAAGAAAGAAAAATAAAATAAAATTCATCTCGAGAAGAAAATAATTTAAAAGGTTCAAGAAACACAAACACGGCAATCAAATGAAAGTAATTTTTATCAAGGAAATAAGGAGAAACATCTTGAAATTATTATACCCTTAATTAAATTCTGGTTAATTAATTTCAATTACATTTTTGAAATATTTTTGCCTTGTGTAAGTTTTATGGTTTTTTAATTAGATGAAAGATCGTTTTAAGCGAATCAATTTTCGTAATTTATGCGATGCCAATTTATCTTAATGAATGTCATTTAAATATTTGCATTAAATTCATTTCACTTGCCGAGTTTTGTTACCACCACATGTTGTGTGTCGTACTCAAACATTTTTCAGTGTTTCTTTTCATTCTGCAACGATGTAAGAGAATAAGTAAAAATATTTTTTGTCTTTCTCTGATTACAAATGGCCGAGCGACAATCGGGGCGGTATTCTTATTGGAAAGGTTCACGTCTCGGATAAAGAGGGAACGGGGAACACAATAACAACATTTTAATTTAATTAAATTAATAAATTTAAAGATTCAGAAGTGCGATAGTTTATCAATAAAACCTGAAATTGCAGCGAATAAACTTGAAGTTTACGACTCACTCATTTCCATTTAATGTCATTTGATTAAAATATTTCACATTTTCATGAGCCTTTAAATCGAATCTGAAGTTTTATAAACAAAATTATTGAAACGATTTCAACATTGTAAATACAATTTCAAATAAGGAATTTGATCTCTTCATAATTTATTATCCAATTAAAACGATATCAAATGGAATCACCTTTTAATTTGCTTTCTTTTAATGCTTTTTGCAATATTTTGTGCAGTCAATCGACAATCAGTTTAATATTCAAGCAAGGATTCAACAAACTGAGAAGAATAAACACACGAATCAAACCAGAACGCAACATTGTTTCTCTTAACTGATTTCTGTGCTATCTGTATGTGAGACACTGAATTTAATTTAAATGTGCGATCAAATTTAATAATTCTGCATAAAAATAATTTAATAACATGATTAAGACAAAATTTATGATCACAAAGTTGCATTTAAAAAGTCTTGATAATATTTCAAGATAACAAGTTTGTAAACAGAAGTCATTTTACTTTAAAATCGATGACTCGCAGCATGCCAACGTATTTCGAACTTCAAAATTCTGCAGCAATTTTTTTCTTCTTCTCAAAGATGCCCGTAGTTGTTATGCGCAACTAATGATCTTAGGTAGAAAAAAAGGCTTACAAAAAATATTATTTATCCTCTTCCAAGACGATTTGAATGTTTAAAACTTGAAGACCACCCAAAAGTCTTTTAATGAAAAGCAAACCGCAAATTTCTCACTTTAATTCCTTCACGATACGAAACCGCAAAACGCTGAAAGGCAACTAAACTGCATTCATTAAGAGAAAAATTTACATGGAAATATTTTGCTAATTAAAGCTTACGCGGCAATCTTGATTAAAGCAAACCACAAATTGAATAACGATGCGTTTAATAATTATTAAGAAAAGAAGTGAATGCACATTCAGGCTACAGAATCATTGAAATAAAACACTTCGCTTTATGGAGTAATAAATATAATCGTTAAAGTCGCCATTTCAGGATTTTGCCATTGAAATAATTCAAGTATGATAAAATGATAACACCATATGGTTACCAAAGCGCGATCGAAAGCTTCTTTTTAAGTATCATTCGCTTAAATTTTCTTAAGACCATCAAACGAATTGCTTCGCATAACCAACTTTTTCACACAATAATGTTAATATTTGTGCTTATAATTCCGCCATTAAAACAATAACAGCTGAAAATTAATTGAATTTTAATCTTTTAAGAGGAATCTTAAGAGCTCATTAAGGTTAAAGAAAAAAGATATTTCGGGGAGAAAGATGGAACTCTTAAATCTTCAAGATCTTAAAGTTGTTCTTATACTTAAAAGTAAAAAGTATTTAAGCGAAGAGGTTCACGTTCCTGATCACTTTCAAATCTTTTTACCTGAGATGTGACAGATGTGAAATGGCGATGAAATTTTAGTCAACTACAGGTTTTCCGTAATATCAACATTAACATATTTTCTGCATAATCGGAGAAGAAGGTCGTTATGAACACGAGAGACATTTTGCAATTAAAGTCTACATAACATCAATAGACCATTAAGATTCTCATTTACTGATATCACGCACACAAAACTGTTTCCTTTATTATTCTGTAACAGCTCTCATAACATCATGAAGCATCAATTCATTTAAAATCCATTGAAACTCGGGGGCTCCATTATAGAGAACACATAAAGTGATAAGTGATGATATTTTACTGAAAATGGCTTTTAACAAGAGCAGAATGAAAGGAATGGAAGGAAGTTGAAAGTTAAACATAAAGTAAGGATTCGTTTTCATGCGTGATGCTGTTATCTCTTAATAGTCAGTGCTTAATGTGGAAACAGGAACCCTTACGACAAAAACTTATCAAGTGCCTTAAGCCAGGTTTTAAATTGACGATTCATGTGTTACATTTTCTAACATTTAAAGATTTTTGTTGTAGCAACAAAAAATAAAAGAATTTCCTTATTGCCTGGGTAAATGAAAATAGTCAATGAGAAAAAGCTTCTAATTGCTATTCTACAACAGTCGCTTGAAGATGTGTTATTAGAATCACGATATCACCCTGCTAGATGCCATATGTCGGTTGATTTGTTTGATGCTCTAGAAATCTAATAATCATGGAATTTGCATTGAATTATTTGAATGTCGTTTGTTCTAAATTGCATGACCGTCCCAGTTTCAAAAGCATTACAATTAAAAATGGATGTTAGATAAAATATTTTGCCACGATATCGTTTCTTTCAGTAGATAAATCATAGATCGACATCTAATGAAGCAGAAGGGAGAAGTGAGATGGAATGTCTTCCGCATGTGTAACTTAGGGTGAACTGCTGTTTATTCTTCATTTCCGAGATAATTTCTTGTTCACTGTCGGAAGAGTAAAGAGTGAATATAAATATTCTGATCTCATGCTGGCATTTCTCTTTCTTTTATTCCATTATTTATTCGAAAATTTCCTTGCTTTTATATCGTGCTCGATTGCTTTTTTCTCTCCATGGGATCCAATTCAAATATAAATATTTTTCTTTCACGGGGTGTGTATGAGTGGGTTGGGATGGTATTTGGTATTTATGTTGAAGGAAAAAAAAGGGAGCAACGTTGGATACGCAGAAATAAATAAAGAAAATGGTGCATTAAATATTTTTTTATGTCGAGATAGGAGTAAGAAGGTGGAGATGCTAACTCACCTAAGAAGAAAAAAGAAAATCCAAGGAAAGCGGCCTGTGAGCAAACGAATGTATCTCGTGTTCAAAATGAAATTGCAAACAATAAATTTTCTTTTATTGCCGGAAAAGAAAAGAAAAGTTTTTCTTCTGTTTGTTGTATTTGGAAGGAAAGAAATATTTGCGAAGGGTATCAAGAAAGAATGATCATTTTCGAATTAAGGAATGAATGAAAAGGGAAGAAAGAAAATTAAGTTTAGAAAGTTTTAATGGACTTAAATAAATTTGAAGAGAATTTTCCGGATTTTCAACGAATAACGAAGAAAAACTTTTCTTTTTCTTCAGTAAAAAAATAAAACTTGGAATTCTTATTTATGTTTTTATTTCAAATCATTTTGCGTTTGTAAACTCCATAAATGCATGAAGGGTTTTCTCGTTAGCAACCGAACGTTTGCCTACAACGATATAAACGACAATTATAAGAGTCATAACGTATCATTAAAGGATTTAATTTATTTATTTGCTCATTTAACATAGCTTGGATTTAATCATAATGAATGAAAATAAATGCTTAATGCTCCTATGGCGTCGTCGCTTTGAAATTGTTTCTCGACATATTTTTTTATTTTGTATGCTCATGAATTTCATAATAAAGTTATCTCAATTCAGTAACCACATGAGATTCTCGCTCGGAAGCATTGTATATATTTTTCTCAGTACGAAAATCCCATCTGAAATATTCGCCTCGTATATGAGCTTTAGCATCTCTGCAGCAAAATGTTATCAAGAGCTTAAGGCGAGGAAAATTTATGGAAATGTTCAAAAATATAAATTCCAATTTTCACAAGAATAATAATCCAAGATTTCATCTATCATTCACAAACATTCATACCTTTCATCCCAGGGCTTAGCTCGTTCGATGGTAAAGAAAAGTGTTGGATGAATATTTTTCTGTTGAAGTGAAATTTAAAATTCATTTTATGGCCGATGTTGCAGTTTCACTCAGCTTCATATGAGTGGAAAAGATTTTTATCGACTGAAAGAAAAACCAGTATGAATAATTCAGTGAAGAGTGAAGTAAAAGGTCAATCGTTGAAGAAAGGCAAAGGCATGTTGCGTATTAAATAAATGACAGCGGCAAAGGCAACAAAACAGCGTAATAAAAATGCTGGTGCCATTGTTACTTCTCGTTGTCTCATTCCATGTTCGTCCGCAATAATATTTAAGCGAGTATAGAGAACAAGATGACATCCACATACATATAAGCTGATTTCTAATTAAGACAACCATAAAGGAGAAGATATGAAGTCATAAAATTGATTTGTTGAACATCTTAACTTTTTTAATGATCACGTTGTTGAATCTCGAGACGTGAAAGCATTTTATTTACCTCAATGCGCGACACGAAGAAGCTTCTTTAGAATTTATGAATTTGAACAAATTTAGTCATTTTGAATATCTTCTTAAATGAAAATATTGGATACATATTATCATATAACCAAACTAACAGATACAATTCTTCCATCTTATTCTCATGCTTTCAATAAATTAAGATGCCAATAATTTTCTCATCTCTATCTATTGAAATAAATTTCTTATTCATGCTGACATTGTAAAGCCCAAGCCTTCGTATCGGAGTCTCGGAGGCGGCATCCATCTGTTGTTGTCTTCTTTGGTTTCGAAAAACCTCCTTTTTTGTCGAAGGAAAGATTCTTTGAAATGTCTTAATGAATAAAAAGCCAAACGATGGATATAAAAACAATAAATTCTGAAATAAAAGCGATTACAATAAATTTAAATGGTTTATTCATTTGTAACTCCGAAAATGATTGTGTGGTGCCTGCTTTTAATGTCGTATTTGTATCTTAAGCTTTAGTTTCTTTTTTCTCGTTGTATTTCAACATTTCGATTCATTTTCTTAGTGGTTTCTTTTGCAAAATGCCGGCGGATTCCCACAGAGTTATTTTTACGTTCTGCGTATCAAAGAAGTAGAAGAGAAGAAAGTAGAAATGCGATTCACTTAATGCCAAAGCTATTAAAACTATGAAAAATCTATAAAACCAACAGTTTAAATCATAATTTAAAGTGGTCAATAAAAGTTAAACTATTTAAGCAATGTTTATTCGTAGAGAATGCTTAATAAAAAACTCTCTTCGAGCTCGTAAAAAATGTTGTAAAAAATTAATTAAATTCATAAGCTTGTCACATACAACATAATATCGCCATTTTTATGCAAGCCATGCGTCTCGAACAAATAAATAAACATTGGTTAATTAAAGCTCGTTATGAAATGTTGTTCTTTTTTCGCTTTCGAGTTCATTTTAAGTTTTAATGGTTTCACTCATTTGAACTCATTTTACAACATGAAAGAATGAAATTTATTTCAACATAAAATTGAAGAAAAACTTTCACGAGAAAGAATTAAATTTTATGTTTCACAACATTTTCATTATCTGCTTATCAAACGACGTTATTGTTGTGAAGTGAAAGAAAAATTTTTCCTTTAATTTGAGGAATTGAAAATCAACGTTAAAAAATATATGCACAGACAACAGCAACGAAAGTAACGATGTGCATGATGAGAGAAGTTGAAGGCGAGGATTTCTCGTCGATATCGAAAGACATAACACATAAAACTTGTAATAATCATAAAACTAAACGGTTATACTTTTTATAAACACTTTTTATTAACATTTCTGTGTTCTTTGATGATTTTTATGCTGTGTTTTTTTGTCGGGGAGCAGCAGCTACGAGAACAAGTAGAGTAAAGCAAACAGTAATGTCATTGCAATTCTCCGCTTTTTTTTTGCTGCTGTTGATTCAACCCTCAGCTTTTATGTTTATTTACTTCAAGTCAACAATGACTGCTTCTATTTAGAAAATTCTTTCTTACTTATTTACCCGAAAATATCATTGACAAAGATATTCTTTACTTATTCACAGTTGCGGGAACAGTTGTGGCTTCATAATGGTTAATTAATCCTATCACTTCATGTTTTCTTCGATTTTGCACATCATAAATACGAGAATGAGATCCAATGGAAGTAGATTTTCCCAAAAATAATAAAATTACGATATTATTGTCATCTTCAACTTGAAAATTTTCGTTTTCTCTGCCTCGATGTGCTTCCCTGTTCTATTTGTCTTCTACCCTTGCTTACGACTCTCGTAAGGGAAACAACCAAGGAACAAAACAAAAAGAATATGAAAAGTCGTAAAATTGTGTACCGTATCGAGCCATAAAAGTAATTTTGACAATTTTCTGAAGGTCGTCGCCTGTACCTATTTGCTTTTTCATTATGGTTATGATCATATCACAAAACATCACTGTTGGTATCTTTATGGTACTGAAACAAATAATAAAAAATAAAATAAAAAACAGAGAGAGAAAGAAAGAAATCCTCGATAACGAGATTGAGTGAAATTGTATGAAGTTATAAAATGTTTAAATTTATTGTTATAAACAAATAATAAAGACTTGAGATATATTCATTCGACGAGAATCTTTATAGTGAACACTATCGTTGAGTCATAAAGTCAATGTTAGAATGCCTTTTAGTGCCTATTAAACCCATCAAAAACATAGTTATGGTTGTGATCAAATGTAAGTGCCATATAAGTGTTTAGGGAAAGCGGCACAACGAGGGAGTAGATCGTGAATGAGTTGATGAGATTGACACGTGAATCTCTTTCTGGGAAAATCTCAACAAATGATCATCGAATTAAATAACATTTCATTCTCAACTCAATAATAATTTCATCTGATGATAATGACGTCGTATCAATTCAGAATTCATAGCTTATGGTTGTTCTCCTCGATTCATTTTCTAATCTTTAGTCTAACACATTCACTTCATTCAAAATATCTTCCCGAAAAAAAAAATCAAGTTCAATGACATAATTTTTGTTATTGTTATTACCAAGTGGCGATTAAGAATATGGTTATTACTTATACAGATCATAAAAGCAGCTAATAATATTTTTTTTATTAGTTGTTTTATGAATACATAAAATTGTCTACCTATTTTGTTTTTGTCCCGCTTCCCAAGTCAAGAACTTGACTTGACGATGTTTTAAAACAATTTTCTTTTTATTTCGCCATTAAATGTTCTTGTTTCTTTGTTATACAAGCGCTTTTTTATTGGGTGATGAATGATAGCTTTAATTAATCTCATAAGTCATTAAATTCAGCTATTAAACATGGCAGCTGGAATGAAGTCACGATATTAATTGATTGAAATCTATTTAAGGGAAACGGGGAAAAAAATGAAATTTAATTAAAACGACGTCGTTCATCGTTCTCTCCCGAGTGTCATCTTTTGTTAACAGTCGTTCGCCACTGCCATTTGCAACATCATCGTTTCATTTCCTTTCATTTTTATTTATTCACGAACCCCATGAACAAAAACGCAGCATGACACGACGACATCATCACCAATTGATTTGACTGAAAATCGCTTTCTTTTTCGTATGAAAAGATATTAAAAAAATTTACTTCATTTAATTTTAACGCCACATTTCGCTGCGCTAAGTACATTTTAAGTTCGCAGTTATTTCCAGCAATTGTAATAAAAAGAATTTTGTTTAAATTGAAAATACTTGAATCTGTATGATTACACAAAGCGCTTTTTTCTTCGCATTTTTTTCCTTCTTTGCCTCGTTCCCTTTCATGCTATGCTGCCTTACGTAGCAAGCGACAAGGCAACTCAAGATATGCCATGTTCTTATGGAATTTATTTTTATTTCTCCCTACACACTGAAGGCAAGAGGGAGACTCAAGAGGCGAAACGCGCGCTTTGAACAGAAGATAAGAATAGCAAGAAAAATAATAATATTTTTATATCACAATCTAATGGTTGCCTCCTCATTTCGAAAGCAGTTTCAACATTCACCCTCGTTTTTTACACTCCCTTGATTTTCATCTTTTATTTTGTTTTTTTTTGCGCTTCGTTTCGAGAATACATCGAGGGAAGAATATTTAGGAAGCAAAGAAAGAAAATTCGTTCACTTGAAAAGAAGGAAAAAAAAAGTTTCCTTGAGCAAACAAAAAAGATTCTTTGCTATTTTCCATTTCTCTGCATGCTTTCAGTTACCAAACGAAGCAAAAATGTAAAAACTTATAATAATGAAACTATTTGAAATTCTGAAGAATAGAGAAATACCCATTATGAATGTTTTATGATGTCAGGGATATTTGATATCATGCAATACGGATGTACTAAAGTAAAGAATAAGAAAAGAAAAAATTTAAATATCGCAAGACGCTGAAGATCATGACGGAAAGGGAAAGAGAAAAAAAAGTTAATTGGAAAATTATTCAACAAGAAAGAATTCTTGTTCTAACTGTAGAATCATGGTATAAATACAAATCAGTCGCATACTTATTATTGTGAAAAGAAATGAAAAAGAATTAAAGGAGATTTTCCTTCTTCAATTCTCACTCAAGTCTTATTGCATGTCAAGAGCGATGTTGAAGTCATGAAGACGATAGCTGTAAAATGTCGTCTTTATTTTCATTAGTTAAACTATTTTGAGTGGCGTTATTTGATGATAGAACGTGAAAGTTGATTAGGTGATGAAAGTTAACCCTTGCAAAGCTGCTTAAGTAGAAATATGCTTCATTTCTTTGATTTCATTCTTATAAAATAATTTTTATTCTCTTCCTTGATCATTTCTTACTAACTTGCTTACCTTAAATGGACGTATTTGTAGGCTGTTGAATAGATGGGCTGGAGTGTTATTAATAGAATTTAGCGCATGGCTACTGATAAGGATTTTTCCAACATTAAGTTGGTCCTTTATTGATTTTAGTAGCTCTTAACATAATAACATCAAGTAGCTTAACAACATCCTTTTCCAAAATTTGCCTTCGTTTGTGTGTGAGAAAAGCCCCTGAATAAAAAGGAAAAGAAAAAAAGAAACAACATGAAGAGAGCGAAGAAAGTTTATAGGTGGATGGATATAAGGAAATCTTGGGGAGAAATTGCTACGATATCAGTTTTGATAACATTGCCCATTTCTATAACAGTTATTGCTTGAAGAGTCTCGTTAAGTTTTTTCCTTTCTTTTTCTTTCCTTCTTTCATATTTATCCATCCCACTCTAGCACATCCAAACGCCAACGTCAAGGATTCGTTCTTATTATTTACCTCGAAGAAGAGAGTGGAATTCGTCTTTCTGTGCAAAATGTAGTGAACGAAAGAAAAAGCTGAAATATCAGAAGATTTTTGATCCTGGGAGCATCCGAGAGAAAGGCAAAAGGAACAAACACAGTTAAAGCGTTTGGCAAACTTCTTTTTTTTAATGTTCAAACACAATGGTATTTTTATGCTACATTTTCATTGTTATTTCGATGTTCAAATACTGTTGTCACATTCTATACACTTTTTAATATTGAAACGATTTCTTATTGGTCGTTAAGAAAATTTCTCAGTTTTTTTTCTGCTTTCTTCTTTTTTTATTTTGCGTCTTCTCGTATATGCTCGTTGTTATTATTGTTATATCCAAAGCTATGTAGAATCTTCTCCTTGAAAAGCCGAAAAAAGTTCATTAATGTGAAAAAAGAAAGAATAAATGTGACGCTTGGAAGCTTCTTGAAACCCTTTTATGAGCCATTTGATTCGATTGCTGGGGAGATACATTCATGACATCTTTCCAAGAAAATTGAAAATTTGTGGCTGTTTCATGCCGAGAAATCGAACCATTGCGAATGTAAAATGTCCAATTGCTTTTACTTCTTATCATTCATATTTATTTATAACGACATTATTGACTGTTTTCAAACAAAGACAGACGCTGATGGAAGCAAAACAAAAGACGACTTTTATGGAAATTTCTCTACAAGCGACACAAGACATTTTCATAAATTTTTCATCATGCTTCGCTCACTGCAAGACGCAAATGGTAAAATGGATAAAAATGTGCGATAAAAAACATTCTTTGCCGTCCTTTCAAGAGAAATAATATCATTATAAAAGTTTGCTTGTGCCTCCGTCGTATCCATCCATATTTGTTCTCTTCTTTCATACTTTCTTTTATACAAACCCACGAATCGCGTACAGACAATAAATCTTTTAAATAGCTTCTAGAAGGAAAGAAAGAAAGAAATATCCAAGAGAGAGAGAAAATAAGGAGAACGCTATAATATGGTAAAATAGCTGAAAGAAATTTATATCAAAGACGCCAACATTAAAAATATAAGAAAATTCTTATATATCGCCATCATAAAAAAGAATTATTTTAAATTGCTAATGTAAATTCCACACCAGGGCGATGCGATGCTAAAGGCGAAGCGTTTCTTGAGGAGATTTCTAAATGGAGTTTTTTTTATCGTTCATGTACCCTTCGATGTTGAAAACAACGAAAAAAAAATGAATAAGAAGAAAACGAGAAGAAAGAATGAAAAGTTTACAGAATAAAGATATTAAAAGTCTTATCGAAAAGTACCTTAAATCGCTTTTTAAAACTTTTAGAACCTCGTTCACTGTGAAGTTTCTTCGAGCATATAAATTCATTAAGCGTTTTATTTATTGCAATAATTTTATGTTACATCGCCTCCCAAATCGTCATTAACGCGTTTCTCGTTGATTAAAATTTCATTTTTTCTTCAACCCTTTGGTGCTTATGGTTGGTTTCCTTGCTCAAACTCGTACGACTCCTGCAGAGGCATTATAAATATTTATTAAGAGCAATGAAAAACATAGTAAATGAGAAAGTTCTGCCATGAAACGAGTGGAAATTAAAATTGGTACGGAAAAACAAATATATGATTATTATGCTTGCCTCCGGGAAAACCAAATAGAGTTGAATTCGGGGTTGATGTTCAGTTTTCAGGGTAAACTCGTCAGCAAGGAAAAAAGCCATTGCGTCTCTCTCACACAATAATATTTACGATTATGTTTTGTTTTTATTATTTTAATGGTTTGAATTTTAAACAAACCGAATTTTATGACAATTTGATTGTGTACATTTAGTTGCTGGAATGACTCCATTGGATGGCTGCGAAAGCATACATGAAATTCATGTGATGGTGTTCTTATGTTTTCTCTCAAATTTCATGCTATCGCATCCACTGAATAACTCGCATTGTTTAGATTACAGCCTTTTGTGCACATATAAATGGAAACCAAAACAAGTAACAACACAAAGAAATGAATATTTATGAAAGTACCAAAAAATCCCTTGAATTAATGTATTTGTTCAATCCCCCACAACATCATAAAACTTTATGACTTTTCAAATAAATTTCCGCCAATGTACACCAGAATGTTCAACGCTCCAGAATCTATGTTTATTACCTATCGAAGAGTATGAGACTAACACAGATAATATGCTTTACCGTGCTCGCAACGAACGCATTGGGATCCTATTTCAGTAATTTCTCGCATCACATTACAGATTTTCACTGGTTATCCTTACCCAACGAATCGAGAATGAATTTTAATTTAGCAATGGAATTGTTCATCAATTATTTGCCAAATGACTATTAAAATCAAATTTATTGATTGTTGCTCCATTTGATCAAACTAACGATGCTTTTCCACCATTAAGAATAAATTTTCGATTTGCTTAGTCAACCATTAATTCCTTCGCCATATTTTTGGCTTTCAACTAAATCCCTTCGCATGTTTGTCGCATTAATGTTTGCAATTCACGTATGGATAAATGATTCTGTTTATTTATTTTTAATGGGGAACAATGAGGTTGATAGTTCCATTTATGACCAATGATAGACATTAGGGAGGAGATTTCATGGTGCAGTTTAATGATTAGAATTTTAGCACTTTTCAAAAGGAGTTGAGGGTGAAGTTTGGTGTAACATTGACGAGTATTATGTTGCATAATTTATTCAATGAATTATTCAGTTTACCTTGCAAACATTAAAACAAATGTTTTGTTATTTTCGGAAATTTCTTTCATTCTTTTAATCTATTTCTGTCGATGTTGTTAAAGAAGAATTCTGCAATTCTTTTTAAAATATTTAATCACTTTCAATTTTTCATCGAAATTTCTTACAAACAAATAAAATGTCTCGGCCTTTGTCGTAAAAATACTTCAAAAGTTGTTAACATCTTATTCAGACTGTAAATAACATTTCTACTGAATGTTTAACTTTAACTTCACTAATAAATCTGTGAAAGCATTTCTTGAAAATATTTTCACAATTTTGATTTTCCTTTTTAAGTTTAACAACTGCAATGCAACAAACAGTAGCAAGTTGGTATGTTTTATGATCACCAGATGTGCCTCTTGTTTTATGTTTAAAAGAGTGAAGTTCATAAAACATTAACTAGAGTGAGCTGAAATTTCGCAACATATTTTGGAGAAAGAACAATAAATACAACTACAACAGATTTATGAGTTTGTAAACATTTTTCTTTCCTGAAACATGTGCGGATATCCTTTCAAGAAAGGATTACTTACGTAACATTTGTCACACACAGATTTCTTGAAATTGATTTTTCAACATGGTCATTCAGAAAAAAAAGAATTAAAATTCTTCTTTCAAGCTTGTCAAAAGGAATACAAAATATGAATCACATTCAAATGAGTTGGAAACAATTACAAGCATTAACCTTGTAATAAATGAACCTGCCATAATTTTATGTTCTTCGAAAATTTCTTCAATATTCTTCTTTTTAAGTTTATTACGCAATGAAAAGACACTTTAGAGAAGTTATTAAAGACCTTCAACTTCCAACAGCGCAATAACGACAATTCTTGTCACTCATTTCCTTTCACTCAACGTGACTTTTAATTTATTTACTACCAATGAATTTTCTGTGAAAAAAACAAACAGAAATCGTGTTCCCTCTTTGTCTATTCATTAGACAACAACATTTTTCAGACTAAAATGTCAAACATATGTACGTTAAATTAATTAGAGAATCCAAATTGACTTGCAAATAAAACTTAATGAATAAATAAATTCTCATATGCACGAATTCAATGAACGCTATAAAGGTGAACATACAAAGAAAGTATATGGTTTTAAAAATTTAAATTAACTCTTTCATCGTTGCTAACTAAGAACTGCTGCAAACGATGGAATAAATAAGTGGGAAAGAGAAGAATAGAAGTTTTGGTGAAGGAATAAAATTCTCATACGATGAAAATCGATTTAAGTTTCGATTAAAAGAGAATCAAAGTTCAGAATTGGAACAGCCAATTTGGAAGAATGACTGGCACTAATCAATATTAGACAAATTATGCAAATTCATTGAACGAATCTAATTGAAGTTTAATATCGAAGCAATTGCAGCTGAAATTCTTTAATTATGTTACAAAATCATTTCTTTTTTATTCTTTGAACATTAATCGCGTATTTCACGTTAAACAAACTTTCATTTTCTATAAGGGGAAAAAACTGAAATGGAAGAAGAAAGATTAGCATATAGAAATTGAGATTAAATAAATATATTGCATAACATTCACATAAATTATGATAATATTATTCGACTTTTACAAGGAAATATGCTGAGCATAACGCTATAAATGTTTTCGACCTAGTAATAAAGTAAAATGAAAGAAATAAACTTCGGCTTTTATAATGCGTCAAAGTGTTCACTGGACATTATTTCTTACCTTTAAAAGTTCATAGACGTCTTTAGGGTAACGACGCAATTTAAAAAGGTTGAAATGAGCTATTAAAAAGGTGGTAAATACTACTTTTATGTTTCTGGAAATTACTTTATTAATCATTCGTTAATGCACTCCCACATTTTGAAGAACTTCATTTGAGTAAACACTTTGGAAACTTCATTTTATCTTTACGTTTCTTTTACCGCAATGACATGACATAATCCGGCATTAATGCATATTCACAGAAACTAAAGAAAAGAAGTTGAGGGATGACGATAGAAAAAATGAGTTTGAGCACACTTTACGGTTTGTGGTGACAGTTTTACGTCCTTTTACGATCAATAAATTTAATTTCGATGGTTTGTTTGCCTGCAATATGGTTGTAAAATGATATCATTTCCATTGCTTCATTTCTTTGACGATAGAAATTTTTATGGAAATCGTCACCATAAAACATCGCATAATCGTTCATATATCCTTGCTATCCGATATATCTTTCTCCATTTACAACTACCGAAAAAATAAATAGAAAACTTGATGATGGAATGTTGTTAAAAGACTCAACCGACGGAAGTTTACAAAAGAAAATTCAACATCTGTGTGTATCTGCATGGGTTATGAAGTTAATGGGATGAAAAAAGAAATGTTGCTTGCTTTATAAAATTCTTACGTCGGCATTTTAACATGAAACTTAGAAACTGATGCTTATTTAGTCGAAGAAGAGAAAGCGTGTGGGTTATTAAGATAAAATATGGCGTCAAAAAAATGTTATTTCATTGAGAATGAATAAATTTTGTGCGATAAAACTTTTTGATGTCACAGAATATTTTTTTCCTGTCTCTGTCAACTAGGAATTATAGTTAAATCAAGCTATTAATATAATTTCAAAGCAAACACTCAAAAGTGTTCTTTTCTTGTTGCGAGGAATGTAAGAAGCGTGAATGCAAAATATGGAGATAAATTCATTCTTAACTCTTCTGACTTCTCGAGGATATATGGATTAACTCTTAACAGCAAAGAGGCGAACAACAATGCGACTTGAAAATCAGAAATGAAAATAATTTTAAGTGTGAGATATTGTTAGATTATATTTCGTTTGGTGAGAGAGAAAAATGTTGGGTGTGTTGTTGTAAATTATGAGGACAAGACGACACGAAACATGAATAATACGAAATTAGCTTGTATTTCATTTCATTTCATTTGGATTTGAGAAAATACAAAATAAAGTGAATAGGATTAGTGGCAAAGCCTTTTTGCTTTTTGTATAAATTTACATGTGACATAGAAAAGCGGATTTCAGTTTCGACGCCATTAGGTAGATCGATATTTATCCGGCATCATGCAAAAACTAGAAAGGAGAATTAAATTTAATGTAGTGAACTTAATCCACATAGGCTGGTTGAGTTGAGTTAAATCTTCTGTCATTGTTCACTACCCACTGAACGACAGAAAATATTTTAAAATTAATCACATAAATAAAACTTTTCTGTATTCCTTCTTAGACTTCTAAACAAAGTTACTTTTCGGTCATATTTAAATCATGAAATATTTATGAATTCATCGTTAAATTCAATGAACACGCAATTTATATATCTTATAATGGGAATTCATGAGTCCCTAGCCATGCAATTTGTATTCATTCTCTTGTAGACTTTATAACAAATAAACACACGAAAATGTATAATGTAACGCCATAAGAAATTTATGAAAAGATTAAAAACATTATATTTATTACTGCCATATAACCCTTCCTAAGCCCCATTATCCGTTTATTTCATGATGGTCTAAATGGAAGCACAAACATTTTTCACATTTTTGTCTTTTTTGACGCTGCTTGAATGTCCGGTAACGGCAAGTCTTTCGGGGGTAAAGAGGGTATGATATATTTGATATTTATGTGCATGCCAAAATGAAGATATTCTTTGGCCCTTCTATGTTCACCAGAATTTATAGCGTCAAGCATTAACGAACTTATTTTCACCTCGTTGATGTGATACGAACGAGCTACAGTTCTCTGCTTCTTCTTGTATTGCCGCTTAACCTTCTCTCAATCGATATGAACGCATTTACTCGAAGTGTAATAATTAAAAAATAAAGATTAAAAGTCCATTTAAAGTGTTCATAAATTTCCTTAATGTGGTGTTTCTTAAAGGTTATTGTATCTTTTGCAGTTCTCGTATCAACTACATAAATTATCTTTGCATATATTTCTTATTCGGTTGCTTTTTATTTATCATGTTTTCATATTTTTTCGAAATGGTTTGTGAGTTTGTGATGTCACGAAGAAATATTTTCATGAAAATTCAATTTATAACTTTTTAATTTTGACTAAACTTATGGGAGAAATTTTAATATCGAGTAAAAGGTTTTGTCGTACACATTTTCACGATTTACTGTACCAGAAAACCACAAATTTTAATGCATTTATAAAGAATTTCTCTCGCATATTTCTATAATGGAACACCAACATACACTTCTGACATGATATGATATGCTACGATATACTACATTTAGTTTAAATTGGTTTTTTCGGGGTTCACCCAACATATAAACAACTCTATGTATAATTATGTAGATATCTACATATACATAAGAGAAACATTTTCAGTTTTAATTGAGTTTTGTTTGTATTTAATTTAGGATTTCTGTCTGAAAGTTTTTTTTTTGGGAACATTAAAAATTTCGTTTCAATGTTCAGTTGATGAAAGTTCTAAACTTTTTCACATGCTGATTTTAATTAGAATTTTATTTATTATGTGAATTTACATCATACAAAGTTCTTTTTTAATATATTCACGTATAAACATGTACTGCATAATAATATTTAAGTTGAATTATGAAATCACGACTGGTCGTTTTCCTACTCAAGAACATTTTTAAAAAGCGCGGTCGCTGATATTCATAATTTATGATAACCAGTCATGATTTAGTACCGGAGAAACTTAGAATTATTTATAGATGAAGAAAATGACATCTTTAGGCGTCAACAACTTTAAGATATTGTTCATGTTTCTCGAATTATTTATATTTCACCAACCTTTAAATAAATTACAGTAAATTGCAAATCATCAAAGCGGAGAATTTCTCATTTTTTACTTTTCAATTTCCAATTATTTCCCTGCTAATGACTTTTATAATGGAAATTGAGAAAATGGCAATTTGTTACCTTTGTATCGATTTGATTATGTAGGATATCTTGATTAAAACTTAATTAACTTTATGGACAATTTCACAAAAAAATAAATCAATAATTTAATATTTGTGAGAGAGAAAACATGAAGGGCAACTAAAGTAATTTCTTGTAATTGTAAACACCTAAGCATACCTAAACAGGTATTTTAAAAATTATTGCACAATGTTACGTGAAAACTTGTTCATTTAAAGGGTTTCTTTGCTAGCCTTGAAGTCGGCATTTAAGCCTTAAGTGCTTTTTAACAATCTTTCTCCTTTCTCTGGAAGTAAACATCATAAAGAGTAACAAACAATGAACACACCAATAGAGTTTACGCAATTTTATTACCCACAACTTTAGGCTCATTTTACAACAGCAATAAATTAGAAAAGTAATAAAAAATCTGCTTTTCCAAAAAAGACATAAATTTTTGTTCACAATGTACTTGTCTGTAGTTAGTCATTGGATAGAAGTGAACGAAAAGAGTTGTGATGGAAGTAGAATGTAGACATGTTAAGAACATTATTTGAAAATCATCAGATAAATATCAACTACCGTCGTTTCAATCGTGATAAAAACTACGAGGTGCTTTTTGTTTCTCTTTTGTGATAATTACAGAGTTTACTTACTTATTAAATGAATGATTAGTGTGTTATTATGTGGTGTTAATAAACATAAAAGCTCATGATTAAATTACACATCAATTACAGATTGTTACATTAGAAATAACTCAATTATGCTTTCAAACTGATTACTTATTCAGAAAGAGTGAAAATTAATCGTGTAAATTGTAAATATATGAACAAACATTAGTGTAAATATAAAATATCTCAGATGAAAATCAGTTTGCTCAATTCAGAGTTGAGAATTTTTTCATTCGAACATGAAATCCAACTTTGAAGTAAACTTGAAGAATGAACAAACCAGTTTAGGTTTGATATTGAAATATTTTCGTTTGGTGTCTTCTACGAAGCCGTATCCTTCACAGAATTATAATTCTCAGCTTTATAAAATATTTGGAATAAATTTCCGTTGTTAACCTGTTATGGTTACTCAAAGCGAGCACAATTTTATTTTGGAGAAAAACAAATGTTGAAAATATTTGACTTTTTGGTTTTTTTGCGACTACTGCGGTGAGATCAAATGACAAGCATTTGACGAAAGTATTTTTCTGGGAAAATTTAAGAGGGAAAATCTTCTTTTATGCAAGTAGCGATAAACACTAAAACAAACACCTGTAAATTATATTGTAAATGCCCTATCAAGATAACTCACATTTTGTGATCCAATAAAACACTTACTGTCGACCGAATCGCTCTTCTGGGTGTTTGTTTAACATGCATTTTGAAAAATAGGCTATGAAAAAGACATAAAATGTAAGTCATAAATTTTTTATTGCCATTGCGAGAGTTGAACTTTGACTGTTTTCGGATACGAGAATCATGGCGAGGAGTAAACATAAATTTTACATCGCTGTAGCACAACACAACAAGTTGTCTGAAGCGCAACAAATTGGTCTCGTAGTAGAGTTAAAACACCATCAAACATCATCATATTGTTTCGTTTTATGATCTAATAAAAAATCACTTAATCTGACGAGTGACGCCTGACGAGCTTTACTGTGTAAGAATTGATGGTTAATGCCAGCATAAAACCGATACAATAAAAGAAAATTAACATATCAAACTTCCAAAGTTGATGGAAATCAGCGTTTTATGACCTGTTAAATTGATGCTTATTGTATCAATAATAATAAAAATTATTGTTTTTACTGCGGTTCGCCAATAATATAAACATTTACACAAGTCTTCGTTAATAAGAAGCATCGAAAGGTGGAAACACTTAATAATATTGAACAAATGAATACTTTCAGTGTTTTAATGGAATATTAATACGGTGAATTAAATTAATAAAACGCAGCTAATCAAAGCTTAAAGTCATCGTCATGATACAAGAGGAAATTAAAAATTGAATGAAATTAATCCTGGAATTAATGAAAACTTATCAGAAAATTATTTAAAAAGCTTGAATTTAATCAGCTGAATGTATTTCGTCCAGGGTTTTCAATGTGAGAAATTTTCCTTCACTTCATTAGATGATGCTGCACGAACTTCATTTATAAACTCTGTTGAAATGAAGTAGGGAAACAAAAAATATCAAAATTCCATAAAGCTCATGTTGCAAGAGTGAGATAGCAATAATATGTTAGAGCGAGATGTTGTAATCTTTTTTCCGTCATCCATGATTCTCTCGATTTTCTCATTTTGCGTTTAGTTTTCATTTTGAATCATCTTTCAATTTACATACGAGAGAAATATTTTTCGTTCAAATGAATTATGTGCTGTCTGCGCTTAATTTACAATTTTAATTAATATTTTTCGACGATTCTACATCGTGTGACAAAATATAAATCATGTGAAAGTTGTATACAAATGCTGTTGGAAAGAAAAATGAAAATCGTGACTAAAGAAATTATGCTAAAGTTGAAGAATGAAGAAAAGTAAGAATAAAAACTAAGATCGGTATTTTTGGCCATTTGAAAATAAAAATGAAAAAATCAATTCATAAAGCTTAACCAACGCTTCAGTTTTTCTTGATAGCGAGCAAATATTTGTCGTTCTTATAAACGATAGTGCTCTGTTTATTTAATCGAAAAATATTGACACCACAAATCTAGCTTAGCAAGAAAAGGTCATAGAGCAATCATCAAGCTAACAAGAGAGTGAACAGGGAAAGAAAAAGTCAAACTGCACTCAGCTCTAAATAAACAATCGAATTACTTTATTAAACATTGTCTTGCATTAATACAATTATCAAGTAGTTTTATTGCGCATAAAAACACTTCAGTGGCCAACTGGCTGTATAAATTAACTACACTCTTTCAATCGATACACAACGACGCCTCTGCGCTTGCTGCTCGAAATTCTCTCTTTCTCTTCTCGCTCAGCCACTCCTACTCGCCATCTTTAAAGCTCTATTTTCTATATACATATAATGGAATCTTTGCGGAACCTGTGTATAGAAAAAGTGAGAGGAAAAATCAGAAAGACTATAATTGAATAATAAAAATAAAAATGTTATTATAACGACGATACTAAAGCAGTTGAGGAAAGAACGAGAAGATGATCATTTTATGTCTTTTATGCTTTTTATTGGTCTTTTATGTAGGTTAGAATGGGACATATAATCATATACAAGTATATTATGTGGCAGTAGCAAGTCAGCAACAAAAAACAAAAACTCTTGAGCTCCGCTATGAATACAGATTTTCTCATGATTTTTGGCTTCGTTCTTTTTTTTTTTTGTTCTCTCCCGAAAAAAATCTTCGCGAAGCTTCAAGTTAACGAACGAAAATTCTGATTTTTATAGAGTGAAAAATTTTTAATAAAAAAAAGTGGATTGCTGAATTAATTTAATTAAATAGCTCCAATTTTTTTTGGCTATGCTTAAAACAGTTTTTAATTAAGATGAAGTTTTCGAGTATCGGTATGCATGCTACTTATTAATAACGTCCTATATAATTAAATTTTTTTGCTCTTAATCTATTCGATGAGATTCAGAGCGAATCGGAAGGAAAATTAAATTGAAAGTTAATTAAACAGTGAATGATTGACCTTCAATTATTTTTATTCACTTCAAGTAATTCTTTTTTAAACAATCATCTGTTGAGAAAACGATAATAATTGTAGAATATCGTGTTAAAAAAGAGAAGATAAAGAACACTTTTGTTTCACTTTGCGAGCGCATAAATTTACTGATTAATAGCGCATTCATCTTAATGTTTTTTGGTAGTCTCATGGCATTTCAATTTTCTTTAAGTAATTTACTGTGTAATTGCACTCCCAATCACCATGAACCGTCACATTATGAAGAGAAATGGTTACACTCTTGCATATAATTTAATAAATGTATACATATACGGAATTGTGAAATAACGTTGGTCCCACCACTTGATCGTAAATTGCTTTCATAGCAGCACAGTGATGCCTTTAAATTGGTTGTTTCAAGCCATTACATGCAATTGACTGTCTGCAAATAATATTTATTGCTTATTAGTTATCGTAAGCGATGCTAAAGAAGAAATGTTACAAGCAAAGTTTTCTTCCAATCTCTTTTACCATTTTGAAATGAAAATCAATCGGTATCGGTGTCGAAAGAAGTTTATAATTTGGTATAAACGTTTTGATTATCTACTACACCTCTAAAGATTGTTCTTTGCTGATGTTGCAATGCTTTCAACATTATTCTTAATTCTTCTTCAAAAATCGATGAAACTAATTTAAATTACAACATTCGATGTTAAAGTGACTTCTATAGAATCACCAAATTATTGCCAAATTAATAATTCGACCTGCATTATAATGTGATCACTATCATTATCGTCTTCTTGTTATTCAAAAGCGATAAATGTTCTTCTCTTAAAGATCAACTTCTAAAGATCTTAAAATGTTTAAATGATAGTTTCGATTTTATTTTTTACTGAACATAAACCAGATCATTAAATATGAAGTTTATAGCAACATGGAAATCCTATTTTAAAAAAGATAATGGCCAAAAATTTGACTCTTGTGCTGCCTGCCTGCTGCCTAACATTTAATAATTTCTTTATATACCATGACGCTATCTATACACACTCGAACTGAATTATCATATTTATTCTTTGTCTGATGTAAAGATACCGAATCTAATGTTAATGACTTCATTAGATCCAACATCAAGATATACCACCGAGTTTGAAGTTGCGTTCAGAACCCATGCTTAGATACCTTCTGCTTGATTTAGAAATTTTCATCGGTTGTTATTTTTATACAGTTTTAATGTTCGATTCTTGTTTTCTTTTTGTTTCCCAAGCATTTACAAAAAAGAACTGAGAAGCAAATGAAGACCAAAAAAAAAATCCTACAATTTATTACACTAAATCTTCCCTTTGCATTGCTTGTCTAGAATATCTAGAACTTCTTTTCATTTCGTTACATAGATTTAAAAGTTTTCTTTCGTTAGATAAAGGTTTTCTTCTATTTTAAGATTCTGACACCATCGAAAAAAAAAGCAGAATCAAAGAGAAATGGCTGCGCGTGAAAAAGAAATAAGAAATACAAAAAAGCCATTATGATGATTCTTTCTGCGTTTATTTTAAAGATAAAAAGGGAAATGAAAGAAAGGAGCAGAGTTTGATGATTTATAAACCCTCGGAAAGGTAGAAGAAAAGGAAACAATAGATTTTAATAGTTGATACATTTTTCATCTTTTCTTTCTCCCCATGTCGTGATGTTGAGGGTCAAATGCATGCACTCACTAACGAAATTGCTTTTATTTCTTTTTAAATAATTTTTCATTTTTTTTCTTGTCGATTCTTTCATGTCGTTCCCTATGTTTAAAGATGAGAAAAATTGTTCACTGTGCGCCTTTTATGTTAAAATATACATGGTGGAAGATTAAGAAATAAAATAAATTACAAAGTTTTCAAGTATTTGAGTCAACAAAAAGTAAACATCTATGGAGGGTTTTCCTTTTTGAAATGGAAGAATGGGAAGAGTCGTAATGTCAACTTCTTTCGACAAATAAAGTTTCTTTAAGCAATATACGAGTTCTTTTGTAATCTCTGTATAAGAGAGCGGTTATGGTAACGATAATGAAATGTGAAAAGGTTAGAAGAAAATGCGAAAATATTCATCATCTAGTGTCGGGGATTGTCATTCATGTGGTTTTCTTATTCCTTTTGTGAATTGCAATTTTGATATTGATGAAATAACTTGAATAAACTCATAATTGGGCATAAATTTGAAAAGTATCAGGAGTTGAAAATTATCTACAATTATTCCAGTCACATGCATGATTCGCTTTTGAAATTCACCTCATGAACGTCAAATGAATGTTTCTTCGACAATTTTAAGAAGGAAACTGGTTTCATTCAATTGACGGAATGAATTGCAACGTTAAATATCATTTTAACCATCTCGTTTAGTTTATTTGGTGATTTTTCTTTCTGTTTAATGAAGTTATTGTAAAAAAACTGACTCGCTAGGTAAATAAGCAAATCGTGTTTCGAAAAAATCACAGCAAATTATGCGAATTGTTTGTTTGGGTGTAGTTACTTATATGTTAATAATTCAAATGAATCTCTCACAACTTGAGAAATCTGAAAATCCTTGAGACTCACTTCATTCATTTCAAATGTAAATTATTATCAAAAAATGTAAAAATAAATTCGTGGCTTCCTTTTTCGAGAGAACCACACGCTAACTACATAATAAATAAGTCATTGAGATGTGGCTTAAAAAGTGTTAACTCACATTATGAAGTCACTTTTCAAGATGGCAATAAAAAGAACACCGAGACGACATTTTGCAGAGGAATTTGTGTTATTTACATTTTAAACAAACATCTTTGAAAAGTTTTCATAACATTTTATTAGCTCAACTTCTTTTTTTAATTAATGAAGTTCAAGTTCTTCATTCAGAGAGCGAATTGTGAAATCGATTGCTCGTAAATTGACTTAAAATTTATTCGTTTCTTTCATATTGATCAACGAGATGTTTAACAGTCAGGGAATTTTCTTAGAAGAAGGTAAATATCTAATTGATATCAGCTAACAAGTCACGGCTGTATTCATAAAAGCTTTAGTCTGTAACATTGTATATCTAAAAGGTGTATCATTAACATAAGACTATAAATTAAATTAATGGTGGAAATTCCATTAATTTTTTATTTTAAACTTCAAGATATCTTCAAATGTGTCGCTTGCATTTTATTAAGTTTTTCCTGTTTCAACAAAATTTTAACGACGATATGCGACAATCGAAATGGTTCATGTCTTTGCTTTGTGATGCTTCGCCTTTCCATTCTATCCGTAATATTTTTTCTTCATTCTTGTTTCATTTTTTCAAACTTATAAGGAGCGGAATGTTTGAAAGTCTTTTCTTCGTTCAGTTTTTTTTTCTTCTTTTCAACATTCTTCTTATAAAGCTTCAGAAATTTACTTTGACCAATGTCTGAGATTTAATAAAAAATGTTGTAATAAAATCAGAATGAAGATATGGAAAAGAGTTAATTCTAATGAGTTGCTTCATGACGTGATTCAATAACATTTGCAATAACTTCTTCTTTTTTCGTCTTGTCTGAATTTTGAAGCGATGATGAAAAGGAAAAACGAGTCGAATCAAAATCAAATCGACGACAAGATGTTTTATATCGAGTTTACTGGCTTTTTATTGCATTTTTATGTTTGGTTTTATGCGAGTTTTATTCTGTTTTTATAGTTATATTTTGTTTTTATTGCAATTTAATGAGACAACATAAACTACACATAAAGGAATGAAAAAGAATGATCAGAGTATCAACAAATGTCTAAGCAAACGGATTGTGGTTTAAAAGTGAGTCGAAGTCAAGTCTTCGGTTTCTTTTTTTATGATCCATCATTTTTACGATGATAGCAAACATAAAAAAGAAATAAACATTAATTTTTTGAATGTTGGATCTTTGCGCCTCACTTCTTTTAACGATTTAAGAAATGATATTATATATTTGACAACACTGATTACTTTTATGTACTTCTTTCTACATATTTACAAAACATATGCCCCAAACTCGCCTCCGTAATGAGATTAAACAAACAATAAAAAATTTTACGATGCTATAAACGCTTGAGTTTGATTGGGTGGTAAAATAAAAGTCTATCGATTGAGGCTTCTTTTATAATCGTGAGAATTTTAACACTTTGGTGAGAAAAGTTTTAAATATAATTAGATCAGAGTTTTATATATTGTTAAGTGATAGAATTATTAGAGGTTTAGGCAAACATGTCCGACTCACTCTCAGGGAAAAAAAAATCAATTTATCAAGTTAAAGTTATAAGTGGGGAAAATTCATAAACCGTGAAATATTTTTTCTATCGAAACAAACCAAAATAATTCATAAATCATAAATTTATCGAGTAAGAATCTCAAGTATAAACTAAACATTTCTTCTACTTCTTCGCCTCTTTTTCGTATGTCCTTTGAATCATAAAATATTGAAGAAAGTGTCATAAATTATGGTGAAGTGTAAAGTCATAGATATCCAGTTCTGAAGCAATTTCTGACAATAACTCAAACAAAAGAATAAAACTTTCTCTTTAACTCATGTTAAGAAAAGGTTTGAGCAGTTAAAAATATCGTTCTATACTCTTATATATGTTCATACATTTAAATGGAAAAGAATTTTTTAACCCTCGTGTTTCTTTTTTTTATTAAAAAAAGCAAAACTTTACTCTTTCTCTAACCAAGTACTTTCTCATCTCTTGAACTACTCAACATCTGTTTTTATAATTATTTTATTTTTGAAAAGGAAATGTCTTCATTTCGTTCATATATAAATATTAAGTGATATGAAACATGCAATTCATTTTTGTAACAATTGAATTTTATTTGTTTTTCTTTGCAGGTCTACTGATTTGGAATGTGACAGCAATTAAATGGCTTTATTGTAACCTTAATAGTATATCGTAAAAATATGCATAAATAAATCAGAAATTCGTTTTTTAAAAAAGTTTAAAATGTTTGGAATTTCAAGTACCCAGGATAACTTCCACGGCACGAGCCATCGGTGTTCTCATTTTCAGTAATTTTCAGTATTAAGAGTCTTCTTATCTCCACTTGAAATTTCAGCAGCTGTTAATCCTTCGAGATTTTCCATTCTGCGGGAAGCTTCGCGAGCTCATTTAAATGATCTGCTGTGATCAAAAACAGATCCTAAAATTAGAATTGAGAAAGAATGATAGAGAAAATAAATGAAAAAGATTTTAGATTCCCTTCGATTTCGTTTTTCTTTTTGTTTCAGTTCAACATCATGAAATTGTGAGATTCTTTTGACACAAAAGTATTCTATTAATATCAAATCATTTTGAATGCTTCTACCATCGTTCTCATCGAACAACAAAAAAAAGAAATAAGAAGTAAATAAATAAATTAAATGAATAAGTTTTCGTGATGGCGACTATGCTCTCACAACCTCGAAAGTTTATTAAACAATCGCATCAACGTTTTCTTACTTGCCTTTGAAAACAATTCGTCAAAGGTCATCGACAAAAATGTCCTCTTATCAGACATGTTCAATAAAAATATTCTTGATAGCCAATAAAAGTCTTAATTGGCTCATAACGTCGAGTTAAATTGAAATAAGGCATAAATAATTATAGTTGTTCTCCCTAGTACAAAACAGATGAATGAAACTGGAGAAGGGCAATAAAAAGAAAGAGAAAAACTAGAGCCAAAAAGCATTGAAAAGTGTCTAGTCAATTTTGGTACTTGAAATAACAATAACAGTTAGTAATAAAAGTAGTAGTTAAAAGAAAATAAATATAAGTAACTCCATCCCCCCATACATTCATCGTTTTCATAGCACAGCTTCACTTCACTCTGCATCAACTTGTACAATGAACAACACGAAAGAAAGGAAAATATACGATGAGCCGATGAGCTTCGCTCGTTGAGAGATTTAACGAAGGCAGAAAAAAGCGAATCGAAGATTTAACGAAAAATGAGAGCAGCATCGAGGGAAAAAAGAGAGCACGCACTAACACCATCTCATGCACATAATAAAAATAATGAAAATGATGAATTGTATAATGGGCTAAAAGAAACAAGAGATAGATTACTCCATATGATCTCTAAATGAGCACGAATGAAATGGAAGATTGCGCAAGTTCAATACTTTTGTAGGAGACTCGTGGAACACACTCTGTGAGAAGCGAAAAAAGAAAATGAAATGAAATTATTCTTGAATGCCCCATTCAATACTACACACAATTTTATTTAATATGTTGTTTCATTATTATAGATACTTCCAACTATAACACTTCAACTCTCAGTGCAACTCATTTTTTTTCTCCAATAACAATAAAAATAATACTTCGAAGTTCTTTTTTTCGGGTGATATAAAATATTTTCTCGTGGTGTTGTTGATTCATACGAAACAAGTCAAAGTGAAAATATATTTTTGTGCTGCTTCTCCTCACGAGCGGATTCTCTTCCTTTTTGGTGACGATGAGATATACGAAATAATAAAAAAAAAAGAAACTTTGCTTTACGCTTCTTGATAGTGGTGACTCTGAATGGGTGAAAAATTGTGATTTTCAAAATCATTCGTATCAGAACATTTGAGAAGACAAGGCGCGTTTTTGATTTTATTATTATTTTAATTATTATTGTTATGATTATTGTGTAGCAATAATAATAAAATAAAACAAAATTATATAAATAAAGAGAGTTCGAAATCTCAACTCGAAGATTAAAGAAAAAAATTAGAAATTTTCCGAATCTCGATCTTCCGGAAATTTCAAAAAAAAAGGAAAATAATTTGAAAACTATAAACAGAAAATAAATCAACTGCAAGTTGATACTTACAAGAAGTTGAGAATAGTGAGTTAAACTACAAAAGTTTGTTCTTCATAAAACGCCTACTTAAAAAAAGAAATAACAACAAACAATGTTAAACCGCATTGCATAATTTCACTTTCGACATTTACAAGCTCATAAACACTTTGGCAAAATATAAAAAAAAGGTTAAGTGTAATAAAAGGAAAAAATTATTCATGAAAATTATGCACAAAAAATTATTGGGTTGCTAAAGTGTTGACTTGAAGGAAGTAAAAAAAAGGAAAGAGAAAAAAAAATCTCGTAGAAAAAACGTTTCAGCGATAGTGAAAAAGTGTAATCGATAAAATTGATAAAAATGAATTCATACTTCGAGCAATCAGGTTTTTATGGCCATCCGCATCAAGCAGGCATGATGTCATCGTCATCTGGTCATGATCAAACTTCAGCAGCTGCAGCCGCTTACAGAGGCTTTCCACTTTCTCTTGGAATGTCTCCATATGCTAATCCACATTTACATCAGTCAAGATCAGCTCAGGATTCACCTTATGATGCCAGCATTACAGCCGCATGTAAACAAATTTACGATGGCGCCTACAATAAAGATTGTTCAAAAACAGTATCAGGAGCAACAGCTAATGGAACGTCTGGTAGTGGATCGGGCAGTAGTGGAAATAATGCAACGTCTGATACAAATGGCTATAAAGATGTTTGGAACTCTTCTGGAAGCAATGGAACAGCGAACTCAGCACCTGTTCGTCCATCCGCCTGCACACCAGATTCACGTGTTGGCGGTTACATCGATGCTTCAGGTGGAAGCCCTGTCAGTCGTACTGGTTCATCAGCAACTGGTGGTGCATGGAACACTCAATGCTCTATCGGCACACCAGCTCCACAATCAGCCTCATCAGCCAGCTTACATCAAAACCACACATTTTATCCATGGATGGCTATTGCAGGTGAGTGACTTGTCTTCCCTCTTCTTATTCATCCATCGCTTCTTTTGTGTCCTTAAAAATGCGGGTTGATGTTCTTCATTATTATTGTTGCGCTTAAAGTGAATAAAAAAAAGAATATCAGCATAACAAAAAAAAACTGTGAACATTCCATTATGCCCTAGCTAGGCAGAGAAAGGAAAGTGAAAAAGAAATCTGAAAAAAAAAACACCAGCACTGTGCTCATAATGCCGATACGAGAATGCAGAACAAACCTTTCCAGTCTTCGGAAAGAGGGGTGCTAACAATTTCCTTCCTTATTATCATCATCCATGGTAATAATTTTCCATACTTTGAAGGAAGTTTTCCTAAGAAAAATTTTTGCAAAGCATTTTCCTGTTTAAGTGAAGTGTGCCCAACGTTTTACGTGGAGAGTACAAAAAATTAATTACTTTCTCTGCGGATTCAGTTAATTGTTGAATGAAAAGTGGATAAAAATCAAAATGTTGACTGCCATAATAATTGTTATTAATTTTTAATTTTTATCTTTGAAAACAAACTTTAAATATATGCGAGCGAAGTGAAAAGTTATGTTGTGGTGAAAAAAATATTTCATGGTATGGAAATTGACATTTATGACTAATTAAATAATTAATTACGGCAATGTTTTCCGATTCTTTTTTATTTAACAATCAAATGAAATTCCGGAATGTGGCAATGCATTTAAATGACAAATTTGGCCAATTTTGGACAATAAGAAAAGTGATAAATTTCACATAGTTTACGAGCGTCATCATTTTGATTGAATTAAATTCAATTAGATAATAGTTAGTGGATATTCATACAGCTTTTTATTTATATTCTTTTTTTTTCTTCTGTGAAACATCAAGACTTCCACTTTACAAAAGTTGTGAAGAAAAAAAAAGTTATTGAGTAATAAATAGCCACAGCCGTAAATTTCATTTTAAATTGCCGTCGGATTGAGCGTAATTTATTTTATTGCTTTATTAAAAATCTAAATAATGACCGAGATGATCAATTTTCTTCCTCGCGCTCTTGAAACTACGATTCGCAATTAAGTAGTTTTTATCAGAAATTTCCCAAATAAAAAAACTGAACACTTCATATCATCATAGGATGAGAAGAAGTAGATAAAGAAAAGAAATCCCATAACAAACACTAATAGACACAAAAAAGAAAGAAACTCACATAAAGAAACTCGGTACCATGTTGAATTTTTGTTTCTTTTTTGTGTGAACAGAAAAAATGTCTTCTCACTCCCATAATGTGTTGGGAGAAATAAAAATGTGAACAGCAGCTCGTTCCCGCTTTTTATTTGACCAACCTGAAAAAATAAAAAAAAGAAGATAATTAGCTAATCTAATCAATAGAAGAAACATTTTCATAATTAACAATAATCTAGTTTAAACATAAACAAGTTTAAATCTGCACCATAAAAACGCGTTTAACTTGTTTCACCCAACAAACCGCGGTTTTAATGATGATCATTTCTTTAATGCTGTCGATATAAAATTAAGTCAGCTTAACTGTTATCTTAAAGAGGAGACAATTACAAATGAATATCTTGTGTTAAAGTGAAATTATAAACATTTTATTATGAATAAAGGTAATAAGAAAAGCATTAAGATGATATCAATTGCAAAGTCTTGTGTGTGCTTGACTTTAAACAAAATAAAAAGAAAAAAAAGCTTGTAATGATGATTTTTTTTCACAGAGCGTATAATGAGACAATTATTAAAGTTACGTGATTGCAATCAAGTGGATGGAATCTTGATCAAACATTCGACCAGTGCAAGCATGGCGTATTAATTTAAATCGCCCTTTAATGAGCACTTATTAGTCAAATAATAGTTTTATGAGTCATGTTTAAAGTATAAATAAATAAACCACAGCAATAATAATTTAAATCAATTTCTCACATAATCGCAATTGAATAAATGACGATTTGACATAAATTTTATGCGACACATAAATCATGAAACGTGTAAAAACAGAATCAAAATAAGGATAAACATCGTAAAGGTTTCAGTAAGAAACCGTGCCCCCCTGTTAGAGCAGAAAATTTATTAATCAGAGTACCCAAAAGAACAGCACAAAAAACCACCCGACAAAACATCAGAGGAGAAGCAAAACGGAGAAAACAAAAAAATTGTTTCATTCTGCTCTCCTTTATTTGGTTCTACTTTTTATTTGTGTTTTGTGTACACATTCAGTTCGACTTCAGTAAATGTAATAAATCATAATTTTTCTTATTTCATTCCGATATGTGTGGCAGTCAAGTTCCTCTTTAAAAAAGAAACGAAATGAAAGGGAAAAATTGAAATTACCACCTTCATTTGGTTTGTGTCTCTGATTTAATTTTCTTATTTGAATCTCATGTGAATCGATTAGACAAGTAAGAAGACTTCGATTCAAAGCGTCTTCAAAGAAGAGAAAAAGAAATTCCATTGAATTTATATGTATTTTCTGATTTGTGCAACAATACTGCTTGCTACAAGGCGACAGCCTTGCATATCATTTCCCAGTTAATAAATTTTGTTTTATGATTCATTGGTTTTCTTCTTTACAAAGTCAGCTTTTACAAACAGATATTTATATTATTAATCATAGCTTGTAAGCAAAGGTGTTCATTCCGCACTGGGATGCTTCAAATTTATTTCTTTGATAACCATTCGATGTTGAAAATTAATAAATCAATGTAATTGATAAAAAGTGTCACTTAAACTTTTTCCCTTCCTTTCCCGCATTTCATAGAACGTACACTTAAATTTATATGCTTTTAATTTATTTCATGCCAATCATATTTCTGCATAATTATTGTTGTGTTTTCACAAAAAGCTGTGATTTATATTCATAATTTAAAAAATTCTTTCTTACTTCATTCTTTCTCTCTCACTTTGCCTGTTCGAACTGCCAAACAGTCTTTTCGTTTTGCTTTTTTTTCACATTGGCATGAATAAAAAGAAAATACATGCAAGTAATGTACAAGAAAATATTTTTTTTTCTGTAGGAACTTGACATATGAAATGTTATATTTTTTTTCACGCTTTTTGACAAATAAAAAAAAGTTTTTGACGCGACAAAAATTTATAAAAACAAGTCAAGAAAAAACATTCAGTATCACAAAGATGTTTTTCTCACATGTGACTTAATCATTTTGATATTTTTGGAGGTGGCTAGATTCATACTAATGCTTGTTTGAAATAAAATAGACAGAAAGACAGAAGAGAATGAAAAAATTCTTTCAATTTAAATTTTATTAGCCCACGCATTAGCTTGAAGTTTCTCCTACGTTGGAAGCGCAAAATAGTTCTCTTGATAGACAAATTCCTGTATTTATAGATCTCAAAAAAGAAACATTCGAAATTCAACCAAAATGGTGGTTTTGTCTGTTCAGAATAATCACAAAAACACTTCATTACAGTTTATCTCTTATTTCAATTTAAATTATGACGCTCGAATGAATTTTGATAACAAATGAATTACTCTCTCGAAATGTCTTCACCTGTATACTTAATTATGCATATTATTTTTACATAAAAATCTATGGCTTTTGTAGCCTTCTTCCCAGTAAATTAACTTCATCGATTCAGTGAAAAGAAAATAAAATTATATTGTTTGTAAACTAGACATGCACTTGCAATTACGAAACTATTTTAAACTTGGCTGTATAATTTTCAATAAAACGTTTGCATTATTATAGTTATGTACATACAGAAAGAAGTTCCCTTGGTACTCTTGTTGTTACCTGTAGGTTAACACGTCCAAATAATCTCTTTTCCTTTTCATATTCCTTTTCCTGCCTCCAAAAGGCATACAATTTAATTACAAGTGAAAGAAAGCACATAAAGCATATGAAATTAAAAATGCATAAACGCAAAAACACTTCATAAAATATGTAAAGATGAACATAAACGAAGTACACCAACCAACATCTCTTCAAACGTATACATATCACTGCCTTGAGCAATGTATTGAAATATTTATAGCATTTCAGAATCTTATCAAACTTCAAGTGAAACGACTTCATGATATCGAGGAAAAACCTCTTTTTTATCCACTTTATCATGTGGAAGAAAGTTTCAATGAACTCGTGCTTTTAAGCACCTGATTTCTTATTTTTTTCGTTGAGATATTAAGAGTGTCACTTATCTATGTCTTGAAGATGAAGCGACAATCATTTTATTCATCAGACGCATATCTTATAAAGAGTTTACAAATTCTGTCGTTGCCTCCCAATAAATCTCACCATCATCGTTTATTTAAATTTGTGTCGTTTTTGGCTCAAAGTGATGACAAAAAGAAAATCTTTGTGACTACAGAGACTGTCAAGTAAATAAGAAAAAGGAAAAAAACGTGAACTCATGTATCTTGTCTAGATGAAATATTTGTTTGAATTTTTCTTTAAAAAATAGCATAAATCGTGACTACAATCATTCCTTGTTCTGAGTTTTGACTTTTCATAGAAAAGAAAGAATAAGAAAAGTTTGTAAATATCATTAAATAATATTGCTCCCTTGATTCGTAACTAACATAAAGAAACAAAGTCTCGTTCAAATTATTTAGTTCACTTAAGTTTTGTTTATATTTTTCTTCCTCGCTTATAATTAATATATTCAATGTTTAATTGTTTAAGCTGGCATATCAACATGCTATCGAGTTTGTTGTTAAGCAAAGCGGGAATGAAGAAAATAATTTTTAAAGTTGTTATATTCATTGTAGAAGAAAATCGCTTATGAAGCTGCAACCTGCCTTTAAAATACTGTTGATGCAATTATTGTAGTTTACATGAGATTTATGTCTAGATATAGATTTTATGATACATAAAAGCGCTAAGATGTATTGAATTAATTATATGACGTAAGCTTTTTCTTTAGTCAAGCAATTTAAATCAAATGATTCCTGCTACTATTATGATTACATGTTTAGAACATCTAAAATTTAATTATTAAAACAGTTGAATGTCTTATTTAGATTAATAAATTTTTGGGTTTTTACCACAAGAAAAATACTTTTCAATTTTTCAAATTTTCATAGATATCTGTGAGAATTTTCCTTAATTTAGATTAATAAAAGTTTTATGAGCTTGAAAAGCTTCAATATTATTCCAATGCTTATCAATTTATTTACAAGTGAAAGTTTCGTGATGAAAATTTCATAATTTACAACCAGCCATAACAACACAGTGGCATTTTTAACTCGCCCAAAAATTTTGGTCAATACTCGTAACATTAACACAGTAAACGTGTTCATAAATAATCAAAATCTTTTTGGCTTGAAAAATTGTATTATGAATCTTCATAGAAGAACTTTTGCGTGTAGCGTATCTATTCACACATCACATATGAAAAAAGAAATAAAATTGAATCTACCATCAAACACATTCACACATTTACGCATCAGCTTTTTATGAGAGCTAGCAATGCATGAAATACTAGAAAAAAGTTCTTTGTGAATCGATACGTTTAATTTTTTCTAATGGGATCCCAACCGGCAAACAGACTGAGTTGGAATAAAAAGAATATGCATACAATTTGTTCTATATTTAAACACTTTAATATACCCTTGTGATTTGTAAGTGTTTGTAGCGAAGTTACTTCAAAGCATTGAACGATCATATGTTGCTTTGATGGTGTGAGTTTTCAAATTATTTTTTCTTTTATAATCTTATGGCAATAGACCTAAAGATCAATGTTGATGATTAATGTTGCCGACGGCTTGATCGGTCATTAATTATGAGAAATATATCTTTCAATGTCACTAGTTTGAAGTCCAGCTATAAACATGAAGTAGGAAAATTTTGATTTCTTAGAACTTATGTGTTCAATATGTGTCTTATCACTGGATATTATAGAAAGATAATCTCATGAATCATTTGGAATATCTTCCAAACAATGTTGTGGAATGGACACCATAAATTAAAATCGAACATGTTAGAGGAAATTCTTGCAAGTTATCAGCATCTTTAAAACAAATTAGAATGAATTATAGCTTGTCCCGATAACCGCGATTCGACAACAGAACATTCTTTGTTGGATTCGTAAGGAAATTTGCAGTTTTCGAATTCGAGTTATGATAAATGAATTTCAGACTTTGTTTTGAATCTGTTTCTTTCAGCTTTGACTTTTGTATCGGACGATTAATTTAATGATAAAATATTTCGAAGCTCAATGGATTCTGGGATGTTCAAGATGTTCAATCAGAAACAAATCGAAGCGCACTTTTTTCGTTGTTTAATAACTTTCAATACTGTGGTTACATCACTTTGAAATTACTTATTCACCAGGTTTTTAACATGGAACTTTAGCGAAAAGGAAGAGTAGCAAAAGCGAATATAAAATGATATATATGAGAAAAATCATGCTATACAACCAACGTACCTTGAAAAATATTTTTTCTTTCTCGATAATTCTTTTGTATTACATTTCAATCAACTTCTGATCTTTGTACTGATTACAGTCTTTTTACACATTCAATCTTATGTTTATTCGTTTTTAATTTAATGATTCATATATTCACTGATTTTTAACCATAAAGATTGCTTTTATGAACTGGCAAGTCAGTGATTGTCTTGTAAAACTCCGTTGATGAAACTACTTAAATGTTAAAAGAAATTACTCGAAGTTCAAGTAACGATAAATGCCTTTAATAGAACAACTTTCTTTCTATTATTATAATGGGAAGATAAAACTGCGCTTTAGTGCAATCAAACAAGTTGCTCGATTGAATTCGCGGTCATGACTGAAATTCTGTTCTAACAAAAGTATGAAATAAAAAGAATCGATCTCGGGAAACTCAAGAACCAAACCTATAATTTGAAAGTTTAAATCGAATTTCTATGAACGGCTAAATCCAAATTATTGGTTTCAAGGGAATTTTCCTTTGATTTATTCAAGGCCATTTAACAAATTTGCACAGCCATAAAATCCATAATGAAGTTCAAACTGAAACATCCCAAAAAATATGAAAGAAAATGAAGTAAAGATTATGAAGTCTTAGTGAATGTAAAGATTTGAAGAACCATCAAATACATACATAAGCATTTATGCAGTTTTACGTTCAAATATTGCAAGCATAACTTGACTAGACGATGAGCTCTTAAAGTATTCATGTCAAATTGCTATTTAAACTCTGTCAGACTTCCTAAACATTTCAAATCAATTGAATTTGTTTCTTGCTAAACTTTCAAACGAATAATCAATGCTGAGTGCGAAACGATTTTTTGTTTTCTGCTAAGGCATGCAAATCACGCACACTGATAGCCATAAAAAAATTATTAGGATCATCATCAATGAATAAAATCAGGGAAGGTGTTAAAGTATCAAAAGTGTAATTTTACAGTCATAAAATTCAAATGAAAACAAAAACATTCATTTATGCTTGTTTTATTATTATTTTTATGAGCTCATTAAAAACTCATAGAAATGATGTTTGGACATTGAAAAAGTGCTGACCGACACCAGAATGTTTTCTATCACGAAGCTCGCACACTCTCAAACATGCACAATGAGAGTAAGAAGTTTCGGTGTCTTGCCGCAATCTCATTTTATGGGCCATAAATCTTTTAAATTTTGATTTGTTTTAAATTTTTCTTCGGTAACCCAGAGTTTTGTGTGCTCTTGGGTCGAGCATAGATCACATATGAGACAGTTGAATCAGGTTAATTTTAATAATATCTCGAAAGATTAGAGCTAATATGCAAATGCTTTGTGGACATTTCGCTTTAATTAAAATTCTTATTAATAAAAGGTCTTCGCTCTATTTCGAACATATGAAAACTTGTCACTTTTCTTTTCGTTCAATGTCGCTAAGTTGATTTTGGAATAGTTATGATAATTTTTAACCCATGCTTCATCTATTCACAAGCAAAGCGGTTTTATTTCAAACATGAGAAAGAGTAAGTAATGATAATGTCACTTCATAACGTTTAAATAAGTTCAACATTGTATGAGTAATTTATGAATATTTTATAAAAATTTGAAAGTTAATTTATTGAGGAAAAATTAATCAGTCAAGTCATTGATCAAGCTGAAAATATTTCTGTCATTGATAAAAGTCTATCAAAGTGATATCACTGATAAACTAACCCAGCGTGTAATGTTATTTTTAAAATCCACACGTGTTTTATCATCAAATGTTATGTAAGCATATAATTTAGTTCTGTAACTTGTTGTACCAGCAGCAATATCTACAATGTATCAATGTTTAAAAAGTTAAATTAATTTTTTTTCTGCTCAATGATAAACTGAACCTACACTTCGAAACATGAGAAAAGAAAAAAATTGCGTCTAGACAGCTTTTTGCGGTTTTTAATAATTCGTTGCAGAAATTAATTGTGTTGATAACGCGATATAGAAACAGAAGTCAATGAGGGAAAATAAGGAAAAAGAAGAAAAACAGATTGAGAAAATACTGAAATTGAGGAAGTTTTAAAGATGCAGGGAAATCGCGAGGTCTTCTGCTGTTCCCGTTTTATCTTAATGGTCATAATTAATCATTTTTTATGATATTTATGTAAAGAAAATTAAATTTAAAGTATGTGCTGTGCATAAGGCATTAAATAATAAAAGTGGATTTGCTTCTGAGTAAACAACTTTAATCAAGCAACTTACAATCACAAGACGTCCCATCCTCCTTTCTTATGCAATTTAGATTCGATTGAAAAAAATGAATAAACATCATATTCAATGCATTTGCCACCCAAAATTCTTTCGTACCTTTTCAAGAAGCATTAATGATTGTTGTTTATAATGTGACAATGAAACAGGCAGTTTAAAAAGACATTTAATTTTTTATGACGTTCTCTGTAATCAGATTACCATCAAATGCTTCTGAAAACGAGAAACATAGTATTAAGTGAAGAACAATATGTATGAGAAGGGGAAAAAAAGAGTTCACTTCTGACATCATTTACCAAACAGTGTGCAAATAAAGCAATTCAAAGTGTGTAGGTTTATGATGCAGAGTGCGATGAGTTGAAACAGGAAACTAAAAACATTTCCATGCTCCTTTAATGCTGATTCTGTTTTAACAAAAAAACGTGTCATGTGTGTACACACATTCCTTGACTAGAATCCTCTCAACGGGAAAAAAGAATTCTCACAACGCTTGTCATGAATAAATGTGCTACAAATTTAGTCATATAAACACAATTTCATATTTCGACCCCCTTTCATTCAACTACCACGTCCTTTCACTTACCGTTGTCTGCTTGTAATAAACAACGAATTTTATTACAATAGCGACAAGACATAACATTTTAAATATTTATCAATTGCCTCAATTTCAGGCAGGCTCGTGCGACCAACATAAATGTCATAAGAACATAAAAAAAAAGTTTATCTGATCCTATGAGGCTAAAAGTATTAAGTACTATTAAATGTACTTTTGTGATTCGATCATCAACAATTTGAAGTGCGTTTTACAACATTTTCCTTCACTCTCACACTCAATTCTCATAGCTTTCGTAAAGTTTGCCGGTTGGCTTAAGCTTTCAATAGAGAGAGAAGAGCAGGGTCGTAAAGCAAGCAATAAAAATCACATAAAAAATAATACCTACAGTCTCATGCAAAAAGCAAAGTTTTATTATTATTATTTTTATAGGAACATCAAAATTGTATAAAACGTTCATGACCTAACGCAATCTCAGAATAATTGTGTGGTGACTGGGATATTTACTTTTTTCGGGTATAAATTGCAGAAATAACGATGCAATGGATGTAATGGAACGACGTGAAGTGAGTGTGCGGTGTATGAGAAAAAAAAATCGAACGACGAACAAATTGTTTCGGAATTTTTCTTCCGCTTTTCGCTATCCTTCTGAATGTGGAAATTTTCTCACTTATCTCACACCCCCACACTCAATTAAGTACTTTCTGCGAATGGATTTCGAAACAACTTTGTTTCGGTCGTTTTAGCTGCTCTTAGGGTTACTTACACTTTGGCTTTGTTCTTTATATTTTTATGGAATTTCTTTTGAACTTTAATGTTTCATTTTCTATGCTATAAATCAAACTTCGTTCGTGAAATATTTATGAAAGTAAATAGGTTCGATATTTTCTCAGTAGTTCGGCATGCTTGTTATCTGATGCAATTCAAATATATTTCTGTATGTATTGAGGCTTTGAGGTAACAATAGTTATCGTTAACAATGCTTAAAGGTGCGCTCTACCTGTGTTTGATGCTTCCACTTCTTCGTTAGAATATAAACTAACGACATCTCTTGTTCAGCCGCAAAGTTTTTTGAGGTTTCAGAAATATTTCTCATATAATGGTCAGGTGCGATTTTAAAATTCTTATCGGCTTTCAGCAAATTTCTTGTTAGAATATCACCTTTCTTCAAACTACTTTGTATAACGAAGCGAATGATTTATTCGAATAATTTTATTATTTTATTTTATTTTTGTCATTCCAACCAAACAAGTTTTAATTTAAAATGGAGAAAAGTTTTTGGACACTTTAATACTTGTAACACATTATTCACCTCCTTAATCATCTATACAGAAATGGAATTCAAGCAAAGCTCAAGCTAACATTCATGAATCATTTCGGATTATTAATATTCAGTAAAGTTCTCTCCACTCCTTCGAATGAAAATAACAAAAAAAAAATTAAGAACTTTAAATATTTGACATGGCCAGTGTTTTCCTTTCTAACATTACTCGCTTTGTATAATTTATGATCAAAATAATTTTTTAGAAACTTCTAAGTCCAGAACACGACGAAGAAGAAAAAGTTGCGTTTACAATGAAAAGTTTACGATCTGTTGGCTATGTGATTTACAAACACAATTAAAGATCAAAAATCGTAAGATAAACAGGTTTTGGAGATGTGACCAGAATATTTTCGTGTGTGCCATAAATTTATTTGTAGATTCCATTTTTTATTTTCTCATAGAATAAGCCGAATAAAAATATTTATTTTTGTTGTTGTTGTTATGAGTCTGGTTGAATAAATAATCAGAAACATTTTATTCATTTGAGAAAATTAATGTTGATTCTGCAATTGTTTTCGCTTATCTTTAAGAACGAAGCAACTGCATCTCAATTACACATGCATTAAACATTCATTAAAATCCATAAATTATCAATTAAGTCCGACGTTTGTTTGCTTTCGACTCCCTTGAATATATTGGCGCCTTTCTCTGATGAAAAGAAACAGATGCTACTGTAGAGGAAAAACTATACACTTGGAAAATAAGAATCTTTTTCAACCTCAAAGAAAATACGAAGCGCGCGGTTTTATTTCTATCAATTGAGAATGAATAGATATTTGAAAAGAGGCTTTTCGCAAGTTTTTCTTAAAGAGAGAAAAGAAAAATAAGAAAAATTTCTTTCAGTAATTAAACAAAAGCGAACGCACAATAGCGTTTACACCTTTAAGCTTTAGCTTTGTTGTGAAGTAAAAATATAAATAGTCGCTAAATGTAAAGAAATCAGATTAAAGCAAAAATATTCAAAGCATTTGTGATGTGAAGATGTTGTTACAGTGATTGCGAGTAATAACAGAAGCGAAATTTACATCAACAGATATTTACTGGCTATAAAAAAATCAACGAAACTTAATTGTGAAGATCTTATACATTGAATAAACTCATAAAGGACGCCCATTTATCATTCATAAACGATTTAAAGTATGTAAACGAAGAAATTTATTCTTATTTCTATTTCTTTATTTTCTCAATCTTCAATTTCAAATGTGAAGGAACGGGAAGACTTTTAAAACGTGTGATAATTCAAAGCATGCACCATACGGTTTATTCTTTCCAAAATGACAACTTTTTTCGGTACAGAAATTAATCTTCGCCAGAGAAGAAAATTGAGAAATATGGTGGAAAGAATGTGACATTAAAATATGTGCGCGCAAAGACAAAATGGGTTTCACATGAGAGCAAACATAAAATAAATTGGAAGCACGTTAATGTCGTTATTATAAATATATAAATGACAACAGCGGATCTAAGAAAGAATGAAGAAAGTCTCCTTTCTCTTAAATAAATTAACGAAATACATGAACACGTCTAATTGCTGTTTTATGTTCAATTTTTTTCTTTTGGTTTCCCTTATAAGCTGTCAACAGTTGTTCATCTGCTTCAAAAAGCGAACTCACGAGTTGGCATAATCGTCACCCTCAATCTCGACTCTCTTCTTCTAAAGAAATTTCTCAGAAAGTTTTCTTGAGAACTTTTGTGTACAGTGAAACGTGATTGTAAAATTAAATGAGTTGAGTTAAATCTCTAGCGTTGGAATTGATGTTGCTGCTGCTGCTGCTCTTAACTTTTTTTCTTCTCTTCAAAATCGCAAAAATATTTCCACGCTATTGGATGAAAACATTAAGCCATCGTAAGATTTATTTCAGATTCAATGCACTTGCACTGTTTTAAAAACATTTCAAGAGGATTGTAGAGTTTAAATATATGGCCATTGGAAATTAATCCAAAAAGCGAAATCATAAATAGTATCAGTCCAACGGCAGGAGCGAAAAAGTGTCCATATATAATCCTTGCTAATAAACATGTGGCTTCTCGTGCGGCTTCATCCTTGCATATTTATTTGCAGTTGCTTATGAAGAATTTAAGCGTAAATAAAGATATCTAGCGCAAATGAAACATGACACAAGAGCACGATGCGATGCATTAGAACGAATCTGGAAACTGGAAATGCGTTTATTCATTAATGTTATTATCTTGTTTTATTTACAGGTAAGAGATATTCAGAATCTCTTGCGGGGACGCTATTACCAGACTGGATAGGTAAGTCGCTTCATTATTTTATCATTTCTCTTGTTACTTTATTTGTAAATTTAATTATTGGTTGATTAAACTCACACATGATTTGATTTTTGATTTTTCCATGATTTAAATTACTTTTGATCAAATATTTTAAATTGGATTGTTTGCAGATTATGTCACAGAAAAGTTTTGATTTTTTTGTCATAAAATGAAGTGACATGAGATGCAAACAATCTCCTTAAACGACTTAATTTTGTCATTTAACTTTGGTTGCAAATACATTCATTAATAGAAAGTCTATTACGCAAGAAAAAATTATGAAAACTTGACTAACTTTATTCATAACAAGATGATTGAAATGAGAGTGAATTAAAGGAAATCAGGTATGGTATAATGAAAATGTTTGTGTGATCTGCATGAACTACTTTCCTTTGTTGACATATAAGAACTTTAAATAAATAAACACTTTAACAAAATACACAAACATTAATTTATAAACATGAGAGAAAAAAGAGTATTTTGTATTTTTATCTCTTCGTGATTCATTCTATTTATATTTTCAAAGCAAAGACGTATCATTGTGACGTCAGCATTTCATTGATTGCTTTTTAAGCGAGAATCTTCTTCTTTTAAAATATTTTCTTCAGCTTCTACATATCTAATTGTGTAAACATGAAAGAGTTTTAACAGTCTGTTTAAGTTATCTCTTTTAATAACCGTACTAATAATGATCGTAATGACTTTGTTTACAATTAAAAGAATAGAGCAAAAGGTGCATTTGATCTTTCAACCAATTTGGTATCATTAGGCGCCACTTATTTTCGGTTATTTCTATTGATTTTCCACGTTGAAAACTTTTCTGTTACATTAATATACTTGCTTGGCATTCAAATATTTTACGTCCCATTTGAGAACATCTTCCTTCTTCATTCTAGATATGTAGATATGTGATAAACTATTAGAGAACTAGTTTAAATCTTCTTTTGATTCAGTTATTTTTCCATGCGAACAGAACGTTAAATGTTTTTGAACGATGAAGCACATTAATTTTTAAATGAAGCAAAAAAGAAGAAACAACAGCAACGAGCAAGGTTGTAAATATTTCATTTTCAAAGTATTGTACTATCAATCAAAATGTCATGTGGAGTATTTTATAAATATTTCGATTAAAACATTCATGAATTTAATGCACGATTTTTCGCATGGCAGTAGTTGAGCCCTTTGTGCGGAATTTATATGTAGCTTCCTCTTTTTTTTTGGACATTTGTGTGAATGTTTTGCAAATGAAATCCCTAATAAATTCATTAGTAGATATGTTTATTAGAGACGACATTGAATACGAAATGAAATCGTTGAAGGATGACCGAAAAAACAAATTCAAAGAGAATTCAATTTTCTTATTGGAATAAAAGACGATCTAAGAAATTTTATACAATTCCGAATATGCTCGACTCATCCCACTTTTCCTTTCATCTTATGTTGGTATCAGGGATTGTTTTGGTTTAAGAAAATTTATATTTTTTATCCAAATTTATTCACACCCGAAATGTATGACCAAAAATGCGGGAAAATTCAAATGGAAACTAATTTTCTAAATGGATTTTATTTATAATTTTTCTCGACTAATAATTTTATTCACTCTCATAACAACGCAGCAAAAAGAATATAATCAATATTTGCCTTTTTTTTGTTCATTTCTTATCCACTTTATTTCATTCGAAGTATTTCATGAATTATATTGATGATTAAAAGCGAGAGAAAATGAAGGAAAATTCAAGTCGTAGTCGACACAGTTTGGCATTTGTTTCATCGGGAAAACCATTTTTCATTGAAGCTTTTCTTTTTTTTTTTTCACTCAACGAAAGTAACACGTACAGAACCCATAAATTATAGAATAAAAATGTAACGCACATAAACTCTACGGCTACAGCAGAACAGACTTCAAAACTATGTATAAGGCAAAAATTATCTGAATTGGAATAAAGTTACCAGATGAAGAGATAAATTATTAACATTCAAGTGTCACAACTTCTAATTCAGTAATAAAATATGCACGAATAGTTTGAAGTAAATTTATGAGCCATTCTTTTTGTTTTCTACTCGTTTTCTGCTCAATTATTAATTGCTAAATTTTCGTAAGAAACCGGCGGATAATTTCAGGTGTTAATTATCAAATCTTTGAATAAGAATATTTCCATAAGATTTCCTTTTTCATAAAATTCTTAAAAAACCAGCCTATTTATTTTTCTCTTCTTTTATATAGCTGAGTTATTTTAGAGACGAAACACAAAATATACTGTGATAAAAGATCTATGGCTGAAAAGATCATGCGCATTGTAATGCCGTAATAAATTAGAAAACTAAATTTATTACTGAGTTGAGATAAAGTCGCCAAAAAGTATTACGCTTTAAAAATAAGGCTTTCATGCAAATTTAATTTTTAATTTAAAGTTTAATTAAATAAACATAGTTGCTTTCATCATACCTGAAGAGATATAGATGGGTCGACCATTGTTACATGATCCATTTTATGTGAAATTCTGATACATTAATTAGATTAATTGCTGGTGATTTTTCGTTAATTTAAATTCATTAAAAATGGTTAAAATAGTTAAAGGTTCCGGTTCAAGTGATAAATCTTAATGTTGAAACAATATATTATGATAAACTGATAAATGAATTCTCGCTAATGAAGAAGCAAACAGCATAAAATATGATTTTCACAATTTTTGAACAAAAAACTAACACTTTGTGCAATTTATACAATAATGTGATGGTTAACACTTTTATAAAACTTATTAGAACTTAAAACTATAAATAAAATTGATATTTTACTGATAAATTAATGTTGTTGTCTAGAAGGATTGCTAAGCACCATATTTTTATGTGTCGTTATATGTTTTTAATGGCGTCGTTTATGTTTTATTTTATGTGAAGAGAGCGAAGCTAATGGAGAGAGTCGGAGAGTTTCGTTAAGAGAATAATTTTTCTCTGTCCTCACAAACACATTCTTCGAATAAAACACGAGCACGTTTCGATAAATTTCTGAGCTTTTTTCAAAGAGCTTGAACGATTTATTGAATCAGTTAAAATTATTATCATTAAAAGTTTCGTCAAAATATTCACAGAAATTTTTTTTTCATTAAAATTGTAAGAAATTTATGATTTATGACACGTAAATGTAAAATTTTTATAAACAAAAGAAGAGAAAGTTTTTTCACCACTCATAACTCAGTGCAGAAAAGGATTTTTATGAATAGAAAAAATATTCTCGAAGAAAGCGGAGTGAATTGGCAGGCAAAGTGAAGTTTTAATCCCAAGACGTAACAAACACGACTATTGTAATTTATGTCAGATGTTTGTACAATCTTCATGATGTTCATTAAATTAGTTGTACTTATATGAAGCAAGTAAGTTCTTACTAACAATAGGAAAATAAGAACAATAGGATGAATAATTTTCATCGTTTCTTTATACTTGTAATCAGCCTTGTAAACTCACGAGCAGTATTTTCGAGAGAAAATGCAGAGAACAACAGAGAAACATTGTTTTCGTATAAATTTTCCTTGAAAAAGCGAGCACTAATTTGCGCAATTGTTAGAAATATTCTCTACAATAACCCAAATTGTAACTTACATTCGTTAAAACGATTGTAAAAGTTTTAATAACTCTTTGAGATGTAATTTTAATGCCCTCATGCTATAACCTGATGACACTTCACCTCGATGAAATATTTATTCACATGTAGTTGCAATCAAGCCATGTTACAAATTCATATGCACAGTAATATATCGTGGAGGGGTTGAAAGAGATAAAGCTTATAACTTCAGAACTGAATAATGGCTTTTTGACCTTATCCTACACAAATTAAGAGCTACAACAAACAACAATAATTTATCGATGAATTTTCGATTTTCGGTTGCAGTAACACGACAATATTATTGGAGGAAAAATTAAAAAATATTATTCATTGCCTGATAGTAAAGTTTTGATCATAAACGAATTGCTCGAGAGTTACAGAGTGCTCGGATGTGTTATAAAATTTGCAGCACATACATATAATAATAACAATAATTTTTCAATAGTTGTTTTCATTTTTCATATACAAGATACACATTTTCCCAATTATTTTCCAATTGTAAATTTTATCAGAAAGGACAATAAATATCAGATTTTGCTATTATATGTGCTAGTAAGAGTGTGAGCATAAATATATTGAAGCAGTCAGTATTAAATGAGAATATATGTTTGCACAAAATGTGTGACCCGAAGTTTATTAATTTTAAATTATATGTTGCAGTCTACTGTTTAATTTAGGTCTCGTGCTCGTTTATTATTGTAGAAACAAATTTATAGTGTTCTGAGTAGTTTGTTTTCCTTCTCTTTCCTTAGTTATTGTTTTTAAGTCAACATTTTTCTTTTTCCTTTTACTTAGACACAATTTAGATAAGGTTGAATGAATAAAAATAATTCAAATAAAAATCCAATATCATATTTGTGCGTCAACTATTTTCGTAATAATATTAATCGCATGACTATTTAGCTGCGCATATTAAAAACTGCTGAATAATCAGATTAATTACAATCTGAATTCATAATTCTCGATTTATCAAGAAAAAGTTTTTAATTGGTTTTAGAATTAATGTTTTTATACTTTATTCAACTAGAACTGAATTATTTGAAATGTTTTATAAAATAGTAATTAATGTTTAACTTCTGCATACTATAAGAGATTATGCAATATGGAGATAAGCCTCAACGTAACTTTTAAAAGCCGCCAAGCTAAAGCAAGACATAGTTCGAAATGAACAACTTTTTCTCTTTATCCTGAATGTATTCAGAACAAGAAAAAATGAAACTAAAATGAAAAGAATTTTGAATTTAATGTTTTGTGGGAGTCATAGGAACATGTGCATGAATAGTTTAAGTACTTTGTATAGTGCAGCGCAGACAAAATAGTAATTCATTTGAAGTTGGCACCGCATAAAAATTGCAACGTCTGCAAATTTATTGCGGACAATTTTTTTTTATCTCTGTTGACCTTTTTTTAGCCAAAATGATGAATGTCTTTCTTAGGAAGATATTTAAACAGATCAGAATGAAAAAAAGAAGATTCATGAACCATTTTTTGTAGCCTCGCCATTTGAATGCCAAGCAAGTCTAAAACAAACAACTTTGTTTCAATACGCCATCATCATTACTGATGACAACTCTGACTTAAGAAGGTAGAGAGAGATGTTTGTTTCTTATGAAATTTCTTGAATTCATTTAGATTACGAGGAATATTTACGGCACTGCCAAATGAGTTTTATAATATTATGGAAAACATATTAATCAATTCGATAATTTATACGAGATTTTTTACCGCTTAATTTTTCTTTTATGTCTTTGCTTTCAACATAAAAAAGACATTTAAAAAAATTAATGGCCACTGTCGCCATTAAGAATTAGAGATGTGAAATAATCTATCTCTGTTTAGGTCGGCTGCTCTAAGAGATCACTTTTCTTGGTAGTGTTTTAGTGGGTTTTTGTTTAACAATGTATCACGAAATGAGTCATTCATAGAAACAATCCAAGAATTCTTTATCTTCTCACGCAGCAACGTTTTCATATGTGATGGATTGTTATAAATAGTAAGAAATATTAATGGCTAAACGAACAGCAGTTGAATGAAATTTTCCACCCCACTAGAAATTAATCATTTGCTGCCATACCTTTCCAACCATCGCACAAATATCTCCCTTTTCCGTGTAAGAATAAATCGTAATTGTCACTTGACAGTACAACGAACCCTCACAGTAAAAACTTTTATCTCGAGAATTCCGGGAGCAAACACGATACCTAAATAAATAATTTTAATTTCAAACCAATCGTGAAATTAGATTTTATATATTTGTAATTGTATTTATTGCTTTTTGGGGTGAAGATTTCTAGGAAAATTCACTACCCCCTTCAACAAATGAATTGGCAAAAGAACTGGAAGCTCAAGAGAGTTTTCTTATATAGCACTTGAAATTGAAAAAACGAAAAACGAACTTGATGCTTATTTTGTGGGTTGCACAATTTATGTTTATCTAATAAAAACCCGGCACCAAACGTTTTGTTACAATGAATGAAAGGGTGATTTTAATGCCTTTTTTATAAACCTTCTGCTAACTTTTATGGCATAAGAATATGCTGAGATGAACATCCATCTAATGATTATTGTGTAAATGTTGTTTGAAAAGAAAACGCGAGCGCAGTTTTATTTGCCTTTTCAACCTCTTTTTACTTTTCCTTTTTAAGAAAGTAGTAGAAGCCTAAATCAGAGATCTCTTTAAATTGGAAATTTAAATCATATAAGGAATACAAGTTCGTTGATGAAAAAGTGGAATAAATTTTGTAGTTGAATAAATTTCCTTGTTGGCCTTTATGTACAAAAGCATAACATGTTTGTTGTACTCTTTACTCTTTTTCAATCAAGATGCATGTTTTAATAAATATTTTCTTACCTTAATTTAACTTTATAATCAACAACTAAAGAAAATATTCTGCCAAACATGCATGCATGTAATGAATCTTGAAGTAGTTGAACATTTTTTCGCTCTCTCCATGACAGGCTCTGAAAACAGTTTATTTTATTTAAAATAAGCGAAAATGGCTACAAAAAGAAAACTTGAACAATTCGAATTTAACATCATTTTACAGTGAACTCTCGGGTTGAGAAATGTGATTGTGAAACTGAGATGATGAATCTCCTTCCGATGCAATTCTTACTGTGCACATAAAACAAGAGAAAAAAGCAAAATTTATAAAGAAAAAACTTGGAAACATAACGACGAACTCAATGAATTGAATATTATAATAAAAAGACTTTTTGGGTTATTTTTTATGCCAAGAAATTTAATCTCAAGTTTTCGCCATTAAAAAGTCATGCGAGATGCTGAAATCAATTTCCTTTCACATATTAAATTCACAGATAATTCTAAAACATAAAATTATCGGAAATAATTGTCAGTCAAAATAGATGAAACTTTATAATTTAGAACATCATGAAATTGAAAATTATAACTAATAAAACTGCAATAATAATAATGCTTTGATTAATTCTCAAGTAAATAATGTCATGTTGTTAACGAAAGGGTTTTTAAGACTTCACCATTTGCCTGTTCAATTGAATTGATAAATAAAAGGAAAAGAGTTAAAAACGCAATAAAATCGAAATGAAATGATCATCAGATCACATCGAACATCTCATAAGAAATTTTCACACATTTAAAGAAGTTTATATGATGGCCATTTCAAGAAATCTGTTATTACCGAGACCGAAGAAGCAAAAAGAACGAATGCAAGATGAAAACGAAATAGCAGAATATCTTTTGAATTGAACAGTGAACAAAAGGAAATGTTGGAAAAATATTTTTAAAAGTCGTCGTCGTATTTTTTTGTTCCTATTCTCTTGCATTCTCATGTCGAGATTGAACATAAGCTAAAACTGGTTTTTATAATTGGTTATTTAATTCCTAAAGTTCGATACATTATATACGTGCTCAAAATGGAATGAAATGGTACAAAAAGTGATCTTTCAAGAAAGAGAATCAAAAGAAAAAAGTTTTAAATCTTTAGAAAAGGAGTTGCGAGAGCTTGAGAAATTGTTGGCCGCAGAGAAATAAACAATTAAATTAATTTTTATAGTTTTTCGCTACTGAATTATATGCTATCGTATTTTATATTAAATAACCAGAACCGCAGAAGAATGCACTTTTTTTCTGTTATCACAAATATCCAAAGCGCAAAAAGGAAAGAAATAAAGTCGAGATCGATTTCTTTTCAGTTTAATTTATGTTTACGACAAATGTATCGATTTCCTTAAAAAGTCTGTCCTGAAAGTTATTCCACAAAGTGGTAGGAAAAAAAAGAATTCGAATTTCATGAATATTTAACTGTCTGCGAATTCTGATTCTCATTTTTTCTGTGTCGTAACTTTGTTGTCGTACCTTTTCTCGTCTAAACATTTCTACTTTGAAAAAAGGAAATCATAAAACGAAAGATTTCTAAAATCAGTAGAAAAAGTTATGAAATATGATTTTCTAGCATAAATAAACAATAACATTTAAAAAAGAGAAAGTTTCTTACTTTTGTTTGTCAAAAAAGTCATTACGTAATGTTTTCTATTGTTACATTTCTAACATTGATTTGTTTATGACCAGCATGCAAATTTCCCCAAGAGAAATTATTTTTGAAGGTAAAATATTTTTGTTTTCGACACGGGCAAAGAAAATGAGTTTTTTGATCTTGCTTGCACATAGACAGAGAGGCACACACATGAAGATCGCGATCAACAGAGTCATCGTAAGCCCTTTCTATGTGCAATCTGTTGTGTATCGAGCCAATAAATCCCAATGAGAAAAAAACGAGAGACAATAGCCAATAGCATCTGAAAGTACAAAAAGTCGAATATTTATAACTCAATACGGATTAAATGTGATAACGCATGGATTGCTGGTGGTAGGTTCTCTTATAAACTGTTTGCATAGGGAATTTCTATGAAAATAAATTATTGATTTAAAATAAATTTATATTATCGGTATGTAGCCTGCTGTTGTTGCATAGAAGAAGAAGCACATTTTGTGTTGAATTTATGTGTTTGTGTATTTTCCTCTCTTTAAAATTCATCTGTCAAGTAATAAAGTAATTCGCATGAAAATAGTAAAGTTTGTAAGCATGAAAGTTCACTTGTTAACATAAATAGCTAGAACAGAAAAATCAAAGCCAATTAATCAAAGCCATGATGAAGTGGAAGCCAATAAAAATCAAATCAATGTACTAATAACTGTTGGATTGAGTTATAACTTAATTTTTGTTTTTCTTTCTTCTCTTCCAATTTTCCTGTTATTTATAGGTAAGTTTATGATTCAACCTTTTCACACTGCGCTCCACTCGTCGAGGACGTTGAACAAAGTTGTTGTTGTTGTTGTTGATAGTCTGCTGTTTACCCGTTCACAACTCTACCCGGAACATACAATTACCTTATCAAAAAGTAACCACTGAGTAAATGCACACAGAACGGCAATAAATTTTACAATTGCAAAAGCGTGTTCCATGAACTTCATTTCTCTGCAGTAAGTTAATATGTTTCGATATACGTACATAATTATGATTATTATTTTATGATGATGTTTACTCTTCTATATATACATATTTATCTCTATCCATAACTCTCCCATAGCTACGAACCATTCATATTTGTGAAACAATCCGTATCTAAAAGTGTTTTCATTATTATTGGCGTGTGGTCTATGATGCGGCTTTCATTCAACTCTTTTCATTTTTAAAAGCGTGTAATTATTTAAATAAACATCATCGCCAACACTGTAATTTGTAAGTAAGCCCGACTAGTAAAATCAATTTATGAGCCGGTAATAGTGAAGAAGTGTGGATAATGGTGATTTGTCTTAGCGGAATGTTTATGCTCGTTTACTTATACTATTTTAACATAATTGCCGCCTTTACAACATGTTCATTGAGATGAAGCCATTTTATTGAATTTTTATTGTTTTATCAAACTGTTGATCAAACTATTGGAGTTTAATGACGTTACAAGCGGAAAAAACTTACGGAAGTTACACTTGATTGATTCATGAATTTTAGGGGTTGTTTTAAGAACTTAAATGTCAACAAAAGACATAATCGAAATGTTTAACGATCAATATTTAAATTTTTATGTCTTATTTCCATTTCACTAAACATAAAAATGTCGACTTGAAGATGGATGAAACATCAGATAAGAATTTCATATATTTATGCTGTGTAAGCAACATTAAAACAGCCGTTGAGAAACATTTCGTATATTTGAGTAGAAAAATGAGAAATGATTTTGAATTAAATGATCCATATTAATTATGGCATTCATTTTGCTGTCATTGAAGCATTGAGTATGTGTTTATGCTTCTGCCAACATCATAATTCTCGTTAATGGATCTTTTGTTAAGGATTCATAAAATGTATGAAAAATTGTTGTAACAAATAATATGTCGAGACAGAAAAGTTCTTTAATCTCCAAGAAGTTCAAGTTACTGTATGAAATGAATTATTTTATTTGATTTAAGCAATTGCCACAACCCACTTCTTTTTTATGATTTTTATGCGAAAAACTTTTTCTTCATGTATCGCATAATCATATATACATAAGTTTATTTATTTCCTAGCTGCTAGTCAAAGAGGAAAATCAATAGAATTGATAACATTATTTTCGTTTTCGTAAACGACATTTTACTGACAAAAGATAAATGGATACATAAGATGTTGAGCGAAATGATGTAATTCGAAAAGTGGGTTGGATGTTAGCTGCTGATCTTTTCCCCATGAACTTTAGGCAAAAGCATAAATTGCCGCAGAACGAAATGCTTTTGCTGTTGGAGATATTGTTTTCTAAAGAAACATTTGTTATCTCAAATGTACACAAACACACAGCATTTTTACAGCAAAAGCATAAAATGTCTCTCTTGCTGTAATGTAATCTCGTACATGAAAACTTAATTTTTCACACCCCATCATACGCATAATACGCACATAATCTATTTTATATGTTTTTGAAATTTTTTCCCATTTTTGCTCCACACGATTCCATAAATCTTATTTATTGGAGTCTAATATCTGGGCCAACAAATTTTATTGGATTGTGACCCAAAAAAAGAAGAATGGAAGCGTCGGCAGATTTCATGCTGAATAATATTGATGATGCAAAAATTGTTTTCCAACATTTACGAATAGTTTTGAGGAATTCTGAAAGTTTTACTGAAACGACTACAAAACTTTTTCTTTTCTTCTTTTGCAGTAAGACTTCTGCTTATGTCTTTCCGCAATCATACTTCAAGTGACTCCCCACAAGCTTTATGTAAAGTGTTCACGAAAAGTTTGAAATTGAATTTTCTACCTGTTTTACTATTATCATGATGATACGAAAAAAAGAAGAAAGAAAAAGGGTTAAATTTATGATAATACATTAAATTTATTCTCACCAATTTCCACAGAGGCAGAGTTGTGATTTGACTGACTGACTGACTGACATTGACATGTCAGTCAGTCAGTCAATCGACTTGAGCGGGACATTCATATGAACGCTTCCCAACAGACGAATATTTTTGTTCGCGATTTCGAGATTTTGACTGACTGACTGACTGACATTGACATGTCAATGTCAGTCAGTCAGTCAGTCAATCGACTTGAGCGTGCAATTTGCCTATCTCTGCACAGAGGAGAAAGAAATGAAATGGAAGAATTTTCCCATCTTTTCTTTTTTGTTCTTTCTATGAATTGAATTCCGTAATTCCATCAGTAAAACGAGAAGAAAAGTCTCCAACCCTAATAAACAGCATTGAACAATTCATCATTTATACAATCGTTAATTGTTCATCGTTTAAAATTTATGATGTGAATCTATCCAAGCCACCCTTGAGGCTAGTAAAGCAATAGAAGGCAGAAAGGAATGTGGAGCAGCAGATAAAATAACCATGGTCAAATTAACGCGTCAATAAAGTTTAAACGTTGTGTTAAAAAAAGGCTTCGTCGTTGGCACAGAACAAATACTGGAAAAAAAATATACGAGAGAATAACATAATGTTATTTTTGAATTTTTATCTTAACAGCAGTGCAGCTATAAATATCATCCTATGAGGATGTTCCACACAAATAAAACCCCTTACAGCCAAACAACTGTGTGATACTGGCCAGACTAAGTCATAAATTGTTAAGTGACAAATATACACCAGTTTAATTTAAAAGCGTTTTTCCTGTACGTTCTTCTTCTTCTTTTTTCTTTCTCCATGAACAATCCTTCGGTTCATTGGTGGAAAGGCCATAAATAACGATCATGGAAATCATTCATTTTGATCTAGTGACGATGTGTTTTCCGATAGTTTGAAACAATTTTTTCTTATTTTATGGTTTAAAAGCAGTTGAAGTTGTCTACCAAATATCAACAAACTCAGCTGCCTCAATGAGAGTCTTTTTAAGATAACAAAAGCAATGATTGAATGCAGCATAAAAAGTTATGAAGTTAAATAAAATTAGAATAGTTTATTTTGATTCAACTCAGATGGTGTTTGCAGTTGAATGAACAAGAAAATATGCTTCGAAATGGAAGAGAAGACATTCGAAGAAAGTTTTCTGGGCTCAGATTCTTTTCCTGCTTCTTTTAAGGGGGAGTTTTGAAATAATAAATTCACCCGTCTAATATAAATTGTTAAACATTCTTTTAAATACATTTTTAATTGCTTTTTTTCGCTTTCTCGCTACTCTCCTGCATGATAGCAACAGAAGGTTCACAAAATTTCAATCTAAATAAATTTCAGCGTCTGCAGAGAGAGAAAGGAAGAGTAAGAGAGATGGATAGAACAAGTGTGGAGAAGCGAGAATGAAAATCGCACTTAAATAACATCAGCCGAAAAATGTAGCAAGTGCGTTTGCCGTCATACTAACGTGGTTGGGCTGAAAAATTATGTGGGAGTGGTAGTGTGAAGTTATTTACAGCCGTTTGATATTATTTTCCAATAAAAAAGGGTTGTCTTTAGAATTCGCTTTCACCGTAATTTTAATAAACAGATTCGACTTTAAAATTTATCGTCGTTAAAGAGTTTTGTGAACAATGCCTGAGAAATATTGATTTAAAAGCAACATAAAGTTTAGTCATAGCTGATACAAATTCCTTACTCGCTATGTCCCTGTCCCAACTTAGAAATGATGACATATTTTCCTTAACATTTTTGTTATTTTTTATTCTTCTTCTGCCTTTCCACTTCTAAGATTTATTCCCACATCGCATGTATTTGTGTCTATATATTTTATAAAGAGCTATATACTTGGTATACTTACATCCACTGCCGATGGTTGAGGGAATCATGGGAAAGGAAAGAAATGTTAGAAGAGAAAGGTGATATAATGATGGGGTCGCTTTTACTTGATGAGGGTGGCTTTTATATACAATTCGAATATTTTTTAAAGGTTTTCTCCTACTTCTCACACACAATGAATACGTGGCATTCTCTCTCAACCCTCTATGAAATACAGCACGAATAAATAACCTAATGAAATTTATTGCTGTTAAAATGTAATATAAAACACATTTAAATAACATGAAATATTTCCTTTTTAAGGTTCTTTTTTATTCTTCCTTTCTCTCTCACTCATTCTTGCTCTATACTTGGATATCGTGTTCCAAACATACTCGTCTAAAAGGGCTTCTGTTCATTAAAATTTTCCGTGTAAATTTTTGGAGAACTTTTTCGGCTTTTGTTGAAGTTTTTCCATTGTTTTTTTTTACACTGTCCTAGTTAATGGGTTGTTCTCTTGAGCTTTGTCATAATGTGTGGAAAACTAGGAGTTTATTGAGGCCAATTCACCTTTGGGACGTAATGTTTACATACACACAATTGTACATATGTCACATGGAGTTATAAATTCAAATTCATTCTACTTATTCGAGGGGCATTTTCACGCAGAAGCGAAGAAAAACGTGTTCCCTATGTTGTTTTTCCTCTGCCCACCCACGCGTTCTTATAAAATGTAAAACAATACAATATACAATCGATGGATGAAGTGGCAAGAGGCAAATAAACACACTATTTTGAAATCGATTCCAATAATATTTTATTTGATTTTTGGTTCGATTTTATTGGCCACTTGGGTATGTTCTTTATCATTCTTTTACCGATCAGTAGCTACCAGCCCCCACGACATGCCCACCCGTAAATTTGTAATTTTTTTCTGTGCGTTTTATCAAATACGAGAAATTATTTATGAATCAAAGTTTGTGTTTTACTTCGTTTCGGTAAATGCCGGAAGCCAAGCTTCAGAAAACTTTTCGCTCTGCTTCTCGTGACCGAAAAAAAGAAAGAATTTTCATATCATTTAGTCGCGTATTTAAACGATTTCCTTTTCCATTCGGTCTTTTACTTTTCAAAGAAAATGTTCGTGCGACATAAGAAATCTGTGGCGGAATGAAGTCACAATATCGACCATGCCCTGAGTGTTTTTTGATTACGATTGTAAATTATCAAAGTGAAAAAAGAAGAAATGTAAGAAAGACCCGATCTCTGCTTCCCCCTTTTGTTCAAAATAAACTTTCCAGCGTTTTTTTTTCTTTCTCTTTTTCGTTTTTCTGCTCTCAGTTAGATTTATTGCCGCATGCCTTTACGTATTACACAATAAAATAAAAGAAAAATAATAAGCCTCCGGGTAACATATATCTCTCAGGATTTTCCATCTTAAAGAAACTTATGGATGAAAATAGCAGAGAAGAAAGCGAGAGATTGTGGGAGGGTGAAAGTGGCAGGAAAAATGGTGAAAAACAGTAAAGTGGAAAATTTGAAAAAAAAACGCGCGTGAAGGCAAAAACAATTTATTCAAAGTTTTTAAGGCTCTTTATGGGGAAGGCGGAAAGAGAGCACGAAGAACAGCAAAAATGCTGATAAAGGAAAACTCAGCAAGCGCAAAAAAAACCAATTCGCCGGGAGATTCATGAAAAATTTGCAAACTTTTCATAAAATATAAGTTAACATAAATTTCATGAACGGAAAATATTTGCGAATTACAATAATGGGTAAATGGATGGATTGAAAAAAAAACAAGTTTATTTTGGGGGATAAAAGATATTGATCAAATCAATCTTGGAAAAGCAAAAAGGAAAAATATTTTCTATCTTTAGCTCAATTATCTGAGATTTGACATGCGACAGCATCATTCATTCGCCATCTCTTTCTAACCCCTTCTCTCTTGTATATTTTGTAAAATGTTTCGCCATGAGAGAAAAGCAATAAAAAGAAGATCTTCGGAAGCCATTAATATTTTTTATGTCTTTCAAGTTTCTCCACTTTATTTTATATTTTTTTTTGTTTTTGTTTGTAAATTTATTTAAATTCCGCAGAAATTGATTCACGATGTGTGGTCAACAGTTTCTGTTTGAATAGACGACGTTGACTTGACTTGAATGTGATTTAAATGAAATCCTACAGAATGTCGAATGACTTTGTAGCTTTGCAATAATTTAAAATAAAAACAATGTTGTAGTTAAATGAGAAACGAACGAATGAATAATGATAAGTCTCGAAATAATATTTACGTGCACTTCAGAAAGATAGCAAGCAGCAAGCAAGCTGCCATTAGTGCAAACCATGTTAAGTGGTCAAATGGCGTTTGTTCGATGTGTTCATGAAATGTAATTTAAAATTAACTCGAAAATACCGTTTCGTCCAGGAAAAAGAAATGAAATTTCATTTAACCCCGAAGCAATAAATTCTTGTTGCATCGTCTTGCACGAAACCATGTATGTACACGCCAAAAACAGGTTTGAAGGGCAAAATAATAATATTTTCGAATGCAATACGCTTTTCATCAACGAAAAGTGGTTTGACCGAACTGATTTTGCGATAATGAAGAAAGCTAAGAAGAATGCAACGTCAAACGGTTATTCGTGATGTTATTCCAAGCGTTAATTTATCGGAGATTTAGCAGCCATTTGAAATCAGAGTTATCGTATGTAAACGTAAATTTTTTCAACATAAATCAGTCCTAAAGAGAGGAAGGTTTAACCAGTAAAGATGCCTCATTAGGCATCACATGTTACATGATGTGTAAGAAAGAAAAACATCCGTAAGGAAACAATTTTTATGATGTCGTCTTCATAAGAGAGAGAGAGAGCAAGGAAACTCCTACGGCACGCACCGAGTCACATAAAAACCTTTTTAACTAGCTTAAAAAATTTCACAACTTTTCCTTTTACTTTCTTTTTATGATTTTTTATGATCATCCCTGATGACTAGAAAAACAACATTCCTTGTATCCTTTCACGCTTTCTGAATTTCTTAGTAGAGAAATTGTTTTGCTTTCTCTCAACTCGACATTATTTGAATTTGTGCTGTATGTGAATGTCTTAGCTTGACTGGGCTTGCCAAGAAACAACAAGAAAAAAAAGGATAAAATTTCTTCACAAGACCGAAGCGAAAGAAGAAGGGAAAAAAGAAAGTTTTAAGGGTTTTCTTCGTTTTTAAAAAGAAATTGTATTATTATGCAACATATTTTCGAGGAGATATGGGTTTTGTCACCTCACAGTTCCGAGAAATGTAAAGCATAATAAATCATGATGCCTTGACAAGAACCAAATTGTATCTTTTTCTTCGTCTTCTGAATAAGAGAAAAGAGTGAAATTTAATATTAAAAATGGATTGGTTTATTAGAGTGGTGCAAGGAATTTATTAATCCCAGAGCCGAATATCAAATAGACAAAAAAAAAATAAATAAAAGATACGCGTTATGTCTGGGTTGTTATTTGGTTTTCTTTTCCGCTTTTCAATTCTCCTTCATTTTTTCTCTTTTCAATGGTGGGTGAGGAAAGACAGCAGAACTTGATAAACAAGATTGGAAAGTACACGAAAGCAAATAAGAAGCAGCGAGCGAACGAAAAACTTGTAAAATAAGAACAACATAATCATGTGACATCGATAAATCATCGAATATGAATCCCAAGAGTGTTATTTTGTCATAAGAAACAGAAGAAGAAAAAAAAATTGTATATAAATTCAATATGGGGGAAGTGAAAGAAATTTGGTACATAGAAAGCGAGATGGTGGTGAATAAGGAAATGAAAACAAAAAAAAATTGGGAATTTTCTCATTTCATTTCTTTTCTGTCTTAAAACATTGCTTGGCTCTTCCTCCCATAAATTTTCCAAGTTTCAAGAGATAAGACGAAGAGGAAAATGAAATTTATTTAGATCATATAAATTACTGTTTTTGTCGCTTGTTTTGACTAATTATAATTCTCGTATTCTTCATGAAGTAAGCCATAAAGCGAGGGAATTAAAAAGACGGGAAAAGAGTCTCAGTTAATTTGAATAGCCCTCGAAAGCTCTTAAATTTACCACCATTTGCCTTCAAGAGCATCCTGAGTGTGACATTAATTTTAATTAAGGATAATATGGAGAAGGAGAGAAACATGGGCAAGTAATGAGCCAGCAAAACAACCGAAACTTATTCAGTCCCTTCTCAAGTTACCACCACCGTTAATGAAGTTGAATAAGTCATAAAAGAAGAATCTAAATAAAATTGTGAGGACGTTTAAATATTTGCATCAAATTGATTGAAAGTGTGCAAATTATTCAGTTATTAACTGCAAGTTCATGCCTTGTTACATGTACCACAAAAGAGTGAAGCGCGCTATGAATAAATTATCAAAAAACATTTTTTTTTCTCTCTTCTCGCACTGATACTGACGATGAAGGAGGGTTTGCTTACATTTTTGAGCCCCTCATGGCAAAATGAATATTTTTTATGATTTTTAAAAAGCTTGCAAATGGTTGTAAGTACCAATAAAAATAATTTATCTCGAGCGCTTCCCGTAGTTAAGCAATCATAATTTAAATTTAACAACATTTTATGCAGAGCGTTAGAAGGAATTTCAGAAATTCCACACTAAAGGTCTTGACTTCATTTGATTATCAATTTATCATCTCAAACATTTCTCATTTTGTAGTGCGTTTGTCTTTATCAAGTCGTAATGTATTTGCAAAGGCACGAGTCTATTAATTCTAAATTATACAATGAATATGAGCGCATATCTACATGGAAGTATGTATGTACATTCCATCAAACACATAACAACACGTTCTACCGTAATTTCTTGTTTTAATGGAAAAAGGATTTCATTATCGTAACTCGACTCGTGCTGTTGTTTATTTCACCCAAACATTTAATAATCTCACCCTTTGCCACAACCAAAAGGATTTAAAATTCATGCGTGGGTAATGAAGCTCCAACATTAAAATGATTGTAAGTTAAGATCCATAAGAAGACAAAAAACAAAAAAAAATTACGCAATTTGTGGTTTGATGATGAGTGCTGGTAAAATGAACACAAAAATAAAAACGGTTTCTGTGATTTCCTTCAAGTGAAAATAACAATAAATAAATTTACTTTTAACACCGCATAAACACACAATCCTTCTTTTTTGCACTTTAATTGCTGAAAATATTCATTCATTATGTACATACACTGTGTCACCATAAATTCAGAGAACATTGCTCTTACATTCTCCTCGCTCTTTCTGTTGTTGTTCTACGTTTTCTGCAGTGCCAAACAATGTACCCAAATTAATAATGCTTTGTGCCATTGTTTTATTTCGAAGGACATCCAAGAATTGAAGATACAGAATTTACAGAAAAAGCCACGACGACGAGAGAGTTGAGAATAAAAAAGCATTTATGCACAACATCATGCATGTCGTCGTCGACAAACGTGGAGTTGCAGTTACGAAATAAAAAAAAACAGCACACGAAACATGTTGGTGTATGAAAAAGTGTATAAATATATAAAAAAAGACCTGAACGCAATAAAAAAGAGTTATGCATAATGGCGTATCTAATATGATATTTATTAAGAGATAAAATTGTGTAGCATTTAAACGGGACCCAAGTAAATAAAAAAAACCAAAAATTTATTACTCTACGCAGTGCACTAAGTGATGCTTGAGAATAAAAGCAAAAACCGAGCTTATGAGAGAGTGACAAATTCCTTTTTTTTTTCATGTTTGCCATGGCCTCTGAGATGAAATTTATGTTATTGAATTTTGTGCAGTAAAGAGTTCTGCAAATATCAAAACCCGTTTGAATAAAAATAAAGGCTGAATCGTAACATAACATAACAATGGCAAGTGCATTTTCGAGTGAATTATGAATGCATGTAGCATAAGTCTTACAACATGAAAGCCATACGAAGCATTGTCACTGTTCAAATATGTGCTTAATCAACCGACACCCAATAAATTAATTAACAAGTGCAACATCTTGTTATTTTCCATCCTTTTAATTCTATTCCTCGCTCTCTTGATATTTTACACGTATTTGAACACATTCTTTCACCGGATGTTTGGTTGCCTATCACAGAAGGTGGTAGCCGTAATTAATGCTTCACTGTTTGCGTATGAGTTGAGCTCTCATTAAATTATTAATTAGCAATTCTGTAATTATAATTGCATCAACTGCTAGAGCCCTTCGCAGAAAAATAAATTATCCTGATTCGCTCTATATCTCCCCAAACGGATGCAAAGACAGAAGGAAAGAAAGATAGAAATTAAAGAAAGAAAAACTAGGAGGAAAAATTATAACACCATCGAGAATTTTCAGTATAAATTTCCTACACAAGCTATAGCAAGAGTCGGAGAAAGAAGGCGAAAATATTTAAGAAGAAGAAATTATGTGTTATGCTATATCAGGAAACGAGAAGAAGAATGAGAAGAGAATGAAAACAAAACATAAAAATTAACTGTATAATTTATTTGATATTATTCTTCTCTCCCTCGCCACAGCCGCCCTGAAAAGCAAAAGATAAGAGGGATGCTCTTGCGATATACAATCTACAACAATATATAGCGTAGCGAAAGATAAATGTTCTTTGTTATAAGTTAGAAGATGTATTATCATGAACACAACGCTATTTATGTATTTCTTCTTAACAAACTTTCTTCTTTCTTCCTTTTTGAGCGTAAACTCGAAACATGAGAAAGAGTAAGAAGAAGAATAATTCTAGTTTACTGCTATCATGTGTTGTGCTTTGTGTCGTGTGTACAGATATGAATGTGTTTGAGACGACAAGGGACGATAATATGAAAAATAAAAATCTGTATCTAATACTTACTTATCCAGAGGGGAACCTCCCAAAAATTGAATTTCTGATAACGCTCAATAAATTGGTCACCATATGACTCTACAGAAATAAATCGAAAGACAAGAGAAGAATAAAATATGATGGAAAAAAAACCGAAGAAATTATAACCGCACTGCTATAAAAATTCTATAATAAAGCGACATAAGACATAACATAACACACACATATAAGAAATAACCGGCAATATATCATGTCCTCATACCATTCATCTTTTTTATTGCATTTTGTGAGTTTCCATTTTCTTTATTTCTTTCTTTTCGTGGCCATAGCATGGCTGCGTGTAAGAGTGAGATAGCAAATGATAAAAAGTCATTTCTCTCTGTCACACACTTTGTCGCTTTGATGTATGACTTTTTAGGTTGGTTCCAGCACTGCACGTTATGCTGGGAATTATGGCAAAAAAATTGAACTTTTTTCTTTTTTTTGTGTGTCTTCCTCAAACTCTGTTTTATGCATACTTGAATTTCTTCTTTTATAATATCTACTTCCCACCACCATTCACCCGAAATGATACATTTATGGATTACAGTTTAAGTCATTTTTCGCACAAGTGCTACCGCGCGCCACATTAAAAACTGAAAAAGGAAAGAAAAATGTATCAAGAGAGATTTAGGGGGACAACTTGAATTTAAATATTTTTTCGCTTTACGACAGTCGTTTGAAAGTCGAACAAAGTTGCTTAATGTGATATTAAATGCGCAAAAAAATATATATCGCGTCGTCGAAAGAATTCAAAAGTATTATAAGTATGTTTTATTAGCCAAAAAGTATTTTTCCACCATTGAACGTTTGCGAAAAACGAAAAACTTCTCTTCTTCCATTTCTTCATAGCTGTAACGTTAATGCTTTGGTTTATAATTTTAAATTATGCTGCTTCACCTTCTACGGCACTCTCTTGGTTATGTATCGAGGAGGGTAGGTTATAAGTAAAGCACAAACAGTGGGTGTAGGTGGAATGAGTACTGAGTTTATTTACCAGCGAAAATAATACAAAAACGATATCATATATCACCACGATGAAGTAAAGTTTAAACACGGAAAAAAAAGCGCGAAAGAATTTATGGCACGATTTTAATTGGCTGCTGCTTGCCACCCTCGCCTTCTTTATGTATGTGGTGAGATGCTACATTGTAATTTCTTTCTTCTCTTCAAAGATTCACCTTCTTTATTTAAATTTCCTATAATATCTCGCGGATAAAGCAGTGAAGAAGAAAATCGTTTTTCTCTGTTTGTGCTGTTGAAGAATGAAAAGCAAAACACTGAATTGCACTTTAAAGAACGCCTTAAGAATTTATGTGTATAAACAAAAAAAAGAGAAGAGAATTATCCAAGATTCAAGTAAAATATATCCAAGGCTTATCTCATGCTTTGAAGTAGAATCTAATTACCTTTAATTTACAATATGTATGTGGTAATAATTATATGAAGTGTTAAATCTGATAATGGATAATGTAATGTACCCAGACAATAATTTCATTGCCGCCTCTTCTCTACCGTACCAGTCAAGATTAAAATTTTTGGGGAACATTGCAGAAGGAGAATAGAGAAGATTTTCTATGGAAATTGTAGACTTTATAAAGTCAGAAACTATGTTTTGGGTAAATTTAAATTACATACAATCCCATTGTGCTCGTTCTCTTATTTTCAACAATAAATCTCAACGAAGAAAGCTTTCTTTCGAGCATGTTTCAACTTCACTGCAAGTAAAGCAATTGCTTAGAAAATTTTCTTAATGCGACCTTAATGCGAATAAATAAGTCAAAATTTAATTAAAGTTGTAAATTTTCCGTCTTAATTAATGTTGATGATTGAAACTCACCAATAATAAATAAATAAATAAATAATGTTGGCATTCACTTTCCAATTTATCACTGATAAAATTCAACATTGAGTTCTGATATTTATTGTTGAATTTGGTAACATGACAGAAAGAAAACTAATTTAATTTCATTTGTTAAAGGAGTTAAAGGCAAATATCTCTGTACAACACTTTGAGAGTATCAAATCAATTATGTTATTACTTCCTAGAGTGAAAACATGCGGAAATATGCCTTTTCCTAATCTATGTGTAGCAGTGGAAGAGAATTTACGGTCATGACGGTTGAATGCCTTTGAAAATTGTTTGTATTCTTCTTCTTCTGCTGCTGATATCCAATTCTCTCCTCGAGACAATCATGCAAAACTAGAACTCTGTCCAAAAATTAAATTAAATAAATCCGTTGTCTTTTTTTTCCTACAATCTTTCTCTCTTTCCCATCGCAACTCGCCACCATCATCATCTCGTGTTTATATATCTTCGCCAGAAAAAGAGCAAGAAAAATATTTTCACGATTTTCCACATCGTTGATTGCTAGTAGCAGGAAGAGAATAGAAAAGAATTTTGTTGTTGTTGTTGATGTGAGCCGGGAAAAAAATTAAATGCCAAGTCTTGACTCGCTTTCATATAAATTTAGTAGAAAGGAAAACTTACTTTTCTTCTTCTTATATCTTCATCATCATCCATCCAACAGCAAGCTAGCCTTGTAGTCAGCCAGAGAGCCAACCAGTCACACATTCTATTGTTCTTCAACTTATTTCTTGTTCATGATGTTATTATATGAGTCGTAATGATGACGATTTTCTTTTCCCATATTTCACTCTTTATTTTATTGGATTAGATAGTTTTTCCTTCACGTTTTTCCATTTTATTTATTCATTTGTTTATATGCGAAATTATTTTTATGTGGTGCTTTGAGGCCTTTTTCTGTTTGCTTATATATTGCGTCACGTATAACTTCTGATGATATGTGATGTTTTCCAATCTTCCTTCGGGAGAGAAGAACAAGAACGTGATTTCTTGTTTATGCTTAATGAACTAGATTAAACCCTTCGGTAGCCGCTTCACTCAACCATAACATGCTGTAAGAATATCTTCAAAACATTTGCTGATATAAATACATATCTGACGGTGAAGTTTTTATCGAAGAATTTCACAGAAGATAAAACTTATACGATCTGTTAAATTCAATTATTGTCTGATTTCAATATTGATGTTTCATGATCAGAGAGACTTTAACCGCCCGACTAGTTGAGTAATGGAACATTTAATGAAATTATGTTGTTGGGGTTAAAACGAAATCTTCCTTCTTGAATCTTTCGACTTGGACTTCTGCTTGCTCTTACATGCATCAACCATTCTCATTTCTCACAACAAACACAACTGTTTTAATGATATTCTTAATGAAATTGTAGGGTTGTGAAATTTGTTAAACGTTTAAGCATCAAAAACATTAAATAAATGGCCAATCATGCAGTTAAAGTTTAGCCCCGCAGATATGCATAATTTTTGGTTGGTGGTTGGTTATTTTGAATAATTGTTTTGTATGCAATAATTACGTTAATTGTGTAATTGTAGAGCGCAATGCTTAAGCTAAACTTATGAAGTCGTTTTCAAGCTCAATTGATGCCAATTGTCATGTGAAGTTATTCCATATAAACGCGGAAGCATATTAAGTGCATTTTATATATTTTCAAATGAACTCATGAAGAAGTTTTAGTTTTTGTTTTCTTGTGCTTGCTTGCACAAGTTTAACAGCCACTAATCCTTAACGAGTATCGTGCTATGGATAGAACGAATCGTGAAATTCTTTTTCATACGACACAACAGAGATTTCGTACAATGTAAATGAAAGTTTTGTGCTTGTATTCTTACTTTGAACGTGATGATAAAAGCCATTTCATGGCATCTCAGCATTTGATTGCAATTTTGCAGAATCTTTTAGTATTTTTGTCTTTTGCTTTTCCCTCCCCTCCTTACAACAGGTGCATTTAATTTCCGTTTAGAATCTTCTCAATGATCTTGCAAGGCGAAGATTGTCTGACGAGATTTAACCTCAGTTGTGGTGGTCAGTTAATCTCTATAAACTTTGCCTTCCTTCTTCACCAGACCAGACAAGAAAGGGAACAAATAAAATCTTTTATATAAATTGAATTAATGACAACAAATGCTGATTAATGGCCGTTTCGATATGGGCCATTTTGTGATACGACATTAAATAAAAGCAAAGTGCCGCTGAATGTCTTTTGCTATCTCTCGACAACGTTTAAAAAAACATTTTCGGTATGAAAAAAATACTTTCGACATTTTATATTACGAAGAAACATAAAACAAAAAATATCTTTCGATATCTCGCTTTAAAAGTGCATTAATTATTTTCTTTTTCTTGCTCTCGTTTTTTTTTTGGTGATATTAAAGAATCTGCAACATGCTTTGTGCCGGCACGGCATGCTTGCATTATTCTTATATTCGGGATGAACGAGAGAGTCGGAGAAGCGACTCAATTCAGGTCAATGTACGCGCTTGCTCCGAAGGTCTCGACAAAATTTTTTTCTTCTTCGCCTCCCCATTCGTCCTACCTTTTAATGATGGAAAACCTGCCAAAAAACCTCTTTGTTTTATTGCCTTTGTATCATATAAAGCATAACATTCTGCCGAAATGGAGAACGCTACATAAACAAAAACAAGCTTATCAGCAAATAAAAAGTCAATTCAAAAAGGGCAACAGCAACATACCAAATTTCCACTTACACAGGAATTCACTAAAAGCGAAGCCCGAATAATTTTTTATTGCGAAATTCTTCATTTAGCTACAATGAACAGAAACTTCTTTTAGTTTCGAAAGAATTCTTTTTAAGGGAAACATTTGTGCCGCGTTGAATCTCATGAGATTCTCGTCAGACTTTCAACTTATAAGAAACAAGTTTCATGCGAAGCGATCAATTCGACTTTCTTATTGGAATGAAACTTCTTATAAGAGGAAATTGTTCCTCTTCCCTATTAAAACAACATAAAAATAATTAAATCTAATAAATTATTTAACTCAATCATTATTCTTGTGCGTCGTCTCTTATTAGTCATGAAATCAAGCATGAAACTTTCACATACGAATGAACTTTTTTCTCTCCCATGAATCGACAATTTTTTTCCATCGATTCTTCAACTTATCTATCGTAAAGCATCTAACTAGCACATTAAAGAAGTTGTGGTTGGCGACATTCAGAAACCTTTTTTTAATTTGTTATTTAATTTCATTTCTTTCCATCTCTGTCTCTTCATCTCGACAACATGCCGGTGAGCTATTCTTTCCAACAACACAAAACATTGCATTCGTTAGTTTCATGCACTATTCAATTATATAGGAAAATCCATTTAAGGTTCAAAATAGATTAATATTTTAACTCGAAACAGTAACAAAAACTTTGTCGACAACTTGGAAAACAAACAAGTAATTGAATGGCATTTTCTATTGAAAGATATCGCGCAATGTTTAGGTCGCTTTACAACGTTTCTCATTATTCTCGACCATGTTAAATAAAAAAAATGTCGTGTCGTTTAATACAGAAAAAATAAAAAAGCCACCTGGTTGTTCACCATCAGCTTCAGTTTATAGGAAGACAGAATATAGAATTAAAAGGAAAAAGGCAAAGCAAACAAAATCACGGCGAAAATAAATAATTTATTTAATCAAAACTCTGCTATCAACACGAAATAAAGTGAGAAAACAGAGGTGGGGGCAAAATTGAAAGCTTTTCAACACAACTTTTCATACATACGTCGAGTAAGCTGTAATATAATTCAATTACGTATGGAAGCAAAGATCAACAGCAACAGAAGAAGGAAAAGAAATAAAAGTTAAATGTTTTATGGGTAGAATCAATTACATACGAATGTTTAGAGAACTGAAATGAAAGAGTTTCCATTCGTTTGATGTCTGGGATGGAATTCATTGTTATATCTTACAAAAATATATTTCCATCTATGGAAAACATTGTGGTCGACTGCAATGCATTCGAATGTTACTTGAACTCATGAACATGAGAATGAGAATTGCAAATCTCGTCTATCATTAAGGCCCAGCAGAAATTATTTGAATGAATGAAATAAAATATATTCTAAAACTGACTTCATGCTTGTTACATTTCTAGTCGAAGCCATGTTGAAGTTCTCTCTTTTTTTTTTTCAACACGAAATCCCATTCTTATTCGAGAAACAGAAATAAATATCGACCCGCGACATCAACACATAAATCAATAAATACACCAAAGAAAAATAAATAAAACATAAAATGAAACTGAATAAATTGCGAACTCGTTTTTCATATCATAAGAAGAAAATGTAAAGCGAGAACGGCGAAGTTGAAAAAAAAATGCAAGAAAGGCTTTCGAAGTTGTTTAATGCAACTACAACTTTTTTTTTTCTTCTTTCACGAGAAACTGCAAATGCTTTTTTTATTTCGTTTATCGAGTGAAAAGAAAAGCACAACAACAAAATAAATTCAGAAAAAAAGCAACATGAAAACAGTCTGAGTACGAATAAATTAAAAAGCTGCAGAAAATGCTTACATGCCGATCTCGTTAATCGTAGGCTAGCTACACATTTTGAAGGCGACTCGATGATTGAAGTATGAAAAATAAATTTAATCGATTCATGGCGAGCTTTGATTCAATAAAATTGAAAATAATTTTTTTTAATTAAATTACATGAGTCCAAGAACAACATCAAAACAAAACATTTATTCAAAACAGAGCCTCTGGTCATCCAAATTATTATTCTTCATTTCATTGTCGTCATCTTTTATTTTGCCTTTCAACTGATTCGCTTTTAAATTTATTTAAACGAATTTTAAATCATTTTTTTAGCTCTTCGATTCATGAGCAATACAAAATGAAATGAAACGACAGCATCAGCATAATTTCTTATTTTTCTCTCTTCATTAAATGAACGATTGCAAAACTCTTCGTTCATTTATTTATTTCGTGGGCAATTCAGATTCTCGATTCGATTTCATGACTGGAAATAATCATTCTTCTTTCTTTCATGCTTCAAGATCGCCTTTTTTTATGCATTACGTACAAATACAAAATAATTGATTGCTCGCAACTTTTTTTCACGTCATCAGCAAAATTAAAAGTTCGAATTATAGAACGTTGCATGTATACATCCTTCGTACTTTTCAATTCAACATTCAACCCGAAATAAAATTACATTGAAATGGAAGAATTTTTAATGACTGAAATTTACGAGTTTCAGTTGCAGTCGCTTTTAACGTAAATTATAGCAATTGTACCTGCTTACTTATGGATTCACTCAATATCTGTCTGAATTAATGGCAATTTATCAACTGTTATGTGTTTTAAAATCATTGCTCATATCACTCGTTGACATCACTTGTGAAATGTTCCATGAACAAATAACATCAGCCACAAGTCTCTTATACGCCATTGAATAAGTTGTATCGAAGATATCTCAACTCACCAACGTTATAAATCACAATTTAGGCATACACGAGCTCTTAACTCTTTTTTTTTCTTCATTTCAAGAAGAATATCTCAATTTTTAAATAAATATATATAAAGAAATATCAAGAGAAAAGACGAAACACGAAAATATGCAAATTTTCTTTCGCTTGTGTCGGTTGCTGCTAAGGTTTTGTGCTCTTAATTTCGGGGTATCTTCATTACCGGAATTATAACGTTTTCTGCGAGCCATCTCTTTACATATTTCCATCGAATATATAAACCTTTTATGTCTTCGCCTTTCGCCTGATATCTCAATTATGATACAAGAGAAGTTGAAAGCGACGATATTTCATAAGTAGATATTTGCGCGTCTCGCAGTTTTATTTAATAAATACATGAACCACATTCCATTTTAACTCACAGCAACTCACAAGAGAGAACACAGCAACCAACAACAACTTAATCAACAAAAGTCCTCGAAAGTAAAGTGATAGCTTAGAAAAACGAGAAGTTGCCTGCCACAAACTTAAACCATTTAAATTAATGTCTTCTCATTCCTTTCTCGTTGTTATTTAAATTATAGGTGCAAATGGATTAAGAAGACGAGGCCGCCAAACTTACACACGATACCAAACACTGGAACTTGAGAAAGAGTTTCACACAAATCACTATCTGACAAGACGACGTCGGATAGAAATGGCTCATGCACTCTGTCTCACCGAGCGACAAATTAAAATCTGGTAAGTTCTTCTGCTTCTTCATCATCTTGGGTTTCGAGATAACTGACTTAATGACATTCTTCCTTTTCTTATCATTCCATATTAGGTTCCAAAATCGACGAATGAAGTTGAAGAAGGAGATACAAGCGATCAAAGAGCTCAACGAGCAAGAAAAACAGGCCCAAGCACAAAAGGCAGCGTTAGCAGCGCAAGGTCACTCTATAGAGGGCAATTAGGGGTTATTCTATAATTCGTAGTCGTAAATTTTATATTTAAATTAAATTTGTAAAAATTGATGATGAAGAAATGAACTTCACATAAATACACAAACATCCACACACATCTACACAAACACACACACAATATTTGAAGTAAATATTGAAAGGATTTTTGAGTAAATGAAATTATTAAATTGAATTTTATATTAAGAAGATTTAGAAGTTAATGAGACATGACGTAACTAATGATAACCAACTTGAATGGATTTTTACTTTCATGAAGGCTTAAGTTGAATATTTGTTGAACACACAGCATGAAGAGTGAGGAAGTTTCACTAAGCCAAGTGAAGGCAATGATTTTGATGTGACAATGTGATGTTAAATTATCTAATAAATCTTCCCATGAACATTTTACGTGTTGTTGTTGAAAGCATTCGAAATATTTGAAAAGCTGAAAAATGCTTTTTCATTAAAAGTTTCGCCGACAATTATGGCTGATGCATTAAATGAAAAAATAACAAATAATTTCCATTTTATATGCAAAACTTCAGTGCAGCTTTCAACATAAATTAAGTAAGTTAATTAAAGAACATTTTCGTCTTCATGGAAGATTAGAAGATTCTTTAATTCGCAACATGTCCATCGAAAATGTGCAATTTATTTTATTTTATGTTTTTTGATTCCCCGCAATATTTATTTTATGTTTTCTTATTTTCTTATTTCTTATCTCCTTACATGAAACATCAACTTAATTAGCGTTCATGAAAACAATGAAAAATAAAAAGAAAAATTTAATGATTGACATGTGAAGCTTGAACAATTTTTCATTTCATGCTTCTTTAAGGAAAATATTTAAAAGAAAATTTCTGTTCGTAATTTAATGAATTAATGACAAACTTAATGCTTCTTCATAGCGTGATGTAAATTAGCGTTCAATAAACGTAAAAAAAATTACTTTACATGACAAAAGAAAAATGGAAAAAATTATCAAAGAATTAGAGAAACATAAATACGTAATTAACATGTAAGTTATGATAAATTTGCATATTTTTTTGAACAATATTTTTGCAACAGGACTGAAAGACAAAACTTCAGAGAAAGAAATGAAATAAATCCAAACTTCTGTTGAAGAAGCAGCAATTCATGAGCCTCCAAAATGATCTTTTCTGTATCGATTGGCATTCAAAAAGTCGATACAGTTTCAATGCGAATCACAAAACAAATAAAATAATAAAAAGAAAAACTCAAAAACAAAAATACGTAATTTTAAGTGATATAAAAGATTATTTTTAGTGATCTTATCGACTTCATCAACAATATGGGCCTTTATTTTGATGAAGTAATCCAGCCAAAACATGAATTAAACAATTAGATGTGAAATAAGCATTGTGTATAAAAAAAGTGAAGAAACCGTACGTTATGATTAAACATACAAACAATTTGCATTAAATATCTATTCGATATTGCTGAGTCTCTTTCAAATATATTTCGTAATCGACATAATTTATTTTATCTTCTGTTAAATTAAACAGACAAAAAATTTCTCTTCTAACAATTATCTACATGTGAAGCTCTTGCTTTCATTTAAGTTCGTTATTAACTTTTAGTTGTTGATTTTTATTCTTTTATTTTTAAAAGAAATTTTTCATTAGCATAAAAGAAGAAATTATCCCAGTGAACAAAATGATATTTTAATTCGCCATTTTTTGATGGTAAAAGCAGCTTTTGCGATCAAATGTTTTGACGTATCTTTCTCTCCTTTGTTATTCGTTCATTTAGTTGCTTTGTACATATTAGTTAAAGAATATTTGTGCGTACAACTATCGCCAAACAGAGGCAAAAGAAAAGGCAAAATTAAATAACGAGAAAGTACTTAAGTCGAGAACATCTTTCGATCTTTCGAGACTCAGATCTTGATTTAATGCTATGAACATAACTTTTCTGTTTCTTAAATATCCGTATTACAATTTACTTCACTCAAAAGTCAGAGAGCCATACATAAGTATACTATTTTTCTAGAGGACAAAAAAAAAGGCAAAAAAGAAAAAGATTTGTATAAACAATAATTAAAGCTATAAAAAAAGTATCGATGACAAAAATTCAGGTAAACAATTTTTTCTATTAAAGTTTTCGGAAGATTACAAAATATATTTCAATCATGTTTCGATTCAAAGAAAATTCATCCCGATAATTCTACTTGGTATAAAACAAAAGAAGAAAAAAAGTTTCGTTAAATATATAAGAAAAGTTTCTTTTAGAAATTACTTCCCACAATTACCCTCTTGAAAACTCTTTCAAAAAAAATCATATTGCCATAAAAGTTTGTGTAGTGTATGTTGAGTAAAAGATTAAATAAACTTTTTAACAGTTTTAGGAGAATTTTTGTAAAAATGCAACACACAAAATAAAAATTAAAAGTAAATCTATTTAGTAACGAAAGATCTTCATGATGAGTATACGTAATAGATGTTAAGAGATTTGAATGTAATAAAAACATGGTACGGATTGCATCTTTCCGTACTTCCAGCATAAGTAAACTTCTTTGATTATATAAATTTATTTGGAGAAGAATAAAAAAAAAATGAGGTTTAATTGAACATTGTAAAATAGTTTATTGAATAAAAATATTGAAAACTATACATTGTGAATATTTTTTAATTTTTAAAAGAATTTGGTGAAGAAACTTTATAAGAATTACAGAAAAACTTGAATTATTAAATTGCTGATTGCAAGTAACTTGACAAAATTGTAAGAAATAAAACAAAAGCACAAAATTGAATTTGAATCAAATAACTTTGGTTGCATAAATATAGGCGTAAAAGAAATATCTCACTCATAGATGGCGCAACACCATAGGATTGTAACTTGGCTAATAAATTTTTAGGTTTATTGCCATAAGTCGACTTGTATTCTCATTGAAATTCAATTTTATTGAATGTCTTTATAAGAAAAAGTTTTGATAATAACATTTCATTGTCATCTTCTGTTTAAATTCGATAATTAAAACAACCTTTACTTAAATTGAAAAAACTGTTTCTTGCAAAAAAATTATCATAAACAAAACTTTGTTGTTCGCTTTCATATCACGCGGTATGTGAATAAAAAAGTGATAAAATTAATTATCAACCATCCATACCCTAATTTTCACTCAATCCATTCACGCTGATTGCTGTTGAATTCAATTTCCCATGAACGAGGAAACAGTTATTTCCTTTCGTTTGAAATCATGAAAACGTAAACTTTCACTCTTGTTCGACGGGAGAGAATTTTCCTACAATTTCCTTCTAAGAACATAAAAAAAAGCATAATAAAGAAAATTTTATTACTTACAGAGTGAAAATACAAAATTTTGGATCAACAGGCGGTTTTTTATATTATTTTCATTTTATTGTTATTATCGTAATATTAACCATGATTATTTTTATTACTCAATGCTGCTTTCTCTTTCACTCTTCGATTTTTATGTGAATGCTTGTAACTTTTTATGCTACTTGTTCTCGTTAATCTCAAATACTGTTTCGTGGAGTACCAGAAGTCATGTTTCATTTTGTTTATATCGAAAATGATAAGGAAGGTAAAAATCAATCCCTTCCACTGAGACTTTTACGACTTTATCATCATTTTTATAGCATTTAAAGTGGCTAATACAGAAGCTCAATATTTTATGTTGGAAACTCGATCGTTTTGAACATTTTGCCAATGACAACAAACGAATCTTTTATGATGCAAAAAATATGTAAATTAGACTTTGTTGCTCTTTTCTCCCTCTTGCTACTGTGCGTTAAATTCAGATGCCATGTGGATATATCATAAACAATCAACTGAATGGTATTGAATTTTAAAAATTCCATTTTCACACTTCACTAGAAGAAAATAAAATAAATATTTTGTATGTTATGACTACGTTTCAAATTGTTTCTAAAGCACGAAAACAATGGAAGAAAAAATATTTGAGTCAAGGAGAAGTTATGACATAAACCTGCCCTAAATCATAAAAAGAAATTTAAATAACGAATTGCATTTGACGTATGTTGACTACGCTTTCAGTTTCTTTGTAAAACTTTCCTTATGAAGTTATGATGCTTTGTTTTGAGAAATAACAGAAAAAAATGAAATTGACACGTGACAAGCTACTCGATGCATACATAATTCATGTAAATGATTTATGATGATTTCTTTTCCAATTGCATATGCTAGTGTGAATAATAATAAGTCGAAAGCTGTTAGGAAAGTTGCGAAAGTCATTACAAACTATGTTGGTTTTGCGTTAGACTACAAATAAGCTTTTTTTTCATCCCTTTCGTTCTTCTCGCTAACCAAACCAAACCAAAGTGTATAAATTAAAGAACAATTACTTAAGCCATTGAGAAAATAAATTATTTCGCATATTTGCTAGAGAATTAAAAACAAAATCCTGAAAAGAATTTCAACTCATTTATTTCTTTCCTTCTTTCTCTCCACGAAACGCAAAACTGAAACGAACATTGGCTGGTGAAACAGCAAAGAAGAAAAACAATGGAAAATTTTCCAAGTATGTTGCATGGAAGAGAAATGATAAGAAAAATACTTTATTTTCTCCTACGTCGAATAAATTTTCGCCTCGGAAAAAAAAAACGGCAAGGAGCAGCAAAAAATATGTACCCAGCGAAATAAGAAGAGAACGGCGAAGGATTTTCTTTTTTGGAGGAAAAAAAGTGCCCCAGAAATGGTGGAAAAAGAAAACTTCAAGAACTTTGGATGATTTAAAAAGTGATGACACGTTTATGTTATTGAAAATGATTTTAGGATGAGAAGGGAATGAAGAATGATGTTGGTTTGAAGAATCTTCAAAATAATTAGTTTTTTGACTTGAAGTTCAGTTGGAAAGATTACACGAACTTCTAACATCACATTTAAATCATCCCCAGAGATGTATGTATATACAATAAAGCAATAATTTTTGTCAGAAATTTAATTTGATCATAAATCTCCAAGGCGTATTTCTTCTTCTTCAGCTTCGTTCTTTCTTTTCTTATTTTTTCCCATCTCTCGCATCTTTTCCAACAACTTGTGTTCTTATTTCTGTTCCATGTTATAGATAAAAGTGTATGAGGGTGTTTTTTTTAAAATTTTATTTCATTTCACTCTCACTTGTGCTTTACACACACACACACAAGATATAAAATGAAATATATTGTACATATAATAAGATTTTCATTTTTATTCCGATCCGATATAATTTATTGTCTTTTATCTTTTGAGTTGAGAAGAAAAGAGCACCAAAAAAATAAGAACAGTGAAACTTTCCTTTCTCCGCGTCTTGTAAGACAAGCAGAAAGCAAGATGGAAACTTGAGTATAACTCATAACTCACCCTAAAACATGAAATAAACAAAAAAGAGAAGTTTTCTTTCTGCACACCAGAAAAATGGAATAAAAACATGGAACAGCAATCTATCAAAGTTGGAGAGAAAGAAAGCGAAATAAATTGCTTGTTGTTACATAGAATAATATAATATCGAGAATCGTTTTCTTCATAAGATAAAATTTAAGTAGCAAATGTGTGATATGCCACTTGACTTGCCTTCCCTTGAGTTTTTCCCAACTTTTCTTATCTATACAATGATAGCAACTTTTCCAAGTGCCATCATTTTTCTTTCCGTCCCAAAATCAATCCCTTTCTTCCTGTACCCGACTCGCATTCGACACAAAATGAAACACTCGAACGTTCCTCGACAAATGTCGTTTGCAGAGCAATTTTAACATTACATAATAAATCATTGATTGAGCCCTTCGGTATAGAAAGAAAGAAATAAATTTCTTTTCTCGCATCTTTCTCTCAGCTTCTAATCTCCTCGACACGACACAACAGAAGCGCAATTCTTTTGAGATTCATCTTATTGTCGTTTCGGCAATTTCCAATTATGTTAGTTTTTTTCTCTCTTTTTTTTATTATTATTATTTTCAACATCGCTTCACAATGAAGTGGAATGGTTGTTGGGCGTCTTCTGTGAAACGGCGAATAATTTTCAAGGGAAACATAAAAATAATGAACAAACGAATATCCATCATTTTCACTTTCAATTAACAATCTCGACGTGCTACGATGGAGGTCGCCGAAATAAAAATGCAAAATATATTAAAAAAAGAGAGATGAAAGAAATGTGAAAGCAAAATGACGAAATTATAGCCTAATTGCGTGCTTTGCCTTACTTACTAGAACTTTATATCTTCCCTGCTTTCGTTTTTCATATTAAGGATACTGCTTTTCGATTGTTTTGATGGAACTTTAACAGAAGAATTAAAGGCATGGCACGGGAATGAATGACTGAGAAACATTCATCCAAACTACACCCATCGCTAATTTAAGACACTCGAATAAAAAGAAACATTAAGCGGCATATGATGGCATGAAATCGAAGGGTGACTAGATGTTAAATGATTAATGTGATAAAAGTTGTTTGCTTTGATGTTGTTGCATCTTATTTAATTATATGTAGTTAACTTTTAGAAAGATTAAAAGCCCCTATCAAGATGTTTTTTACTGCAATAATTTCAAAGGAAAACAAAATTCGATGCAGGGTTTGGTTTCTGAAAGCAACATAAGAAAACCCTGAAATATCTTCATAACCTAAAATTTTATTTTATTTCTCATAAAACCATTTCCCATAACAATATTTATGTCTTATGATCACCCTTAAACGAAATCTAAAGCACAAGAAAAAAAGAGTATCTGAATTAACACTTGAATACTACCAATAACAATGATGCTGCTGAGATTTAATGTGAATTTGAGGCGCACGTCGACTAATGGAAAGAAAAAGGCGAAAGAACATAAAACAAATTATAGCAGCGTTGAAAGGAAAAGACGAAATAAGAAATCACACTTACCTTTAATTATATTTTTACAAGCTGCTTGGCATGTTTACTTATCATTTTTTAATGCCTCGAACACTGCCTTGTCACGTTGTTTGTATCTCGGTTGGTTAATGATGTTGTGCACAGTTGCCGTCCTTCACGCTCAGGTTGCTTACGCGGGGTGCTCTCATCTTTCTTCACATAAATTTTACGACTATGGTGAAATATTTGGCAGATTCTCTCTCACTTACTCACTCACTCCTCGACATTTCAGAACATACCAAACACAATGTTCTTATGCTTAGTAATTTGCTGTCGAGTGAGTGAGCCCAGTTCTTTCTCGAAATCCACATTCCCTTCTTTTATGCTTCTTGCCTGCTTAGATATTACTAATTTATCAACGCCGCAATAAATTCACTTTAAGGAGGAAGATTTATTTGCAAACTTCTGCTTACTACTCGCTTTATGCTGCAAACGGCTCAGGCTCTTCTGTGTTCTTTCTGTCTTGCCTCTTAATATTTATGAAACAGCTGCATAACATTTTCATCACGAGAACGGTTGGTTGGAGGGCGAGGGATGGCATGGAACGAAAAGCTTTCGCTTCCTTACTTCTCCAACTTTTTCTTTCGTGAATTTTCAATGATCTACGACACGTGTGCTTGATAGAGAGTTTTGTAATTAAAATCTACTTTGAACTCAGCATTTGCTTAAAAGCATCACAAAGTCATCCTGGTTGGAGCAAGAAGAAATTGAACAAGGATAATTTATGACAAGCAAAGCCAAACAACAAACTTTTCTTCCCTTCTTAGTTCTCACCGAGACTCATAATTTAAAGGCGGCGGTCGGTGCTTGGTGCATTTTAAAATTTGTTACTTTCATAACTAGAACTTGCATTTTTATTTCTTTTAGACATTTTCCCTCGTCTCCTCCCCATGCCAGCTCAATTTGTTCGTGATGATTATTTTTTCTTTCTTTACTTCTTTTCTGGTCACATAAATGGGAAAAGTTTTTCCTTTCTCTCGATTTTTTTTTTCTTCACATTTCATGAAAAATAAAGTTGCAGAATCATCGTTAAGAGTTATGTACTTGCCTGCTTGCTTTATTGTGCACTGAAATAGGTGGAAATTTATTCGCCAAAGCTTTGTTGGCTCTCGGGTGGTATTTTCTTATTCCACACCATCGATGGAACTTTCTTAAGCTTGCTGTGAAGAAAAGTTTCAAAAACTTCTTCACTTTAAGCAAGGAATGAGAATGGACTCGTCGTTCTGCCCATAATTTTTCAAAACGAAAAAAAGTTGTGCCTTCAAGCAACAACTCTTTTAATAAACTCGCGTCGTAAATTACTAAGCGCATCTATCTAAGTATTTATATTCAAACCATTATCTGTCATTGTCTTGGCAGAAAGAGAGAGTTGATAATAAAAGTTGGAAGTAAGATACTTACGGGGGTGGTCGACTTCGCCATCATTGTAGCAGTTACAATGTTCATGAAGCGCAGCACTTCAACTCGACATTTTTCTGTATCGTTTAAATTCTATTGTTTGGACAAATTGCTTGGAGGATTAGAATCATGACATATTATCATCTCTCACCCCATTTGCAGCTCGTTTCATGTTGCTTTTTTATTCACTTCATTCCTTCTTGTTTTAAATAATTCGGGGGTTATAAAAGCAAATGTGTCGTGTCGTTTTCGAGATATTACTTAGTGCATTTGACATTAAAATAAGATTGGATGAATTTTAATGGATAATTTATTTTTGTGAAGTCTCAAAGCGAGTGTTTTAACCACGATAACGCCTGTGTTGTTTGGTTTTTAACACCACGGTAAGCTCAAGGGAGAGAAAGACACAAAAAAAAAACTGAATATTCATTTCAAATAAAGAAATCAAAAACTAACCGACCCAACAATTCATGAATAAATTTTTTTCTAATTGTTGAAAATCTGTTAAATTCATTTTGGATATTTTCAGAAGATATCTAACTTTGTCCGACAAACTTTGTCGTAAATCAAACCACGAGAAAGATGAAGAATAAACAAATTTACATAAATTGATAAGAAGCTCTCCCGAGGCCATTGTTTTCAAAGACTTCTAACTTTCTTCCACTTTCTTCTTTCGAAATGAACACTGCAAATTATATTCCATTGTGCCATGGAAGATAAATTTCGACAAGAAGAGAGAAAAACGAAAGAAAAGAAATTTAGAAAATTACAACACAACAAAAATGTTCCAAGACCGGGGTAAATAATTCAATGACATCACAAAAACTTTTTCAACCTTCTAATTGCCATTATTCACTAATTTACTGGTTTCTCGTTCAGTTTCAGGTAAATTTGTTGATGGCTGCAAAGTCAACCCTCTGCCATCTTGGGACGACACTTTACGCAATCCATCCACAATCCCCTCGCTTCAGACGGTGATTTATTGTTGAAATTATTTTTGTGTAGATAATTTATTCCCTTTTTTTCCCACTCAGCTACACACTCACACACATACACACACAATTTCTTCTCGCTCTGAAAAAGAATTTTTTAATGTATAATTCAGACAATAAATTATGTAACAGAGGATAGCGGCTGAAGAAAAAAAAAAGAACGAAAGAAGAAAAATGGGAAAAAAAGCAGCAGAAAAGTGAGAAAGCAAGAGAAAAGAAGAAACAAGGGTGGCTGTCAAGTAGGGGGAGCTTACAAAACCTTTTTTTTTTCTCTCTTATTCCATGGGAATTAATAGAACGAAACCAGCACGAATCTTAAGCCTTACGCTTTATTTTGAAAAGTGTGGGGATTTTTTTTTCATTTCATTTCTTTCTCTGCTGCTTCCCTCGCCATTCGAACAGCAAAACAAAGTGCTGCTTGCCTCAGTAAACGAGCGGCAAATAAGAGTAATGAGCAGAAGGAACTTGAGCATAAGGATCATGTATTATAAAATATATTCATTCAAAATAGATACAGAAAAGTTATGTTGTGCGGGGATTTTCTTCCATCTCGAGATGCCTTTTGCCTTTCCTTGCTTGTTCGTGTTGTTCTTGTTGTTGTTGACGAAGAGAAAGGCCATATTTAAGACGAATGAATGGCGGAAGAAATGAAATGGAGAAAATTAAGTGCCCTCGTTATTGTTTGTAATTATTACAATGTTTTCCTATTGTAGCACTTGTTTCAAAAAAAAAAAAGAAGAAAAAGTTCTTCTTCCTCCCTCACAGATTTTCTTTTGCAATAACTTTTCCCTCGACTGGTTTGGAGTTTTCTTTAGAAAATTTATGAAATACTTAATGACGATAATTCTTCCGTATTATCCACAAAGAAGAGAGAATATTAAAAAAATAGAAGGAGTTCCAAGCTTCGCTTTTGTTCAATTTTCATGATGTCGAGTGGCATTGTTTTATCGGGAATAAAATTTTTCATTGAGTGACGATGGCACATTTTTGTGGTTAATGAATTTTTCGTTTAATGCGTTTCAAATTGATTTCCATAGCGTCGACAAAAAACAGAATGAAACAAAAACGCGTCGTAATTTAGAGCGTAAGCCAAGAGCTAGCGTTGGGGTGGTTCGGGAAAGAAACGTTCATAAAAGCTTAAGGGGTGAAGTTGTTTTACATATTTGATTCATTTTTAATGGCGCATTGAATATCACGTTTCTCGAGGCATGTAGCGATACGCACATTCATTCACACAATGAAAATAAAAGGATAGGAAAAGATAATTTATTGGAAAATTTCTCTGTTCCTATAATTTCTACGTGACGTGAGAAAATGGGAAAAACTGTTTCGGAAACTAAAATATTTCAAAATGAAGACAAGAAAAGTTTTTTAACATATTTATTCTTCTTTTGGCGTTCCATGTCGTCTTCTATCATGCGATTAACATTTTTTTCGCACAAATAATAAATTCGGCCGTAAATTATGTCAATGTTTAATATTTTTCGGAACCAAATTTTTTTTCCTCTCGACTCTTGCTGTTCAACTGAATGAAAAATGTCATTTTTATTTATTTTTTGTGTGATAGTTTTTCCTGGATAACTCACAGTGTAGCGAATAAGAAAGAATTTTCTCAAGCCAACAACGAAGACGACGCCATGTCGCCATACATAACAAATAAGAATTTCAAATAAATAAAAAGTCATATGTATGCAACATATTTAATCTGAGTCTGGCTATCATGGTTGAAATCAAATGGGAAAACGCTTAATTGGATTGGACATGAAAAATAATGTAGACTTGAAAATTTTCTTGATTAACTTCCCAGTTTGCTTTGAGCGACATGAAATTTTCTTTTATGTTAATGAAAATAAATTGATTTTATGTTGAGCATGGAAATCCAAATCCTTTCTTTCTTCATCTCAACATGAAAATAAATTTCATGAAAACAAATTTTCGTTATCCGGTGTAAGTTTTTTCTTTCTTTACTCGGCGTGTGTTTAACTTCCTAGTCCCATAAAATTCATCACATTACACTACGCGACATTCATCACACGTTTCTTATGAAGAAAATTAAATTGCTTGCTTGTCGCAACAAACCGAGACACAAAAAATCTCAAATTACATTGTTTGCCATTTTACATTTAAGACTGAGTGGTTTATATTTTTACTAAGATTTAAAAGATGTTTGCTACATTCAACACGAACATAGAAATTGTTTCAGATCCGATTACGAAATAAATTAAGGAATCTGATATGATAAGAAGACAAAAAATTTTATTTCTTCTGTCTCTGATGCAGTGGGGAAAAACGAGAGATTTATATAAAATATATTGCGAGTATGATATTTTGAGCAAACAACAAATATTGCTTAATCTCATAAATCAGCAATGTGAAAACAAAAAAAAAGACTCTCATTCTTGAAAAGATATTATTCTGACTTAGTTGTATGTAGTTTTAATTCTCAGGAACATTAAGATTAAAAAAATAAAGACTCTTAGTGTAGGAGAAGCATTCGAGGAAGGAAAAAAAGAATGAATAAAATATTTTCCTCAAACACAAGAAAAATAGTTGAAAAATTTATCTTGTTATTTTTTTTTGTTATTTCGCGCAATGGCAACAATTTATTTTTTCATTTCTGTTCTGATAGATTTATTGCTCTTTTTTTTCAGACAAAATGTCTGTGATGGCAAGCTAAGCCAATGAATATTTTCAAAATATCATGCTCGACACTTTTTTGGAATTGAAAAATTTCCTTAACAAAAATTCAATTTTGATCAACGAATGATTCAATGATGAGATTTATAAGACTTTTCTCGTACTGATGATTGTGCAAAAAAAAAGACAAGAAAGGGAAGGAAAGTCTTGAGTTTTAGGCAATGCCTTCCTGATTTTCATTCCGCCTGCTGTGGAATTATTCAAATTTTCCAAGCGAGAAGAAATGAGAGAAAAAGTAACATAAATTTCATTCTGAAATTTCAGCAAAAAAAAATTACTCTATTGAGCTTTTTATCCCGGCTCAATAAATTTTCATAGCTGGCGTCTTTATTCAGAATACACTCCAAAGGAAAAAAAAATTCTCCTTCCTCGAAACGTAAAAAAGATGAAAATAAATTTAGCTCAAAAAGCCAAGAAGTTTCAGCTGAGAATAAATGAAAGAAAAAAGAAATATCTACTAGAGTTTGCAACTTTTGTTCAGGCAAATCTTTGGTACCAAACAGAAGTAGCAGCGTCAGAATAACGTTCAAAACATCTTGACGGAATTTGGATTAAATCCATTAAAATTCTTCAAGCAAAACTCGTGAAGACGAAGCTATAGAAAAATTCTTTCTGAAGCGACCAAAAACTCATATAAATAAAACATTGAATAGAGTTGAGAAATTAGAAGAAAAAAGCAATATGAAAAAAAAGAAAACGTGAAAGAAAAGTTTTTTTTTTCCTTTCGGAAAAGCGTCTGATTTATTTGTTTATTTTTGTCCCCAAATGTGCCAACTCTGCAAAGATATTTTCTATTTTCCTTTTTTTCTCTGTTTACATTTAAATTTAAAATCATCTGAAAAATTCCTTCCATGCCGAAAACCTCGAAAATAGTTTCATTTCTCTCTTTAGAGGATTGAAAGAAATTTTCAAGTCGTCTTCACTTCACCGACAACAATTCGAAAGCATCTTGTGATCGTGTAATTTATTGTGTGATTTTTCACGTGAAACGAAACGAAGCAAATACATAACAAGATGATGAATATATTTATTAAAGAACAAAATGATTTCGTTCCCATGTTTCAACAACTACAGATCTTATTATTCCACTCTTTGAAATCCATGCATCTTCATTGATTCTGAAAATGCATTCACGCAGTCGAGATTTATGATTTATGTTTGCGGTAATGCAGTGAAGATGTGAAGGAACAAAATAAGAGCTTAAGGTACATACATATAGAGTGTGTCGGCAAGAGTTGAAAATATAAAGATATTTATATGATTTTTCCGGCACTGTAGCTCAGCATAAGCATAAGCATAAGCGAGTTCGCTTAAGAGTCGGAATGTATTCTTATTTTCTTTGTAACATAATTTATTGATTTGGAAAGCTTAAAATATCTCAAGCACACAGCCGAGTCACTTCTTTCTCTCTCATTCCCTTATAAAAGTATTCAAAAGCGAACCCTTTTCAATGAAATTAAGATGTTAAAAATCGAATCGGTTCAACGTGTAGAAAACTTGACATGGAAGAAATAAAGAAAAAAATATGAAAAAGTGTAAAGAAAATAAATCGCTTTAATATCGAAGTGTTAAGACATTATAAAAAAAAGTAACATGAAATGAAAACGAGTAACAACCACAAGAAACTTTTCACTTTCATGTTTCTTAAGTCTTCAAGAAATGAAAATTACTTTGGCTCAAGGGAGTCTCAAAAATGCTAAATTTTTTAAGTGAATGAAGAAAAAGTTTCAAAGTATAAATTTTCGGTTTGTTAAGCTCGACTATTCTAGCATGAACCACAGAAATTCTGGGAAAATACAAGAAACACAAACCGACTTGAAGACTGAAACCATTTTTGATGTGGTTGAGAAATGTAGAAATTAAGGAAGAAGAAAATTACATGAACTGAAAGGAACAAAAAATATAACAAAAAATATAACAAAAAATCGTTTTCTCATGTTTTCTTAGTCTCGTGAGGATTTATTGTAAAATTTATCGGCTATGGTGAGATATTATTAATTGCAGCTATTAAGCAAATGCTGTTTTAATGAGAAGTGATTAATTATCTCACTTTGAAAGATTATTTCTCTAGAAGCAAATTTACAACTTTTTGATAACATTAACATTTTGATTTCGTATACATGTCGAGTGTCAAACGATCGATAAATTATATGCGATATGAGATTGATTCTTGAAATTCGGGCTCACATTTGAATAAGAAATCTGCGATGAATTGAATTATTTATTGACACAAATAGTGATAACATTGGAAATTTATTCTGATTTTATACAATGATTACAGGTTCTGTGAAAGCGAATGAATTATTCATGTTGTTCTTAAATAAATAAACATTCACTTAATAAGTACAATGAACTCTTCAAAACTCTCTTAAATAATGAATTTCTTTGAATACAATTTCAATAAACGATTAAACTTTGAAAAGTTTTTTTATTCATAAGTTTAATCGGTAAATTTTCAACTTCACACGATTAAACTATTGCCATCGATACCACTTGCCAATGCAATTTATCACTTCGTAAATTATAATAATTTCCGCCCCGTATCTAATAGTTACCAGAAACATTTGCATTAGCTAACAATTCTTTATCTACAAATTCTAAACCGTAGCTAATTTTCACAGCAACACAATTTTACTGCATATTTCATAAAATGCTTACATAAGCAAAACTATTTCTTTATTGTAACTTTAACATTTAAAGTTATTATTCAACAAGTGTAAAATAATTGTCAAAGGACGGACGTTTATTCAAATGTCTCGTTCTCCTTGAGACAGAAATTCAACTTCGTTTGAATAGGTCTAATGAGTATTTGAAGGTTGAACTTACACTAAAATTTGTTGTCAAAAAGAAAGCAATTTGAATTTTAACCTGTTGCATAACAGTTGTTGGTAAAATGCTTTCTTTTACCTGTGTCCGAGACAATTCGTGTTGTTCTTAAAAATACAAATTTAAGGTTGAATCTTACGTCACAGAGTTTCAAGAGAAGGCCACAAATGTAATAAAAGAAATGTCTTTAGGGAATGAAATCATTAAAGCATGACATATTTTTTTATGATGTGAGACATATTTAAAAGTTCACAAAACTCATCACGTTGCGAAGCAGACAATTTCAACTTTGCTTGTCTTTTACTCTTGAAATATTCTTAGAAAAGCGTATTGAACTATTGGAAGCAAATTTGTTTAAGAATCAATGTCAATAAATTTCAATTTATTTATTTTTATTTCCAAATAATGAAAAGTAATGGAGATGTGAAAGGTTTTCCTTTAAAGGAGAATTTTATGAAGAAAAGCTTTCGATATGTCATGTTTTATTACATTTTGATTCAGTGTTTTTATGAATATATTCATTCATTTGTAACTTTTCAAATGGAATCTATAATGACAATAAAAGAAATTCTTCCTTATCCCTGATGACAAAAAGCACAAACGAAAATAAATATGAAGTCGCGTAGAAGAGACAAGCAAAATTTATCTTTTATCTTCATGTTTTAAAAACAGGCAACAGACGTGACTTTTATTGAAAATTGCGTTTTAAGAGTTTAAATATGTTCTTCTTCCTATTTCACAGCACATTTATGGATAAGTGTTAGCATATAAGTAGCAACGATATGTGAAGGAAGAAATGATAAATTGTTTTTGAAATAGTTATAATTGCTCAACGTTTAAGAATTTAACTCAAAGCCTAGAAAGAACAACAAAGCGAGGATTTATATCGGAAGAGTTTTAAGGGAAGAAAAGAATTAACAAAGAAGTTATGGCAGGCTGCGAGTTAATAAATATTTATTTTAAATTGCAGAAACGTGTCTGCATTGCTCAATCAACAATCAAAAAGCAATTCCTTTCCGACGCTGATGTTTGATACACTCAAAATATGCATACAAATGAAAGGTAATATGATTTTTTGAAAATAATTCATACTTTTAAGCAACTTGCTATGATCAGAAAAGCAACGCAAAATTCATTTTTGTTTTGTTTCTTTCATTTCAATGAAAAAAAAAACTTCGTGGTAGGTGTTGAAATTTATTTCATGGAATTTTATGGCACACAAAATGATAAATGGACTTTACGAGTGTCGACACTGGTGATATACTCCGACTAGCATGTTGTTCTGATAAATCTGCTTTGTCAGGTTTTACGCGTTTCGTTTGAATCTTGTTTCTACTTTTAACAAAATTAATTTCATTAAAAGATGAAACTTCAACTCATTCTTAAAGTAATTTTCAAACGGCTCATGAGGATGGAATTTCTCTCTACTCCGGTAACTCTAAATATAAATTATCTTCCCGTTTTACAATTATGAATTGTCTTTTATTAAGCGAGAGCGCAACACGTTAGTTTGTTACACAAGGACAAATAGCGTTGATAAAATGTAAGAGCAATTAAATGCCACAGAGAAGAACGATGGTACGACACCATAGCAGGCAATAAAATTTACTTCAACAGAACACAAAAAAAGTTATCAAAACATTTTGATGAGAGAGGAGTTTATGTTCCACTCAAGCATGTAATAATGTTATTGTGGCGCGCAACATATAATTAAAGCGATTATCACACAATAAATTCATTCGTTAATGCTCGATGTACAATTCTGCACAGTTTGAATAAGAACAAAAAAAAGCGAGCAGTATAAATGACTGTGTAAGCAAAAGAAGAATGAGAAACAATAAAGAAAAATTAGATATGAAGACAGTTGTATTAAAGGGTTAAATGTGCGGCATAACATTTTGACCTCAGCCCATTTAAAATTCGTGAAAATTATTTTAATGTTTATTGCTTCATTGGACAGCAATCAATCAAAGTCATGAAGTAAACACAATGAATGATTGCATTAATGCAATTTATGGTGGAGCCAAGTTTTCTTGGAACGAAATAAAATAAATCGTTGATTAATTTCAGTGAGATGAGCCCGAAGGCGAATGAGAATGAAAGAGCTAGAAAGAATCTTTTTTATGAATCAAGTGTTAAATGAACACCGACTCAATCGGTTAGAAATTGTGAACAAGCTTAAGTGAAAATGGCTCATTTATCAACAGTCAAAACGGAGACAACCTCATTAATTTCTGTCAAATTAAAAAATGTTCGTTATCAAATTTCATGTTTTATTAATGATCTTCTTGTATTAAAATGACATTTCAAAAGCTACACAGAATATTTCCTTTCAAAGCATATGATTAACTGTCAATGCAATTTTTCAAAATAACAAATAATCTTAAAATTATTTCATTCAAAATTTCAAATGCCAAAACTCAGAATTGAAAAGTTTTTTTTTCTTTTTGTTCTTATCAAATGCTCTAAGAATGATTTTGGTTTATAGGCGGAATTTCTTTTTTTTTCTCACATCTACGCACATTTCGTACGCAAAGGAAAAAAATCTCGACACGCAAGCAATAACAATAAAAATAATAATGTGAAAAAATAAAACATGGTCATAAAGCATTTTGATTACACATTCAACTGAAGAGCATGATATAAAGGAAGACTATGCGAGTGAAAGAGACAGGTTGAGTCGTAAACAACATTAGAGAATGATTGATTTATTTTTACACTCTCTTAATATTTATTGTGTTGGTTTTGTTCGTATGAAAGTGTTAGTGAAAACGAAGAGAAAGAGCGAGAAATGTTTCGTTCGTATTCGTTGGTATTCGTGCAAGCTTTGTGGAGCTTTCAAGATCGTCAGAGCCATTCACTCTCCAAAATTCTTTACATCTTGATACAACATGAATATCATGCAATTCACAATATGAAAATCGAGGTGATAAAATATTTATTAAATTACTTGTAAATTATTATATTGCAATTCCGATGACATGTAATGAAATGAAGTCATTAAAAATTTTGTTCACTGAAAAATATTTGATTTCTCCATCATAAAGCTGTTGATTAATTTATGTTCTATTAATGACATTAATTAGATTTAGTAAAGTTTATTAAAAATATTCTATTCCATTAGAGCTGACAAATACTAGAAGCAGATTGTTATTCCATTAATTGTAAGAGTTATTTTACATGATCTATAAATTATTCAGTAACAAGATATGTGTAATCAGTTTTAGACAAATAGTTTATGATAAAAATTACTTTAACAACTTTCAAACAGGTACTTATTTAAATTCACAACTCTAAATAACTTTAAACATGAAATGAAAGTTCTCAACAAGCTTTAGTTAGTACATTGGTAGAAAACTAATAAAAAACGTATCGCTATAGAAATGAATGCGAATATGTTTGTTCTGCCGCCGGAGAAGCGCGAAGCAGCAATTAAATTTTATGACTATGAAAATAATTATAGGAAGAAAGGTTGTGTTTTGAATGAAATTATTATTCAAATTAAAGCGTCTGTTATGTATTCAACAAGTTACATAAAAAGCAAGCATAAAAGTTGTCACATCAAAGTCATTGTGCAGATCAAAGTGTAGCGATGAATAATTTATGAATTGAGGATTTACATGTAAAGTAAAACTACTTCTGTTGCTTAGATTTTTTTTCCTGATCATTTAAGTGTTTTATTTGTTTATTTTTTTTATCTTTTTTGTTAAATTTATGTTCAACATTGATCCAAACCAAAGCAAACTCATAACTTAAATGACATTGTTTTTAATAAACCAACACCGTATCATGATCTATTTTATTGCATTTTAATAATTTCAATGACATCAAAATAAACTGCCGTAAAATTGTTAAAACTTGTTTCCGCAGTACAAAAGTGCTGGCTACCCTTAGTTCAACATATTTACAGCTTGGACAGATAATAATTCATGACACATCAATAAAATATATTGTCTGAAAACAGGATTCAGCTTTTTTTTTCTGGTCATACAAAAAAGCTTCACCAAACTCAAATATATTTTATCTGCGTGGAATTTTTATTTAAAAAAAGCGTGGTGGCCAACTGACTATTGTTTTCCATAGTTTTTGATTCAAAAATATCATTATTTTCATAGGATAGCCAAGAGATGCAAATTTGATTTATTCTACAGTGTGATATATGGAATTTTTATTGAAATTTATTATTTGAACGTTTTTTATTCTTTTCGGATTGCGAAGTTTGATTATGCAGCAAACTCATGAATGCATTTGCCAAAATAAAATATAAAACTAGATCATATATTGCTTTTTGTTATGCAAACAAACAAACAAACAACTGGTTAGTTTCAAGCTGAGAGAATAAAGCTTAAAGACTGAATAATTTTGATTCTCATTCTTGTTAATTTACATTAATCGTTTAATGGAGTGAAAATTTTAAATGATCCACTCTGTACTGATAGCACTTTCGGATAAATATACGTAATAAATCATGACTTAATTAGATATCTTTATATGAGAGGCACGATACAATGCATATGTTCGAAGGCTTTCATAGTTTGAACTTTCGATAAGTAAACTGAAGAATGTCAAATATTATAATTACTTCATTTCTGAAACATCTGTGAAACTATTTATAATGCAGTTAGTTCCTAGTTAAACACACAACCTGTTATGGCTCAACTTTACACTCCAAAACGGTTTTCATACTTAATCTTACATATTATATCATAAGGTTAAAGGTTTGACATGAAAAATGTTCTCAAGAAACTTAAATTCCTCTTCAAAGATATTGTAAAAATGAATACTTTTTAAGCAAGAGAAGGAAAGAAAAGACCATATCTTAATAAATCATCTTTAAGTATGTGGCGTTTTTTTCTCTTGCTTTCGTCTTTTTTCCGTCTGTCAGATTTCAAATTCATTTATTCATAATGGAGCTGCATTTTACTAAAAATGGGTTGAACGAAAAGCTTTCGAATGAAAGAAACCATGGAGTTTAAGCTGCACAGCAGTTGCCCCAAAAAAAGAACAATTTCCCCCCTTCAAAAAAAGAAAGGTAAAGTGAAAGGTTTAGAGAGAATACAATTATGGGCCTAAAAAGTTTTAACTGGAATTTTCTAAACTTTTTCTAAAGCCTCCACCATAATTTATTGCTGTTCCGGAATCATGCGTAAAGAATATTTTTGCGTTGTTATGCGCGTTGTGGAGACCCAAAAATTTATTGCTCGCTTCGTATCAAAATATGTTGTGTGTTTATTTATTGATATTGTAAAGGCTTTTTTATGTACTGCTCTTGTGTAGTTTGTGCTGTGCGGAATCCTGAATGTGAAAATTTAATGTGTGTACCATATTAAAAAGCGAGAGTATTATTTTTCCTTTTTTTTCGTTATATTAAGATTTATTGTGTGTGTGCTAAAATATGGAATGTTTTGCATATAGTTTAATTATTTATTTTCATTTGTAATTTATTTCCTTGTATCAAAGAGTTTGACTTTCATTCTGTATCAGTTCATGTCTTCTCTCGACACATTGCACGCTGTTGAGAGCATTAAAAAATTAAAAAAAAATTCACTTAATTAGCACAACACCGAAACATACTTCTTATCACTGATGTTGAAAGAGTATCGTATGACGTATCACTCTCTTGATACTTAATAATATGATGCTTAATTAAATTAATTAACAATGTTTTTTCATAAAGCATACACATCATTCACACGAGCAACATGACACTACACGCAAACACCTTCTCCAATCCGTTCAAAATTATTCTCCATAACTGAACTTTCTGTTTAGGGACGAGCGTGTGTAAACATAAAATCTACTAAATTAATCCAACATCCCAACATTTCTTGCATATGATCATATAGCAACTTTCATCCACAAAAAATAGCGTAAAAGTAATTAAAATTAATTAAATTTACATTTTGTGTTTAATTCCTTTTTTTCCTTTTGCCAAAAACATTTTCTCTTTTTTCCTGCATATAAAATTAGTTTTTCATGACAAATGAGCTCGCAAGTGAAAGTAATTAAAAAATTAAATTCATAAATTTGCTAGGTGAACTGTTGATGCCATGTTGAAGAGAAAAAAGTTTCATTTCGATGGCAAAATATTTCGCACAACCATTTTGAAAGGACGAAATTTCTCTTAATGACATTTTCTCTAAATTAAAAACCGCAAATCGATGAGAGTATCATCATTCATTCAGTCATCCCCAAAAGTTGTTTCCCTCACAAAAAAATCTCATTTAAATTATCATTTTTATTTTTAAATGTTATCATTTAATGCGAACCCTCCACGAGAAAACATTTGTTATTCAATTTCCACCCTCACATTAATATCTTTTTTTCCAGCGGTTTTTTAACTGTGAAAGATGGCAAAGAAGATTCTTCACATATTTTCTTTATTCAGCCTTAGTTTGTTTCTGAGTAGGAATAAAAAAAGCAGATACAAAATGAAACACGAGGAAATTTAATGCAATTTTAAATATATTCGAGCGAATTGCGAAACAGATAAAAAATACATTAAGCAAATAAAAATTGTAAAAAAAAAAACAGAAAATAGCCAAGAGAGACTGAAGACAATATACAAACTCCTCGCTTATTATAATGCAATCTATTTTGCAGGCATTGAATGAAATATTTTCTACTTAAGCACAAAATCTGAAGAAGCAATTAAAGATGGGAAACCAAAAGAGATTCGTATTCTCAATTGACTTTGGCACTTGGAAGAAGGAGAATGTCGAAGCAGTCACAAGATTTATGGTTTGGATAGTCTATGGAATACGGAATTTTCGGAACTATTAATTAATGAGGTTCGAGGGAAAATTTGGCTACGAAAACTTATGAGTTTATGACTTTTTATGGCTTTAAGATTTTATCCAACATAATGGATACAAATTGCACTACGCATCATGGATTTTCAAAACGTCCTTCTTTTTATTTCAAAAAAGAATTCCCAATGAAGATAAATAAATAAATATTGGAAACAGGAAGTTTGTCGACATAATATTGCAGTTTTTTTTAAACATATATTTTGTTAATGTAGTGGCACAGTCAGAGGAAAACACAAAAACACATTTTGTATCATCTATTTGTGAAAAAATGATATTTATTGCAATTTAATTCAATAAAGTTTTGTATCGAAAACATCGCTTTGACTTTGTTCGGTTCATTTATTTTTATTTCAAATATATCTAGTGAAGTTATCAAAATTGATAGCTTTCGGATGAGAAAAAATGAGAAATTACATCAGAAATAAAATCAGAAATTGTAAAAGGATTGCGGAACATTTGCAATAAGTTTAAGCCATGCCTTAACTACTGTATAATGATTCCATTAAATGCACATTACGTTGAATTCCTTGCAGTTGAGAAAATCCTTCTTAGATTTATTTTTCAGTCGACGATTTTGTCATCATCATCATTATTCAAGGGGGGGAAAGGAATTGGAATATTTTAAAGGGCTAATAAATCGTTTCTTTCTTCATTTAAGAGTAAACCATGTTAAAAGAGGGAACAGAGCAGCACTTTTTAAATAAAAGAAAAGGTTTTCTAATAACATCAGTTAACTCCTTTTCTTCCTGTCTTTATTAAGAGTTAAGTTCTTTATGATTGAAAGGATGAAATTAAGTCATTTGATAACGCCTATCCAACAGCAAGCTGCTTGTTTTCAAATAATCTTTTAACCCCGAGATAAAAAAACACAGAAAATTTGCTTAAAAACCTCACAATAAGCAAAACTGGGAACTTCAAGCAAAGCACGACGAATAAACAAATGAAACACTTGTAGTAGAAAATGGAAACACATGAAACAGTTGAAATTTATTTATTGCTCAGGGACATGCAGAAATATAATTGCTTTGGGCAATGTGAATGAAGAACAATGATGAAGAGAAATGTTTGCAAACGAGCGAAAAAAAGGAACACTAAAGATCAGGTCGAGGACGCTCGTCCGTGCATAAAATTAACTGCCGGAAAAGAATTCTTACACCTTGAAGCTTAGACTTGAAATTGAATGAAAAAAGGTGTTTTTAATTTGGGTCTGCGAATGACGACAAGAACGAGGATAGAATGTTAAGAATTTATTCCTTGATTTATGACAATTCACTTTTAATTAAATACATGCCACAATCTTTATCGTATCTTATTTTCATCATCGAAAATATTTTTATGATCATAACGCACTTTCCCTTTCGGCCGATGAAAAATGTAATACGACAGAAGCAAATAAATCCTTACGCCCCTAAATAATTCATATCAGAGGATAATCTTTTATATTTTCGCTAATGCAATGTCTGATAACTTTGCCATCGCTGAATAGAATAAAAGAAAAATCCAATTTATGTTTCTCTAACTTTCTTCTCATCGTTTCTTCCTCCCAGAAAAAAAGGAAACTTTTATGCTTTTTCTTTTTTTAAAAGGAGGCGAATGAATGGAATAAATAAATGTCCGATCTTAGGAATTGATATTTATTGCGGGGTGGAATTATTTAATGCCATATATTTCTCTTCTCTTTTCTTCTTTTTAAGGAATCATCATCAGTATGTACGCAACATTCAATGTTATGTATAGCTGTAGAATACATTTTTTGTGCGTGGCGTATGGGGGCGATGATAACATTTATGCGTATAATGGCAAAATATGGTTGTGAAAAAGTGAGAAATGGTATCATGAAGTAAAACTTTGCTTGTGTATTGGAGAGAAGAAGTTTTCATTTTATTTTATTTTATTCTTCTTTGCTTTCTATTTTTTTTTCCGAGGGTGCTTTCCTCTATCTACATCTATCTCCACAGTTGAGTCGAAGGCCAAGCACACACAAAAATATGTGTATAAATTTATAACTGTCGCCCATTTCTCTTCACAAAATTTATGATTGTTATTTTTTTCTTCTTTGCTCCGAATTTTTTTCCTCACTTGTGCCATGTTATTTATCTTCCTTATCACAAGTCAATAATATATTATATTTTTTTCTCTTTTCTTGCCTTTCTAGAATGCCTCCGTTTTATTCTATATCTCATTTCCTAGGAATAATAAATAGTCGATCCTTGGGCATGGGACGATTCAAAGTCATTGCAAAAAGCGATAACCTTATAAGAGAAGTGAAAGCGTCAGAAGAAAAGTTTGTAATTGGCGTCAATTGGCCTGAAAAATGCCTGGCATTGTTTCACTGACTCGCAACAACAAAACATATTCATTGAACGCAACTTTTAACTCTTAAAAGTTTTATGTAAATTCAGAGAAGCAACACGTTGTAATTTCAATGGGAAACTCCCGAGTAAAGCCTAAACAATAACAAAAGAACATACCAAAGCAAAAAAAATAATAAAATTGAGATACAGAATGACGTCACTTTGCAAAACACTTTTGTTTTCATGAGAATCACCCTCGAAAAAGCGGAAACTAACAAGCAAATAGCGACAGTAATAACAAGAACAACAATGAAAATTCTCAGACCATAATTTACTTAATTTTACGACGAAAACATAAAAATATCGTAAAAATCAAATGTGTATTTCATTATTCTTGTTGCTGCCGTTGTTGCTTTTGTTGCCTTGCTTCTTTCTGTTTTTAAGTGTACCGTCATAAAGACGATACGATGCGATATATTTTTTTATGTATTTTGTCGTCTTCTGCAAGTCAAAAACTTCCCTTAAATGAAAACAGTCAGAACATACATTAAGCAAGTTTGAGTACAGCATGAACGACAGAAAAACAAGACATGAAAAACTGCACACATAGTATAAACATCGTCACATAATAAAAAAACAATAATCATAAAATATGTATGTATGTGGTAAATATTACCTAAGCGTAATTTGTGTTCTTTAGACTGTTGTTGCTTGTAAAATCATAATAAGGAAACACATGTTGATATTGTGTTCATAAGGAAAGAACAAAATGAATTATGTTGACATCACGTATTCGATTTGACTGATTCGATGCAATGATTTGCATGTTAAACAACAACTTGACTGGAATTTTTCTTCCTTCATTCTGTCATACGAATCAAAGCAAGTTTTGAAATTTTTCTTTTCTTATTAATTTTTAATAACATTAAATTAAATTCGTTTGTGTCCAAATCTCAGTGATGAACATTCAGACAACAAAGCATCAATGCTTTCCATCAAATTCTATATTTTCCATCATTCTTAGTTTGATGATGAATCATGAAAAGACATTGGAAGTGATTTGTTCGTTGTGTCCATTTATTTACTGTTATCGTTACTTCATGGGAGTCTTAGCATTAATACAAATAGTTAGAACTTTTAATTTTGATTTAAAAACAAACACAATTAATTCATTATTCACTCAGGTTTATTCAACAGTTGAAATTTATCGCATATTTAGATCATCTAGAGACACTGATGATGTGACTTTACTGAACATTCCGTGCTTGAATGTCCCAATCTCAAATCTAAGTTTCAACTTGGTGCGGCACACATGGAACGTTTCTCAAAACTTTGAGTTACTCACCCAAACATTGACTTCAGAGGTAAGTTTTATGAGTGCCATAAATTTTAATAAAAAATGATTTTCAGTCTGCAGATGAATTGATCAACTTTTCCGTGATGTCACTCGCCATTCTGATCTTTTCCTTGATATTCTACGTGATGAAGTTTCAGAACTTTTCCAAAGAACAACGAATTGTATTCCTCATTATGAACATTGGGACGATTTTAAATCTCATGTTTTTAATTTGTTTCCTTTTCGAGAATTGTAAAAATAGTTGACATCGAAATTCAAAATGTGTCTTCAAAATTCAAAGTAAAAAACATTTAAATCCAAAACAACCTTACACAAAATAAAACTGAGATTCATGCAAATGGTCCAGAAAGCTGGTGTCCAAGGTCTTCACGTTATAATCTGGATAAAACAAAAATACTTTGAGCAGACGATAAATCATATCGTGCATAACATTTCTAAAGAGAAATGTTGGAAAAAAAATGTTAGAAGAAAAAAATGCCAAAAAAGAGAATGAAAACACAAAGATTGTATAATTTATTGTCGTTCAGCATTTTGAATATGGCATTAGGTTATTCTCTCTTGTTTCTTTGGAGATTCGTATTCGTTTGTTTGAAGAAAAATTGTGTAGTTGGTTACAATTAACATGTTTCCAAAGAGCTAATATCTAATAGCATTTTTTTTGCCGCTCCAAAAGAGACTTTATGGTCACCCGAACAGGTATTTCGAGTTTACGTATTTCTACAGAGATGGAGAATTAAAGCAAGAAGGTTACGTTTGTCGTCTCGTAAATAGCATGTCCACAGTGCTTTCATATTATATTAATGTTCTACAAGTTTAACTATTCTGCGTCGCTCTTCGTTGCGCTTTGAATTTTAAAATTTTTAAGGTTACACGCTCAAATTGTGCTGCTTTCAAGAACGCAAATTGATTTCCGGAATTGACTTAAACTTGTTTCTTTAAAAAGTAAGAAGATGAACAATTTAATTAAATATTCATTTTATCTTTGAATGAATTAATTTTTTTTTGATCAAGATTAATGTTTTTGTTAGAAAAGTTTAAGCTTGCTTTTGAGCGTGTTTTCTGTTCTTTTAGTTAGTGAGACAATGACGAAAGATCTACATTATATTTAAAAAAAAGAACATTTCCATATAGAATTAACCAAAAACGAGAGAATTTCTGTCCAAGCTCTTCTTATTTCTCTGGAATTTTTCTGAAAACGATGTTATCTGTCTGAATCGATGAAATATTGAAGTCGATGTCTCGAAGAAAGAAAGATATATACGGGAAAAAGCTATTTTTACCGTTGAAAATTTTAATTTCGATTTAAAAAGGTCCCTCTGTGTTAGATCATGCATGCGACCATATATAATTTTGAAATAAATCTTCTCCTTTCTTGTTCATGATAAATATACAACGGTCGCTGCCTGAACCCCTCGCTTTTGATTGTCAGAAAATTTTGAATTAGAAACTTTGAACATCATTTACATGTGTGACTCTTCAAAAGCCATTCACATGGAAATATATTTCCATTACTTTTAACCCCTTTTCTATTTTTCCTTCACATCCAGTTTATCATATGCGAGCATGTGATGCAACACTCTATTTCAACCCTATTCCGAACTCTTCCTTTTTCCTAAAAATATTTTCATACTTCATTATGAACGGAAACCATTTTTTATCCAAACTGTGATTCTGAAAATGGAAAACGACTTTCTTTCTAACATTGATACTCCATATTACGTACGATTCTCTAAAGCATGTTCGTTGGAAAATTTATCGGACTCATTTATAAACCTTTGACGATGACCTTTTAATAACATAATTGGCGGATGCTGCCATTGACTCATAAGCGACATAAATTAACTTTGGTTTCAATTTTAAACCCTGATGCCTTTTTGAATGTTTGCCTCTCGTTAGCTGTTTGCAGAATGATAAATTAGAAAATAATTTTATAAGGACAAAAAAACTTTTTTGTATTTATGTGTGTGTGTGTGAGTAAGTTTGACAAAGAAAAAGGAAAAAGCCCATTATTAATATTGATATTGTTTGTACGTGAACAAACGTTATGTTTGCTGAAAACAATTGGGGCGGTAATTAGGATAGGAATACTTTTTCAATACTTCCTTCCACACACACTGCTGGGAAAAGATGATAAATTGGTGTAATAAATAAAAAAATTAGGAAAATTTACATACACGGTACAGGGCTCTTTTTCCCGTAATAATTTCACTTTTTTTATATATTTTGCTTCTTTCTCTTTCGTTTTGGATACACAAATGTGTTTTTGCGTTGCATGTTAGCAGCTGTTGTTCAACAAAAAGTTATGATTTATGTAATTTAATGTATCCAACTTAATGTAGTGTTATATTTAATAATTAATTGTTATATAGAATAAAATATTTATAAATTCTTGCGACGAAAACTAAAATGCGTGTGTGTTTGAGTACGGAAGCGGATAAAAGCGGACTAAAAAGCAGTTTATAGCTCGGAAGATGATTCAGATTCATGCGTCAATTCGACATTTTCCCTTTTTAGTTTGTTCAGCGCGAAAATCCGATTCAACTGACTCATTGATTTCAGATTCTCTCTCAATGCCTTTTTATCTTTATATTTTTAATTTATTGAGTGCCGTTCTCCCGCGAATGAAACATATAACATTTTGATTAACTGTATGCTGATACAGGCAATGTGAAAAACGTGTGATGTCTTCGTTTTCGATTTAATATGAATAAAAATGAAAATATATTGACACTCACAACTACGAACAGAAATAAAATCCCGAAAACGTTCTCAAACTACTTAAATTATGTCATAAATTCTAATAACTTAATTTTTTTTAAGGAAAGCAAGCATATAAACTCATTTATAAACGTGTCGGAAATTTATTTTATGACGTGTTTTCATCCACAAAGTCAAGTCCTGAATAAATTTTCCGTTCAACCTTTCTGATGTGGTGGTCGTGAAACATTGAAACACAAAAAAAGAACTTTTTGGTTCTGCTTGAAATCATTCGATACTCTCCTGCGCAAAGAAGCTTTCAAGTTTCAGTCTCTTTTCTGCTCGGAAAAGCTCGACGCTCTCAAAGTGTGTGGAAATTCTCTCTCTACGACGATATAAAATACGATGAAAACAAATCGTAAATTAGATTTTTTCGTCGTCGGCTCAGAAGAAAAGTAAAAACACTGCTTGCCGTCTCTCTCTAGCGCATGCATTCTTATGGGAACCATAAATTATAGATATCTCATTCGCACATATCATCCATCTTTTTAAATGCCTTATAAAATACGAATGGTTTATGACTATTGGTCGAAACAGCATACACAGAGTTCTTTATGTTTTTGTTTCATTTTGTTTCGTGATGTATGTTTATGGCCGATGTGTATAAAGATTATGCTGTAGTTGGTATCGTAGTGATAGTGAGCTAGGCAATAAATTCGCTCTACACACATCTTGACACACAACACCCGAAAAAAAGATATTTTATTGTTGTGTATCTCAACTCAAGCCCATAGTATCTCAGTGAGTACTTTTAGCTCGACTAAAAGTCTTTTCGCAGTTTCTTCTTTCAAATTTATTATAGTCAAGTCATCAGACTGCTGCTGGCAGGGATAAAAACTATTTCCCTCTCATTTTATTTAACAGTTGAGATCGTCAAAGCTGAAGGTTGAAAATAATTTTTTTACTGTTCTTTCGTCTTTATTTCGCTCGATCAAATTAAACACACATCTCGTATTTTATATCACACACAGCACTCGCGAGCGCACTGGGACTGTGAAGGTTTCCTTTTGCTCCCTGTTATTATTGTTATTACTCCCGGAGCTTATCTTCTTATTGTTGTTCGCCCTCATACATGCAAGAACTTTGGACGCTCTCATACACAAACGCTTAAATCACACGACAATATATGATGTAAAGTCGGTGATACTTATTTTTTATTATACTTTTGCCACATGCTTTTATTCAAAAGAGAGAAAATCGTATTTTATGGTTAGTTTGATAGAAGTCGTAAAGAAATAAACATCAATTAAAATTACACTGTTCAAGTTCTCAAATAATATTTATTCTTTCATTCTGGATTTCTACTGGCATGTGATGAGTTTTTGATTTTTATTCAAAAACATCAAAATAAATAAAAAAGATACGAAATAAACAACAAACAAGCGAAGGTAGAGAAAAATCACACAAAAAAGAAAAGTCCCCAAACGTGCGAAAGTGAAAATCACAACTGTAAAGAAGCAAAGCAAAAAAAGGCAGACACAAAATCATAAAAAGCCAAAGGAGCGATAAAATCTATCATAAAAAAGAAATAAACAAATAATAAAATAATCGTAAAATTCAATGTTCAACAACTTCATTCACATGCTTCAGTGTGGAACGATAACAGTACGATAAATTGTGTGTAATATCAATTAGATTGGAAGTGTTAAATGATTTTTTATGTCATCATAAATTAGAGTTAATAAGCAGAGTCATCTTCACATATAATTTCCCGAAGTTGAGCTCTTTGTTTATAAAGAAAATTATCTACAAGGAGAGAAAAGAAATATTGCTAGAAGAAGTGAATAATTTTGAAGTGAATGAAAAATATTTTTCAAGAGTAGTCATAATTGTGCAATCTGATTTGTGTTTATATTAAATTATATAATAGAGGAAAGAATTTAAATTTTTCGCTTCAATAAAGTGCGCTAAAATCATCAAATAAATTATCGCCCTCAGTCATTTCAAGTGTCAAATATTTCAAGTGACCGTTTCCGAAATATTTCTGATAACCGCCAACGAAGCTTTTAAAAAGATATTTTTGTCTACAAATATCTATAAAGAAATAAAAAAGATCATAACAAGAAAATATTTTTTTTTGCTTATCTGATCTGGTACAACGATGGCATTAAGTTAATCAAGCCACGTTTGAAAATTGCATCATTGAATATTTATTAAGGTGAGTAAAAGTTAAATTGCAGTTCGCGAATGACATGCGTTGCTTCCATTATATTGAAATCTTAAAATATTCAACCTCGTTAAGCTGTTGAGGCAAATTTGAATTTTCTGATTTATTAAATATTTAATGCGCTCTGTCGCATCATAAATTGTCTTACTACACGACTGAACTGATAGTACGTGGAAGCTGTAACAAACACATGCGCATATAAAGCATGTGAAAACTCTTTACTACATAGATTCTATATCAAGAACCATAATTTTCAATTAACTGACAAATTTTACACAAATTTTTACTCTGACTAGAGTTGAAACATGAATTATGATGTTGTGATAAAAGCAACAACTTTTCACTTTTGATCTCATCTCCCTAAATAACAATTAAAATTATTTAACACTCTGACACTGAATGTTCATTCACAATGTCCATTTTGGACTTTGTATCATGATAGTCATAGAAACTTTATCACATCAGACGATGTTTCGCTTAAACATGAAAGAAGTTCAGTGTAATAATTTATGGTATCTAAGACAAGAGACATTGTTTGGGTTTTACTTTTAAGTCTCTCCTTATAATTTAACTGCAATACTCACAATCTCCAAAATGTTCAGAAAAACTTTTTTTATCCTCAACTAATCTTCTCGAAATCGCATATGAAAAATTTTCAATTGTGCAAAACTTTTCCTTTCTTCTCTCAGTTTTTAGTTTTTCAGAATCTCATTCAATTGAAAATGTATGTAGATGAATAAATCTAATGGAAAATCTAGGAGATTAAAGAAGATTTTCTCAGAGAATTATATTGAGAAATATTTAATTTGCCGTGTGCATAATTTATAGATAATTTAATCAAAAATTAAACACGGAATTAAAATTCTAAACATAAAATTTCGTTAGCTTTTTATTTCTTCCATTTCACCGTCGTTACATGAACAGTAAATTTATTTTATTGTTTCTAAACGAATGAGAAAAACTATAAATAAGTATTTAATTTGGGGAGAGCAATAAACTAATAATGTGCTCGTTTTATTGATTTTCATGCACATTTTGTAGTCTATTTACTAAAAACATACAAATAACTTAATCATATTTCAGTCTTTATAGCTAAGCAAGTCAATTTATGCAGACAATTTATGGTTACATAAGTCTACGTCCTTGAAATTTTCTTTTCATTGCCCAACATTAAACTTTATGTTTATTGCCTTTTTGCACTCGACAAGAAAAGGAACGTAATGCTTTTCTTTTTGTTTTGCTGTCATTATCCTTGGTGAGGGTGGAAAAGTCATAAAACTTGATTCATGCAATTTTCACCTGCTAGATTTTATTGGTCGTAAAAAAGTTATCCTAAGCGGAAGCATTTGTACTTTAATTGCTTTATGAGTATGATGGTTTGAATGTTCAGTGAAAAAACAGAGAAAGAAATAGAGACAGAGAAATAAAACAAAAAATTCTCACATAAAAGTGTACTTTGACAAACAACGAGTTAATTATTATGATTTGTTTAAATGTTTTTACATACAGTGTAAGCCAATCTTGATTGTTTATTCAATTATAAATCAGAAGACATCATAAATTATTTTTAATGGTCCAGCAAATATAATTAAATCACTCAAAAAACAAAATATTCTCTTATCAGTTTCATCATTCTAAGTCATCTAATTAATTTAGTTCATATTTTTAGAAGATAACTTTTTAAAGTCTTGTTAAAAGTCATAAAAGGCATCATCAATAAATAATAAAGAGAAATAACAAGTTGAGACGTAATTCCTGTTTAACATCGTTTCAATTGAAGTTAAGCATTCAATAAATTCGAATAATGAAATTGCATTCATTGCCTTTGCTTCAATCTTTTTATCAACTTTCCATCACTTAATATTTTGCAACAATTCAATTCTCAATTGTATGCTAAATTTATTTATGCTAATAAACAAAGAGAAATATAAATCATTTTAACAAGTTTTCATTTTTTTTCCTTTTTTCGCATGAATCAGATGTGAGATATTTCATGTATTTCCCGAGAGATGATTATCTTCTCAACGAGTGCAATCAGTAACAAATCACACTTTTTTACATTATTATTAGTACGTTTGTACACTTTTATTTTTACCAGATATGGGGAATAAGCAGTTGAAGTATTTTACGAATGCAATTCCATACATTTTTTCTTGCAAAACTGATTATTTGTCTTTTCAAATAAGTAACATTTTGTTTACCGAACTGAATTATGTAGATTTTTAGCATATCTTGGAACATGACTCGAGATATTTTCATTCCCATATCGAAACAATTTGTATTTTAAAATTTATTCAATTTGGAAACAATTACACGCGTATCAATACATAATAAAGTTATAAAAGTTTCAACTCTATCAGCGATTGAAATTATGATAATAGATAACCAAACACCAAACATCACGTTCAGTTTTAACGATATGAGCATTGATGCATATCGAATTGACATTTAGACGTTTCAATTATTACCAATAACGCTAGTGGACTTCAACACAATGTTTTCTTTGGTTTTTGTGCACATATGCCATCTCGTGATAAACATTTTTAATTTAATTGCCATTAAAGTTTGGAGGTGGAAAAAGACCACACGCCGCATTCACGATATGGCTTTGTCACGTTAATTTATAATGAGTTCTCTTATCTGTTTATATCAACATTCATACCGCATTTGGCTGGTGCTTTTTATCAGGTTGATTCAGAAGTATCTGTGAAAAATAAACTTCAACCTATTTGTGCAATCAGTAAATGACGACGAGGCAAACTGCATAAATTAAAAGTCGCTATTAAAATGAGAATAAAAAAAGAGCCATCATCATACAAACATAATTTTTACTTCCTCTACATACAATCGACTTGTTCATTTATGGCTTTTTCCATGTTTCTTTACTCTTTTTCCCAAATATTTTATCAGCATGAACACATTCAAAATATGTAGTGTGTGCCAAAGAATGTTAAAATACTTTTATAATTCTCTCTCTTCTGTATATCAAATACAAACAATCTAAACGTATGATATCGCGTGTGTTTTTAACCCGCCAGCTGTTTTCATATAATGTTTCAATAAGCATTCCTTGTGAAGTTAGGTTGAAGTGAAAACCCAAAACTGAAAATAAATGAGAAAATTTATGCGGAAAAGGAGAGTAAGAAAAAGGGGATTGCCTGATATGTACCGGGCCTTGAACGCCACAATTATAATTTACTTTTTGTAAGATTAGATGGATATTTGAAATTCATTATTAGAAGACAAAAAGAAACTTATCATTAACCCCGAAAGCAAATTAGTCGAGAAAGTATTTGTGCCATCCACCCCATACCGTGAATCTTCTTCCCTTCCATTTTGCTTCATATCTTTAAAATGGGGTTGGATTCTATAGCATAACAATATGGTAACAATAGAGAGTGCGATGTTCACCATGATTGTTATGTTGGATGATGGAAGATGGAAAATATGAAATATTAGAAACGCATCTTGAGAATAAAATTTATTTGCCATGAAAGGTCTCGAAATTTGTTACGGAATACTTCATAAGAAAATAATTTCACAACACGCTTTTGTGAATTTGTATCATGATTTGCACGAATAAGCAAACTAATGAGGTTTGAATTTTTTTCATATGAAGAGGAATATTTAATTCAAATCATTCATTGATATTCCGAAGAGATATGAGAAACAAAAAAAAATTGAATCACCATGAATACTGATTTTGCCGCTGGCGCTTTAAATTCCTGATATTTGTAATCAGTTGGACGAGAACAAACACAAAAAAGAAGGTTTTGAGCATAGTTAATTCGTTTTGATTTCTTAATACTTTGAAAATATTGAATTTAAGTAGAAATCAACAACGTTCAAGTTGGAACGCCCGACGACATATATCCGTGGATATGTTGACAGTTAAGTTGATACTGTCTCGTATTTCACTTCTGCCAAATGAATTATTGCATGAAATTAAAAGAGTACTTGCGTCTAAGCGTTATTTTATACTCACAACATTAAAAAGCAGGAAGACGCAAGCAAGGCAGAAAGATATTTAAATTGAAAAAAAAAATGTAATTAAAACTGCTGAATCTCCGAAGTATTCTCGAAATATAAAATACACAAAATAAATTTAATTTTTAATTGATGCAATCTTAATTATTTATCTGCTCTCTCTTCGATTTCTTCGCTTCTCTGACCGATTCACTTGCCGACTTAAGACGAACAAGAGAGAGATACAAAGAAGCATTTTCAATTTACACAAAAAGTTTTCGCTCGTTTCATGGTTTGTTGAAGTTTTCGTAATAACATTTTAATATTGGCGAACGCGTTTCTACAAGCTCGTATCAGTCTTTTCTTCTTTCTTTTTCTCTTTCGAGAAAGGCAACAAGATGTTGCAGTCATTTGAATGCTGATGCCAGCTTGTCTTGCGTAAAATAATTAAGATGTTCACTCAATGGCCTTTTTTTTCTCTTTCTTTGTTGTTATGACTTTAAAAGTTAATGAAGAGGGAAATTAATTAATTCTTTTGATAAGAAAGCCCTCGAATATTTAATTGATTAAAGGTTTCTTTATGAAGTGCAAATATTTTGAGTTTATTAAGCCAGCTTTGTATGAACAAGCTTCCTGTTAAATGCCCTAATATTTCATTGCATAAATACATTCTGTTCTATTGTTTGCAACAAATCCATGTGCGTTTAAACAATATTTTTATTTGTTCTGTCGGTTCTTCTCTTCTATTTTTTTTCAATTCTTCCGTGCAGTTTCAGTAGCAAAATTGGTTTTATGGAAATATAAATTTTCATGTGGATTAGTGTTCACCAACGTCCTTAACTAAATATCTATGTATATACATAAATTCAACACAGCTATGTGTATAAAAACACAAAATGGAAATATTTCATTCTGTTCTATATAATAAATGGTGTGCCAGAAGCACAGAGAGAAAATATTATATTTCGGATGTTTTGCAGGGTGATTCGAATCTAAAGTCAAGGATATTGTTTTTATTACTCATTCTGCTACAAGACGTTTCCTTTTTCGTGTTCTTTAGTCAAAACTTACTTGAGGAATAATAAAATTCTACATTGAGAAGTGAAAAAATGATTCATTTCAAAAGCATGGTGCATAAATCGAAAATTTTTCTTGTCTTTCAATTCAAATGGTGGATTTTTTTTAAATATGATTTATAACTTATTTTGCCTTTTTTTTCATCTCTTCTCTTCTTTAAATTGAGACATACTTTTTTAACATTTCGACTCTGAAATAAACACAGAAAAAAATAATAAGAGAAACGTTGTAGTTTTCATATCACAGAAGAAGAGTAAGGAAAAAAATGTTCCAAACAACAGAAGAAAAAAAATTAATCCGTGGTACAAGCAAATGGAAAAATGAGAAATGTTTTAATACGAAAAACCAACAGACAGTCGAGTTAAAAAAAGTATTATATTCGGAATAAAAAAAGAAATTCTATATGCTACGTGAAAAATACGGAGCAAAGCCCTAATATATAAGTGAAAAGTACATAAATTATTGATTTATGGTGAACAAAATAAATTTTCCTTGTGAACACTCAGTTTGATAACTGTGTTAGTATGATTCCTCTACAGTCGTATTTATGCTCGGATTTTAACTGAAATAAATTGCAAATTGGGTGTTAAAGATTCATATTTCAATATAGACGAAGAAATTTGCTGCGTTGCCAAATTTCATCGTTTATAATTTTCATTCGAAGTGTTTGCAACATCCACCGAGACCGAGTTACACCGAGTGCAATGGGAAGCGGATGATGCAACGACATTTTCACTTCAACTTGGCCAAAACAATCCATAAATTATGAAACTATGCTCCTGTCGATATAAATAACTCACACTCTGTGAACTGCAATGGAGACAAATCGGGTGGAAGAAAATGGAAACTCTTTTGGTTTGAATACATGAAAGAAAGAAGAACTAAATATCTACTATTATAGTCTCAGTTTCTTATATAACCATGAATCGTACCTTTGGTGAGAAACACAGAAAAATATCATAAATCAAACGTGTATAAAAATTGCTCGGACGATTCAAAGCCATTTTTACCGACATATTTTTTTCATTTTTTTGTGTGTTGTTATTTTTTCTTCTCTCGAAATCTTTTACTTTTTATCTTTTTAATAGGTTTAAACAATTTTTTGTGTTTCTCAGAAAAAGTAAACTTTTCTTAGACAGTCACAGGCGTTTCACGGCTTGAATCCCAGTTGAGCGATAACTGCTTTTGTTGTTATTATTGCGAGACTACGCATATGAGAAATGTTGTAAAGCATACAAAACTAATTTTGTGTTTCTGCTATGTATTTATCTGTGACAAATTTCAAGCGACTGTTTAAGAATTAAACAAGCAAGAATATCTTGATTAAATATAATCAGGAAATTTATATGAGTTTGTTGAACTTTAGCGAAAAGTTTTGCTTCATTATTCTATACATAGATTTAGATTAAGAAATACATCCTTTAATCATTTGTCGCTTCATGAACATCAGAAGTCAAACCGATCTCTTTGCAAGTCACTTCAAATAAAGATTTTACAAATAAACTTTTTATTTGCTTGCGTGACTACAATTTTCAGAAATTCACTGAAAAAACATGAAACTCATGATGAGACCAACAGAAAACGAAATAAATAAAAAACACGCAAGCAAAAGCGAATAAAAGAAAATATTTGAAAAGATGTTTGTTTTAAAGAAGTTGAGCTTAAAAGGATTCTTCACAAAAGTTTTTGGATAATTAATGCAAAAAGCGACTTTAACGGAATGTCGCGTAAGGCAACGTGATGACAAAATTTAATTTCTTTAATTAACACATAAGCAAACATGATTATAAATAACTTTATAACATTATTTTAATTATTTTGCATATAATTTAAGGATTTCTGTTTCGTTCTTGACGTGAGGTGCGATAAAAGATTTTTCAGGTTCACTTCTTTGTCTTTCCTTCTCTTGTCCCGAAACAAAATGATCGCGATACAATTACAGGTGCCAAATAAAAAAAGCCATTTGAATATCAAATGAAGAATCAAAGAAGATCTCCATAAAATTGCATTAAAATATGTGAGAAATGTTCATGAGAATGAAGAGTTGTTGTAGAGAAGCTAAACAAACCGTAAAAATGTCATTAACAATATTTTATTATCACCAATGAATTTTTTTCGGGAACGAAAGCTTCTTAAATTGATTTTTATTTGCTCTGTTGTGGTGATGCGGTGGCACTACATAGTATTTAAATAAAACCGTCGGGCATTCGAATTTGATATTCAAGCTGCTAGTTTAATTTACGAGACATTCTTTCATGTTTCTTGATATTTGTTTCTGTTCGCTTTTCTCTTCCTCAAGAAACAAAAAATGATTTTCTTACTCTTTTTTATTCGTCGATAACATAATCATTAAAGTTGAATAAATTTCACCACAGAAACTCAATCGACCTTGACCGATGATCCACATTTTTATTGCTCCATAAAGGGCAATAGATTTTAATGTTATTTACACAATAAATAGAGTTTAAATAGAATGGATAATTGATTTGACGGGTTTATTACTTTAATGGCATTGTTTTTATGTGAATAAAAGATTTCAATGTGACTTGCGCATATTTCATGTACTTAAGTAATTTTGACTTTAAAAACATTCAAAAACAAAGCTCCTTTGACTCTTTAAATCTTCCACTTTAAATCAAAATGAAATAAAAAGAAGAAAGTGATTGTAATGCAACTTGTTTCGCATGTAGGCGCTTAATTCTGAAATGGACAAAATGAAAATAAATTATTATTTAATCGGTTTCTCACCTCACTGATTTCGATGAGAATTGAGTGTGAATATTTAATTTTGACTTTTGATTTAGCGCCAAAACGTTTTTAAATTGTGCATCAATTGGAGAATTCAAGGCACGAATCTTGAATTAAAAATTGTTTTCTTCTGAATTTTCCAAGATTTCCTTTTTGGTATGACATTCGAAGTGAAATTAGAGGAACTGAATAATATGACAAAGAACATTTTTCATTCAATTTATTTGGGAATTTAACATAAAGCAGCAAGTGAAATAAATTTTGTTGTATGACCGCGCGCTAAGCAATTTCAGTTGAGTTAACTCGTGTAAATTCACACAATAAACAATAATTTTACTAGAAAAGCGTTGTTAATAATGACCATAAAAGTAATTTATTCATCATAAACAGGTTGAACTGAACTATATCCAACTAAACTTGAATATCTATTTAGTTGGCTTAAAAGCATTAAATCTCTTTAATCAAGCCAAATCTTGGCAGAATATTTTAAGTTTTTGTCTGTACAAAATCATGGAGAATAGAATGAAATGGAGAAGTCACCTAGCATTTAATAGTCCGTTAAATGTGTTGTCGTTCTGGCAAAATAAAAGCCCAGCTTAGAGGGAATTAGTAAAATGCTGTCAGTTTTGTGCCTTTGTCTAATTCATGCCGATAACACGATTTCGTTTATCTGGGATATTTTATAACACCAAAGTCAGCGTTGTTTTCAGGGCAAAATACCAAAGTGAAAACAATATGTGTTGCTTTTTCCCTTTTATCTGTGTCGCAACTGTTTTTGCTCTCTTTTTCACTTCCAAAACTGATCTTGAGATCAGCATAAATAAAGTGAAACAATCTTGTATTATTGAATGTTTTCTTTTATGTGCATTTATGTGCGATGTCAAGTCTTCTCGCTTTAGTCTTTTTTTTGTGATATTAAAACGAGATGAAGAAAAAAATCGATTCGGTTTTTATAATGCACATTAACAATCTTCGGCACTTCACACTTCATAGAATGAAATAGAGTACCATAATATTTATTTAATTGATCAAGAATTTGATCAAAGGCCTGAGATCTCTGCGCTTTTATATTTTCGGAAATACTTCATTGTTTTCCTCGAGCTGTTATTCATAACAGTTTTGGCTTTCAAAATCAATAAAGATTCTTATCACTGCTTGTTGTATATAATGCACTATTGTTCATTGCAAAAACTGCTCTTGATTTTGGCGAACGTCGGTAAAATCCATCGGTATGAAAGAGGGCATATAGAACGGTTATGGAATTTGAAGTTTGCATAAACAATAGAAGCAACATGAAGCGACTTAAATAAATTTAAAATCATTCCTTGAATACTTTAAAGGGTGTTAACTAATAACCAACAAAACTCTTTTCCTTCCTATTGTTTTTCAGTTACACAATGAGGAGGAAGATTATAATTCGAAATTGTAGATAAGACATTAAATCATTCCAAAAGAATGAAATAATAATCGTGAGAAAAGCGATAAGAAAAGATTGAATTCAAGATTAGTGAAGTTTTCTATTCTTAAAGAAGTTGATTAAGTAGAACTTCATCCAGTTCATTTTAAGGGAAATTTAAAACAAATAGAAAAATTAATCTATTGTCAGTACAACTTATCGTTATAAATTGAAGATTTGAATAAACGCTCTTATCAATTTTTTAACATTCTCTATAAAAGTTATCTTTAATGGCATTAGAAGGATCGAAGCTGTATGAATTTTGATTCCATTTATGATAAAATTAAACATAATAGATCTAATATATGTTTTTTCACCTTCACTATGTTAGTTAATTTACACTCATGCTGCATGTTTTCTTCCGCTTACCTTTTTATGCTTACCAATTTATGCTTATTAAATTCCTAGATTCAACCCTCCAATCTAGGCGATTTTCCCAAGACACAAAATATGATACCCTAGACACATTTCTATTACGTTTTTCTATGATGACTATGATAGCTTTCTCGCTTCTTGTTTCTAATAAAAAATTATTTTAAATTAATTTCATCTTTCTTGTTTCTTTGCAGGATTTCTTGAAAATGAAAGCAACTCTATAAATTTAAAAGGATTATTAAATCTACAATACAAAGGTAATTATTGTTAATTATCAAAAACAAAAATTCTTTTAAAAAAGACATGTGATAAATTAAGAAATCTAAAATTCAAATGAAATGTAAAGAAGAATGATAACAATGAATGCACATATTAATGATACAAAGAACACAGAAAAGGAATATTTATAACAATTCAAACCAGTTTTTATAAATGTAAAAACAAAACGATAGAAAAGAACACATGCTTAAATTGTTTACGTAACATAAGCAAAATTTTTGTAAACATTTTGGCAATCGTTTCATGCCACATGACAAACTGGTTTTATGTTCTTTTTGATCCGTTCACAAAAATACGTTAAAAGGATTTTGAAATATCTCAAACAGTTTTTCTTATGATGTGAAAAATATTCTAGTACTTCTAAAATTTTCTCTCATATCTCGAAAATTCCTTGAACTCTCGAGAATTCTCATAAGAAAATATTTCTTTCCAATAAGAGTTTAGGTTAGGAAAACTCAAGATGGGAAACAAACACATATAAAATGAACTCATGGTTACGAAATAATGAAAAGGAATAGAGAGAAAAAAAATAGGGGAAACAACACGGCCATTATTCATTTTTTGAACACATATTTCAAATGCTATACTGCTTTTCAAAATGATAATCGTCTTTGAAATCTTTAATTGTTTTCTTCCGAGTTATTAATTAACAGAAATAGTTTAGCAGGATAAGAATATTCAATTTTTAAAACACTCTTCGTGTTTGAAACAATACACAATTCCCATAAAATGAATTTCCTAATGTTATGCGATATTTTATTGATGAAAGTTAAAATATGATGAAGATAACACAAAATTTATGTTTTATTAAGTGTTGTTATGTAGCACTCAAGAAGAATTTTTATTTGCTAGTAAAATAAATGAACAAGAAAAATATTTCTGTTCCATTGCATTCTTTTTTTTAATATATTTTTACCCTGGCCTAGGTCAGTTTTATTATGCGAAATGATGTGATGTAGTTCTTATGCTATGGACATTATGTTAATATTATTTATAAGCGGTTTATTGTGGGTAATTCGAAGTACATAAACAAACTATTGAACAAATGATAATTAGCATGAACAATAAAATTTTATGCTGTTGTTTGACTTTAATTCAGCTTTAACTCCATACACTTTCTCGCTCTTTCAATTGTCAGACAGTGTCGCATGACTTTTCTTCTATTATTTTCTTATTTGACGGTGATTTATCTTCCCTCCTTCTTAAAAACATAAAAGCATTAAAGAAAATTTTCCTTCAGGCTTTCGTGATGTGTGTATAACAGTGTTTGAGAATCTTCCTTCACTTTTCGAAACTCCCTCCTCCGCATTTCTTATTTCTTGTCTTCGTCTCCCTCTTTAACACAACAATCAAGAAAAGAAAAGGAAAATCTTAGGAAAAATAAGAAAAACAATGAATAAATAATTGAAGTCTGTGTAATAATAGGAGATTATATATGTAGCGATTTATATACCACAAAATCTCGGAGACAGAAAAAAAATTATCATATTTATTGAAAATAAACACAGCGAATGTATGCAGTAGGAAGATTTTCTTTACATCGACAGTTTATAAACATTCCCAGATGAAAATTTTCCTCTTCGTTTATTTCGGAATTAAGTAGAAGAAATAAAAACTGACAATAGTAGGGAAATTTTTCTAAGCGAACATGTGAAGTTTGAAAGTCTTCTACTTCTCGCATGAGAAGTAAATCTTAATAAAGGCAATAATTAAAAAGACATCATATCTTAGAATCCACCCCCGCTCAACATTCGAATATAAAAGATGAGGAGCAAAGCTATAAATCATCAACCTGTGATGTGATGGAAATGGGAAAGCTTTATTTATAATTTTCTTATAGCCCAAAGGATTCAAAAAGGATAAAAGGCAGATCCTTTGGTTGCGTTAAGTTTTATTTTTCCTTTTTCTCTCCCACAAAACTAAAAGTCTGTAAAATGTTTTTGTGTTGTGAATGGGAATTATATTTATGACAAAATTATGATAATTCCTGTTATGCTTGAAAAGTTTATTCTTTTCTTCAAGATTTTTCCGTCAAGTCTAAATCCCAAGCAGTATAAGTAGAATACCACACAGTTACTTTACTAAGCATGGTTTTCTTATTCTCCACTTCCGTATTTGAATGATGTCTTGCGAAAAGAAAGTTCCGGACAATCTGGAATGTTTTATGTACATAATGAAATACATAATCGTCGTGCCCATGAAAAGAAAATATCTCAGACTCGTTATCATTCTCATTACACGTTAAGTGTGAAGATTTTATTTACTGCTGCTAACATCTTTAAAAGAGGAAAGAAAAACATTTTCGTCTCTCACTTTGTATGAAAGGAATAAAAATAGATTCGATGGGAACAATAAACAAGCGAGAAAAACTTTCCGTGTTGATTTAGTGCGCAAATGCGCAGAAACTTGCCGGAATTCATCCAGTTTAATGGCACAAAATAAAATGAAAGCATTTGACTCTCTCGCAAATCATCTCTTCTCTTCCGAGATAAATTGCTGTTGAAAAACTGAAACATCTTTCTCAGTTTTTCAAGAAGAAACGATGCTTTTCCTTTGAATTTCCATTAAATATATTTTCTCAAATATTTCATCGTGCTCCAATCTTCTTTTGTTTTTCTCCTTTTCCATCTTTCCTTTTTGAAAAGAGAGAGTAAGTTCTTCAAAGATTATTTATGTTCTTCGGACCAAGCCAGTTGCACAACGGCAATTTATGAATAAACACTATCCGTGAAATAATCACAACGAAAGTTAATTTTTCGAAAAGTTTTAAAAAATCATAAAGAAAATTAAATTTCTTTCTTTTCCGGGAAAAGAAAAGACAGCAAACATTTTTAAAGTCAAAGTTAAATACTCAAATCAATTTTTATTTTATTTGCTTTTTATTTTGTTTCATTTGCATTCAAATCTTGGGTTTAATTTATTGATTTATTGTGTTTCGTTGCAAAGTGATTCTTTATAAGTTTTTTTATTGCTCGAAAGTTATTTTGTTTGCTAATCTGAAATTTCATGATTTGTTTTTGTGAATATCAAAAATCGATAGTGTGTGTAAATAAATACCAGTTAACTGTAAATAATTGCATAAGATTTTGTGATTTATGAAGTGGAAAAATTTCGGTAGCAATATAAGAACGCTAATCAGAATTCAAAGAACAAAAATGTCACCGAAAAGGCGAAAAATTAAATGATAATCACATTTTCTTTTAATTACTTTCATCGTGCTTCTTATGCATCCCAAACTGCAAAAGAACTTTCTTAAGTGTAAAAACGTATAATGGAAATGTTCCAAGTTGAAAGTTTTTATTTACTTTTCGGATTTTAAAAAGATTGTGAAAGGAATGTGAAAAAGTTTTTGTTGCCATGAATCGCAAAGGACTTTTTGTTTTGATTTAAGTTGCACTCTCACGTAATCTATTAAAGGGATTTGAACTTAAGGTAATTATAACATCATTGAAGTGTTGAATTATTCAGTCGTTAGATTTCATTGTCAAAGCATTTCAATCCGAGAGTCTGTAGTGTGATAAAATCTTCCTTAAACTGCATTTTAAACAATTCTTTTTGTCACTTGAGACAATTTACAAATGTAAATTCTGTTAATTTGAAAATTGCATTTCCATCGTCAGCATTTACTTCATTCTTTGGTAATGTGACGGTAAAAGACAAGAGTTCTCTTGACATTCTGACGATGCAACAATTCACAAATTACAATAAGACATATTTGATGCATTCACAAGATATTTTGATAAAATACTTACATTTCTTCATTTGAAGTTCGCGAATCTTTTTGATACTCACCGTACAATTCAATGTGCGCAAACTTTGTTCAACTTAAAAAATAAGTACATTAAATTCCCAAAGTTTATCATTTCGATTTATTGTTTTTGTTGTTGTCTCGTGTTGTAGTTTGTTGGAACAAGCAATAAGAAAAAGTGCACAGCCACAAAACAAATGCAAAGAAAATTGAAAACTTGAAATGTTTTTATTTTACTTTTTCTTGGCTCTTTGTGTCGATAATCAATGCTCATGAATTTTAAAGCATAAATAAAGAGAAAAAAAAAGAAATGAGAGAATGAACAAATACATGACAGACATTTTCTGATAAAACATTTCGCTTCGATGTGACATTTTGTTGGCTGTCACCTAATCAGTGTCTCCTTTAATTGAAAAAGAGAATTTTACAACTTCATTCAACAGATCTAAAAGGGAAACCGTGGATCACGGTTCTCATGTAGCTTACTCGCTAAATATTTGTCTGTCGCATTATGTTTACTACAGCCAACCATAAATAACAGCATGAAATCAGTTTTCATAACTGGTATTGGAATAATGTCAATCATGATGACTACAGATTGCGATTATCTATCAAATGTCGGAACGATATTCCTGCTAAAGCCATGATTTACGAATACATCGACAAACTCAACAGTTGAAACTTTCAGCCAAACGACACTTTTAAACTATCATTTGTTGTTAAAGAGATTTTCTAGAACGTGGTAAAATTTGATTGTTTGGAGAGTGTGGAAATTTCAAAGTTTATCTCGAATAATTTATCGCCATCTAAAACTTCACATTTGCATTAAATGAAAAGTCACAGCTACGCTCAACTGCTTGTTAAAAATAAATTTCGAAGACTTTCTCAAGAAAGAGTTTTTCGGGTATTTGATAACAATCTGATCTTCTTTTATGTAACCTCTTGTCATCTGCTTACTGGCATACTTTCAAACAAAAAGTCTTGTCCAAACTCTCTTTTTAAATTTTTCTATATCTCTTCGACTTCATATTTGAAAGCTGCAATAAATTCACGACATGAGAAACCAAAAGAATCCGATTTGAGAAAATTAAGTTTTTGTCACGTGCTTCCCTTTGAATGTTTATCGTCTCGCAACCGAAGGTTTGGTTCGTATTGAAGAATATCGATAAAAAATATCAGAGAGAAACCCTCAATAAAAGCAGTGTAATGGAAGTCGTTCATTGTGTATCACTCTTCGGTACACTACATTAACGTAATTAATTTCTGTGATTTATTGTTTTCCAATGAAAAACTTTTCTTTCTTTTTTTTTCATTCATTCAACTTCATTGATAGCAATTTTAGATTTTTTTTATTATCCCTTTTGGGATTTGTATTTGAAAGTAGCATGACTTCGAGTATCATACTGAACATAACGGCATGCAATAGAGACAATGAATCACGTGGTGGTTCCTAAACATAGCAGCTAACGGTTTAATGTAGATCTATGGCTTAGATATTTTATTTCACAAGTCAAAAGAAAAAAAAGATCACGGCACATTCGATAAAAAGTCCCAAAAACTGAAAGAACTGTTTGTTGTTTCATTTTACGGCCAGCTTTCTGTTATTAAATAATTCCTTGATTATTATCGTCGTAAATCATTTAACTTTTGTTGTTCTTTTTTTTCGACGTTTTTTTTGTTGTTTCAATTTAAAATTGAATGAAAGCCACTCGCTCACCCTCATCCGTTCATCCGGGTTGACTTATTCTGTGCTTCGATGTTGTGGAACAAACAGATTTCTCTACTGTTGTTTTATTTGATTTTTTATTATATTGATAATAGAGTGGAAGAAGAATCAGAGGACTCTCTAAATAATTTCAAGCCTCAGATTTTGTTCGCTTGTCTTCGTGGGCAGTGGCGCGTCACAAAAGAATTAAAAGGGCGCCGTTTATATTTATACATATCCTTATGCTTAATAATTTTGTTATTCATTCAAAACATTGATTTTCTTTAATACTTTTATTATAATTTTTTGCTTAAATAAGAAAAAAAAAGCGAGCAATTTTCGAGGATAAAAACTCAAAGTGAAAAACATGAAAATGGCAGAACATGAAGCTTTCAAAAAACATTTTCGAGACGTGGCGTGCATTGTTCTCTAAACACGCAAAAATTTCAACTTCAAAAATCGCCTCCCATCTTTTACCCTGTCAGCAGGGGAGGATAAAAAGAAGAGAAATAAAATTCTCCCCCAGAATAAAGCGGTCTGATTTCAGTTTCACGTTCTCTTCATTCATATATCTACGAAAAATGAAATAAATGAAAAATAAATACGTCGACGAAGGAAGAAAAAGCATAAAATGTATTTGTACATATTTTTGTGACAAGCATTGTTAAAACTCGAAGAATTTTTCAGTCGACTGTTTGAAAAATTAGACTGAAATGCTTTTTTAGTTTTCGGTCTTTATAAACTCTCTAAACTGCCTTCCTTGATGAAGTCATTTGCTGGGAAAATTTCATTTTAGAAAAATAACAGTCGGAGAAGAAGCACAACCTTCATCCTGGTCTCGTTCCATCCTTAATTACTCATTAGGATATCCCCATGAGAAGAAGTAACCAAAAAGCAGAAATAAAAGAACTGAAGAGAGACTGCAGTTGAAAAAGAATGGAAGGAATGACAGGACGAGAAAATTAAGATCAAAAAACCCTTAATCGAGGCAGACCCAAAGCATATCTCGGTTAAAAATCTTTTTCCACTTTCCTTCTCTCATTTTCAAGCAAATACTTGCTTGCCATCATCCATTTCACCAAACGTGTAAATGTTAAAATGAATTGTTGAAAACAAAAAAAATTAAATTAGTTGAAAATGAGAAATTATAGTTTTGTTTTTTGAAATGGGAGTTGAAACTGATGGTAGAAGAAAGCGAAAGAACAAGGAGAGAGAGAAATGCTTGCAGGAAGTTTAATGGAGTAGTAAGCGAAAAAATTACTACAATCCATTATTTCATTAGACGGATTTTTTATATTCTCACATTCTGTATGGCCACATGGATCAGCACGAACACACGGTTTTCCACTGAAATGAGAATGATATGTTACGAGAAAAAAAAGTAAAAACACTCAAGTGAAATATCCTTGCATCAACCATTACCACCCTGAGAGTTAGAGAAAAAAAATTTCTACCAACACATTCGCATGTCGCTCGATTTTAGCAAAGTTTTTCCTTCTTTTCGCCTTTTTCCTCGTTGAATATTTTTTTTTTCATTCCATTTTTGCTTTTACTATTCCGGGCGCTATAAATCAAATACATCAACCCCTCAGCCCTGTGTCAAGGCACGCCTGACAACTGATATTTGCAGAGGGGTGGGTTATACATACAATATCCTTTTACAAAGGATATTTCACCATGTATGAAAGACTTTTTTGTGTATGTAAGTTAGAAATATGGAACAAAATAGCAGAACGAAAGAGAACTTTCTATTTTCGTTTTTTTTATTGGAATGTATGGCAGTGTACGGATACTTTACATGTTTATTCTTTTTTATTTTTCGTTGTTGTTGCTTAATGCCATCAGAAAAATTAAAAATATTATTTGAAGCGCAAAACCGAGAAAGGCTACTGAACAACAAGAGAATTACTGAGAAAAGCTGAAATGGAAAATTCATCATGAAGTTTTTTTTTTCTCTGGAAGCATTAGGGGATTGTGTGATGGGGTGGACGAAACGGAACAAGAGGGAAAAGCTTTGGAAATTTTTCTGATTGTTCCGATGATTCATTTCTTGAGTTTCACAACTATTTTCTAAGGAAGAAACTTAAGACTCTTTCTATGAGATAAGGTAAAAATTTAATTAATTCTTTTACATCACATCCGTGTTCTTTTTGAGAAGAAGGGAGACAAGACTTGATCAGGGCTTTGCACGCCCTTAACTCACTAATTTGAAATGAAATTCTACCCTCTCTGTTGTCATCTCTGTCTCAGAATCACTGAAGCACTGAGAACAGCAGCTCTTTCCGAACTGAAAGAAGAATTTCCTCTTCGACTTTCCATAAACTGAAAGAAACTTTTTTTTTTGTTCCTTTCAATGGGCAAAGAAAAAACCGAAAAGAACACTCAGAATAATAAAAAAATGTTTTAAAGTTTTCTCGGAAAAGAATTGCAAAGATACGCGTTACGTAGACAGTCAGTGTCTATGCAAAATTATACAACTTTAATTGTTTTATGGTTTCGTTATTTCCTTACTCTCCCTTCGTTCATGGTGCACAAAAACACGACAAAAAAAATAGAAAGTTTGTCTTTTGTTTGAAAAATAAAAAGGTATTTACGCTCTTCATGTTCCTTTATTTCTTGTGTTCAAGTTCATGCAAAACTCTCATTTGGGATTTTAAAAAATATTTCAATGTGAACGGAAAAGAGACAATAGAAGAGTTTTAACTTAACCACCCTCAAAATGATAAAAATATTCATTTTAAGGAATACGATAATTGGTGTAATTGAATGTACACAAACGAATGAAAATGTTTACTTTGTACAAATGTGGCTCTTGTGTAAATATTTGCAAATCTCATGGTGACACACAGTGGTGATGAAACATATTTGCAACTTCTGAAAACAATTTCTTTACTGCTTCAGTGACATTAGAAAGGGGAGATAAGTAGAGATGACCTCAACACCATCATCACCTTCCGTTATCGTTTGCATCAGTTTTAACACTTAACACAACTTCATGAATCATTCAGATCAGAGAAAGAGAAGAAGGATTTACACATGTAAATCTCGTATATGAGAATCGTTAGTTCGCTTCAAGATCGTTCTAGCTTACTTGACTTTAGCTTTTTTTTTCTTTTCGTTCTTCTCGCTCTCCCGCTTGATTTCTTCTCCAAACAAAAATTGCAAAACGAACAACGAGAAAAGAGAAAAGATTCGAAAAACGACCATAAATCATATTTTTTTGACAATTTCCTCTTTTTATAATTTCTTGCATTATACAATTCTTTTCCTTCAGAATTCTTTCTTCGACGCCTTGCCTCAAACGGATTTCAGAAGAAAACATAAGAAAAAAAAAGAATTTTAAGAACGAAACGCTCGCTTATGGCTCATGGTGAGCATTAAAGATGGAATATAAAGACCACTAACATCTTCAGCTATTTACATTCTTTATTAAAAGATGTCTGAGCAAATGTGGGGAGCCAACAAGAGCGGCAAACTCTATTCATGTTTACTCATATGCGACCTCCTATCTTTTGCATCACAATAGAAGCATTCAAACATAAAGCTAGTTTGATAACGGGGAAATATTTCATTCTCATATGTTTGCTCAATGTTCAAATTTTCAATGCCATGGAAAATTCAATACGAAAACAACAAATGACTTTTCCACGAGATGCAAATTGTAAAATTTCAACAAATTTGTTATGTTGTTGTTGAAATATCGAAAACCACGAGATTCATAATGAAATATGAAATGTTCATTAAAACATTATCATTTGCGGAGTGGTTGAACATTATTTGAAAAGTATAAAATATCCACCAGCAACAGGCATGCAAATTGAAATTTATTTGAATGCAGATGCAGCTTATTGCTGAATGTAAAACTCGAATTATCTATAAATGGTTTAAATATTTTCATGCGTTGCCATTTTGATTTATTAACCGAACTTTCCCAATAATTTAATTAATGTTATTTTTCTCCAGGTTAAATTTGATTGAAACTTTTATCGTCGTCGACTCTCTATAAATGTAATCGATAATTCGTTAAACTGCTCGAACAGCAAACATTCTCTTTGTTTAAATTTAATTTCAATTTAAAAAAAAACACTTTCGAAATTAAAATCTTCCTCATTGAACGTGTTCAAGTCGAAGGAGTTTTGTACAAGCATCGAATAACAAATTAAAAACATCGTCTCGGTGCTGACTGAGAACAACAACAAACTTCAATTTAAGAAGAAGGAAGCAGCCGGAAATTGAAATCCAGTCAGTCCTATTCGAATTACGTTTTCTTGTTTTTTTTTCTTTCTTTTTTTGCTGTAACGAGCATTTACTCGTAGCTTCCATGATGTCGAAGGGATGATTCAAGACAGCAGTGGAAAGTAATTTTCGTTAAACGAACCTCATGAAGGGAATCGAACAATCGTGATTGCAGTTCGTTGTCGGTGTATTTATTATGTAAATTTTCTCTTTCTCTCCCCTTTTTGCAACCCTGTTTTCCACGTGCATTAATATAAATGTAAGTTAAAGACGACAAAACAGAAAGAAAATGAAAAATCTCGCATAACAATCAATTTTTTGACACACACAGCATAAAAATAAATTAAATGAGTGTGTTGAAGACATTGAAGAAGCAGAATTTGTGATGGTGGATGAGGGAAAACCATTTACAAGTTGACGGAAATATTTCTAACATATAAGCGAACAAGAGAAAAAAGGAAAATTAATTTAAAAATAATCAATAGCAAGGCGAGAAGTGTGCGAGCGGGAAAGATTGCTTGCTACCGTACATTGTATCTATTGTTTGTGCCATGACGTGAAAGTTTTTATTTTCCTTCTTTTCCACTGAATTTTAATTTCAAATAAGGGATGAAAGATTTATGGGATGATAATTAAAATTTTTGCTGTCTACTCGCTGTTCAATTTTATTCGCTACTGAACATCATGATTGATTTTTAATTTTTATTTTTCGCTGTTCACGACATGTGTATGTTTGTGTGTATGTTGGTTTGTAGAAAATGGAATAAGAATTTCCACATCATTTGTGAGTGACATAAAATTTCTATGGCGTGGTGGTTTCACTGCATCTGAAATGATTTGAGAAGTCAAAAAAGCATTTCAAATATTTCCAACAATTATTTCAAAAATATATTTTCTAGTACGAAGTGTTGAAGCGGGGAGAATAAAAAGATATTTGACAACTGATACCAGCCATTCGAAGCAATCCTTTCGTCTTGTAATGAAATGAACAGAAAACGCATCAAGCTGCAACCAAAATAAGCATTCCAGAGGAAATTCCATAGAGAGTTTTGCTATCAGTGTTCACATTCATGCATGTTTGCATTCCATTCACAAATGAAAATTGAAAATAGAAATTATTCACACGTCAGAGGAGAGGAAAATAAAATTCAATCCATTGTTCTTTCCACCCTCAAGCAACACCAGTTTCAGCAGGAAGAGTCAGCAGCTAGTGAGAGATAGCGAAACATAAAAAGTTTTAAAATAATCTGTGCCATTTGATTTGATGATGTCTCTCCAACAAACCATCTGATGATAATTTATAGCCTTTGCAGACATATCTACAGAAATGTCGTGATTCAATTTTTGCGCTTTTCACTATGTTGTCAGTGAACGACAAGCGAAATCGAACGAAAACGATTGAAACAATGCGACGACATTTTTTTTACTTGCGAGGGCTTAAGTCGGACTTTAAATCAAAACAAATTTTACATCGACAGTCGTTCGTCAATCGACGATGAAAGGAAACGAAACAATAAATATTTTTATTAATTCATCAAACAGATCAACTGCACATATCAACGCAATCGGATCACGATGGTCGATACTTGATATTGTATACTGGCATTTAATCTTAATTTATGAGCTTTTTTTGTCTCTTGTGTCGATGCAATTCTTGCTCCGATTTGATGTAACGTGCCGAGATGTTTATCGTCATTTGATCCCTACAAAGCCATTTTCAATTAAAACGAGAATTGATTTTTAGAAACTTAATGGCTAATGTCGACATCAAGTCACATTAAAATACTATTTTTAACCTCTTTCAACTTACCCTCGCAGCTAGCGTTCCCTTCCACCCTTTCATGCAAGTTTTATGAGGCTTTAATTGCTTTAATGAGACTTCGGAGATCGTCGCTTAATTATAATGAATTTTTAACTTCGTTCACTGTTAGTTTGATTAAAATTGAGTACAACTTACACGTAGGCATAGATATTAGAGAGAATATATTGCCTCTGTCATGCTAATAACACCTTATGGAAAGAAAAATTTGAAAAGTTAAATGCTTTTTCAATAGACAGGCCAAACTATTCAAGCACGATTTGAATTTATCTTTAAGTAATTATTATGAAGTTTGTATAATATTAAAAGCCTTTCGGTTTTGGTTTAGCGTTTTATGAACAATAAATCATTGCGAAAAGAAAGGAAAATTGTATGTTTCGCACACAACACAAAATAAAAACGAGTAAGACTTGGGTTGAAGTCTCTTCTCTCTATCTCTCCTCACATACGTTGTTCTTGTTGTTATTTTTCATACTTCATCCGACATCATAGCGGAATTATGTGATAAGCAAAACATAAAACGAAAGATTATCGATCAACTTTTTTTTTCTGCCTTCTTTTTTAACTGGGGAACATCATGGGAAAGAAAAGAAAATAGTTGAGTTGGGTCAACTTGACAATTGCTGGGTACCGAGAAGCAACGAATGAAAGATCTTCTTCAACCGGAAATTTCGGGCATGTAATCTCCATTTTTAATTTAGCTACCAACATCAGTCGACTCAAATATTTAGTTAATAACGAAATGAATACAACTAACTTCGTTTCTCTTCTGCTGTGAATTTATATTAACGAAAATTATTCAAACTTCCCCGAAGCATTGTTTAAAATTTGAAAAAAAAAATACACAAAATAGGAAAATGAAGTAAATTATATGTTACAGATCGGAAACTAGAAAATGAAATTATAAGTTGCGTCAAATTTAATTTATTTGACTCATCATGGCTGGTTGTTATTGTTTAAAACTGTTCTAATTGAACTCACAACTCAACCAACCTATTTGGGGAAGCGAAGAGAATAAAAATAAAATGTTGAAAAGGAAATTCAACGAAATTTAGACTTCAGTGAACTGAAGAGCCATTCATCACATAATAAACAACAGTATTTGAAAGGCATTCATAACGGGAGTAAATCTGGAAAATCATGGATAAACAATAAAAATCTTCAAGACTTAAGTGAAAACCAAGCGCATACATATCACGTAACTTTTATTATATCTCACGAGTAATAAATAATTTCTCTGTTATATGTTTGTTGATACATGGCAAAGTGTAGCTTAGAACCATGTACGAACAATATCAAGAAAAAGCAGAAAAACGTTTCTACAACTATTGTGGATGAAAAAGAAAGAATACGAAACAAAATGAAAAGAGAATAAAATTTTGTTATGAAGGAAAAGGGAAAATTCGATGTCGCTAACAATTGTTGATAATAATTTCCTCGCGTTTTCGTTCATGCTTTTCCTTGCGGTCATTGAAGAAATATTCTTAGATTATCAAAATGTTCTTTTTAATTATTAAATGAGATTGAAAGAAATTTTACAAATTAATTGGAATTATCAAAAATATGAAATTCTTTAAATTAAATTGAATTATCTTCGAACAATCTTGAGTCAATGCAACGACAAGAAAAGCAAACACCAAAGCCGAAATGATATATACACATTTCTTGTATTCAACTGAACATAATCGAATTATTTCAATTAGACTAACTTGTAATTGAAAAATATTGCTGAATAACATTCGTTTTTCTTTGCGTTTTGTGCATCAAAAGATTGTGGTGTGGTTTAAATAATTTTTAACTTTCACTACATCGTCTTTTGGTTCAAGAATGGGAGGGAAAAAAAAGTTAAAGTGACAGAAAAGTTTCGTTGTGAAACCATAAATTACGAGAGACGAACAAAGTTGGTTCTTTACACATATAATAATAACATTCAGGAGAATGACGAAATACTGAATTGCGTTAAACATAAATGGTGATATTCTTTATGCGAGAAGCAAACACAAAACTGGTTCGTTCAGACCGGTTTGTTCAAGGCCTTCGTTGTTCTCTCTTCGTGTATGTTTGGAAAAAGTCCTTATGCGTAAAACATTACAGTTTACTCACTATTATCTCATGATATCATAAATAAAAAATGCTGAAGTTTAGCTGAACGCGACAACAATTATTTTCATTTAAATGATTTTATTACGAACACCAAAAAAAATTAAAACATAAATAAATTGAAATGTTAAGTTTTTTATATGCTCATTCATATCGGTTGGTGAATGTGAAGTATCTCGTGAATAAAGCAACAAAATGATTTATGATATTTATAAAAATTTCATTCACTTTTTAATTTAATTGTGATTTTTTTATCGTGTGCGTCTGTAAACGCCAGCTTTTCCTGATTGGATGTGACCGTGTTGTAGTAAATAAAAAAATGTTACGCAAAATCATATCGGCGACATTTTTGTAATTTATGAATTATTTTTCGAGTGCCTATTAATGGCCAAATAAAACAACTTTAAAAACCTGAATGTAAACTACAACAAAGGAGCATAAAGACAAAGGTTTTTGAGAAATATACTGCGGACATTCATCTAAATCATTTGAATACACACGTTTTAAAATTTTGAACCCCTTTTTTCCTCTTCACATTGTCGACATTTAAATATCAAATTAATGAATAAAATTAAAGCCATCTTCTTCTTTGTTTTCGCAGGTAACATTAACAAAAACATTTGGACTTTATGTTTAACGGCTTGGTAAGAAATTTATGAATCGTTTGTTGTTTCGTAACCTGAAGAAGGCAAATAAGAGAGCTCTATGTGATTTGAATGTTTGGCTTTGCATTCTAATGTAGAAAAAAGGTGAAACACTCGTCGCTATTTTAATTGTAACAAATTAACAAATAATTTCCAAGAGCGTAAATTTTTTTTTGATGATGATGATGCTGATGAAGACCACAAAAACACAACACAAACACTCTGTTTGTTTTAATTTTTATATTTTTTTCACAATTCAACAATTTGGTTATATATTTCACATGTTATCAGTTGAACGATCTCCGACGCTCATTATTTTTAATTCCACAATGGAAATCAAGATCTATATGTTGCTTTTCTACTTTTATTGCTCTATAGTTTCAACTTCTTTTTTCTATGACAAAATACTTCCCAAAAACTAACAAGCAAGAAACAAAAATTTTTCAGATCATAAATTTATTTTTTATGGCGCTGGAAAGTTCTTTGTAATTTTTTTTGAGTGGCCAAATTATAACGGCAAAAAGAAAGCTGGAAAGGAAAAAAAACTAGGATCATAAATTAAAAAGCAGTTCTGACCTTTGCGGAGTTTTTTTCTTTGACTAGGTCTGTAATAATAAAAAAAGGTAAAAAGAATTAAGAAATTAGAAGAAAATTACATTCTGTCTCTTAATTACGGTAAAATGTGTGATAATTTCTTTATCTTTTACAAAACGATAGAGACATGAAGGTAAAAGTGAAAAGTAATCACATATAAATGCATCAACAAAAGAATATTCATATTGCGGTTGTTAATTCAATTCATATGAGTAGGAAAGAGCGAGAAAGATGCAAACGATTTTATCTTCCTTTTCATCTGCACCAACTGCAATGTTATAATTCATTTTTTTTGCTACATCCATATTTAATACATGGAATTTATTGTTGAATGGAAACATTGTATTATTTTTTGTATGTTCCATGAACGCTTTGAAGAAGAAAAAAAATGTTTTGTGTAACGCAATATCGTTTAAGCACACCCAAACATCGCAAATTTTTTCGATATTGTTTCTCTATCGAGTCATTCTAATAATAGCATTGAAAACATCATGAAACTGTAGATTTTTTGTATGAATTTTCTTTATTCTCTATTTTGTGAGCGCGGTAACATAAACTTGAATGTATAGGTGAAAGTGCCATCATGTTTGATATTTCATGTCATGTTCCATTTTTACTCTCTTTCCCTCTCTATCGCAACAATATGTGATTTGCTATTTCTTGAAAGAAAAAAAGAAAAAACAACATGGTTCATAGTATTTGATTGATGAATGTCTTTTTCTCTTGACGAATGATAAATCTTCTCAAGAATGGCTTCATTTCATCACGTTTTTTCACAGATTGTTATTAGCTGATTTTTATTTATTTATTTAAATATGTCGACAAACATCTTAACATCGTAATTACCATCAATCAAACTTTTACACTCAATAATGATAACATTTAAAAGGCCACATTATTTTAATGATCCATAAAATACAGAGTGATTTGTTTATGTTCTTTTTCTGTTTAGAATTCATGAATGAAATCGAGGAAAGAAAAAATCAAAATTGTACTAGATTCGAGAGAATGTTGTCTCGCAAACATTGAGAAAACATTGTTGCAATGTTTCAATGCAAGGGGTAAATAAATCATCGGAAAAAATTGGAGGGCAAAAAAGCACTATTGCTGCATTGATGAAGCACTAGACAAATTCCAAGAAAAAGTAAACAAATTCTTGGAAAAAGGCCATTTTTCTTGAAAAGCACTAGTGATTTTCGAAGCATCACTTGGAGGCAGCGGGCAGAAGCACTACGATGATTTCCCCCTTGTTTCAATGTTGCAACCAGACCTCGTGGAAGACTCTAAAGCAAAATAGCTAAAGCAAAAATATATCAAACTGAACTTGTGAACCTCCCGTATGAGAGTTGAGTGTTGCTCTATCGTAAATTTTTTTCTCATATAATTGTTTTATATACAGTCTTGATTCAACGTTATAAATAAAACAGAGAATTTGTTATGCTAGTTGCTGCATGACACTCGAAAAAATAAGATTGAAAATTTAAACGCGCAGTCAAATATAGAAAATAAATATTCGTGAAAAGTGAACTTTTTGTGCAAGAAAGTAACTAATGCAAATTGAAGATAATAATGAGATGTGTAAATATTTTGCGAATATTGATGATCGTGTCATTCCATAAATAACATTTATTAAAAATTAAGAACCTTTGTTAGGAAGTTTATTAAAATCAGAAATAAAAGTTGAACACTGATTCGCAAATGAAACGATGGAAAATAATAAAATGAAAAATTGTTTTTAAAGATGAAGGTGAAGAGAAGAAATTATTGTCGACGATATTTTTTAGCTTTTCGATGACAGAATAGATGATGGATAAAAACGGATGAACTCGACCAATTTTTCATTTCCATAAATTTAGTTTCTTTCGAAATTGTGTTTGTGTTGTTTTATTTCGCAAATAAAAATTAAAAAAAATTCTTCTCACTAAGTTTCAACAAATTTATAATTTTGAGAGAAAAAAAAAGAATAAAATAGAAATCTAAAAATAATCGCGTGATAATAGTCTCGTCCTCTTGAATTAAACAAAATAAAAAAGAAGTAAAAGATTTCATGAAAATATATGAAAGAGATGAAAAAAGTATCAATCAAAATCAAAGGAGAAAAGTTTCTTTAATCCAAAAGTGTCGAAAAAGAAGTGATCTTGAAATAGAAAGAGAAAAAAAAGAATAAGAAAAAGTAAATTAAACAAATAAATAAATAATTGCTTCAAAAGTCTGTTTGACTGTGAAACCACTTCACTGAGAGGTTGGCATCGGAAGTAAAGAAACAAAAAAGTACTCCACACGAAAATAAAAGGTAATAAATTATGATATTCGACAGTTCACACATACCGGCACGGAAATAAGAGCAAAAAAAATAAATGTTGTTAAGACGACTAAGAGGCAGTTGAATTTATTATTTACACAACAAAAGAAATAGATAGACACATTATATTACAAATTGATCCTTGTTATCCCTGACGTTTTTCCTCCCAGACCCGAGAAGGGGAAAAACTCATGATGTTCATTAAAAAGATATTCACGAAGCACGGTTATTATTGACAAAAGTCTTAAGACGAAAGGAACATTTTAAGCATTGAAAATTACTTGAGACCATGAAGCGAAAAGGAAATGTGACACGATGTGATCGTTTCTTTAAGATCGATTGCGAAACCAGTCAAGTAGGGTTTTTATTTTATGATGAGTTTACATTTTGCTGTCGAGAAACTAAACACGACATGGAAAAACTTAATCACTGCATATTTAATTAAACAAATGCACACGCAAAGTAATCTGAAATTTTAAAAATATGGCAATGTTTCTAAGCACTGTTCCGCCGACAAAAAAATTATGAAACAAACTTTTTTAAAAGTAACTAAGCTTACAAATAATCAACATGTTCTCGAGCTTTGCTACACGATATGTGGGAAAAATTGAAAACTTCATAAATTGCTTTATCTTTCTTGACCTTTTCAATCATTTAAATAATTTTTTGCATCAGTAAATTGAGTGTTCGTTACAAGTTTCTTGAAATATCTCACAAATGCTTTTCTTGTTATTTTTTCTCTATTTCGAGTGAACAACGGAAAAGAAAAAAATGTTTTACAACTTAATCGCCATTGGTCGACTTGTTCAACACTTCTTTGTACTTCCCTTTTAATTTTTAACACTTCCAAACTCTGTGCTTATGGTAATGAAGTGCCAACCTCACTGCTCGCAAAAGTAAAAAGAAATCAGTCAAACAGACCAAAAGCAAAAAAATCTGACAACAAAGAAACTCCGCTCAAGCAAGAATTTCAAACACTTCGCCTTTTCATTTCATTTTTTTTATTCTTGCTTCATGGCGTGGCGGTTTTTTTCCTTATTCTCATTCTTGTGAACAGCTCTAATTAATTCAATTGAAAAATTACCCTCGGAATACAGAATACATTAAGGTCGAACATTGCTGATATAACAAAGAGTCACAACAATCATAAATTTTATATTTCCACATGAAAATTTGTGTTCACTCTCAAAGTGTATCGAAGAGATTTTTGAGCAACTACCTGCTAGGAAAAGTGTAATTAATTATAGAACCACAAGAAGACAGAAGAAAAAAAAATTAATTTTAGAAAATAAATCAGTGGTAAATTTATGTTTCAATCGATAAACGCGCCACTTTTCAACACTGTCTGTGTCTGTTTTATGTTAAATTGCCAGAGAATATTATTTACTTCAGACACTGTTGGCCTGTGATAACACATCAAAAAACATAATTTAATGAATATTTTGCTCTTCAACGACGAAGGAAAAGCGCCAGGAACTTATATAATAACAGATCGATGAAATCATATCTCTGTTTACTTTGCCCCCCCCATTATGCGGCGCTCTCTTGGCGCTTTTCAATAGAAGAAAAAATATTTACAAGCTGTAAATCCCGTTCTAGTTGTTTAAACGACTTGGGTTTATTTAGACTCGCTATGATTGCGCTTCACACATGACTCAGGTTATAACATTACATGGTGGTGATGTGACTAATTTCGAGAATGGCATGGTAAATGAAAATTCATTTCACTAAACTTTTATCTTCCGTTTAATTAAAAAAAAAGAAACTTTCATCATAAACTACTTTATTTAATAAATGAGTTTATGACTAACTTCTAGGCCACACGCATGGTAAAAATGTTTTCTTGATGTTTAATCTCGCCAAAAATTATTCTGAATTTTAAGGAATTAAAAATTCAAAGTTTGCGAACTTTTCTCTTGATGTTCCGATATTTGAAATTTGTTTAAACGGAAACTCTCGAACATCACGCATTTATTATCAACAGGAAAAATAAACTTTTAAGTTGTTGTAAAGACAAAAACTAAAAAATTGTCAGAATAAATTTTTGCAAACATTCCACAGAAACTTTTTGTTGAATATTTTCTATCGCATTTGCATATTTATTGATTAGTCGAGCGTTGGTGACGCTTGCGAATATTTTCAGACGAATGTGAACAATTTTAGACCTGTGATGATAGCGAAGCGAATCTTTCAAATAGAAACTTTTAATTAGAATTTGTTTCTGAATCGTATCGAATATCAAATTGTTGGGAATTCTCATTCGCACCTTGAAGAATATTTTTGAATTTTTATTACAAATTTAAATAAAACTTTAACAGCTGCACTCAAGTAATTTGCAAAATTTCTTCACGAGAATTATTTGTAAAGCAATGAAATTATTCCTTTATTGAAAAACCGTTTGGTTCGTTGACAAAGAGAATAAAACAAAAGTTTTTAGATGAAAAAGAATGTGAAAAAATTTCGACAACAAAGTTGCCAAGTTTCACAGCCTACCCACCTTTACGACTTTCAGATGAAACGCAATTTCAGATGATGAAATAAATTTCTTTGATAGAATGAAAATTTATCAATATTTAAAATAGTTTTAATCTTATGAAAATTTATGTGAGAAAAAGCGACAGTCTTGCTTCTTGAGTATTTTGAAACATATTTGAAAATTTGTTTTTCATATAACAAAAAAAAAAAAAATAAGAGAAGTTTCCCTAAAAAATAAGTTAAATAAAATTATATGAAGAAAATAAGAAGAGTGACATGTCTATGTGTCTTCCCTGTTAATCCTCTTGGCTGATGTTCTCAACCCAAAGGAAATTTCACTGTCGTTTTGAATTACAAATGTTTTCATCTCTAAACTTATCAGAAAGGCAGAGAATGAAGATGGAAAAGACGAAGGCGAAGAGATGGAGAGAAAAAAAAAACATTTATAAACAAAATATCAACATGCAGACACATTTTACCATGTATGTCACATTAAAATGAAAATTAGAAGTGACAGTTTGAGTTTACAGCATGGCAGTGAGACAACAAGAAAAGAGTATCGCACAGGCGAATTTTTGCTTTCTGGGGCTTTTTTTTTCAGAGGAGAAAAACAGTTTTTCATCGAAAGGAAAAAAAAGGTTGTCCAGCTGTCTCTAAATAATCATTGCCATGCCATTTTGAAAAGCGTTTCTTTATTTTTTGCTGTTGACTATGATTCATTCTACATGGTATTTCCCCCATTCTATATTCTTTCACATCAAAATGATGTCTGAGAGAAAGAATCAACTGTGAGTGGCAGGAGGGAAAATACAAAATGTTGATGCGCCCTTTCTTACTTTTCTTATTTCTTCTATTTTCCAGCTTTACAAGAATTTTTATCCCTCTCAATCATGAAAAATATCCAATTACTCAGATTTCCTTTCTCCATTTACAACAAAACATGTTTTGTCGACAATTATTCTTAATAAAGTTATTTTCATGTCTTACCTAACGATTGACCCAAAAAGTTCTAAATATGGTGAAGCGCGAAACAAGCCTGTAGTTAATTAACATTATGAATTGCTTATTAATTCTAAAATGTGAATATATCGCGACAACAACATCTGAGAAGTTTTAGGCAACATGTGAAGAGTTTGAATGTTTTTCATTTATGTCGACTTTTGATAATTATGACTGATAAATGCTGAATAAGCTGAAATATTTATTTCGTGTTGTGTGAAATTATCCGAGAAGTAATTGATGTTATTTAAGATGTTATTCAGGTAACAAAGTTATAAAACTAGAAGGTTTTATAACAAAAAAGAAAAATAATTACATAGCCCACCCTGAAACTGAAGAATTGAAATAAAAATGAAGAAACTCCTAAAAGCAATTCAAATAAGGAAATGAAACTTATAAGAATATTAAAAGCATTTACTTGTCAGCTGGGTAATAAAATAAAGTTTTACTCAAATTTTTGCACAAAAAAAAAGAAAACTTTTTCGTTATTCTTCCACCAAACTCACATACATCTGTCATTTGCCCAAGAATAAAAAAATCGACCATAGCAAATTGAAAGGAGAGCAACATTTTTCAGCGTGTTCAGCCACATGTTTATGTTTGAGGTGTTTTTCATGAACTGCTTTTCCTTGGAAGTTTTTCCTCTGGCACTTTATTTTTTCCTTCATTCCATTTTACGTTCGTTTTTTCGTATTTTCCCTTTTTTTTCTTGCTATCAATTCGCTCGTTCAGCACTCTTGTCGAGGGTGAAAATTTTTGTAGTTTCCTTTATTCAAATTAACTTCAATGGTGGTACCGTGTTGCAAAGGTAATAATCAACTGTTAAACTATTTTTAAACATGCAATTCACGCAATCGAGGAAAAGGATATGTGAAAAACACCGCGTGTTACTTTTATATACATTTTTTTTATCGATGGAGGGCACACTTACTTACAGCAACAAAACTACGGTAGTGAAAGAAGGAAGGAATGAAAAGAACTTCAAAATTATTTCCATCCGTATCATTCACGAGCAAGGAGTTCATATAATTTGTAGATTATGACGACTGATAGAGACATTCATTTTCCTTGTACCAACCCTCACTTCGCTTTCGTCTTCTTCTTCTTTCCTTGACTCAAATATTTTTATGTTTATGGATAATGATATATTTATGACTTTGTTTCTTCGTAGAAAGCGGCAATGGCATGTTGTGTACGAATTCATCTCTTTGTGGCACCATCTGACGTCATTCCTCCAATGACCTTTAAAATAGAAAGTTGTTACTTTTTTATTTTCAACTTCAAACGTCGATCCTTTTTTAAAAATAAACAATTCTTCCACATTTTTCAGCGTGACAAAGAACTTTCTATTTTTCTTTACAAAAATTTTTGTTTTCTCTCTTACAAAGTTTTCAAATTGTTTTTCTGTTTTTTTTTCTCCTCTTTTCATTCATACGTATCTCGATCTTTGCGACAGTTTCTTAAAAAAGACTTTTTACTTCTTTTTAGCACGTCTGTTTCATAAAATTAGGTAGCGAAATATTCACGAATAATTTTTCTACTTAAGAGAAAAAAAAACTGTTTTTAACTAGTTGCGAAGATCTGTTAAGATTAACGATGAGGATTCAACACAGCGAATTATTTTATTTGAATAAATCAGCTTTGACATTATCCACAGACAGCTCGTAATTCAATTAATTCAGTTTTGCTATGGTTGTGTTGAAATTCAAATTAATCAAACATACAATGTTGCAAAATTGCCACTTTAAAAACATAAATTATAAAAGTCTAACAAAGTGGCAAGTGTACGATTTCCTTTGAAAGTCATAAATACCATTTCACAGAAGAGTGGCAATACAATGTTTCATTTTATGATTTCATGTTATAATTCAATTAATAAAAGTACTAATTGAAAGTAGTTAAACTTAACACATTTGTTAAAATCACATAAAATTTCTGTTTTCATCTTTTCCCCTTTTTGTTAATTTTTTCATTGATGAATCGTGCTCGAGTTCGCGAGACTTTCAATGCTGTTGCCTTAAGAAGCTACAAGAATTGAATAATATTTTTGTTGCTCATTGTATAATAGACCATAAACATACCTTTCAAGTGTTTATTCGTTTTTAATTCACATTTCACATAAAAACTTTTATTATGACGTGCTCGTATCTCATTATACATTGAAATGTATGATTAATTTATTATGTATCGTGAACATTACCGGTGGAGCATTAATTTCATATTAATTTTAATAGCATACAAATTGAATCATTATAATTGTTTCAACTACCAACATACAATATCAGAGACTTAATCAGTGGTTATCTGGGATAACATTTTGTTCGTATTAGAGATTTTCATGTTAGAATTTGAATTAGGGATGTCGAATAATTATGAAATTTTCTGTTTCAATTTTTTAATTTATCGAGATTAAATCAAACGCAGATGTATCGTCAACACTTTCATTATTAATTATAATATTTATCAATCGACGTCCATAATTAGATCCTTTTAATGTCGCAAACAAAGAGACATGGAAATGTTTCATAGATGGGGGGAGATAACAAACTCTCAAGAGATTCACATCATCATTCACATTTCGCCCTTAATCCCTTCGCATTTTTGCAAACTGTTTGCGTTCATTGCGTTGCCATGTTGGGGCCATAATCGGTGGAACGCAGCTGAAACCTACAAATTGAATTAAAACACCGTCGGCAATTTCTGCAATGAAATCCCATGAAACATTGCAATAAATTTATATTACTTTTTTATGGGTAACGAGACTGTTATCATTTTTCTCAACCACGTAATTTTCATTTTTATATTTGTATTTAACCGAAAAAATAAGTTCAACAAGTCGCACATTAAACGTGGATCCCGAATAAAGATAAAACAACCATAACAGACTCTTTTCTCGGCTTACACATAAAACTCTCACTTACACACATTTGCACAGCATCGCAATGAAGGAGAAACGTTTTTGAATAAAATTTTTCCTTCTTTTAGACACGAGAATCTCAAGCAATAAAAGACGAATGAAAGAAAATCTCGATTATGTTGTGAGAGAAAAAAAAAGACTTGGGGAAAAGAAGGCAAAAGAGAAATAAAAGAAATACAAATAAATTTATTTATTATTGGCAGAAAATTATTGTTCAATTTCATTTAATTTTTTTAACTTATTTTTCAATGCTTTTAATCTGATATTTTAAAGAAAAAATAACTGCGAGAAGAATGAAGAAAAAGAAAGACAAATGCAACAAATGGTCTCAGATGAGAAACGCAAGCATGACTCGATTGCTAACAACGTTATTACTTATTTAACTGAATCAACCAGAGGATCCGTATTAAACGGCACAGTTCGCAAAAGCTGTGGTAAAGTTGAGACAACAAAATATTGCAACATTGAATTTAATTAACGGGAAAAAAGAGCGTAAAAATTGATTTCAGTTCGATATTCTTTTAATGTGCCAAGCGCGTATTTTTCTGCTGATTTTTAATCAACAAACTCGATGCTTACACAAAATAACAATTCAATTAAAAACGATATCGTTAAATGCCATTGGTGCTGCAATGGTGCGCGTATTGCTGTCAAGTAATCGAGGTTCAGTAGACACGACGATGTATAAGGAAAAGTGCAAGTTTATTGCATTTACTTTTGGCTTTTCTTTTTGTAAACATTTCAATTGATTTTGTATCAGCCGAGAAGAAGAAATACATTTGTTGAGACATTTTAAATGAACGCAATTCTTTCATTTTACCGTATTTTCAGTTTTTCTCACGACAAGTCTCGTGTGTTGTGAAATGATTTAATTTTATTGAGAAAGAACTTGTTTATAATTGTAAGAACAGAAAGCAGAACATCGTCTAAATAAAGAATAAATTTGGATATTGTCTGACTACGGCAAAACACGGTAGAAAGAAAAATAAAAATTTTTACTAGTTTCATTCCCATTGATTGATTTATGACGAGTTGTTTCGTTAATTCGAAATGATTATTTCTTAATTTACTTTTCTTATATCACTCTATTAAGTTCTCACGACAAGCTACTGATTTAAAGAATGGAGACGTTTAAACTGATTGTGAAGCTTCATAATCGGAGTCATTTGTAAGAATTTCCTGTAACAGGTGCTTGTGCGCGCGTTTTTATATTTCTCCCTCTGTTTAATGGAGACATTTTATTAGGCCCATTAATTTAACTAACAAACTATAAAACAGCAAGTAAACAAATCGTTAATGTTCAATATTTAGCACCGGTTGAAAAGCAAAGCGACGACAAAACAAAAAGACAAGAAACGGAAAAAGAAAGAATCTTAAGAGAAGAAAAGAAATAAATTTTATCACAAAAATCTCACGCATTACTTTTCGCGAAAGAATTAGGGACAAGAAAAGGGAAAGAACGGAAAGAAACAGAAGAAATCGAATCGATGAACAAAAAATGTTGTTTTAATTCGAAAACGACGCGACAACGTAAAGGGAACATGAAATGTAAATGCAAAAAAGTAAAACTCAAAAAATAAATGCGTGGCGCTAAGCCCGACTTACAAGACACCGATTAAGCAATTCGATTAAATCTTTTGCACTTTCGTTGTCGTGTAAATTTTTTTTCCTTCTTTTACTTCGCGAGGAAAATGAAGTTCGTGATTAAACTCAAAACAAACGAGAAGAGAAAATATTTTCCCGTATTTTCCCATCGTTAAAGCTTATGTTGTTTTCAAAACTGTCGTAGAAATTCTAGTCAAAATACCTTCGTGAAAACTAATAAATAAAAGTTTGACTGATTACTAACTTAGTGAACATTCTTCATCCTCCTTTCTGTTCATATTTTTCATTTCTTCTTCATACTGCCTCTTGTCTCATGTTATTCTAATTAAAAACGAGAAGAAACAACGGTTTTGAATTGGATTTTCCGGCATAAAAAAGAACAGAGCGACAAAGAACGAACCCTCCACATCTAAACTTTTGTCTTGTGGTTTGCTTTGAAATAAATTCCTTTAAACGAACTGAAATAAAGATCGGTTCGGCGCGTTCGAAATATCTTTTTCATCTGAAAAGTGGATACAGTTCAGCATCATCACGATGTTAATTTATTTCAAAAAAACAAGATTATCTAAGGGAACCGATAACCCGATGATGTCATTCAACTGTTCAAGTTTGTGTTTCCATTTAACCGTAGCAAAAAAAAAATTTCTGTGCTTTTTGTCTTTTCAATTTGACTCATCAAAAAATGTTTCGCAGTAAATAAAATAAATTGAAAAGAAAAAAAAATAATTAATTTGCATTTGACGATAACTTCCCTCACTTCATTCCTGGTTTCTTCTCTGGATATGTTGTGAACATGAATGCTTTTAAAATAATTACATTTTATACATCGACGAGTCATCGGATGAGTGAACAGTCAGTTATTTTTTTTGCACGAGTCTAATCCCAATGGAAATTTGTTTTTGGGTGCAATGTTGATGTACATATTAGTCTAGTCAAACAAGACAACCAACCTAAACATAATAATACTCAAAACATAATTAAATTAATAAGAAGCAATCGAAAAGCATGCATCAATGAAATTTAAAAATTTTAGTGAATCATTGAAACATTTCTAACAAAAAAAATTTTTGAGTGCGATGAAAAGACGATTCGATTAAGACAAAATTGGAGGGAGAAGAAAAGATAAATAAATTAGAGATTCCATAGTCGGTTAAATGAATACATAAATTCATAATAAGCAACATAATTGAAGCTCTCTTATGAAACGTACTGATAAAGTTATCACTAAAATTATACAAAACAAATAATGAAATCAATTTAGGAAATCTCACTATGACGAGCTATTGGAAACTCTAAACACAACGCCATTTTGATTTATGTCTTTTCTAATTCCGTTTAAATATGAGGAATCTATATAGATGTAGAGTTAGACATAGGAAAAAAACATGATGGAAGTCAAAGGGGAAATCGATGGAAGTAAGACTCTCTTTTACGGATTACGCTGATTTCTCTCTCGAATTTTCGGGTTACGCTGATATGTGCAGAAAATGTTTTGCAAGAATCTTAGCAATGCATTGATGAAAACATTAAATTTATAGAATATGAAATATATTTCAGCAATTAATAAATCTTAAATATGAAATAAAATAAGTAAACTTAAATTCTTTTAACGAATATTTGAAATGAAGTACTAGCTTAATTTGATGAGAGAAACTTTTGAAATTTAACGTAACGAGCTTATGCAACCTGCTTAACAAAAGCTCAAAATATTTCAATTAGCCTTGTTTGTAGGCAACACGTCAAACACTTCTTAAATTAATTAAAATTGCCACAAAATAGCAAACGTAAAACTTTGTAGACAAATGTTGTTTGAATCACCGCCAATTCATGTATATATGGGATGTTTTTAATTAAGATTGACATGAATAATTAAAACATGTCTCGAAAGCCTGTTAAACAAATTATTGTGAGACTAAATTGTTTGTAATTCTAATAAATAAATTGTAGATATTTGAAGAATAGCTAAATCCTAAAAACAATATGAACAGCTTTAGTAATTGTTCAATGAAAATTAAATTATTTGATTGCCCACCTGTGAAGATTCTGGCTGAATTGAATAACAATAGTCTACACATGAACAATTATCATCATTCACATGCAAATAATTATAGGCTGCTTGTGTTGTTCATAAATATTCCTGAAGTAAGAGCTGAGGAAATGATTGTTCATATTTATGATCAACGGCTGCATATTAATATTTAAATTAAATTTGATATGCAAATAAGTAAATTACATAAAATATCTCATGTTTCTTAACTTTTTGATTTTGCGGTGGAAACATCAAGCGAATACAACACACGATATTAAATTTCTTAACACTTATTCTTCTATAAATTATACTTAACTTAATGTACTAATTAAAGTTTCTTTCTATTCCAGGAACCTACTGTTACCAGCATTTCAAAGACATAATTTAGTGCATCAAATATAAGAATTAATTTTAAGTGTGACTAAGTAAAATTAATTTGCTGAAGTTTCAACAAAAAAAAGCAAAGAAATTAAAAGTTGCAACAAAATATTTTTTTAATCTGCAAGAAAAAAAAGGTGAAAAATAAGTCTTGAGTAAAAAGTGCATTAAATGTGATCAAAAAAAAGGAAAAACAAGAAAATAATAAAAAGCTTAAATTTAAGTCGTCACCTAAATGAAACATTGAACTCAATTTATATCAATTGGCTTGAATCAAACCAAGAAGAAAATAAAGAGAAAATAAATTAATTCAATCAGCCGGTAATAAGACAAACTTTTGGGAGTTTCTAATCATGACAATGAGTACAAATAATTGTGAGAGTATGACATCATACTTTACAAATTCCTACATGAGTTCCGATATGCACGGTCATTATCCAACTGGTGGTGACATGGATGCTCAAATGCATCACTACACACAAACCCATCACAATCAGGCCAGTATGCCGCCATTCCCACGATATCCGCCCTATGATCGCATGGGTTACTACAATCAAAACATGGAGCCATCGGGATATTCACGCCCCGACAGCCCATCAAGTCAAGTGGGGAATGTGATGGGACCGCAACAAACTCCACAGCCACCTCCACAACAAAACGGTACGATACCTCTTCAACAGCAACCTCAACAACAACCAATTGTTTACACAAGCTGTAAACTGCAAGCTGCGGTTGGTAATGGCGGTTTGGGAATGGTCGGCGATAATGGATCTCCACCACTCGAGCAAATGGGCCATCACAATCATATGAATAATCAGATGCCAATGGGACATCACATGCATGGTCAAGTGAACGAGGTAATTTAATTTTTATTTGTTGATTTCAATTTTAAAAATTGGCAAAAATAAAAACTTTGAAATTTACCACGTTCAACAGGTGGGTCACCAAACACCCCACAATATGGGAATGTACACAAATTCCGGTCCTCCTCCTGTTCAGCAACCACCTCAAAACATGATGCATCAACAGCCTCCTCTCCACCAAGGCCAACCTCAACAACAGCAACAAGCACCGCCAAATAATCATACCCAAGCTTCTCTACCGTCTCCTTTGTATCCGTGGATGAGGAGTCAGTTTGGTAAGTTAGGTTTGTTTCCCAATTTTTTCTTCATTTTAATACTAACATTAGTTGATAAGAGCTTAAACAATTTCTCAAAGTTATTTTCATTAAAGACTCCGTCCGAATTGTGACGTAACTTATGAAAATATCTTAGGGAAATTTAATTTTCTGCATGCACTTGCTTACTCGTCATCAGCAAAAAAAAAGCGCAGAATTTTCATTTAAAACGAGATCAAAAATTCATCGGACCGAAAGTGAGTGAAGGGAAATTAAATTAATTTTTTTTCACTTCCTTTATTCATTCAAAATCATTTTTCCATTGAGAAGAGATGACGAGGAAAACTAGAAAATATTTATTTTGCTTGAAGCATTTAAAAGATGATATTTCTGGTCTATTTGTGAATATGAGAAATATTTTGCAATTCCTGACTTGCATGACTGAAATTAAAACAGAAAAATGTTCAAACTTGACAGCATAAAATTTCTTACTGGGTTGAATGCATTCTCGGTTTACCTGCTTTTCAAACATGATGTCAAAATCAAATTCCATTTTCTTTCTCTACATTGCACCATCAATTAAAACGCCATTTTCAACTGTTTATGATTTATTACTTTAAAATGTTGTATGGCGATGTTGAAAAGAGTTTTTAAAAACAATTCCTATCCCTGATTTATTCAAACATGTCACCAACATTCTAAATCAAGCGTGTTGTCTGTAAATCATTACCATAAACAAAAACTGTTCTACTCAGTCTCACGAAATTTTTCTTTCTTTTTGTTGAAGAAAAAGTCTTCCGGGTTCTTCTTTTTCTGACGACAATGCTTTGAAGACAAAAGAGAATTTAGATGAAAAGACGACAATGAATGGGAACACCTTCTGTTTGGGTTTGCGCTTTTAAAATCATTTCACTTTTTCGAGATCTTCATCTCCATGTGACTTTTAACTTTACACAAAAGAATGAAAACGAAAGAATTTTGCATAAGTTTCATGCAAGTGATAAGAATATTTATGAGACCATTTAATGTCTCAATTCCAGATGAAAGAAGTTATTTCAGTTACAGTAGTTTTTCATTTTGCAAGCCAATGAGTTGTGTTGGATGAATTTAGAAAAGAGAGTCAGTCAGTAATTGCTTGCAATTCTCCATAAAAGTGTTTCAAAGCGCCGCTAGTCAGAAGTGAAAATATGTTAACGTTCCAAGTGCACCGCGCCAGACAATAAATTATAACAGCAATAAAAGGAGATTATTTACATTTTATCATTTTCCCAAGCACATTCGCTTTCAAAGCTGTTGCAAAAATCCATAATCTCGATGTTCCATTTTCTCGGAAAAAGGAAAATTTATATGTTTTTCGTCGCTTTGTTGTTGGCGGGGTTGAGAGGGAAAAGAAACACTTGTTGCCGTGTTTCTCATGAAAAGTAGAAAAAAAAACTGTTAAAAGTGTTAAATTTTACGTGCAATAAATATAATAGCGATGGTTGGCGTTTCCACGAGAAGATTTGATGGGAAAAATTTCAAAAAATTATCAAGCACTTGTTGTTGGAAAGATTTCAATTTCCCTGAACTTCAAACACATCAAAGAAAGAATAAGAAAATATTTTAAAATCGATGTTTCACTTTGATTGCCGCCAATAATGTGAGTAATGTGATCACTTAGCGACTGAATTTATTTCCATTCGCGATTTTCAATTTCTTACGCAATCTCGTTCATCTGTTGATGTTTCCTTTCATTTATTTTAAGTCGAAAGATTGCAAGATGCTTTTTTTATGTTCTTTTCGTTTTTGGAATTGAGAAATGAAACTGATTTGCACCTACACGCTTTTACTCTTTTCTTATGCCTTGCTAAAAGGGGCAACAGTAGTGAAATGCGATTAAAGGATTTCGAGACAGACCGAGTGAGAAAGCGTTAAGAAATGAGGCACATTCTTGAACTTTATTTTTATTTATCATCATTTGCAAAGGCGTTGGTTTCGCGTCTTAAAGGAGAAAAAAAAGCAAACGACGATGGCTTGAAGGAGTAGAGAATATCAAAAAAAAGAAAAAGAAATGAAGAAATTGTATAATACGTTCAGTGTAAGATTGAGATGTTAAAGAAAATTGATTGCTATCATTTCGTTTCGTTTTTTTTTTCTTTCGAATATATTCAAAACAAAAGCAATACTACAAGAGTTCGCTTGAATCATTTCTCGTTTTGGTGTTCGATTTACGTGTTTTTAAAGAAGAAAATAAAAAGAAATCAAATGGAAGACAGCAGGCAGCATGAGTCTCATCAATATTGATTGTCTCAGTGTGAAAATGAATTGTTAAAAGTTTTACTACATTGATCACCTCGATAATATTTAGATATTTTACGTCCTACTTAATACACATCGCTCTATGAAGTGTCTCCATTTCACTGTCTTACCCCAGCACCAACGTCAGCTTAAACAGCAACGGGCATTAAGTCTTCATTTTTCTTTCCGAAGCTGCCACATAAAGGAAAAGTTTTATTTTTCTTTCGGTTTCGCTTGCTTCATTCCTTAACAGAAACCCTCTTAAACTTTTTTTTCTTCATCTTAAGCCACTTAATCTTAAAGTTTTCTTTGCCTTCCCTCTCTCTCTCTCTCTCTTTCCCACTGTCTCTATCTCTTAAAGCAGAATATAAGAAAGAAAGAAAAAAAATAACAGAAAATTAAATTTATATAAAACGAAACGAACACCAGAAAGTTATTGATAAATGTCTTTATTTAAATTGTGTATTTATATCGCATACAATTTAAATATCGTGTCTTATCTTGATTATGCCGTCCAACTTCCATTTTTCTCTTTTTTTCTCCACTAACATCGCTTACATACGAGACGACGAGAAATGTTTAAAATGCTTCGCTGTTAAGTTAAGTCGGAGAGAAGAGATTTGAAGCATCCGCTGTAAAAGGAAGAAAAACACACGAAAATTGTCTTCGAGTTAATCTTTGAAAAATTGATGTTGAAAATTATTAATTTAAATTATCGAAGAAATAAATTATCATTCAATTTAACGACATTGCTTGGCCTTTCAAACGAGCTTGGAATGAATGAATAACAAACGATGAACATCAAATTCCACTCACTCTTTCACCCACTGATTATGATCGCACATTGAGCTCAGTGAATCGAACGAAGTTGATCGTGTCGCGTGAGATTGAAAGGTGTAAAAGTTTCGCCATTCCATGATTTGTCGGTGATTGTGTTTTGACATTTTGATTGCTGGCAAATATTTATTAATGATCAAGATCATTTCAAAGAAGATTGTGAAAGATTTTCATTTGTCTTTGAAACGAAACAACCTTTCATGAAGCACATTAAGCACACAAGCTATTTTAAAGCAGATATTACCTTCGTCGTCATTAGCAGTTAAATTTCGGTCTATAAGTTCAAACAAAATGGTTTTTTGACTAAGCATCTAATCATGTCTTCGACTATAACTCAACGAATGAAAGGTTGAGAGCCATTTCTCTTGAAAATTACTCACATTCTCGAAATCATTCAAAGCGTATCATATATAATTAAAATTAAATTAAACTCATTGTTTCGAGTTCTTTTTTTATGTCGTTCTTTCTCTCTTTCTCTCTTTCTTTCTTTCTCTGTCCCTCCCGATTGTAATGAATTACATTATGTGAAAATTAAAGTTTAATTTCGAAACAAATTTCCTGCGATTTATCAAATCTGAGGCTGTTGTCTCATGATGACCGCAGTGAAGTATTTATTTACAATTTTCTACGTTACTAACGTCAAAATAATCAAGCAACGTTGTTGTTCATTCTCCTTGAAGTCAATTTAATTTATTTATTTCGGGACGGCAATGCTCTGGTCGGTATGAGTCGGCATTGGTCGGTCGAGAAGAAAACTGAGAGAAAGATCTTTGTGATCTGCCAAATTAATATAAGGTTTGGCCTTTGACTTCAAGCTATGAAGCAATCGGAAAGAACAATAAAGAGAAATGGATAAGAAATCATGGATTTTTCTGGCTGTTCTCTTCGTTCCTACGTCAACCATGAACGAACGAAGACAAGCAAGATACAGCAGCATGACTCTTGTAGGTTTTTTAATATTGTTAAAATTCACTCGGAAATTACAGAACTGAAGAAAATAAAACTATAGAGAAATGGTAACAGTCAGCTGTCAAACGATTTGATATGGGTTAATAAAGAAAGGTTTTTTTGTTCTTTCTCTTATTCGTCTGCGAGTTGAAAAATTCCATCTTTTCATTTTACTCGCCCTTTTGAAATAAGCAGATAGATATGAAAAAAAAAAACGAGAGAAACTTTCCAATTTCAGGCGGAAAATGTTTAAAAATGATTTGGATGGAGGTCGTCTTAGGACACATCTGAAAACCAAAAAGTTTTGACCAGTTTCACTTCTTTTTTCTTATTTTGAAAGTTTACTTTTGAAATTGACAATCGATTTTTTGTAACTTTTGGTGATTTTAGATTTTAGTTGATGCAGGTATTTAGGAAAACATTCATGATTACTCATTGATCGATCAAAGGGGAAATAAGTTAATGTTTCCATTAAAACTAGAACACGAAAATGTTCAATTCTCGTGAATACAACTCGAGTCATAAATTATACAAAAATTAACGTAGATTTCAAATCACAAAAAGTAGCAATTCAGTATCGATTTGCTAGCATGGATGGCTTAGAAAGAAATAAGAAACAAGAAACATCGAAAGGAAATAAAAGCATGAAAATTTAATACATTAAGTGCGTGTTTCATATAATCAAACTGTACACAATGGAACCGAAAATGTACACGTTCATAAACGCCATTCAAGGGAAAATAAGAAAGAAAAAATATAAAAAATCTACCGACATTTATAATACAAAAAAAAAGTTGTAATGTAAGCACAAAGTATATAACTACAAAACGATTAAAAATCCATTAGTGTCTAAATGTAGCATTTTTTCATTCGCTGATGTACGAAGAAACGTCAGAAACATTCACGAAATAAAATATAAAAAAAACTTCCAAACATCAGCCATTGGTAATTGTTTAAGAAAACATAAAAATAATTTAAGGCTTTTGTCATAAATGTTTTCTTTTGAACTGATAATAACGCATCGTAAAAGATCTTAAACTTCCTTTAGATTGCTTAAATATCAACCCAGTAAGAATATTTATAACATTTTTGTTGTCAATGATTACACTCTGAAATTATTTCACCTTCAAACTATCCACATAAATTATTTTGCAATGCTAAGTTGCTTTTTTGCGCTTTGGCACTTACAAATTTTTTTTATAAAAATATCTAAATGAATGAATGCTTCAAATGCACGCAAACTGCATAGCAATTAACTAAATAAAACATATGTTTAATGTTTTGTTAATCAAATTTAAAGCAACTGCAAATACAAAATGCATTTTTATTACAAATGAAATTGTAAATTAATAAAAGTGATCGCGATCATAAAGTCTAAATACTAACATTAAACCATTTGATCAAACAACTTAATTAATTCGCACTTGCCTTTTTTCTTCTTCTTCCTTCAAACATTTTACAGAACGAAAGCGCGGTCGCCAGACTTACACACGATATCAGACGTTGGAGCTAGAAAAAGAATTTCATTTTAATCGTTACTTAACACGCCGAAGACGTATTGAGATTGCACATGCACTTTGTCTTACTGAACGCCAAATTAAAATATGGTAAAGTATTCATTTGATTTCCAGCTTATGAATTGGAACTAATTTATTCACTTTCTTCTTCCAACTTTCACATAAAGGTTCCAGAATCGACGCATGAAGTGGAAAAAAGAGAATAAGACCAAAGGAGAGCCCGGATCAGGTGATGGAGCGGACGAAATCACTCCACCACAGAGTCCAGTATAAGCTTAGTCGTAGATGAAAGAAAAACAATACCAGCAGCAACTAGAACGAATTAAATGTCCATAAAGCTGAAAAGAGAATCAATAATTAGTCCAAAAACCACGATTTTATAGATGTTTAATATGAAGGTAGCTTAGACTTGACCATCGTTCACTCTTCCTTCTTCTTATCCTCATCATCGTCGTCATTTTTGTGCAATTCCATTTAATTCAACGAAATTAAAAGAAGAGCGAAAATTAAATTTTATTCTTTTGTCTCTTCGAAATGAATTGCAAAATGGAAATAGTCGCTAGGCAATGTAAATTACGCGCAAGGAAAACAAAAATCCTTCACTTATACACACACATTTAATGATTAAAATGAAAAAAAAAACTTTAACTTTTAATGAAACCAACTCATGTGACCTCAAATTTTATTTTTAATTATTAAGAGTACTAAATTTTTAGGATAAAATCACACACATACCCACATAAACACAAACACTCACACACTGAGAATTTGAAGAGTAAACATGAAAAGTATTGTGCGACAAGATACTTTAAAATTGTAGATGAAGATGATTAAGAAACATTAAAAGTTATTTGATGGAAATGCTAAAATATTCAGTGTAAGATCTATAATAGTTTATTTATGATTATTATTTAGTAAATATCAACAGACAAACCAGCAATGCTCAGTTCTCACATCAGTCATACTTTGAAGTAAAAGAAAAATATTTTAAAGATTTTTGCGCATTATAAAATTATTTCGTCTTCAATTTCTTACTTTAATAATTTCTGATTCTTTTATAACCAGTGATTTTGGAAGGTAAAAAATATCTTGTTTATTTAGTTGTGCAATTAAGAAACATTATGAAAAACAGGATTCTTGATTTTTTTAATTAAGACAAAAAAAAAACGATAAGATAAATGAAGTATCGAAAATGAAGTCTTCATGATTGTAAATTATAAAAATTGGAAGAAATATAAGAAGCAAAATAAGAAGAAGCAGAAAATTGAAAAGAAACAATGAAAATTCTTCAAACTCTCACAGTAAAAATACGTACAAAAAGTGCTAAATAAAAACTATTGATGATCATATGAAATTGTATGTAATTATTACACAAGAGTTTGATTCCTTTCTGTAAATAGATGTTTGATAATATTTGATTGTCTCGCATGAGTCGGGAAATAAAAGGAAAAGAAATAAAGTCGCGAGTAAGAAGAGCATTGATTTTAGGATTTCAGTTTTCTTTCAATCTTCTTTCTAGAATAAAATTCAAAATTAACAAACAAAAACAAAAAAAAAGTAAATAAAAATAATAAAGCAAAAATGAGATTTTTTGTAACCACATATACGTAAAAAAAGTTGTCTTAAGTCAATCTGAAATATTGGATAATTTATAAAGACCTAAGTAAGGAATGAATTGGATATAAAAGTATACAAAACCCTTTTGTAAATTAGAACAAAATTTTCACAAAAAAAAAACACTCGATGATGTAAACTTTTGATATTGATAAAGCAAAGAAAATTTAAAGGAAAAATTCATCATTTTCATTAGTCGCGATGTAGCTTTTTCCTTCTTCCTATTAAAAAAATAAAGAAAATTTGTTTAAATTTCTTTTCTTCCCTCAACAACAAATTTTTCCGAACAAAGAGACGTCTAATTGTAGCGATAATAAGTTTTCAATAAAAAGAATGCTCCAAAGTATACCAAAGTAACACATTAGAAAACAATAAATAAAAGTTTGTAAAATAATCTTCTCCGTTCATTAACCCTAAACTGAAAGAAGAAAAGAAAGCAAAAATTAATTTTCTGATCCAATCAAAATATACGTAAAAATATTTAAAACCGAAAATAAATTCTAAATTCTTGAACATTTTTTCGTCTTATTTGAATAATTTTGTGCCCATAGCATTAGTGGAAAAAGGCAATTTTCAAACACAATAATGTAGTAAAGTAATTAAGGTCGATTTACAGTCCCAGTGAAATGATTGTTCATTCAATATACGTAAGGAAATGACCTGTACATGAAACAAGCCTAGAATTCGATTAAACAGCGTTGTTCAAGAAACACTTGTATACGAGAGAAACATTAAATCACAATACTTATTACTACAAGCCTAACATTAAACATATTAAAAGTTTAACAACATCAAAATATTCAACATGAAATTGGGCACATTATAAATTCTTGTAAATTGTGTAAAACTTTCGGCATTGACTAATAAAATAATGAAAATGAGATTAATGAAAAGAAAGAAAAAAAATACCACTAAATTTTAAGATAAAAAGTTCTGGACAAAGATAAGAAAAAAAAAATAGAGCAAACTAATAAAGATACACAAGTAAATATGCAGAAAAAAAATGAAAAAAAAAATACAAAAAATAATGTGAAATTGTGATTATTTTGTTACAATAGATTAATATTTAATATATATGAGAAACTGATGGGTTTTCATGACCTACAGAAAACGATAAAAGGACAAAAATAAATTATTGATATAAATCTCATCAAATTACTTGTAAATTACAAAAGCCAAATATCATTTGGAATGTGATCGTCGCTTTTTTGTATCATAACGAATGGAGAGCAAAAACTACCTAAACTTAATCATTGCTAGGCAGTTTTTTATGCTTTCAAATTATTTCTCGTTTAGCGAGAAATATTAATAAGAATCTAACTCCAAAATGTTCGAAAATTATTTTTTTTTGTCTTCCCTAAAACTACTTTTAACACTTTTCATTCCCTTCAAGGAGTTTCACCATCGTATGATAAATTATATGATCAGAAAAAAAAGTTTCGATAATTTCCTCAGAGAGTTATGTCCCGGGAAAACGATGAATAATTTTTCCATCGAAAAAAGAAGACAATAAAAATTCTGCAAACACTTCAGTGGTCTTCTTCAACGAATTCCGCTAAATCATGACTTTTTCGTCATACCCAAACGTCTCCAAACAACTCTAGAGAATGCTACACCGAAAATCAATTGTAGTTGTTTTTTTTTGCTTTAGGTCTGGGGAAGGAGAGGTCAATAGTTGCATCAAAATTTGACGTGAATCTAGTTGGACTCGTCGTACATCAATCGCCATCATGAAAAAGGCATTGACGATTTAAGCCACCTCCTCCATTCATCTTTTTGATGCATTCTCTCATGTCTTAAACTTCTTTCCTGTCTTCTTCTCGTTTCTCTTGTTTTTTTTAAAATCTTTTGTTTTGCAAAACATGTTTTTGAGAGAGAATTTTATAAAATTATGAATTTATTATGAATTAAAAAGCAATTTTCTTATTATGATAATTTTCCAATCCTCGAATGTAAAAATCGGCAATAATTTATTATTTTATTTTCATTGAGCAAGTTCAATTTTTACCTGAAGACTTTTGTGAGAAGTTTTGTTTTTGTTGAAGTCACTCAGAAATATATTTTTCTCGTTCAAACAAACACAGTTCTCAAACCTGCTTCGAGCATAATAACCCGCCCCACATCGGCATAGTAATTTTAATGAAAGAAACTCATTTTTACATACATTTGAAATTTCATAGACTTTTTCGTCAACAGAAGTCGTAAACTGACTTTGATCTTCAATTCTCGACTGTAAAACGATGAAATGTGCTTTTTGTTTTGTTGTTTGAGCAACAAAGCGTTGTTTATATTTTTTTCTGTCTGCAGTCAGTGTTTTTACAAATTCTAAAGTGTGAGTTAATTGAAAAAGAAATTAAGCATATCAACATAAAGTGCAAAAGGTTATCGAGCATTAATACATATGTTGCGAGATAAGAGGTAGGTGGCCTTCCGTTATTTTCTTTATTTGTTTTATTTTTCAAGCAATAAATCACCGATGCTTTTAAAGTGATTTAAAATGTTATTATCATAAAACCAAAGACCCGAAAAAAAAGTTCTCGCAATAATCTCAATCAAGCTTGAACTGAAGCGATTGCAAAAGTCACATCGCAAACTTTTCTTTCCATCGAAAAGAACGAAAATAAGATAAAAAGTATTAAAAGATAATAAAAGTTGAAAAACACCAATTTTCCAAGAGGAAAACTTTATAATGACATAGAAATCTTTATCACATACATGGCTGGCGAAAAGATGGATAAAGCGAAATAAAAAAAAAGCAAAGTCTCAAAGAACAGAAAAAGAACACAAAAATAATTCTCAAAGTCGCATTATAACCATAATTGAGTCAGAATAGTTTCGCTTTCAGCCTAAGCTCATTACACCCAATCATTGTTTTTCTTTATCATGGATAGCAGTTGAGAGTTTGGGACCGAATCTTTTATTATTTATAGTTATTGCTGTGATTATGACTTTATGATTTTCATGCTATCATCATCATCTGAGAATTTCTACCACGATTTGTCTGCAAGCTGCGATCACCGTCGCAAAATAGTTTTCTCTGTTTCTCTCAATGTGAAAAAAATAATTCTACGATCTCTTAAATGATGCAAACAAAATCGATAAAACAAGATTAATGTGAGATTGTAATTCAAAAATCGATTTATTAAGAGATTTTCTTTTACACTTTTAAGAGTAATTATGCTTTGCGTATTCTTATCGTCTACTCCGCCCAATCAAGATTTCTTATGTTCAGCAAACTTCAGAAGCATCAATTATAAGATGTTGGATACATATATGTATGAGAAGCATTAATCTTTTGCTTAAATGGGAACGCGTCACCTAAGTCGATAACTTCTGTCACCGACCGCATCGGCAAACGAGACGCTTACTGTTTGTTCAATGTATTTGAAAGCATCGCGGATTCCTTCGCACCACTTAACTTTCGACCATTTCCATGATCACTTTAAAATAAGCTTCCTTGCTGAGTTTGAGCTGTCGATTGCAAACGAAAGAAAAAGCAGAAAATAATGATAAAATATTTATAACAATTTCAAAGAAGGTAACAACAAAAACGTCTAAAAATGATGGCAGAAAATTAAATAAATCGTCAGCACTTTAATTTTATGAGTTTCACATTATTTTAACGATGTGGCACTTTTTCAAAACAGAAAGAAAAAAAAGGCTGCACAACGCAGAAAGAGCATCTGAACGTGGTCGTATTTAAAAATGTTTAATGCTTGCTTCTTTAACAAGATATTTATCATCGAGCAATAAATGAATATTATTGGAAATAATTTCAAAATACTGACGAGTATAACTAGTCACTCGTTAAAACTTAACCACATGAACTGCAGAGATTGGCTTCTTTCTTTACTTCTCATTAAAATCAAAACCACAGAATTATAATTAGATCTATAAATTTGTTGTTTTTAGAACCTTTGAGCCTTCAAGCGACAAGTGTTCAAACGATGATGAAAAAAAAAGCTTTTCCTTTAATCATAAAGAAATTTTCCATTAATTAAACTTCTTTTCCGCACTTTATTTTCTTGACGAGGAAAAATTGTTCAATTTTCCGTACCGAGAAAAAAAATTTGCGCTGTCGTGCAACTGTTTTGAAATATATACAATTTTCCCATCTACTCTCTTCAGATGTATAAAAAGTACCCCCAATGACATTAATCGTATGACATTTTTGGTTTTTTTCCGCCGTTCCTTTAACTCTCAGGCTGCTACTGCTGTTACTGATGCTGCTGCTGTTGCCATATAGATTTTTACCCGTTTTCCCATTTTTTCGCTCTCTCGATTTTTTTCATTTCAAATCCATCAATGTCAATGACGGTACAATAGTATTTTTCTTCCTTGGCTCTTTTTTTTAATTTATACTTTTCCTCCGTTCTTACTGATTATGTGTGTGTGTGTGTTTGTAAATGTTTACTTATATTTATTTATATCAAGAGTTATGCAATATTTTTTATGAGCATTCTGATTTTTCTTATGCTTGACGTGGAGTTTCAAGGGAATTGAAATTATGAGTTTACAACTTTTTATGATTCATCCTGATTAATTCTGTTTCTTAGCTTATAAACCAAACCATTCGATGACTTCGATTACATAATATTCTCCTCTGATGGCAACAGAATGAGAAGACAGTTCCAAGAGGATTTAAGGGATGAGGTGTAGGTGGGTGTGGTAGGATACATTAGAGATCGGTAGATAATGGCCATAAGAAAGGAAGAAAAAAAAAGTGAAATAAGCGCTTCGTAAGTACACCAAAGCATGAGTCAATTTTTCATCGTCGAAGGAAAAAAAAGTCGTTCATTGCTTTTCTTTTTCACATTTTCTTCCTGCTTCAACATCGATCCCTGAAAAGTGCTCGACTAATCTTCACATTGATCTAAGTTTTGATAAAGTACAAGCCACATTGTCCTTTGGCTACTTTGTGGTTCATTCAAATGTCTTAGTTAATCTAAATCGATTGTTGATTTTTTCTTTCTTTATCCACTCGAAAAACTCTTCTTGCACTTCCAAATAATGATTAATTGTGATCAAAAGTAGTTTCTCAAAAATATGAAATCAACTTTCCATAAAAATTACACACTTATCATCGAAAAAATTCATCACATTAAAGAAGAATGTCTTAATTTGAGTTATTTTTTCTCTAAACTTCAAAATAAATTACATACAACAGTAAACTATTTCGTTCGTTTCTCGTTTCCAAAATAAATAGTTTCTCTATTCGGTTCTAGTCTTAAGAAAGAGAAAAAGCCTCTAATAATAAATTAAAAACAAGAGAAGAAGGAAAAAAATATAAAAAGTCGTGTCTTGAGATGACTATCGCTCCGTTAAAGGTAATTTTTTAAAATTGGAAACTAAAGTATTCGATTACGGCCGTTTGAAGATTGAGATGGAATAAGAAGGAGGTAACTAATGTCTTAATCTATCAATATCAAAGCTGTGCTTCAAATCAATCATTGTTTAGAGAAAATAATACAATTAAAAATAACTTAAGCTTCGAGAATCCATTAGCACTTGGATTTCTTTCAATGTTTTGTAAGATCTCTAAGCTTTAAGATCTCCTCAAAATAATCTCCCTTCTTCCAACATCCTGCTTTCGATTGATGCCATTACTTTATTAACCATCCCTTCGCCCTTCTTATATTGCTTCTATTTTTACATCTTACACACAACATCAGCGGCATCAGCAGCAGCAGCGGTAGAAGCATCAACAACAACAAAGAGAGAGAAAAAGTATCTCTCAAAACAGTATCAAATATATATAAAAATTCACGCAGTTGACAGGCGAGCATCAATCAAAATAAGGGATGATTTTTCTTTTTCCTTTCTTCTTATTCCCTGCTTTTTTTAAGCTTCTTCTACTGCTGTTTCGGCGTTGCGTAACGACATTTTATCATTTCGACATTGTCTATCTTGAATAACAAAAAAGGAAAAGCAACAAACGATTTTCTTCCATTTTCATAATTTTTCTTCTTTCCATCCATTGAATGTGTCAAATGGTGAATGGAGATGCGAATAAATATTTCTTAAGCGAATTGCTGAATAGATTTCAAGATTCTTTTTTTAAAGTTTTGATCATTTTTAATGGGGATTTCTTTTCATTCGAGTGTTTGAAAGGTTTTCAAGAGAAGCCAAAGCAATTATATTCATGCTTTTGTACAATCGCCTCTTCTTATGCCATAGCCATGACGAGAAGGGTAATTTCCCTCCTTTAGCAATCAAAAGTTCTTCTCATGAATAAATTTATCTTCATCACATGAAACATTCTTCTTCTTCTCCTTGTTTATTTTTTTGTTGTTTAACTAAATCATTCAAAAGATTTGAGGGACAAAAGAACGCCAATCACGGTTAGAGGAAATACCGGAATGTCCTAACAGATATTTTAATTGAAAATTGTTCAATTAAAGTTATGCTTTTGCTGTTTGCCTGTCGTAGCGATGTAATAAATCATGGAATATGTTGCCACGTATGTATGCAGTGTATTGGTTTAAATAGTTGCGACTGGCTTTACAAAAGCAGTTTATCCTACTCATATCCTTTGTCACAGTCTTTTCTAAAATATTACATTTAATTTCCGGGGCAAGAGTGATACGGTTTTGCTTTCTCTTCCTTTTAAATTTATAATGTTGATGCTTTCTGGATGTTGTGAAATAATTATCAAAATATCTTCCACAGGCCTTTTGTGAATTCTGAAATAAAAAAATTTTCATATCACACACAACAAATGGAAAAAAAAGTTTTTTTTTTGATAAATATGCGACTTGACGTTGAACATTGATCATGACTTTTAAGAGAATGAAGCTGTGACTCTATACGAAAAATTACTTTTAAATTCTCCTTTTTTATATTTTTTGATATTTTCTCAAGAGATTTGAATTTTTCTTCAAATCGAAAATAAAAACATCACCGTTTTCATTATTATTCAAATTCAGATATAAATAAATTAAGGAAGAAGACATTTTGAATAACTTTATATAATAAAACATATTTATTTTCTATTCAATAATCTGATTTGTCTTTCATCTTCAATAAAAATTCTTTGGCCTCTTCCCCATCTCGTGTCTTTTATCATTGACTGCTTGGCTTATTTCACTACATGATTCATCTAGCTATACATTGTGGTCGTTTCAAATGAGACTTGTACCTAATTTTTATTCTTTTATTATTATTCACCTCTTCAATATTTCGAGTCTTTCGAATCGGAACGGAGCGGAGGGCATGAAAACGAATAAGATTAATTTTCAATTAAATATTGAGAAAAAATGTTTTTTTTTCTTCGAGCTTGAAAAATTCGTCTTTAAGATGAGAATCATGAGACACACAAAATGAAAAATCGTTCATAGGTATAAACATCTTTATATGTAAAATTGGAATGAAAATAACATTTTTTATTCAACATTTATCATGTTGGATCGCGCGGTGAGAGAGAAAGAAAGACAATAATCTTAAGAGGTTGTGCATTAAGAAATATAAATAATATTCATGGATTGGATTTTCGTTCATGGAGACTACGGATAAAAGTCTTGAATATTTTTTTAACTTCACATCGCATCGCCTTTTCTTAGTTCTCTCCATCTCTGTTTGTAGCTCTCTCGGCCATGCCTTTATAATGTCTTCATTAACCAAAGATTCGTGAAGAAAATTCCTCTGATTTCATTCTTCGATTTCTTTTATAAAAGGTAAATAAAACATTAAAATAAATTGAGTATTATTCACATTAAAGTACGCTTATGCTATTAATTTTCCAGTAGATGTTTATTGATGTCTTCGCTTCGATTGAACTGCGATTGAATCGCTATTTAATTTAATTAAAGAAAGAGGGTAATCACATATAGTTATGAATTAACATCTGATCATCGATTAATGCAAAGAGAACAAAAAGAAATTTCTTACGGCGCTTATTCATATGAAACTATAATGATGATGGTGTGAGATGATGATGGCATTATAATAATGAAGAGAGAATTCATTTTGTTTTTGTTTTCTTTCGATCGCAATTACAGAATTTTAAAAACAATCATGAAAGATGGAAAAGGGAAGAGTAACAAAGGTTCTAAAGATCTATCATAGGATAAAATATTACATAACTAGATATAAATATGTACGCAAGAAAGACTTCAATTCTTCCTTGACTAGTTTCAACCCGTAACTGGTCATTTTTTTCCAACCATACAACGATTCTCGTGTATTATATCTCAGCAATTATTTTGTAATCAAAAGTATATTAAAGTTATTGCTGGGTAATTTTTTATTTCTATAATGACGATGTGAGATTTAAGCTTTTTCAAAATGGATATTTTTTCTGTTTGATTGCCAAATAATTACCTAAAAAAAAAGTAAAAAGTCATCGTAAGCATCAATGGAATAGCTTTTTGACTTCCCATTGGCAGAGAACATTGTCGGGTTGCTTTCGTGGTAATGTTGATGATTGAAGACAATAAAACATGATGAGTTGTAATAAACTTTTGATGATTATCTGTACAGTAATTTTTTTTGAGTATTTATGAACGAAAATTATACTAATAATTAGTTTCTACCGCAAACGTCACGTAAATCTATCAACTTTAGCCTTACTATGTTATTTATCTCAACGAATCTTCACATCATGTCCAATGGAGCTTCTTGGCAACAAAAGTTAGTTTTGCGTTTCTTACAAATTTGTTGACCGAAAGCCAATGTCAAAACAATCTTTAAACATTTATTCTCTTGGCACTTTTTTCCATCATAAACTAACATTCTAAACTTCATCAATCACAGAAGAATTCTTTTTTCATCTTTTGACAAGTTAGACTATTCATTGATTCTCAAATTTCATTAAAATCATGTGTGACTGAGTCCACATTTTTCACCACATTACTAAAAACACTTTCCAGCTGTTATTATCGCTTTGATCGGTTACAAAAAGAAATGTTGTACATTTTAACCTTTTTTGCAATTCAATGTTTCACTTGAAGGACATGAAAAGCATAAAATAATTTCTGTTTTTATTTGCAAGTGTCATAAAAAAGGATTCGTGATCATTCCCATCAGTTGTCACGCTCTAATTGTAGCCATTAACTGACCAATGCAATTTAAAAGTAAAATAGAAAAGAAGAAAAGCCGAAAAGGCAGGTTTGCAAATTCACAAACGTTAATTTATTCCATAACTAAATCAGCACAATGCAAATTTCATTCGTCCTTGAAACTTGCACTAATTTTTTCTGCCCAAACTTGCAGGATTTATTGCAGTTCTTTGAACCCTTTCCTCTTTTTTGTTTAAGAACTTGAGAGATAATACGAAAAGTAACTCACTTTATCTGCAAACACCATGAAATTGTCACGTTAAAAGTATTTTTAAAAATAATTAAAAGAAGTGAGATTTAAAATTTGCAAATCCCCAAGGTAAAGTGCAGAATAAAGAGAAATTTCTTTTTAGTGGAGTCATCAAGAAGTAATGTAAATTAAATTGCAAAATCACTTGTCGGAAGAATGAAACTGCATTAAGCATTAAATTTTCCTTTTCCCCTTTTGAGTGACAGTAATTTTAGAACGTTTGGTTCTTGTACTTTCAGGAAATAAGAAACGGCCGGAAATCTTCGTTTTTTTAAGTTAGAAACTTTCTTGTGGGTGTTTACTTTCCTGAATGTGAAAGTTTGAAAAATGTTGAGCAAATGGAAAAATAAGAAAAGTTTAAGTAGATATTTATCGGAGAAAACAATTTTTCCGCACTAACAAGCGCTTCTGTCAGTCTACCAACATTAAAAACGCAGTTGAAAGCATATGGTAGTTAAAGGAGTGAAGAGATCTCTTAACTGATTATTGTTTTGTTCTGTGTAATGCAGTAAAAAGTGTTTAAAAAGCTTTAATAAATTAAAAAACTGTATTCATATGTGGGCTGATCCGTTCTCCCCTCGCTTCAACTTGTTAATTAAATTAAATAGCATAAAAGGGTGAATATTAAAATGGCTAGCAATTATTGTGATGTTTTCGTGTATACACACTCGTAAATAAATACTGAGGACTTAAAATTGTTCTCTTCACGGCATCTATTCAAATGACGAGACAGAATGCGTCAATTTTAAAACTGGTCGGCTTTTGTTTAATGAACTCAACATGTGAGTTCTTTTTAAAATTTCATGCCCATAATCCAGAAGCATAAAAATGCAGAGAAGATGCTCCAATGATTTTTCTTTACCCACTGCCACTTTCTATTTTCAGAAACTCGTCTGTTATTCTTGCTAAAGAAACTTGTTTGCTTCCGCATTCGGCTTCCAACTGTTATTTAGACTCGTAATCCGTATTGAAAGCTAAAGAAAACAATGAGACTCGATATTGTCATGCAAATATTTCATCAAACATAAATAATTGTTTGAATAGACTGTGATTCAAGTTGTTCTTTTGAAATCATATATTATAAGAGCGACTCGTGTGTGAATGACAGATTGCGTTTGGGTTGGGGAACTTCAAGGAACTCTTCTTGATTGCAAACGCATTAATATTGCATTATGAGAACGAACTGTTAAATTGCCTAGAATTTATAAATTACTATCACAACATAAGTAATGTGACGGAAGATCCATTTCTAGAAATTCTTTCACTGTCGGCTTTGAACGAAAAAAAAAGAAAACATAAAATATCTTATAATAAAAATCCATCTTGAGAGAGGAAAAAAAATGAGAAAGGGACGAAAATATTGACGTGAAAAAGAAAAAGGAAACAACAGAAAAAAAGACAAAAACCAAGTAGGTTACTTTTTACGTTTTCAATCAATGACATGTCATTAGAAACCCTCTGTGTAAACGTTACCATAGGCGATGGAAGGGAATAAATATGGCCACTTATTTTTGTGGTAATTTTTTTACCGAATAACAAATTTGAATGGTGCGTTTGAGGGTGACTTATGATGCTTTCAACGCTGCTGAAGAAGTTTTCGTGTTGTAAGGTTTGCGTACATTTAAAATCAATCTAAAGAAGTTTTTTTCCCCATTCACTTTCTTCCTTTTGATTTTTTTGATAATAAATAACAAACAACTTTTGTTTCCTTTACTTATTATCTAAAACTCAACTTAATTAAACAATTCAGTTCGAAACTATCGTGCACGCTTGTTTCCACCTATTATGATTAATGAAATTTTAATAAGTTTTGGCATATTTATTCCCAAAAATTAATTTCAATTATCGAAAACATTATTAATCATTCGTTTGAAGTGTATTGAGTAAAGTGAAAGAAACGTATCATAAAACAGAAAAATAAAATAATGAAACATTCCACTTAAACTGAAAACGTGTTAAGAACGCATTTCTCGACTTCAAAGTTTGAGTAACAAAATTGAACACACAAAAGTTTGAAGTCATTAATCATCTGGTGAGCTTATGCTTTTACAAGCAAATCATAAAACAATATAAACTGATTGCGATCGTAAATTTTTGGAATTATTTTCTGTTGCCTACAACCAGCAACAATCATCAAAACAAGAAAACTTTCAAGTGTCATATTTCAATTATTTTAATTATGATGTTTTGCTGCCGAGAAGATTTTATTGTGAAACTTTAAACATTTGTAGAGCAAACGATTTTAACATTTGGTGTCAAGATCGGTGACAAATGAAAATTGAAAGAGTTTTGTTTTCGTTTTAAAGATGGAGATGATTCGATGTTGATGCAGACTTAAATGTCAGCTGATGTGTTCATGCAAACGATGAGAAAAATCCAAAATACTTTCACAGTGAAGCAACAACAACAGAAAATAAGAAAAAATGGATGTTATACAATCAGACAAAACGATGTTCATCAATTTAATGCAGTGAATATTTACATGAAAAATTATTATCAAAATGTGTGAGACGCACAGGCTCATCAGGCGATGAATGATGACGTGTCATCAGAATGTGGAAGTGCATAACAGACATTACTTTCCCAGCTTTACTTCACTCTTACTTAATAAACCAATGAACCCTCGCTTCTCATGTTTCAAATCCTTCATTCAACTCCGAATGTCGTCTTAGCCATTACCGAGGAAAACAAAATCGCTTTTCCAAACATATCAAAAAAAGAAAGAAAAAAATCAAAAGAAAAATTGATTCAATCCTTCAAAATGTTTCTTTGTCTTTTGTTTTGTTCGATATTTTCCTTCTTTCTTTCCTTTTTTATTTTTGTTTTCGCAATGTTACATCTATTCGATGATCTCCAAGGAATTGTCATTCCGCTTACGAATTCACCCCAAAAATAAATCAAACCCATTGTCCGAGAACGAACATTTTTCTCTTTTTTTTTCTTTTTTCTTCTCGCTCCCTCCATTTGTATTTTGAAAACTTTTCCTCCCGTTTCCTTTTCTGTGTGTATTTGAAATGATGTTATTTTCTTTGCATCAAGCGTTGATGGCATTCGGACAGCGATCCAAATAAATCAATGGATTGCTCAATGACTCTTTTTTTTTCATTCCCATACTCGAATGTTAGTTGAGGGAGAAAAGATTCAAACACTTTACTCAGAAGGATTTAAAATTGTTGTTTGCTGTCTCTCACATTAAACCCCATGATGATGTGGTCGATACATAACAATAATATATTGAGAATTGAGGGCATGAAACCACTTGATTTAGTATTCATCATGAGTTTTCCTTGCCCTGTGACAATCCAAGAGGGCGAAAATGAAAGATAAAACTGTCGAATCTTTCTTTTAAAGAAATTATAATAAATAAATGTAAATTTCAATTTCGTTTTGCCAACACGACCTCTGTTGACTTTTAATTATATTTTCAGTTCTTATCTTTTGTCGTCAACAATGAAAATCTCTTCAACACTTTTCAACACACAGCGATTCAACAACTTTATGTTATGCAAACAAGTTCTTCGTATTCTTCATTTAAATCATTTATCATAAAATCCCCATTTGAGTATAAAGTTTTGAGGATATGAAATCTGTCTGATCACCACATAGCTACATTTATAGAAAGCAAAAAAAAAGGAAAAAGGGCCAACATCACAAGAGATGGATTGAAATGGAAAGGAAAAGAGAAATTAAATGGAAAAGAATTGCTTCGAGAGTTGAGGAAAATGGGAAAAAGTTTGTAATTTTTTCGAATCAAGGTTGGAAATGTTTGTCAATAACGTCAGAGATGAAAATGTTCAAAACTTTCTAGATCAGTTGCAATCATTTAAGAATCTTTCCCACACCCACATTCTCGATAGTAATTTTTCAAATTACAAAGTGAACTTTTTTTATTCCGTCAAAGTCGGGAGCGAGTTTTACGAAAATCAAACAGAAAAAAAGATCTAATTGTGCTTTTCTTCTATTCCTACCCTTCATTGCTCGAGTATGCAAGAGAGTGAAGATGAATTAATGAAAATGATGTTTCGTGTGTTTGAAGCTCATTTTTCCGCCTTCTTTCTTTTTTTCCCAAAACGAAAATTCCATTGTGGAAATGGTTGAAGAGAATGAGAGTGAACAATGTTGAAACCTTTTTTTTTTTACTGTTTCTCCATTTCGAGTGCGAATGTTTAGTCCATTAAACGTCAGTGGAGATATTTCGTTTAGCTGTTGGAATGCATGCTCATCATCAATGAGATTTCTCCCGGATAAAGGACCTTAAGTCTTTTGTAATGTTCTCTTTATCTCACACCACGTATGCTGTTATCGAAGAATTGTATATGTTAAGGAAAATCTCCACCATTTTTCCCTTCATCTCTCCCCCATCCAAATGTGTACCTTTCGTCTTCTTTCTCTTCATTTTTTTTTCCTTCCTCGTTTCGTTTTTCCAAAAGCGGTATTGTAATGCCGCACAGCACATACCCCCTCAGAATGTTTCAAAAACAAATACATTTTTTTGTGTAACAATTTCCTATGGAAGTCTGAAACGTCATAGATTAATGACATCAATTCATCAACATCAGATCTAAATACAAAAAATTTCACAGAAGAAGGAAGGTTGAAGCAGTTTTTTTTCTTCTCCTTTTGCCTTTTGCGTTCTCCGTTCTTCATCAGAGTGAAGGAAGAAAAAAAAATTATTTTCGCTTGACTACGAATAGTAAAATAAAAATCCCTTAACAGCTAGTCAGCTACCCTCATTGAATTTTTTATCGCAAATAAGGCTGCAAAAAGAGATTCTTCGCTGTTGGCTTCGGTATTCAGCATTGTACGCACACACAATAGACATCAGTGAAATGGCAACAATACGACGAGTGAGTGATTTGAAAGCGAATGATGAGCTTGGTAGGAGTGAAATTTCCACGTTGCTTTATACATCAATGGCGCAAACAGATTAAATGCGAACGAATAAAGAAAATTACAATTTTATGCGGGAGGCTGTAAAAAAATTATGTTGTCGATGATGAACAAGAATGCTTACGACCAGAAGTAGTAGATGAGAAAAAAAAGTCTTTGTTACTGGGAGTGGAGATTGAAGGATAAGAAGAATGTGAAACGAGGATGTCAAGTCATACGTGAATAACATATTTATTTTATTTATGCCGATACATTTTTTCTCGTTCTACGATTTGCGTGTGTTTTGATAGAATTTTCAGCACATTAAATTCATTTCGTATTTTTCTTTTCTCGATATGTTTTTATTCTTTCTTTTTCTCTCTCCCTGCGCCTGCTATCAAAGGCAGGAGGCAGAAAACTCATTCAACATCAATACATTTTCTGTCAATTTTAACAAAAAAATCAAACCGTAATTATTCAATGTCTTGGAGAGCGATTTTTCTCAAAACGTTAAAAAAGAACTTTTTGTATGTTGTGTATAAGTAAGCAGCGAGCAGCTTTTTGTTGTGTTGTGTGCTATTGATAAAGTACTTAAGATTGACAGGCAGGCAAGCAAACCTAACAAAGAATGATGAAATGGAAACAAAATTGATATGAGAAATTCTTTTGAAATATTGAAATGATCGGCTGTAACTAACATTGATGTTTAAATGAATGTCGTAAAAGAAAAAGATTTTAAAAAATCATCTTGTTGAAAATCAAACATCGATTTATTGATTTGAAACTATAAGTAATTAAAGATCTTCATTGCTTATAATTAAGACAAAACAAGCAAACTGAAAGGTGGAAACATTTCCTTGTTGAAAAATTAAGTAATTTGCTTAGAAACTTCTTGCATTTGCATACATAATCGCATAATTTCAGCCTTGACTTATCAGAAACAAGTCGTAATAAATGATTTAAAGAAACAAAATAAAAAAAACTCACATCTTGAGGAAATGTAGCTTCACAAGCTCCATTTTGTTAATAAATCTTCAAACCAAAAAAAACTTCATCTTAATTGAGATATCAAATGGAAACACAGAAGAAGAAAGAAAAAAAATGTTCTATGGACAAATTTATTTCGTGACACGCCATGTGAAGCGGTTTAAGCCGCATGTATCTATCTTTAAACTTTAAACAAGTTTGAATAATTTTTAAATATTTGTAGAAACCAGTTTCTCAGTCCCACCATTAATGTACTGTTTATCTTTAGGCGGTTTCACGATAAATACCAATTTAAATTTAATATAAACGAATTAATTACACTACAGTACATTTTTTATATTAAAAAAAACTCTTCTCGCTGTATCTCGATACGCATTTTGCAACAATTTTTCCGCATATAAATTATATTTGAATTCACATCAAGTCGAAGCGTAAATGCAGCAAAGAGAGAGAAGGAACATTTGATTACATTTAGGACAAATAATTAGCGTCTGATGCAATTTTCTCCCAACATCAAATGTGCGTAATAATAACTTCTTACAGAAATTTAATTACTTTTATGTGTTTCGACTCACACTTTGTTTCGTGATTACTTTTTCATCATTTTGTGCTGAAATTCAAGCATGCATGGCATGGCATAAGATACCCAAATTGCTCAAAGTCTGCGTGTGTGTGTGTTTGTAAGAAGAGTTTGCTTGTGCGCCGAGTTTCGAGCAGGGAAAATTGTATTAAAGTGTAAAGTTACAGTCTCTAATATTTTCTGACATTGATGAATTTTATATCATTTGTCATTATGTACTCCCAAAAGAAATGAAGGGAAAATATGTATTACTGGCGTAGCATAGATATTATATTGCGTAGACTTAAGAGATGGTTCTTCTTCGCCGAACAGCTTCGAAAAGCATTAAACTTTTTTTTCTTTCTCCCTTTCATGATGATGATGGTGACTGAGTATGAAAACATTCCACGAAAAAATCATCTTAATTCTCTTGATGTGCACGAAAGAAATTAAAATGAATTCCCGTCGAACATCGTCGTTGAGTCACTTCACTTAGAAAAATTTTCTTCTAAGTTGACTAAAGATGAAATCTTCACTCTTGCTGAACATAATTTCATGCATCTGCAGACACACATCACCAAAAAAAAGATCTTTTAATGAAATGAAAGTGAAAGTAAGAACTTTTGCAAATGAACATACGTCACAGTATGCGGATGAATCAAGTCGATAAAAATTAAAAATGTAAGATGTCTCCCTGTGATCAGTCACCATACTGAAAGTAAGAATTTCTGCGCTTTACTTCAAACTGTTTCCATTTCATTAATCAAATCAAGCGACATTATCAAAAAAGTGGGAAGGTAGAGTCAACCATTGCGTGCTGTATGAGTGAACAGAAAACCCCTTGGAAGTTGATAGACGCTTCGTAATATATTTTCGGCAACACTTAAATTGAATAAAAAAGACTGAGAAAAAGCACATTTACTTTTGTCGAGAGAAGATTAGAAATAAATAATTATGATAAATTGTGGAAAATTAATGGAAAATCAAGTGAAAAGGAAAATGGAAAAAGTATAGACAATTGAATGTTGGCGCAGAAGGAAAAAATGATAAATCCGAGAAATGATGAAATTATAATTGAAGATTAGAAATTGAAAGCAGTTTGAGGAGAAATTATTTTGCGTCATTAATTATCGCTAGAAGATGGATTTGTTAGTGTTTAAGGCATTGATTCTCTCTGCTTTAATTGAAAGCAAACTTTAAGATTGCTTTTGTCTTCTTTATCTGATGAGCTTTTATTTTCTTTTTTGTTCAAATTTAAGAATTCTCATTGGAATTCTAAGCATGTTGCTGTCAGAATTACATCTAATTAAGATTTTCTGAAAGAACAAAAAACAAAAAGAATGACGAGAAACTTTCTCTTTGAGCTCATTTAAAAAACAACATCTTGTAGAGTTTTAAGACCAAATTTTGCATCAAAAATAAAACGTCATTAATTTTTATTACACAAAATAACTTAAGTCATTAAAACTTCTTTTGAAAACTCTTTTTAAAAAGGATAGATGGGCTTTGTAGCTTGATTAGTTTTAAATTCAAAGACTCAAAACAAACCAGGAATAAATAACGAAATAAAAACTTTCAAATGCTTCAAAACCTTATTATGAGCAATCCAAGATGTCATTAAAAGAAGTTTTTAATCTTTTTTTCGCAAATGTTCCTTCTTATTTGTTTCTGTCATGCTTATAAGATTGTTAACAAGATTGTGTAAACTTTAAAAAGGTTGAAAAAGATTTTCATCTTTCCATGAGTGATTTGCAATCATTTGTGGTAACGAGGCATGAATATTCTTCTATTATAACTTTCATCAATTTAATTCTAATAAAGCGGTGAAAGTACCCAAAAAAACGTCTCGTTTAAAAATTTTCACCTTTAGATATTGAAGAGATTATCTGTTGCACTTTCTATTGGACATCCAATGGGATTTTTTCTCCGTAAAATAATTTACTTCCCCTTCATGTTCAACCCCTGGTGCCGTCTATCGTGCAAGTCAAACGAAAATGTTTTAGAAATTGCAAAATAGATGGATTTACGATGCACAACAAACTGTTTGCAATCTGAAATTCTTTTTACCAGCACGATGATTGTATGTTTAAATAAATATTTGCTATGGCCCATAGATTTTAAATCGTCTGTAAACGTCGCCACATTTTAAAACATTCTAAGAAAACAAGACAAAGTCTTTTTTATATCAAAACGACATGCACAACGTGAATGAATTATATGATTTTTCATTTAATTATTAATTAAATTCTTCTGTCTGGAAAGACCGTTTTGCGTGCTTTGTGGTAAAGATAAAAAGCACGGAAAAAAATAATCCAAAAGAAACCCAAAAAAAAAAAGAACAAACAAGTGTTTTAGTAACCGCAAAAGGCTTACCCGTTCATTTTTATAAAAATATTATTTAAAAAATACTGAAAGGAGCAAGAGAATGTTTTAATTACTTTTCTTCAGATATTCTTTTTTATTATTTAATTATTATTCAAGTAATTTCAGGAAGTAAAATAAAATGAAGTGTTTCGTTGAAGAAAAACTTGAAAGTGGAAAAGTCGAACGAGATGTTTGTAACTTATTTATAAAGCAAACGTACACAACACTGAATGAGATTTGTTTGCAAAGAAAGATGCGTGATGAATAATTGTTTATTTCACCTTTTAATGCTCTTTCTGCACATATTTATGTTTTTAATTAATAATTAAAGTCTCCGCTTATGATCGCACATAAAACTCATAATAACGACAGTCTAAAAATTTGATTGCCGAAAGGTAATTTTTATAAACATGAGAACATTTCGACATTATGAAGACAGGAAATTTATGCAAAAGAAATATGTTTGTTAAATATTTTAGAATTTCTTATGAAATTTGAAAAAGTTGATTGTGCAGTCGTACGCTTACGTTGCTTAGGAAAGACCTTGCAATAAAATTTTATGTCATTATATTGCAATCATATAACTTAATGCCGGTCAATAAAAGTAGAGAGGAAAGTTAGAAGAAATGTACGTTTCGGGATCGAGCAGAAAGAAAGGACCGTACGCCGTTGGCATGGAGAAATTTTCGGTAGAAAAATGTCGCTACTTCTTAAGTTAGGTAAAATCGAGTAAAATCATAAAATTTCCTTAAACTGTTATAGAACACAATAAAGTGTTGAGAAATATTTATAAATATTTTGCTTTCTACATTTCTGACGAAGCTATAACTGGAATGTTTGCTGTTGTATTTAAAAATATCGAAAGATTTGAGATTCAAAGAAATATTTATGTTCCCTCCTACATAAATTTATATGTCGAGCAACTTGAATTGAAAATCGAAAAAATTCCATTTTGTTAATTTCTCTGATAAAATTGCTTTGTCATTCTTTCCTCCATTCAACTAAAATTTTTTGCAATGTGATTTTAACTGTCGAGAGTGAAGGCAAATGAAATCTTTTTCACTTTATTACAGGGATTTCTTTTTCCTACTTTTCAGCTACCATAATATAATTTTATTACTTATTTTCGCTAAAGAAGAAAGTAAACGGAAAATATTTCTTGAAACATGAAAAATATTCATTTTTATGATATAATTGAGTGTCGTAAAGGTTGATTGTTATTGCATACAGAAATTGTAAACAAAATAAGCAGTTCTAAGAGACTTTTCTCTGTTTCGAGATTCTCTGATAACTTTTCCGTTTTCTTGTATTTTTGCTTAAAGAAAAGATCATTGAAATTGAATTTAAATATTTACCTTAAACAAGTGAACTGAAAATATTCGAAATTGATTCCCAGCAATCAGAAACTATCGAAACTATCGCAACATTTTAACAAAATATGTCTGCAATCTATGACAGAAACATTCACAAACATTCCTGGTTGTTTTGCAAACATTCAATCATTTCTTCAGCCTTCAAAGTCATTTATCGACACAAGAAAAGCTTTGAAAAAGCAAGAAGCAGTAAACTACTAAATAAAGTAATTAAAGTCACAACATGCGAGCTTCTTTTGCTTCCATACGACATCATAAGAAGAAGTTAAAGAGAGTAAAAGGACACCGTTTATGTCTCATCAAAGCGAAACGAAATGCACGATAGTCGGGACTCAAAGAGAAAATATGTGAAAGAAGACATGGGGAGAACATAACTACAGCTAATGGTTTATTTGAAGGATTTGAAAAAGTGTGACCAATTTAAAAAGAAAAATATCGGTCAAAATATTTAAACAAAATTATGGTGTCTTAATCTTGTAAATAGACGACCTTCAAGCGCAAGTTAGAGTTTCGAGTAAGAAGAAATGTTAGGAGAAAGGAGAACTGTTTATTATTGGACGATCCTTTTATTGACGCATACACGAGAAGGATAGGAAAGCGTCATAAAAGATTATTATGCATTTGAACTTGAGAAAAAAGGCGAAGCGAAAAGTATAAATGTCTTTAATGAGTGAACTGTTGACAGGCATGAATTTCGTTCTGTTCATCGCTTCTATGCACTTTTATTACGAGAAGCAAATATTTTTCTCTTTTCGCAGAAGTTGAAAAGTGTGGCTTCGTGAGAAAAGTTAAAGAACGAAGATTTACGAGAGGCACAAGAAAATATATCTATTAGATATTTGACGAGATCTGAAATAAGAAATCCTTGAAATTAATGTTTGAGAAGTGTGGAAGTTGCTTTGTTCATTTAAAGAATAATTAAGGGCGAATTTCTTTCTTTTATTTCTCACTTTGTTCACAAAAAAAGAAGCATTACAATGGAATTTTATGTTTGCTGATTTCGTAAATATTTAAGGTCATTAATTTGATACACTTCGATCGCTTGTTATTGCAATTTATTCTTTTTTTTCTATGAAAGTAACAACGAAACACCTTACAGCAAAGAAAAGTGAACCTTGGAATGATCATTAACGCCTGATGCTTGCCATTTCACGCACTTCTTTGCAATGTTTACTTAATTAACGTAATGCTTAGACATTCAATTTCGTTTGTTCTTTACTTTGAAGAAGGTAGTCAATCTACCGAGACAATTTATTACTGACACGACAAGCAGCAGAACAGAATGCACACAAATATTTATCACAATAAATTTTTCATAGCAAAATCTAGTGCATCTGTCTCTTGATTTTAGTTTTTGAGAATCCAATTGAAAAGTCATTTTATATTTGTATGATTCCCATTTCGACTTTTTGTTTGAAAATGCAATGAATTATGTGAATCCATGACACGATACGATAGAAAGCAGAAAAGCCGGGGTTAAAAGGAAAAATTTCAACCAGAAAAAGTTCCGCTAACCCGGCATGATATAAGGATTTGATATATTTGCACTGCCAGAGATATCAAATGTGATTGAATTGAAACTATTTGTTTAATCGACTCCCCCTGATATGTGATGTCGAGTGAGTCGAACAAAAAGCGAAGAGCATGGAAAACCCAATGGTGCAAAAGGCAGAAAAAAGAAAAAAAGAACAACGATCATCATCATATGTGTTCTAATTTAGGGTGGGAAGTATTATCAAACAGATTTTCTGGGTACCAAAAGAAAAGAAATCAAAAAAGTGGTTCACAATGAAAAATGTGTAAATCGAGGGAGGTTAGAATATGTTTCAATTTATACTTTCAATAAAATAATATTGTAAGAGTATCTACGGGTTTCGTTGAAACATCACGGCCATAATAAAGCAGGAAAGTGGGAGTGTAATTCCAATATCGGATTATGCTTCCACAGATTTTCGCAAGCAAATAAACAACTTCATTTAAATAAATAACAGCGGATAAATATTAGAATGCAACAACTTTTTTTTTGTATAAACGAGTGTTGCCATTTGTTAGTAGAATTGCAAAACATTAACAGAGATTATTAAGCCATCAGGCTACTCAACATTTATCACCCTCTTGGTGTAAAAAAAGTCACAAAAAGGTATCAAAAGTAACAAAATATTTTAAGTGTTGTTGCGAGTTTAAATTTTTCATAAATAATCCTTAAAGGTTTTCAATGCTGGCAAGGAAACTGCAAGCATGTAGTGGAAAGAGGGAAGGATGTAAGCATTGTAAACTGCATTTTGTGCATAGATCTTGGGTCGTGTGCCTTTAAACTGCTACTCATACAATGGCATCTTCTATTCAGGATATTTTTGCAACATAAATAAATTATGACTCTTTACTGAGAGTGTATTTGTTTTTGTTCATTTCTTTTGGGGTACAACGACAAAGCAGTCGATGACTTTTGTTCACAGGACCTTTTAACTTGTGTCAGATGAACAGTTTTCCCATTCATTATCCGTTTGTCGAGTCGTTAAGTCGCTTAGTAATATTTTAAATAAGTTGAAGAATTTTCATTCTTATCATAAAACATAAAGTTCAAATTTATCAAGAACAACATAAAAAAAGTGTTTTGTGAAACTCAATTATTTAGCAATCAGCACTCATGTTCCAACTCAGTTAACTTTCAACAATTCAGTTGATGGATGAAGTGAAAGAGGTTTCTAAAATATAAAATTTGTCTATAAATTGTTGAGTGATAAATTAAAGTGTACTTAGTGTCTACTAGCGAGGAAAAAAAATTGCTTAAATTTATACTATCATTATGGCGGCAACTCAATATTCCGACTATTATTACAACAACACATATCAGCATTACCATCATCATCAGAGCTCTCAGCAGAATATATATGATTATGCGACCGGACAGTATGATTGCAAAAATCTAAACGTTAACGATGCATACCACAATTACAATTATAATTCACCAAATAATTACAATGATCAATGGACTCAACATTATAGTGCCATTGCAAGTACTCAACAGCAACATCAGACACAACCACATTACCATCATCAGCATCTAAACATGTTAAATAATCAAATTAATGATGATTATAAAAATTACTCTCATCCAAGCTACAACAATAACATTGCGGCACATTCGAAACCAATCGTTTTTCCGTCAGACATTCCCCACCATTCATCAAATGAACATCAACCGAATTCGCAATGTATTGACTACACCGCTATGAAAAATGATTTATTTTACAGCCAACAGACAAGTGCCCTGATCAGCGGTAAAATTAATAAAGCAGTTGCATCATCATCATCAACATCATCGTCTTATCCTTCTAGTCAATTAAGGGAATCGTCGAAAAAGAGAAAAATCGATAATTCAACTTCAAATGACGACTCGCCCGCTTTACGCGCCTTATTAACTAAACCATCAAAACGTGCAAAATGTGCACCTTATTTTTATCATAGCAGCAATGGAAGCATCTCACCAGCAAGCTCAACTGACAATAATTATCCGCAACATTATCAATTACCCTCCGCTTCAGTTAATGCTTCCAATGCCGAAGAACAATTAGTTGATCTCAATCATTATAATCAAACAAGCAAAGAAGGATATGAACAATCAATAGTCGATAATCATTTGAAGTCAGCGATATTGGATGATAAATATTCTGCAACATCATTGTTTACACTTTCGGAGGCAACAAATAGTCCAATGAGTAGCTTCATGGAAACAATTGCCACCCCTCCATCATCGCCGAAAGATGGCAAACTGCCACGTAATGATGAGTCATCTGAGAACCTGTGGAATGAGAAACCTGAAGGTTTGTAATAATGACTTTCAAATAACTTCTAAACGGTAGCTAATAATCATCAAATTATATTTTGATTTACAGACTACACCAAGGGTTCAAAACGTACGAGACAAACCTATACAAGATATCAGACACTTGAGTTGGAAAAGGAATTCAATTTCAATAAATATCTGACACGAAGAAAACGTATTGAGATTTCACATAATCTTCAATTAAGCGAGCGTCAAATCAAAATATGGTGAGTTGAATTTTTGAATGAAAACATGAAAGAAGGAAACTCACGAATTCTGTTTTTATTTCTTCCCTCACTTTATCATCATTATAGGTTCCAAAATCGACGCATGAAGGCTAAGAAAGATAACTCGCTTACAGCATTAAGTCCCGATTTAATGTACACGGACGAGCCACAAATCATTCAAAATTATCCAACTTATCAACAGCCAAATGTTGGGTCGCATGAATATGGCAATGCGAGCAATAGCAGTGAAATGATGATGCCAGTGAATGGCAGCTATAATAATCCATTAAATGACTTGATGAATATCAATCATGAACAGCAGCAAACACATTTAGAATTATCGTCTTTTGTATGATAATTTTATGTGATTTTTTTTTGTGCACACCCGAAAGAAGACCGATGAAGTCAAGACCAGAGACGCTACTTAAATACTTTTCAGTGGGCTGACTTGTGGATGAAGATCTCGTTCGTTCATCTTCATTTGCATTCACATTTACCTCATTCATAATTGTACTCAATCAAATCAGTTTAAAGAAAAATGATTCTCGATTTAGCTTTAATTTCCTTGTAAATAAACCTTTTTCTTAAATTTGATTAATTCCTTCCATAAGTTTGTCGATCAAATGAATGTAAATAGTTGGAAAATAGTAAAAATTTAAAATGAATGTAAATTAGCGTAAATCAAAATGATGAAATAAATCAACAAACGAAATGTTTTTGCAAACATAAATATTGTCTTCGTCTTAAAGCATGACCATCAACACGGTTGGATATTTGTTATGTTTGTTGTGGAAAGAATGAAGAACGAAGCACAACGTTTTCGTTTATCTGTTCCATTATTGATCCTCGGCTAAAGACAAACCGAGAAAAGGGAAAGAGAAGTGAAAGAGAAACTCATATTGAGCTTCAAAACCATGAATAAATAAGCCATCGAAGAGTTCAACAATACAACAAAATGGTTGTAAATGATTGACAGATTTCTGTCATAAACAATCATAGGATTATGATGAACGCCATTTGACTTAAGCCACGCCAACTCACAATAGGTCAAAAACAGCTTTTGTCGAGATTAAAATAAATTCAAATATTTCTTCTTTTTAAATCGATTCCATGATCGAAAATCTTTTTTGGCTTTGGGTGACGATTGATTTCTTTTTTCTATTTTTCAATAACCCCCTGCTTCATTCATCGCTGCTTAAAGTTCCGTGTGAGATTAACAGCTGCACTGCACGAGTTTGCCTTTTATTTTCCTCATTTTTCCTGATCATTTTTGCAACACACAAATTCTATTGTTTACTTTCTGGTTGCACAATCGCAGATATAAGAACTCACACGCACACACACAAAGCATACTGAATGCACTTGGTTATAAACGAAGTTCAGAGATGATCATTAATCAAAAGTCATCTGTTCGTCTACACATTTTGTTCGCCTTCTTCTCACAGAAGTCGGTAATCAATAATTGTTCTCAGCTCGTTCATCGGAGGCACATGACGATTAAACAATAAAACCTCATCAAATGATTGGAGCTTAATTCGTAAAACCTCCACTATCATTCAATCGAACAATATTCTGAAGACAAGCAAAGAATAAGAAATAAAAACCCATTCGTTGCTCATAAATAAATAATTAAGTGAAAAGATTTTTAATGGCTATTAAGAATTAATAAAATGTTTGCGGTGTCTCTGTTTCTTCTTTTCTGGATCATTGTGATCACTTTGAAAATGATGGGACATTTAAACGTTTTAAACTTGTTTCTTTTGACAATGTAGAAGAGAAACATTGTTGTAATCCCAGTGAGAAAATATCAAGAAAGGAACTTCATTTCTTCTTTAGAATTGTTATCCAAATATTTTCCAACTGGCACGACGATCTTATAAAATCTCCACAAATAAATAAGTTTTCGAAAAGCAGTCAACGAGCTTCATCACAAAGTCAGTCGTAAATTATCAAATTATAATTTTATATGCGCTATAAATTATCAAAAGATACACTTTTTCTCATATAAATTATTGTTTCTTTGATTTCCTTTGTCGAGGCCTAAATGGAGGCCAAAATATTTATTTCTTGTTGTGATTTCGAACTCGTATTTCTTTCTCGTGAGTCACAAGAATTTGTTATGTTCGTGGCTCGCTTTCTTGACATTTCATAAATTTAGAAAACGTTATCGAGTTGTAAATTAAAAATTGACATAAATTAAAGATTTTAAGATGTTGTTGTCTCTTCTCATCGTTTCTTTCCATCTTGACGCCATCCTAAAGCGAACGATTTTTCAACCGCAATTAAAATACTTGAAAATTGTTGTTTTCACAGAAACAAAGAAATTAATTGCATTGTTGAAAGTCACTTTACATAGAATTTTAATGTTCACAGTATGACATTCGTCATAGACTCTCGTTGTTGTTGTTGTTGCTTCTTGCCTCGGGCTAAACTTTTCTCATAAAAGGTTTATCAGCGATCAAAAACTTTGCCTTTTAATGCAAAAGAGAGAAGAAATAAAGTTTAGCTTATTATGAACTGAAAATTTGCTGCTAAGTCGAATCCTTTGTTGTTAATTATTCATTCAGATTCGGTTATCTCAGAATATTTCAATTAACAATCGCATGGCATTCATTAACTTTTTCTTTGTTCATATCACGATAAATCGACTGTCTGAGAATAAAATCTAAAAAGCAAAAATTATTTTTCATAAAGTCATTCGCCGTGGAGAAGAAGTTGAAACGTTGTGCTTGAATAAATATTTCATAATTGAAAAACTTTTCGTATAGTTTTGTTGCTTTTAGTAAATGGAAAATCCTTGTGTGCATAAATTGAGACAAGAAGCAAGAATGGAACTGAGGACTGCAATATAAATAACTTTTTTTTGTGTTCCAGTAGCATGGCAATAAAAATTCTGTTTTTTTCTGTGTAAGGAAATAAATGTCTTCACAACGTTTATTGTTAAGGAAAGAAACTTAAATTTCATTTAAAGTTGATTCAGATTAAAATGCACGTGACATTTAAATTTCTTTCCTCGCCTTCATCACGTTTATGAAAATTTTTGTTGGCTTTCCAACTTTCTCTAAAATCTTCAAGATAATTTCCAAATGATTATGAAAATTAATTTCCGATCAAACTTTTCTCGACCTTTATTTCATGGTCGATTGATCAAAAGATATCAAACATAACTCGTGAACTAATTTTAATTTGACATTAATGATTTATTCCTTCATTGTTATTATTCATGACAACTAAAAATTGTCTTTGATCGAAGTTTATTTTTTGGTTGTGTAAACATTAACCGAGTAAAAATGTTTGCTTTTCAATTGACTTTTTGGGTTTGCGACTAGTTTTCTATTAAAGTCAATTTTGAGTAAGAAAAAAAATCCATTAATCACTTCGAATCGATTTAGAATATTTTTTGTATACTCAAAGTCTCTAACTCGGTTTAGGTTCTTTAAACAAAACCCCCAATAAGTGCACCTTTATTTCTTCAATTTAAATTTCCTTCCATATGTTTCAACTTTATTCCTTTTTCTTCTCACTTTCTTTGTGTTCACATGAAAAGCGATGGAAACTTATTTTGGTGAAAATTCGATTTCCCATTTAAAATAATGTAAAGGAACGACGAGAATTCACATTGACTTTGAACTGAAAATGAGTAATGACTTTTCACAACTTTCTTCCCTTTTCGACTGTCTGTCAAAAGTGCTGAAAATTATTTTAACAACAAACTTTACATACGACTTCAACCACCCTCCGAAAGAAAAACCGATTTTAAAGTTGCGTGTTATTTTTAGTTGAAATGGTTCTTTCATCAAATTGTCTCAGACACTAATTTAAAAGGAGCATATTGCCTGAAGGAAATTGTTTTAAAGGAAGAATTCAACTTAAATTGATTAATGATGTAGAAAAGGACAACACAGAAGGTAAAATGCATTCTAAGTTAGAATGAAATTGACAATGTTGCAACTGCAATGCCCTCTGAAGATTAATAGAGAAACTTACGCTCAATGGCTTCGATAATTTGCAGTAGGGAGAAATATTTAGGAGTAGGGGTTGTGACAAAGCTGCAGATAGAAAATGTCTCTTATTCGATTGAAAAATCTAATCAGAATATTACATCATATAAGAATTTAATGGTGGAAGGAGAACAATCGACATTTGTAAGGATTTCTAGCATTCAGTTGACGAGAAGAATGAGTGAGTTAAAGGAAGAACATTTAAAGTAGAGTGAAACGAATCACCAAGGTCAGCAGACAATTTTATGGACAGTAAAAAAATGTTTGGTTTACCATTTGTCATTTTAAATAGTCGCAGGTACAATGTCATTAAAATTAAAGACCACTAAAGTCCAACAAAGAAGTTAATCCTTTAGAACGAAAGAGTTTCGTGAAGGGATAAATTGATAAAGTCAAAAGAAATTTCTTTGACATAAACAAGGTCGAAATGACACTTTAAAGATATTTACAATAATTGTTAATTCTATTTTTAAGCATAATATAATAAGCAATTATGCCGACACCTGATTCAAGAAATTTTCTGTCACGCTGCAAACATAATTAAGGCGGAGTTTCTGGAAAATTCTCTTTTCCAACTTCTGAATGAATTCAACAGATTTTACTTTTCTGTTATGATAAAAATAAAAATATTGTGTTCGGAGAATGAAGACAAATTCTCCCCTAACTTCCGTTTGATGTCGCATCTAAAATAAAATGAAGTCGCGATCACAAAATTTTCAATGTTTCTGTTCTTCTGTCGAAAGAAACTCGAATTAAGTTTTAAATATTCATCTGGAAAAAAATGGAGTCGGTGAGCGTTGGCGGAAATCTTTTTTGAATATTCATGATCCTTTTACAAGAATGTTGTCGTTTCCATAGTATTAAAAACAAATCTAAATTGAATAAAATCGTTTTGTGATATTCTTGAGATATTCGAGAACGAATAACGAATGAGAAGTTCTCAGGAAATCAGTTTCTTATTATTTTTTTCTGTTTGAATTTAAAGCACAAAGCCGTGCTAAATTAATCTCCTTTTCGTTCCATTAACATTTTATATTCTCATTTCAACGTTATCAGTTTACTTCTTACGTCTCGTGAAGCGTTGAAAAATTCGGTTGCTTCTTTCTAAGAGCCCATTATGCATGAACAAGTTAGGATTGCTTCATGGATTATGTTACCATTTGGTCGCATTTATGCTTTATGTGGATTTTAATTATCCCAAATTTTCAGTTTCTTGAGCAAAGAAGATTCTTCTCGATTCTTCATCACCGGTTGTTCTGTTCTTCTCATTCGCTCTTTCCTTTCTGCAGTAGCCTCTTGGATTATTTATGTTATGAGGTGAATGCATTTATTTTAATCGCGTAGGATTGAATGCGAGATAAAGAAAAGAACCATGCAAGCATTGAAAACTTGTTCTTGCGAAAACGTCGCTTGATTTATGAGCTTTTAAAGTTTAATTAAAATTCATTTTGTTTAATGAAAAAAAAAAAGTTGAAGAAGCTTGAGAACTTGAATGTCGTCAACTCAAAAGGTTTGTTATTGGAGTAACTGATGACAATACTCATAGTCATGTTTCGGAATAACTTTGAATATTCTTGAAAGTCTCTTTTTATTGTTGTAGCTGTGATAAAAATTAGAGGGAAAATAATATTGATACAATTAATAATTTTTGTCATTGAGCAAAAAGTTAAGGAAAAGTCAACAAAAACATCGTGCGATCAAGAAACAAATAATAATTAATGAGATAAATACCAAAAAAACATAAATAATAATGCTTTGGCACACATAATTTTTTATTCATTTGTAGTAACAAATCGAAAAACAATCGAATATTGTTGTTACCATTACTATTCGCTGCTTGTTTGTCGATATTCATATTTTTATATAAATAAATGATGAAATCTAACGAAGATTACAATTCGATATTGAATCGCTATTGTTCATATGAAATTATTCCGATAGTTTCTTCTTCTTCTTTATGCTGTCTTCTCATGTTCATAGTTCTTGTGTGTTTTCAGCACTTGTTGTTTCAATTCACCATTTATGATTTCGATTCATTCTGATTTATGGGCTATAGCCCGGTAAAATATTTATCTTCTACTCTCTTTTTTCTCAATGAACACACGAGTAAAAAAGTGGGCTGAACTCATGTTGTCTTCTTCCAACTCACTTTAAGCATAGGACGATCGACAAATATTTGTTTCTCATTCCTTCTCATGCTATCATTTTCACTCGTACACAACATCGTATAGTGCCATCTCATTTCGCGCAAGCTCCATCGCATTCATGTGCCGGTTTTTCTCTCACTTCGGTTTATAAAAAGCAAAAAGCAATGAAATATTTTTACACACGAGAAGAGAAGAAAAGAATCGTGGCTTACAAAAATGAAATCGAAGAAAAAAGCGGGCAATAATAATGTGTAATTTCAGACACAAAACATAATACAACCATAAAGAAGTAGTCAAACTGAAACGTTGGCGCTTTAAACACGTACTTTTTTCGGGATCGAGTGCTCGCACAAAAATTATTTTATTTATTGCTGAAAATTATTATATTTTATCACTTATTAATGGAAAACATTAATTATTAAAAAGGAAAATATTTTTCTCGCGAATAAACAAATAGAGAAGTAAACGAAAGAAACTTGAAAGGCTTGAGATTAAATAATTTGTAGTGAACAACAAAAGTGCATCAAAAGTTGAAATTGAATCCTTATCAGGAAAATAAATATTTGAATAAAAGGATCATAAATCATTGTATCATGATTTAAGTTCTATTTTCCACAAAAAATCAAATTAAAATTCATTTCCTCATTTCTGCAAAATAAAGAAGGAAAGTAAGAGTGTGAAATGTGAAATAAATTATTACTGTTTGTGTATTTTTGTTCTTCTACCAATAAAAAAAGAAAAAAAATATTTTTTTGAATCAAAATAAAGGCGAGAAAGTGCAGGCCATAAATTATATTTTTCTTCCTTGTGATCTTGAAGAAAGGACTCTTAGGATTCACACCTTTATAAGAAAGGGAAGAAAGTGATTGGACAAGCAAGCACACGTGAAGAAATGGAAAATTTCACTTCCTGACTTTGTGTTTTGATAGCTTTGTCGATTTTTCCTTTGTGTTTTGTTTGTGAAGAGACGAAGTGAAGAAGACTTGAGCTCGGGGATATTTTTTGGATTATTTTCGAGGTCAACTATTGAATGTTAAAAAGTATGTTGACGTTATTAAAATTATATTTATGTAATTTTTTGACTGTGAAAATTTATTAATGGAAGAGAAAAGTTCATAATTCAAAAACTTTATGTTACATGGAATATTTCTACTTGAGAAAAACGAACGAACATGAAGTCACGATACAAACTTTAATTATTCAAATTTATCCACCGACGCTTTTTTTTCTTTTTTTTTCAACGAAAATATATTGTTTTCATTAAACTAACACGAAAGTTGAAGAAGCACGAGAGCGAGACAGTGTACAAAACTAAATATTTGGTAGTGAACTTGTTGGAGGTTTTTCCATGGAAAACTTTTTTTTTATAATTTGTATTACAAATCGATTAAAACTTTTTTCAAGTAGAAAGAGAATTTGAAAAATTAAAATTAATTTTATCCATTGAATAATCGTTCGCACCTCTCAATCAACTGTGCTTCAAATTACAATTTTCCACAATAATTCCGTAGTAATTGAAATTGTGTAGAATCATCAATTTTATCACTTTATTAGATAGGAAAGCGGATTGAAGTGGAGAGAAAATTGTTTCCACTTAAAATTTAAAATTGTTTCCACGCAAAACCTATTATTGTACCTTAAATAACAAGCCTTCAGGTCGATGTATGCACATAACCGCTTTATAATGAGTTCATTTCTTCAACTCTAGCTTAAACACTTGATTTATAAACGTAGTTAGCAAAAGAGTGTTTGCTTTATGAATGAATATAAAGTTAAATGGAAGCACACAAGATCTCAATCTCAAATTGCAATTTGTAAAGTGAAAAATATTCCCATTAAATTGATGTCTCCAGATTTATAAATTAAATGAAATGTTGCAAAAATTGTAACAGAATCAAACGGGAAAATAAATTTCAACGAAAGGTCTGTGCACCCTTAAAATCAACGACCTTTCAAAAGCGTTAAATCGAAAAGCAATTTAAAAAATTGAGAATTCCGCAACTTTAAAAAAGAAACTATTAATTATAGATGCACTGAACTTGCTCCTCTTTATATGTTACCCGATAAAATTTCATTGCGAAAATGAAGGAACAAGAAATGAGAACAAGAACTTTGCAGCATTATTGCGAAGAAGAAAGAAAAAAGGAAGAAACCACCAAAAATTAAATTGCAATCAAGAAACTGCTTCGTTAAAAAGAAATAAAAAGCATAAAACCTGTAATTTTAAAACCAATGAACATTTAACCCTTTAGCCATATGAATTTATCACGCGAACAGGAAAACTTTCTTATGCATGTTAAATTTAAGCTCCACATGGAAAGTTTCGCTTTGTGATAATAAAAGATTGAAAAACGGGACACAATGCAAATAAGTATGTCGTATGAGGATGAAATTTTTAATAAGTTTAATTAAGTTGAACCTTCGAAATTCAAGAAACTTAATAATCAATCATTATAGAAATTATTTCGCTCTTCTTCAACGAACCTAAACTTTATCTCAGATGAATGATCGATAACAAAACGTTTTCTCTTAAAAGAAAATCTTTCACAGTTTGAACTTCGACAAATAAAAGATTGCTGTTTTAATTTTCGTTAAACATTCATGTCTCGAATTGTGAAGTTAAGTTTTTCAATATTTTTTCCACTGTCTTAGTCTCCTTAAGTGAATTCCTGTTTTAAAAACTTTTAAATGAAAATGATAAATGTAAGACAACAACAACGACAAGTCCCAAGAATTTTCAACGCTACAAAGAAAAAAAATAAAATAAAAATGAGACAAGAGCACGGTACGAAGCCAAAATGAAGTTTCTTGTGACTCTTCTTCTGCCTTCTTCATAATTTTGTTTTGTGTGGCGGATCTTTTTTGTATGTTTCGTTGTTCATACATTCGTTCCTTCGATTTTCTGATGTTATTTTTTGTTTCCATATTAAAAATCGATTTTATTAAGATTATTAACTCTTTTTCGTGTCGAGTCGTTTCCATTTCGTGTGTATGTTTGTCGAATGAGAAAGAAATAAAAAGAAACAGAAATTAATTGCCATTTTTTTATGCCCAAATGGACATATAAAGAAGACAAGAAAAGCAGCATTTTCTTTAGACTGAAGCATGTATTCCGAAAACTAAAAACCAAGTTGAATGCAAATCATTTCAACTTTTTTTATTTTCTTTCGACGACGATATGGGAAAATAAAAGAAATTAATTAAAGAGCATCTATAATTATGTTTTTGCTTTTGCTTTTGTTATTTTAGTGAAGCAAAAAAAAAAAAAGATTAACACCAGGCTTTGTAACCATTACGCGACGTGATCAATGATTAATGAAAACAATAAAATGTTAATTATGATTTCTAAACAATACTTTTGAACTCAATTGAAAACTAATTAAATTGTCTTTGTCTTTTTTCGCAATTTTCTTCCAGATTATCATCTTTAAATCGATTCATCAGATATCAAATTCGTGAAGCTCAACGACTTTCCAACGATAAGAATTACAGTGGTTTATGGGATTTTTTAAACTTCACTTTAGATTCATTTCTTTTCGCGAGAAAGTGTTGAAATTGTGATTAAGTACAATCTTAGATTACAATCTAAGTCGCGGGTTTTTTGTGTGAAACTAAACATAAAGAGATGCAATAAGAGTTAATGTACCGTCATTGACTTGAAGAAAATTAATTATTACTTAAGCTTTTGAAAGAATTGTTTGTAAAAGTTTTCCCTGGTAGTGAAATATATTTTTTGTTTTAATTTTATTTAATCTGTTAATTGGAAAAAGAAAAACTTTCGCGATAAAATTAAAATGGATGCAAATAATTTTGTCATGTCGTCTTATCAATTCGTGAATTCACTTGCATCTTGTTATCCCAACAACACAAGCAACAACTCAAACAGTACAACGGGTAATGGACCGCAAAATGATTACTTTCCTGGATCAGCATATACGCCGAATCTTTATTCGGGCGCACCACAATCACACTACCCCAATCCTCAAAGCTATAATCCGCTGACGGCGGCGAATGCAGCTGGCCAACAACCGAGCAACACAGACATGGTCGATTACACTCAACTTCAACCGCAAAAGTTTATGCTAAATCAGCAGCAAGCACTAGGACAAGCAAGCTGTAAATATGCGGGAGATGGGCAAGGCAATGGTACTCCCAACATAAATCAAACCTCCATTTCAAGTCCACAAGATTTATCAACTGCCCGTGATATTTCACCTAAATTATCGCCAAGTTCCGTTGTGGATAACGTCGCTGTACGTTCCTTAAACAAACAAGCGGCATCACAACATTCAACAAATAATAACAACAATACAATAACGAACAATAATAGCAAAACGAATAATACAAATTCTAATACAAATAACAACAGTCATCTTCAATCGACCTCACTACCAATGCGCAGTCCAGACGGTGATGAATCAGATGCAGCGAGTGACAGTGGCACCGAAGGCGGCTCAGGAACGGGCAATGGCAAAAAAGGTCCACCACAAATCTATCCATGGATGAAGCGCGTTCATATAGGAACAAGTATGTATATCCAAACTAATATCGCTTATTCATTGCAAAAAGAAAAAAATAATAATATTTTTACGCAAATTAAGCTGAACGAAGAAAGAAAAAATCGAAGCAATTAATCAATTTCATCTTTTCGAGCGAGAAGCGAGAGTCGAATACATAAAGAACACCTATAGGCGATTTATAAAAAATGTGTAAATTGATTGGTACTTGCTTCAATCAACGATCTGTTTTTACGAGTGAAAAGAAAATTGTTTATTTTTCCAAATCATCATTAACATCATCATTTCATTCTCATACATAAATATCTATTAAAATTTCTTCCATTAACGATAAACAGCATAGATGGTTTATTGTTTTAAATAAATCATCCGCTAGATGGGCCGGGCCGTTCATTGAGGAAATTGACGAGATTCTTTTCTGAATTTGAGGGTATTTGTTTTTGATTGCGCAAACTTTAAAGACTTTTTATTATAAAGTGGGAAACGATTTGATCTGTCTTCAACAATTTTTCAATTCACATTTATGTTGCATCACTTATAAATGACTCCTACAAAGCATATGTTCTCTTCCGCTATGTTTTCTCTTCTACATAGAATACATATGATACAGTGATGAATTTTAAGAAGAAAAATTTAAACAAAATGCAACATAAAAGCGACGGCCCTTTATAGATACCAAAAAAAAAGTAAAGAAACGAAGAGCATCAAGCATTTGTTGTAAACATTCTAAAGCATTTGAGCATGCATAAACGTCGACACGTTAGCTCTGATGAATGTTAGTCAGGTATTCATCATAACAAACAACAGCAGCGAGCAACTAAACTCCATGCGGATAATTTTCTAGTTTTCGATGAGCAAGAAAAGATGAAAAAATTGTAGATCGCTAGTTGAACATTCGCTGAAAAAATATTTTGGTAACACTTAAGTTCTTGCTGTAAACAATTAACATGATCGTTCATAAAAATGGAAAGAGTATGAAACGATAGTTAGACAATTTCGTTTGATGTACATAATAAACATCGAATCACAAGGTGGAAAATGAAAGAATCGTTTAATCATAAGCTCAAGCAGTGAATTTATGAGTTGAGTGATTTGACATGCGAAAAAGAAAGAAATTTCCAACATGTCAGTAATGCTTAAAGCTCGGAAATTTTTCAACATCATAATAAGCCTTAATTCTATTGATAACAATGCTAATTGCAATGAAATTATACTTTTAAAGACACATAATCAAATGTTTACACGCCATATTTAAATTAAAAAATGAGAACTTGCAACATATTTAGTAAAATGACGAGAAACATTTTACATTTGCCTGCTGCAATTCAACTATTGAGATTATTTGTAGAGATTATTTACACAACATATAATTTTTTAAAGTATGTACAACGAATTAAACAAATGAAAGATTAGAACAAAACTTTATTGTGTTCAAAAGCGATCTTGTTACAATGCTTGAGGGCACTAAAGACGAAGACAATTCGTCATTAAATGCATTTTTGCAAATGAAGACTTTTTCTTGTTCATCATGCAATTTTAATTTTCAACTGATTTGTTGTGGGAAAAGGAAGCAAATGATGAAATTTAACAAGGAGGGCTGATTGTTATCTATCATTAAAGTCCAACAACGTAAAATTAAAGTAATTTCTCAGTATTTCAATTTCTTCTAATTTAATTTTAATTCTCTCATCTGCGACATTTTTTCATCTTTCAAGAATTTTTTTTCTTCACCTTAGTTGGCAAAGTTCCAGAGATTGCACAAAATGCAAAGTGTTTTGTCATGAATCTCTTATTTACTCTTTCATTTCAGCCTTTTGATCTAATTTTTAATTAATTGTTTGACTTATTTCTTCATTAGTTGGCTTTGTATACAAAAATAACTTTTATTATTAAGCGTTTGACAAAAACGAGTTAAAAGTGTTAGAAAAATTAAAAATAGATTTTGAATAGAAACTCACACTCACGAATGTTTCTTTGTTTTCGATCGCAAGTGTCGTTTTCGAACAAAAAAAAAGTATAATTCAATACATATTTATTTCGATTCAAGAGAAGCAAGTACAAGATCTCCAGTAACGAAGACAGTCTTGAAGCAGACTCAATAAATTATATGTTTCATAACAACACTCGATCTCAACGAACTTCATTTTGCTTTTATTCTTCATTCTCGTTGTTAACTTAACAACAATCTTTCTTATTCTTCTCTGTAAGTTTGTAAATTAACTCGAACATGAAATCACATGAAAAAAGTCTCCGAAAGATTTGCATATTTGCAACTGTTTGGAATATTCATAAATTTCTCAATGCACTAAATAAAACTTGTTTCCATTTAACATTTTGAAGTTGAGAACGCCCTTTTGTAAGCTTTTTCACTGATTTCCAATCTCAAATAATTATGTATATGAAAGCGAAGTCAAGAAGAAGAATGTCGCGACGACATAAAAGTAAACTTTCAAGACTTGCGCTTTGCTGCTCTCAAGTACCAATCGAAATCAGAAAAAATATTTTCTCATAAAGAAAATCTTTTAGTTTTAAACTCGCCACTTTTCCTTCGATATCAAAATCGTTCAATTTTTAATTTAACATTAAACTTTTTCGAAATTACTGAAAATTGCATTGTAAATGAAATTTTCATTATATAAAAAATAATATCGAAGTTGTAATTTAAAATTATTAAATTTCTTGTAGTGAGAATCAAATTATAATTGAATTTCCGCAATTACTTATGCTGGTAATTTTGTTGTGCACTGAAGGAATAAGTGCAAAAATATTGATTGGAAGCGTTTACGTTCGAGTTCTTGCAGTTATCATCTCCACACTATCAGAGTCATCTTCATGATAAGATCGTGTCCAAGAAAATTAACAAAAAATGATTTAATAACTTCACAGTTAACACGATCAACTATCGACTGTCATTTTTAATTTTTCTTTTATAAAATCAAGCGACAGACACAACATGCTTGCGTATTTAAAATTCAAGAATTTTCTTCTTTTATTCTTTTTTAAATAAAGTAATAAATCTTATTTTACGAAACTGATCCTTAAAAGGTTATTAATGTGATAGAAAGAGAATGAGAGAGAGAGATAATAAGAAGCAAAAGTCGAAGTTAAATAATGTTATAAATTATAATGTGTGGCTTTTCAAATATTTTCTTAGATCCACAGGAATATTTTCACTTTCGGGTGCAAAGACAAAACCAAAAAAGAGAAAGAAAAATAAAATTCTCAACTGAAATACCTTTAATAGATAAAAAAGACAAGAAAAAAGTTCTTTCTCTCCCTTATGTCGAGGGTTTTCGTGTAGTTTTAACCTAATAAATAAAAAATATATAATGATTTGATAAACACCCTAGAGTCGGTGTTTTGACTTGAAGAATATTTATTCCTTTTGCCCTTCTCCTCGGCTCATGTACTTTCCTTCTTCTTGTTCCAAATACGTTGCATGCTTTGAAGACGACACAACGGTATGTTGCTTTTCGAATCTAAACAAAGACCTTCAAAAAACCAAATGCACCACATGTAGAAATTTCCTTTTGAATTCATTTCTTAATGCAGCGAAAATCCTCTAAAAAGGGTGAAAAATTTCTTTCATGCAATTCCGAAATTTCAATGAAACATTTGACATTGCGATGAATCATCGAATTTCACAAAGTTTTAATCTTCTTAATTTAGAATAATCCACGACAAATTATAAATCAAATAATCACTTGTTAATTCACTTATGAACAGCAATTAAAATTAGATTTGCACCTAATTTCATTGTTATAGCTATTTGACTTTCACTCCATCTCGCCATGCCGCAATAATAACCCTCTTAAGAGCAATAAATTATCCAATTCCATAAAATTTATTCGTCGTATAAAGCAGCAACAACCATAACATCAGATCCCTTATGGAAGGAAAGGAATAAAAAATCCCTTGAGTCAGAAGAGAACAACAAAAGACTTCCCAGTTCACAACGATGAATCAAATATTCATTTTACGGCTTTTTAATTATGTGAAAATAGAGAAAACAAGCCGCCACCCTTAATTGCCCTTAATCTCTTTTCAATGAATCATATCAGCTTTCCATGTACTTCAAGCTCATTATGAAATTATGCAAATATCAAAGAGATCACAGTACATAAATCTACTGGCATTCAACGATGTTTTGTAAGTAAGCATAAGAATTCATTATGCAAATCTGAATGTAAAGAAGGATCTGGGAGAAACTTATTTCATTTGCATGTCAGAATAAATAATATTCCGAAATCAGACATGAATGGAATGCTTTTAAAGAATTTCAATCTTATCAAGGTTTTTTTTTCCTGAAATTATCAAATTCAGGGACGGATGAATAATGTCAGAAATTTAATTGTTTTTATAAGTATTTAAAATTTAAATTAATTACTTCACACAATTTATTAATTAATCGTGTAATGTCTGGGGAATTTCTTATAATTCATTTTAATGTAAACTCCACCACTGATCAGAAGTTCTGAAGTTTAAGGAATATTTGAATACAATACAAAGATTGAGTCGAAACATTGCATTTTGCATATATGAAGATTCTTCCTTCTTATTTTCCACATTGACATCTGCATTCAAAACTCAAATGCATGCAAATTCATGCTGACATATATCGTGCATGTCTTGAAGAGACAGAAGAATTGAATGATCTTCTACATGCTTGTGACAGAAAGCAGCATGATCCACTATTTATAGCTTCTTCCGGATTTCTTGTTCACAATTCAGAAATGACCAAATCAACATTTAATCTACAACATCTGAGTTTGTTTCGACATGTGAAAACAATAAATTCTCCTGAAACAATGATGATCACTCGAGTCAATATAATTTTCAATGCGCCAGAAGCCTCACTGAAGGTTGGAATAATTTTTTTATCTTTCCCTCTCTCTTACTGTTATTTGTTTGTTTTCATTTCGAACGAATTCAAACAATTCAAAGCGTTCAAAATATTCTTAATTTGCTTACAATGTGAAGCCAAAACTGTTCGTTGTGATTGATTTATAAATTCATAGTATGATGGGATGAATGTCTCGCACACGTCACACGTTTAATTATTTTTTGTTTCAAAATTCCAAGGTTAAACATTTAATTAAATTTTTATCGCAATATAATTTTATTCATGCGAAATTAAACTTTCATGAGTGATATTTAACTTTTCATAATAAATTAAAAAGAAAAAATGTTTATTTATTAATGTTACGTTGTTTACAAATAAACTCAGAAACGTGAAGCAATTTTATAAGCCAATAACTTCAAAAAGAGATTTAAATATTTTTAAAATGAAAAACTAAAAACATTTCCTTTTAGAATTTATTTCTTCTAACATCTTCATAGCTTTCTTGAATAAGAAAAATTCTCAATCTTGTGCAATTCTCAATTGACGATTTGAATTTTCGTTTTTCAATACAAAGTCATGAAATTTATTCAATTTTTCGAAAGGAAAAAGAAACTTCGAGTATTCAAATCAATCAAATTAGATAAAAGAAGGAAAATAATTTTCTCGTCTGTGATTTTCAAGACATGATAAAGTTCCTCGCCAGTTTACAATGAAATTCACGATGATACTTTGTGTCAAAATAAAAATCAAAAGAATCTCAAATGTTAATTTCAGCAAGCAACTCGGATACGAGTTAAATACCAAGCTTGACAAATCACCTCACTTCAAACAGTTGACAATTAAGAATGACTAGTGCCTGTTTAAACAGCCGCCTTCTTCCGATTTGACGTGGAAAGACGCAGCTCTTCCACATATTTCTTCAACTTCATTCTGTCTTTCTCTCTCACCCGCGCTAAAGACTTTTTTTAATCGTTGTTGTTGTCGTTAATCATATTTGTCTTGTTGGTGGTCGATTCAAAAGTTTCGTTTATCACCATGTGATCACCAGCTAACTTATGTTAACAAATTACTTGATTTACGGTCTGAGAAGACGTGACTCACTGTTTACATGTAATTTATGAACGTCTCCTTTCTTTCCAACGAGAAGAGAAGAAAAAATAACCGAAAAAAACTTCTAAATAAATCACTTGAAGATCTTCAAGTGTGTGTTGTTGCTTGGTAAAGAGCTTGTGAGATGGAAAAATGTTTTCTTTATTTTATATTTCAACTCACTTGTTTATCTTTCGATAGTGAAGCATATTTTGTATCACTTTAAGGTGTTCAGTGGCGGGTGTGGTTTATGTTGATGCTGATGCAAAGAAAACAAGAAGAACATGAGCAATTCTTGTTTTGCATAAGAAATAAATGTTGCAGAAAATGTTGTTTGCTCATTGTTATGTTTCATTCCGCATTCACTGCCAGCTACATAATTCCCATGATCAAGATGTCTATTTATTTGAACTATTCCCAGTCTCACTTACTCTTCTTCGACTTGAATGAATCCTACAGGTGCGTAAATCATTCTGCATAAAAACCAATATGATTTTACGATAAGTCTTTTAAGTGAAAATCTTTCCTTCGATTCACAAGAGCATTAACGCACAGAGGGAGAGAAGGAAACAAGTCGAACCGGTTTTCACTTTTTTTCTTCGCAAAACATAATTTATGGCTTCGATGGATGCAATAGATTTTCAATTTCGAAGTGATTATGTTTTGCGGGATCGAAGCATGTTTGCCTTCGTTTTTTGGTCAGGGGAATTCAAAATAAGGGAAACGAAGACAAATTTCTTTACTGCAAGTAAAAGGCAAAATATAAAAAACGCAATTTTCGATCAACGCATATGAAGTTCATGTTTTCTCATTAAAAATGGCGCATAAATGTTTAATTAAAACATGGAGAAATATCTTTAATAACAATTTAAATATTCAACGAAAGAGTTTGCAGAACAATTTATATAAATCAAGGCTTGTGACTTGACTTGTGGTGCGGTAATTACAGTGAACCCTGCCAAGCCTTCAACTTGTTCTCTTCCTTTTGTTACCGGTCGCACATGATATTATAAATACCAGTACAGATTACTGTGAAAGTCTGAAAACATAGCGGAAAACGTAACACCAAACAATATAAAATATTTTATGCTCGTAGCTATAGTCATGCATGTTCTTTTAAGCTTTCCACCAACGAAAAAAAAAACTGAAAACTCCTTCGTTCATTGTTTTCATTCTCCAGCAAATTAATGCTCGCCTTTGAATATCTTGAAGTAATCGAACTCTGTTATATGTGGTTGAGCTCGAGGAACTTTGATCGAATGATTTGTAAACACGTAAAAAAAGAGTTTGCAAACCCTTTTAAAATAAAATGCAAGAAAGCCCAAGGAAAAGAGAAGAAAACGAAGCAATAATCGAAAGTAGTTTGATGGAAAATTAATGTTTGTTTGCCTTGTAAACTATCGCTTTTCAATCCTAAAGTTCTACATATCTATTAAAAAGCAATTTACACGTTCCACCTCTTTACACCTTGATGACGTAATCAATCGACCGTTCAAATGAGTTCTTAGTTTTAAGTAGAAAGATCGCTTGCTGAATGTCTTCACAACCAATCCCTGAACGATCGAATCATTAATCATCAGTTCACCGGGGAATCATCACTTGCTCGTTGAGAGCAAGCACTAAATGTGTATTATGGTGTTAATTTAATCAATTACATTATAGGCTGTGTAGATATTTTTCATTTTTCACTTATATTAAATTAATAGCACAGCGGACCCATCATATAATTTTCACATTATAAACTGACATTGTGGATAGTAACAAAAATATAATAAAATCATTAATCATGAATTTATTTCAATTCGGAGTTTAAGTTTTGTTTTCTCTACGAATCTTCTTTTTGAAGAGTTCATCGCATGGATGGGGAATGACAGAAGTTTCTCACTTCAACATTTCTCATTGTGATTCAAGAAGAATTCGATTGAAGTTAACACAAACTTGACGATTTCCCATCCCTGTCTGTAAAACAATTCGAAAATTTTCTTTCACTTCTTTGTCAGATGTTTATTAATTTCTTTGCGATAAGTTTCGATAATTTTTTCATTTTGTTGTCTATTTAAAAGCTGAATAAATTTATGATGAATTAAGCGACACACACAAAAAGATGTCTCATCTAAAACATCATTAATTTTACTCAAATGTTGGCTTAAGCGAATAAGAGTTATAACGAAGGAAAAAAAATGAATGTCATTAGGATTTGCATAAGTAAGGTGAGAGTGTGTAGATAGTTTCACAAGTGATGGAAGATGGCAATGCAATTTATGAAGAATAAATGGCTCTTTGTGCAACTGCAATCGACAATTCACTGTACAGATGAAAACAAATTAAAAATCTCAGAAATACTTCTTTAAAACGAGACATGTCGTCTTTCCTTTCATCTCTCTGATCTTCTCATATGAATATTAAGCATTTTATCTCGATGTGAAGTCTCGCACACGAAAACATCGAAAGAATAAAATGCTTCAAATTCCTTCCAACTGACTTGTCCTTTTGTGATGCTAATCGGACAAATTACCCAACATCATAGCAAATTAAATGCTTGATTAATTATCTTAAAGCTACAGCAAGATGTTTGCCATATCAGAACTTTACTCAGATACATCAACAATGCTTTTATTTCGTTTTTCTTTATGTATCGATTTTCTCGTTCGTTCTCGGCGAGAGTCGAGGTTTTGATTGACAGGCAAGAGTTTAATCAAAATCTGATTACGATAGGAAATCATTCGCTTGAAGTGTTTTGTGGAATTTTTTTTGATTCACATTTAAGAGTTCATTTCATTGCCAACTTTCGCACTTTATGATGAAAAGACAACACCGAGAAGAGTTGACGATAATTAAGAGTGTAATTGAAAAGTCAATCTGGTTTTTAAGATTAATCAATTATTGTTTTGAATTGATTTAATTATGGTAAATAGATGGCAAGATTGTGGAATGAAAATCAAGAGATAAAAGAAAAGAAAAACAGTTTAAAGCTTCATAATCCTCTTGATGATTGCGACTATTTAAAGATCTTTTCTCTCTCTTCAGAAGCTCAAAATTAAATTCGTTCGTGAAAGTAGATTCGTTCGTTTATTTCTAAAGCGTCTCAGTTAGAGTCGCAAACGCACTAATTAATAATTTTTTTCTATTTCAAATTTTACCGCACAACAGTTATTTCAATTCTCAAAGCTTCTCATGTCTCTAATCTCTCAATCCTTTTGAAAATGACAAATTGATTGAAAATTGTCGTACTTTGATGTTGTTGAACGAACTTGAGATACAAACATGTGCACAAAGAAAAGTCGCGAGGCTTAAGTTTGTTTTAAATCTCCAATTGAACATCTCGTGGACGGGTTTTCATTTTCATTTCGAATCTTTTTCATTCTTTTATTATTTTTATGAAGCTACTTTGTAGATAAAATAAAATTTTTGAAGAAGAAATATTTGAGTTCTAGATGAAGATTATGTTAATCGCACATGATTAATAACTTTATTAAAATGGCATCGCAGTTTGGTTTGGGGTAGAAACATTTATGACTCTTAAAAACTCGATTTCAATTAAAGATTTCAACGAATTCATTTTGTAAAACGTTTCGATTGGCCTTTTACAGATTTTTTTAAACTTTTTCATGAAACACGTGCAGTTTAAAAGTTGTTTTAATGCAAAAATTTTAATCCCCGACACAAAATTTAGCTTCGAGACTTCAGGTCATCGCTGATAAAACTTTCATGCTTCGATTTTCCATTTAATTTTGTTTTCTTATTTCATCGATTTAAAAATATTCTTCAAAAGGTTAATCGAAGGCTGTCCATGGTGGATTTTAATTTTCAGTTTTTTCGCTTTAAATATGTGACGAGACCACCTGGTTAAATCATTTCAATTGTCGACTCGAAATTATAAACGACAACTTTGTGAGAAGATTTTGTTTTCATCTCTTATATGTTCATGTAGTTTTTCAAATGTTTTGACATCTCGTTGATAGTTGATGAGTTTCATGAATTTAAGTTGTACGCAGGAGACGAAAAATGATTTGGAAGTTCTTCACCTATTTTCACAAGTCTGCGATCAGTTTCATCGTCGCCAGTTTTGTTAATCGTCACAACAAATCTTCCAATTTATGTTAAATCAATCAAACGTGACCTTCTTTTCCATCGTGATTTAAGATTCTTTGAGAAAATGTAACGCGCTAGTGAACACAACAAGATCATTTAAATTTGCAACGACTTCGCTCTGATGTGATGTGCTTGCTTGTTCTGTTTATCATGAACGTATGTTAAGTAATGTGCATTTATTTCAAATTCTGTTAGCTAATAATAGATCTGGGGGAATTTGTAGCATGGGCCGGTTAAATAAAATGTAAGAGAGCACTGTCAAAACACGTGTAGAATGCGAGAATTGAGTAATCTCCATACTTGGATTGCGATCTCAATGATGAATATTTTTGAATATTTTTTTGTTATGATGGAAAAACAAACAAAATTTATTCGATGGAAATGAAATTCCAAAAGGTTTTCTTCTTCGTCGACCTCGCATTAAAGAAATAAATAAAATTCCACACATCATTCGTTCAGATTCTGACCAAAATTAGCAATTTAGAGGAAGAATCATTTGTTAGGTCGATCAATGTTTTTACCGTTAGTCGATAAAAGTGTGAAATTTGGCAACAGTGAAGGATTCAATTCAAAGACTTGACCTGTTTTTCCCACATGATGTCTTCATTCACAAAAGGATAAAAATACTGACGCATCTAGAGTGAAATAATAAAAGAAAGTTCATATATTTATATCTTAAACTGTGGTTGGAAGGAGTAAATAGAAAAAAAAACAATTTTCACATCATTTTTTATTTAATCGTTCTTGTCGGGTCTTTGGAAGGGGACGTTGAGGTCGAGAAATAAAGGAAAATAAAATAAAGTTTCGAAACAAACATATCAGAGTTTTCTTCTGTATCGTTTACCCCCACGGCATAGCAAGCTGGCCATTACGCCAGACATTCATCAATCATACACAATAAAAGTATCTTTCCATTTCATCGTGACAGAATCATGTTCAATAAAGAAAATTGTTTTCTCTTCCTTCAAGAACTTGCTTGAAAAGAAATAGCGAAACAATTGTTAAAGTTCTGCTGGAAGTTCTTTGGATCGATTCGGTTAAGGGAAAGGAAAATCAGGGAAAAACATTTTTATGCTTCTTGAAGAACAACAGAAAAGAAGCAGCTAAAGGCAAACAAGCAACTTTAACCTCCAACAAATTCCCACAAATCTATAAATACAAACAGATATTTGTCTATAAACTTTCATTTCGATTTTCGGGGTGGAAAGGAAAAGCATGTGGCGTAAAAACTTCATATTACTAATCATATATTGATATTGTTAACTTCTAAGTGTAGCTAACACTGAAACTGTTTTAGTGCTTTGCCTCGAGAGAAAATCTTTTACTATTACAACTCACAGCTAACGAAGTAAAAAATATTAATTGCGCTGAACACAAACCAATCGTTTAGATCATTTTTAATAATTAAACATAATAAAACACAATCGCTTTCCATTAACACACCACAAGTTCAAAGCGTAAGGGAATTGATTTCTGTAAGAAATCTTGAAGGTTCTTTCATTGTTTTTGTCTGAGGTCAGTTTACAAGCTCGCAGATGAAACAACTGAGAACAGAACACAATAACGAAACGATTCGTTCCCCTCGGCAGAAGAACATAACATAACTAATGATCGTCGTCGCAGAAATGGAATGCTACAGAATGTATTGTTGTTGTCATTAAAATGTAGAACACGAGTGAAAATTGTATCTTTCCAGATCGATTTACGGTATCGATTTTCTGCCAAATCTCCATCAAAAAACGCAAAAACTTCGAAAAACGAAAAACTGCCACAGAGTAGACGAAGAAAAATTGTTTTGTATTCAATGAGACTTGACGGTTGGATGCGAACTTTGTTGTTTCGGTTATTCATTCGTTCAACATCAAATGAAGAAAGAAATGCGAGAGAAAAGCATTTGAAAACGAGAAAAACTTTTTTTTTTTCTTTCTCTTTACTGGAATTTTGTGATTATTATGGTTGTGACATTTTTAATTGAATTTAGACTAACCTAATATTTCAAAAACATTTACCCCCAGGAAACGGAATTGGAAAATGTTACTGAAAGAAAAGTGATTAATTGCTTTCTACTTGACTTTACATTTCGATTCTTTTTTTAACATCGCGTAAAGAATCACTTCTAACAGGGTTATTTTTAAGATATTCAAATAAACTTGCAACGTATTGATACACATTGAAATATTAATAAATGTTATAGACATTTCCGATAACCATATTTAATTCTCATTGACTGCCGTAATTCATTGATCACTACATCACTACTTTACCAAAACACAATACAATGTATTTGCCAGAACACACAGCATGCGTCATTAAAAGTCTGGAATGATATGATATAAACTTTCCATTCGACGTTTAAATAATTGTCGAGTGTCAAGTCATCTGACATGCGTTAAGATTTCATTTTCTCGACACAGAAAAACAACTAAAAGTATCATCTTCACGTTTTATAATATAAAAAGTATTCAACAATGATCACATGTAGGTTTTATTTGCATTCATTCCTAACGTTGTATACTCGCTGAGTTCGGAATGTATAAAAGTTTTAAAATTTCTGTTTGGTTTAGTTTCTAGAAGCATCTGAATTTTATGAATTTTGTTGCGATAATGTAATTTTGAAGTCATTTTTAAATAAATCGGACCAAACTACAGCAAACAGAGAATTTAATTTAAGTTCTTGAGAATTTTTCATTCCACTCTCCACGAGTATTCAAAGTAAGCAACAAAATGTATACATTTGAGTTAAAGAGACTTTTTTTTTGTCATCGAGGAATGAAAATAAATTATGAAGTTTTTATTTACCAAGAAATTAAATGAATGATCATTGTTGTTGCCGACTTACTCGAAATATAAATCTGCGATTAAGAATTGCCGACAAAAATTCTTTCATTAAATTTAACAGATGAAAATTTAATTTATGTGATCACGTCGTTGACTAACATTGAGTTGGTTTGCTATGAACTTTCGATTTTATATCAAATTTTTTCATCATCCAATCAATTCATGGTGAAATCGATGAAATTTGCACACATGAAATTTGAGAATCGTGAATTATGAGAGACAATTTATAAAATGTTAAATATTTAACAACTCATCGATTTCGATTGTTCAACTTTAATCAAATAAAAGATGATACTCAGTTAACTTATGAAATCTTTGATCCTCTCCAAAATAACAAAAATCTTTCGTAGTTTAAATAATTTTCTGAAAAATTCCCCAAACTAACACCAACTTGTCAGTTTGGGATTATAAAATTATAAGAAAAATTAAAAAACTTTTTCGAAATGACACATAGAACAGCACAAGATAAAAAAATAATAATAAGCAATGAAGCGTAACTATGAATTTGAATGCATGGGATTAGCTAAGAGACTCATAGGGATTTGTTAGAGTTTCGGTGTATAAATGTGGATAAAAATAATGATTAATGACTTTGAATGACTTCATATGTATGCTGAACATTCAAATAAAATTACTTTTTCTGTTTCTGCTTAATTAGTTTAAAAGCTGTTAAAATTAAAAGAAAAAAATTCACGCGTGTTGGTTGAAATTCGTAACCGCTTGACTAGCGAAAAATATTAAAATGCAATAAATTTCACGGCAAGTGTCACTCCCTTGCCAATTAAGTCATCGCACTATAATTTAGTATCACATTAATTCAATTAGCTTAAGACAATTTCTACATAAATTTCACATGAACTCAAACGCCATTCGCTGGAATCTCGCCGCGCTTCATTTATGCAATGACGAAATAAAAGATTTTTGTGAAGCTTTAAACTTTTGTTTCGCTTCGTTCAGCTTCATCACATGTCATCTACACCATACTGTCATCTAAACAGCCTGCCAGTGTTTGAATAATTTATTTTTTGTAATCCTTTTCGTGTCTTTTCTTTGTTCTGAAGGTACAGTAAATGCTAATGGCGAGACAAAGCGCCAACGTACATCGTATACACGCTATCAGACGCTAGAATTAGAAAAAGAGTTCCACTTTAATCGCTATTTGACGCGAAGACGACGAATTGAAATTGCTCATGCACTGTGTTTGACTGAGCGACAGATTAAGATTTGGTGAGTAATTCGAGAAAATTGCGTTAAAGTGAACGCTTCGTAATGCTTTAATCTTTCACATTTTAGGTTCCAAAATCGTCGCATGAAGTGGAAAAAAGAACATAAAATGGCCTCGATGAACATCGTACCCTACCACATGTCACCTTATGGTCATCCATACGCTCAATTCGATATACATCCTTCACAGTTCGCCCATTTGTCCGCATAGGACTCGTGGCATAGTTTTTCAAATGCTGGTTAGAGGCTCAATCAACTTTATCAAGCTGAATATCAAGGATACCAAAACAATCAGGATAATGCAACAAATGCTCTTTTTAGCAGCAATAGTAGTAATTCTGAAAAGTATCCTCAAGAATTTTGATCTCAAAACGATGTTGATTGCACTTGCGACAATCTTGTTGTGAAAGCAATTGATGAACAAAGTTGAATTCATATGCATGTAAATGTATGTCAATTTGGCAATCTTTTGAGAATAGTGATATTCATGATAAAGGTGATTGAGTACAATGTGAAAGAGAATCGTTACAGATGAAGCTTTTAGTGAGCTTTAGTTGTAACCATTTTTGGAAAGAAATACTTTTGTGCTCTGTAATCAGTATTCGAAAAACTATTTTTAGTTTTTAATATTATTATCAATTGGCATTTGCAAGCATCTGCAATAAGACATCAGCATGCACACCCTCACCCTCCTGAAAATATCATATCAATCGGAATTCATTGAATTCCTTCGAAACGTAACTACAGCAAAGGTTTTCCCTTAATAACTTCTTAATGAAGCACTTTTACATAGGTTGTCTTCTACAAATTTATATAGTTTCGGCACTTCTATCGAACGTCTGTAGACATACTTGCAATAAAGTTAGTCATTTACGAGAGATTCGTGAAAAAGATGATTAAGCACTTGGTAAGTGCATAAACATTTAACGTACAATTTGAAATGTATAGTTTCATTTATATCTGCAAGATGACGCTACATTACATCTCGAGTTTTTTGTGTCTTGGATAATTTGATATATTTCAAACTGTTATAAAAAGCGTTAAACATAAAAGCCAATGATTCAACATTATTTCTCAACTCAGAATTTGTAAAAAGAGAAGAAATAGCAATCGAGGGTGTTCATATTCTGATGTCAAATTGAAAATAGTTATTATATAGTGAGAAAGATAATATAAGGACAAAGTTATAAGGAACAAAGTCTGACGACGTCATAAACTTTCACGCGCCATACAATATACTAGAGCACGTTACAACTTTTTCCTCAAAATTTAAAACAAATTGCAATAAAATGAAACAAAAAAGTTTTAGTTCATTTCTCTTCTCATTATCATTTTATTGTTTTTAATTGACAGTTTTATCATGGAAATTTTTTTATGTCTATCGTTTATATCTTGAGTTGAAACGAAATATTTATTAATTTACATATTAATGATGCAACTTTTTATTGTCTACATTTCATCGGTTGTTTTTTTTTCTTTTTTCGCTTGTTATTTAATTAATTATTAAATTAGGATGATGAAACTACACTTAAGGAGATTTTAAGTAAATTTTAATTTTAGCATAGACAAAAGTGAAAACAAATTCGGAAAATGCAGGGCGCTATTTGCTTCTCTTTTTGGTTCCTTAAGAAAGCACACATACAAACATTATGCTGTTAATTAAATTGAAATTTTCTTTGCAAAATAAACCTCCCCCGCAAAAGAAGCATAAACTGGAAAATGATGAAATTCAGAAATGAATGTTTTCCTGGGAATCATGAAATTGATCTTAAATTTAATTTAGCAACATTTAATGTTTCGATAAAGTTATTCGTCTTGATTCTTCGTTATGATTTCGTCTTATTTTCTCTTCCTGGGGTGGTTAAGAAAACAAATTTATTGTATCACATGAAGTAGCTGTATACATACAATTTATATCTTCTTAAATTATATGGCATAGAGAAATCGACTTTTTTTTTCTTGTACATAGCATAAATATGAAAATGAGGAAAATGAAAAATCTCTGTAGTATAAGAGATTCTTAACTTCTCTTTTCCTCGTATTTTATTTTTTAAATTATAATAAAACACTCACTCATATTATATAATCTAGCGAACATTCTAAGCATAAGGAAGCATATATGAAGATGAATGTAAAGAGGAAAAGAAAGAAAAAACAATTTTCTTCATTCATCTCGCGACATTCCAGTATTTTTCAAAAAGAAAATAAGAAATCTTACACCGCATAAATATATCATGAAGTGGAAAAGATTTGTATAATGAACCAGTTCACAAACAGCAAGAAAAAAATCACTGATAAAAAAGAAGAGAATAATTATTGTATTTAGTAGATTAAATGAATAAAGAAGGCAGAAATTAAGTAGATTAGTATTTGTTAAAAGGGAAAGATAAGAAAAAAGAAGAAAAAATCGAAAAAAAATCTATATCAAGATTAGGAAAACAGAATTAAAATGGTGAACAAAAATATACAAAAAAAAATTGTAATAATAGTTAAGGACTAAATGAAAGTATTGTGTGCTGCAAAAGAAACTTAGAAAAGTTTTGTTTTTCCTTCTCCTTTGGCGATGAAAGTTAATTCAAGAAGTAAAAAAATATTTATTTGATCCTCCGAAAAAGATTAAAGCCACTGGATTACAGAGAATTGAAAATATCTCATAAAATAGCAACAGAAGATGAGAAAAGTTTTTTTTATACTGGATTTATTCATGGGAAAATTCTTAAATCCTTGATCAATCAACTCATGATGGAAGTTTGAAGAGATCTAGGATTTCAGATTTTTACGCACGAATTCAATTCAAATTGATAGATGAAAAAAAAACGTACAAACAAAATTTCTCAAGCAAATGAAAACACAAATACACACAAATAAGCGTTAAACAACCTCCCAGAAAAAAAGCCAAGCAAGATATTTGTAAACTAGAATCCAGTGAAAAGAAAGTGAAACAAGATTGTAAAATTGCATTGATACTTAAATAAAAATGAAACAAAAAAAAAATTTGAGCGATGACTTCTCTTCATTTTAGATATTGATTTAACAAGTTATTTTATTTGATTTGATTGGTGACATCACAATTTTCAGCCCATTTTCGTTAAAACATGCTCACATAAATAACTAAACAACTCTTTTTCAATGACTCTTCCATTTCATTTTTTCTTCAAACCGACAATCGTTGCTGCTAAACGTTTATGTGACGAATCAAGATTTGATGGAAGAAGAAAAGAAGAGAAAGGCGACAAATTTCTTCTGGGAAAAAGAAATTTCTTACATTCAAATATAAGCATTTACTAAATAAGGGATCACCAAAGATGTCCTTCAAAATATTACGCAATCTTTCCAATGACAAACATGTGGACATTTCTTATGAATAATACAACAAAAAGAGGTTCTTTCAGGTACTCAAAATTTTTTGAAGCTCGTTTCTTTTCGCCCTCCCCAATACTAAACATCGAATAGTGATTGGATCGCCATGCCATGTGTTTTCTCATTCTACCTTTTCCCAATGCCACTCATCAATCCAAGGAGGTAAAAAAGAAAGGAAAAAAATCACTCTCGTGATTTTATGATCTTGAAATTGTTAAGACCGATGGAAAAAAGAAAAGAAATATAAAAGCGAAGAAGGATGGAAAATTCCAAACATTTGTTTTTCCCATGTTCAAAGCATTTCAAGCTTTTTTATTTATTGTGTTATTAGAGCAAAAGGAAGGCAGTAAAAAAAGGCCCCCAGAAAGGGCTGTGAGTAGATGGAAAAGCACTTTATCGGTGAATGAAGTAAAACAAAAGAACAGAAAGAAACAAAGAGGCGGGGGAGACGATGAAGCAAGGCCGTAAAAACACAACAAACTTTTATTTCATTCAGGTTTTCTCACATTAAACTTTTCTTTTCTCCGAAAATTTTCTGTGTTTTTTTTCATTTCATTGCTCTCGTTGTTTTCCCTTTTCAAACCGCCAACTCAATGGTGTATTGTCATGCAATATAAAGCGGACAGAAGGCAAAAATCAGACGATTGCACTACCAATACGAAATTATTTTGATTTCTTTCGTTTCTTGTTTCTTTAGTAGCCTTGATTCTCGACTTTTGTGTTCAACTCTCGCGCTCACGTCAATCGTGTTTTTCGTGTTGGTGATAAGAAGAAAGAGACTCACTTACCATGCAACCGATCGTCGGAATGTTTTACTGTTTCAACATTCGATTATGCCGGGAGGGAAGTTTATGGAAAAACGATTTCAAATCGCAAAACGTATTTTTTTATCGTCGTTTGCGTTCGCATTTTTTTTCTCGATAAAATACCAAAAAACTTATTCCAATCATCCCAACCTTCGATTGAATTTCTTTTACCCTGCGGTGGATTTGGAGCAGAATGAAATGGCGGGAACGAAAATCAAAAATAAGACTCTAAGCTCGTTTCATTTGGAATATAAATTACATTGTGGGGAAGACGAGCACATGGGAAGAAAGCAGAGGCAACAAAAAAAGAAATCAATTAGCTCCTTAGTGATAATAATAAAAAGAAACTCCAGAGAAAAGAAAAAGGAAATTTTTATTATCTTTATGTTAATTCCAAATTAAGCTCAGTGAAATGTTTCTTTTTTTGCCTCTTTTCTCTGTTTCGTGAAAAGAAGAAAAATTATAATTTTTATCAATATCACTCGAGCAGAGCGTAAAGTTGTTTGGAACTTTATTTTCTTTTCCCTTCACGCTCGACTATTTCGCACTGCCATCATTGTGCTTTTTTCCTACCCTTCATTTATGTCGAGTAGTCCACAGGGAAGCGTAAAGAAATCAGGCCTTGTTGGTGTCGATTACAATTTGGATGTTTTTGCTTTCTTCTTTTTTTTTCCATTCGGCTTTTACTGAAGGTTTTCTTGGGTGCGGGAGGCAATGAACAACAAGCAGCTCCTTTTGACAAGGGAGAAAGAAAGTCATAATAGAAAATAGCTTTGAGAAATCAAGTGAAGATATCTTTTAAATTTTCGAGAGTTATGATTAGAAGTTCTGCCTTTTTACTTCCCTGTTATTTTTTTTTCAAGGGATTCGTTTGCTGTTCATGTCACAAAAGTGAAATTAGAAAATTTCCAAAGAAATCATTTTGAAGCTTTAAGAAAATTGAAATCTTTAACATGTCAAAAATAAGTCATGTGACGTAATCATTGTACAACTCATGCCATTATTATTTCTAGGCACCTCTTTTTGCTTTCCACACTCTCTTGTATTTGTATTGAAGCATACAGCAGAAAGCAAAGGACATTTTTACAATAAAATACCAACGAAAATTCTGGCTCCGAAAAGCAACATCAGGAATGAAAAAAAAGAAGAAAACGAAAACCTGAAACTCATGCGCAACGATGAGAAAGCGTTTGTTGTTGGTATTTTCACACCGAATTGGAGTAAAAGCGCTTTGAGCTGATATGATGAAGCGTTTTTGGTGGTGGAAGCTTTTCACTACAGCTGGTAATTTGTTGATATAATCCAATCCTTCATGAGGCTGATTAATAATTCATCATAATCTCTCGCGCCAAACTTTTTTAATGGATTTCTTTCTTTTCTTTTCTACGTTTCTCCCGCATAATATTGCGGTAACTCTCACGATTGAAAGTCAATTGTCACAAGTGAAACAGTGCACGGAAGCATTTCACGGGTCGGTAAACAGCATTTTCGAGATGAAGGAAAGAGCAGAATATTCGTCACCACATTTCAACTGCCTCAACTCAAATATATTTAATTTAATAATCATAAAAAAGACATTAAAGTCTTAAAAATTCTCTTTCTCTCTCTCTACATTTTATTTTCGTTGTCATTCGTAGCGTCATGACGGAATGTATAATTTCTGAACGAATGTCGTTTTCATTTGGGCTTCGAAGAAATTTAACGAACAACAGCAGTAGATGAGAGAGGAGGAAATACGACAAGGAATGGAGATGAAACAGAACAGAAGAAAAAAATTCTTTTCGCCTTCAATTTTATTGCTTCAATTCATGCTTTGAGAAATGCTATCATCACAACTACCACCACTGATACTCTCGTACATAGCAAGGCTGTCGAATGTGTATGTGCTTCAACACAAACAAAACCAGAATGTGTGAAATGGAAAAAATAAAGTCGCCGTTTTTTGCCTATTGCATTCACCGAGTTAAAAAAAACAGTTGATATCGTTGCTTCGAAGCTTTAACACTGTTCGTCTACTTGCAGCGCCGAAGTGATGAGAAAAAAGGAAGCAAAAAAATGTATAAAAAGTGTGTGCAAGTTGGTGATTTTCTTCTTTTGATAATCAAGTGTCTTTGATTGTGCCGTATCACTCTTCAACACAGTTTGTGACTTAACAAATTTTCCTTAAGATTCAAACTTCTTTTCTTTTCTATTTTTTTTGTTTTCCTGGTGAAATCATTGTTTGCTTGCGAAAGAAAAATATATTTTTTCACATCTTTTTGATAAGTCATCAAGTGGTGTCGCAGTATTCTGATGTAAGTTTAAAATTTTATTTGTTGTTTGTCGAGTTTTCATCATCCGTGTTATTTGTTTTCTCTTTGTCGAGAACTTTAAAAACTACGATTCAACTGAATTCACTTTAAAAGATCAAAATAATCGACCACCACACAGCTATATTAACTGCCTGCCATCATAATAATTTATTCGACGCCATTGATATCGTGCGTTAGCCGTGCTTGTTGTGTTGTATTTTTTTCTGCACTACCTAGACGATATTTGAAATGTTCCATAATTGTTGCATGCCATGTTACATCAATCAAAGTGCATGAGTTTTATTTTTATTTCTCCTAAATAATCGCTTGTCGTGTGCGTTCGACAGCGAGATTTTTCAATTTTTTTTATTTAAATCAACTTAGAAGCCATTGTTAGACGAAAATTGATTTTTCTGTTTCTTTTCTGGTCGCTCTTCTCACTCGTCAATAGAATTTATATCGTTCTATGCTCAGTTGCCCATTTCTGTGTTGCTTTTCGAAGCTAACAGTGAGAAAGCTTGCGATACAAGTTTAATTTATTGAAAACACGCATATAGAGTAGAACCCCAGAAATTAAATTAATTTATGTAAATTAGGTAGAGCAACGGAGTAGCACGTAAACACAATACAAACTCCACAACACTACGCAACGTTTAAGCTACAAATGATAGCTGGTTTCGGCAAACTTCTCGGCATTGGAATTTTCATATTTGTCTTATTCAATATGCTGCTTCTTGCTTCTCTCGCATCGACAATGTTGCAAACTTATCTTCTTCTTTCGAGTTTCTCAGTCTTGTTTTTATTCGGCTCATCACCATTGACCCTGACTCAAAAATTAAAGCAGAAATAGAGAAGGCGAAAAACCATTTTTTCCGACCTTTTTACTCATCTTTTGTTTTCGCTTTGCATCATAAAAAATCATAAAAATTTATGCTGGATCATAAAAAGAGTTCTAAGAATGATGGGAAAGTTTTCTCTTTATGACGATTTGCTTTCTTTTCATCTTGTCGGTGGGGATTCGTCTTTCTATTGTTTCGAGAGGATTTTTATGACACTTTCTTTCTAAAACAGTTTTTAAAGCACCGCAAAATATAATTCACGAACATATTAACAATCATTCTTTTTAATAATTTTACTGTCGTTTACCTCGAGAGAATCATTTTTTCTGCACAATTATGTTTCTTGCTACACTAGAACATGAATATGTCGCCTCACAATACCATAAATTCTCAGTTTTTTTACAAAGCACCATCAGCAAAAGGAAGAAAACGAAAATAATGCAAGAACGCTCATAAAACTGAAGCTGTGCGTCGTAAAAAACAATCTTCAATTGCGAAATTGTCGCGTTAATGACATTCCCTTTTCTTCTAAGGAAACAAGTGACAAAAAGGAAGCAAAAAAATATGACAATCGCACGCAGAATTTTCGTTTTTTTTGGGGATCAGAGATAAGCGATGGAAGATTATATCGCTAAAGTTTCATACGGAAAAATTGTCAAATCCGAATTAAACTTTTCCCTCGTAGTGAAGTCGTAAAACGAAATCTTATCACCCAGGCCTCAACAAGGCAAGTAAAGCGATACGATAGCAAATATTGAAGAGAAAGTGAGAGAGATGGAAAGTAGACAAAGAAAAATATTTCCCCAAGGAGCAATGATTATGTTACGAAAGGGTGCTTACAGATTGAATTTATCCGGATGAGCAATCTCGTTATGAGGGGGCGGAGGGTAGAAGCCGTAAAAATAGAACATGGAGAAAGAAGAAAAAAAAAACTTTATTGAAACTTTTTGATTGACAAACCTCTGTCGTGATGAGTAGTTAGTAGCTGTCAGTTATCTTAAATCCCTTACACAAACAGTTGCCTGAGAAACTACTTAAATCTTTTTTCTTTCGTTGTGTTTGTGCTTTCGTTCGCATGCCGGTTAGAACTACTTGTATTAACAGGGGTAGCGCAAAACGTTAAACATCTGCGAAATCCATATTATCAGTGATAAAAAACTGAGCTCACACAAGAGAATATCATATAGCGAAATGCTATTATGATAGAACCCAGTGAGTGGTAAAGTGCTTCTCGTATCAAAATGTATAGAGTTATGTTACATCATCATTTAGAAAACGGCTTCTTGTCGCGAATGTTTCTTATATTTAAATTTAATAGAAAATAACTTTCTTCTCGTTTTCAAATAAAGAATTCAATTTAAACAAGAAACTTGAGCACGTAAAGCAGTTCATTTTGAATTTCCACTTAAGTTTAAAAATATTCAGCAAAAATTCTATTCAAGAAAAATTTATCGCCACATCATCTTCATGTTTCTTCTCAAACCCTAAAATTTATTCAATGATTACCTTAACAACAGTTGCTTGTCTCCCGGGTGATCTCAAAGTAGCTGCGGGTTCTCTTTACTTCTTCATGCGTAACTTTCTTCAATTTACAATTTACATTCAAATAAAGTACTTTCTGCCTCCGATCCCTCTTTCATATAAATTCTCCTTTCATTTCTTTCTTGTTTCTGTTTGCCAGCCTAGATCTTGTTTCAGTTTCAACCAACAACCACTATTGCATCATAAATACAAGGATTAAATACGAAATGGTGTTTGTAAAGTTTTCTTGGAGGGAAGCATGGAGAAAACATTGCGTCATTGTGACATGGTGTTAGTATTTGAATGTGTTGAATGCTGTAATGTTCATGAGAACGAGGGTAGAAAATTTCATTTTATAAACCGCTTTACGCACGCACACTTCCATGGCATTATCAGTTGTGTACGCACACTAATAAAATCGCACATTTTCCCATCCATATTTTTATTTGCTCGTGTACACGAGCGCTTCCATTTTTCTTTCGGAGGGTATGTTCGTTCGGTATGCTTTACTGCCGAAAAAGAAAGAAAGAAAGCAATTTCTATGAAAATTATGTATCCTCTTAATAGCTTTCACCCTCCCTTATACCCTCTACTTCCCTCCGCGTTCGCTAGTAGGAATGTTTAATTTTATTAAATTCCACGGTTTTTCTCATTGACATTTAATAGTAAAATTATCTTGAAAACAACGAGAACTATGAATATGACAGCGTTAAAAGAATATCATATAGGCATCATACATGCTACGAGCAGCGCATGACTGAACTTTTCCTTTTTGTTTTCAGATTTAATTTTGGTTCATAATTGCAATGTTTCATTGTACGACTCGTTGTCGTATTCCTTCCGAAGTAAATATAAAGAGTCTCTCGGCTACAGAGTACATAACATCAAACATTACAAATCAAGTGAGGGCAGGAGAAGGGGGACTCGTGTGTCAATAAAGTTATGTAAGATGATGTCGACTCACCATGAATTTTAATTAAGTTCTAAAAATTATGCAAATTTTATTGTGGTTTATCCCTGGGAAAAAAAGATGAGAGAAAAGTTTTTCACTTTTCATCTCGGGCCTGGAATTGGCCACTATTTACAAAGTGACCCCTTTCAAAGCTCGGCTTTTTTAGGAGAAAATTATTTGTTTTTTTGTTAATGGCATATAAAGTACCACCGCTCTTCCCACTGACTCATTTTTAGCAAACATCTTTGTTAGAACAATCCTTTTGGTTTTTTGGCTTTTGTAGAATGTATGTTTAAAGTAGAAAAGTCGAAATTTAATAAGGAAAATATTTACAAAATATGCTCCAATAATTTTCCCATTCTCCATCACCGCATATTCAACCCAAAGTAATTTTCTTCTAATTTAAACATTTAAAAACAATTTGAGAACTCGAAGCAAAGATAATAATTTTTGAAAAGGCAACATCATATTTCGTTGTTGGAGGAAGGAGAGGAACTGATGTAGCAGTGTGAAGAGAGTTAGTGAATGATAACTTTTTTGATAGGCTTGCTGGCCCATAAAACTCAATATCTCTTGTCAAAATTATTTATTTTCGTTTCTATTTGCTGGTGAAGTTTTAATGTTTTTCGTTTGCTTGTAAAAATTCTCCCCATACCTAAGTTCCTCGTTATGTTCCCCCCAACAATAGAAAATAATGAAGAAAAAAAAAATTCAGCACAATTAGATGCTACAACAACATCGTTTAGGTTTCCTTAGTAATAAAATCGTATTTTCGATTTAACATTTTTTTTTTTTCTCATTTCATTTTACTTTCTCTTAGAAATAAAGAAATTTATGATTTTCTCAAGCATTTCATAAACGACAAAACATTATTGATTAAAATATTAATCAGCGGAACAATGAAGAAGATTACCCAATGGAATTTCACTGTAAAATTTATTCAAAGTTCTAATTAACTTCTCGAATATAAATAAACATCGTGGTGTGGTTTACTTCAGTGTCACAACATTTTGTATTTTAATAATCCCCAATCGGAGTCACTACATTAACCATCTTAAGTTGAAATAATTCGAAGGATTAAAACTATTTATGAGTGTACTCTAGCAGATTTAGTTTTATCTATGGAAGAGAATATTCGAAGAATTTCGTTGTTGTGTTGTTTCTTTTCAAAGTGGGAGAACTAAATGAATGAATTAAAATCAAGTTTCATCATCACATGTTTATTCAGTTAAATAATTTTGACTCACTCTTCATCACATTAAATGTTATTTATTAATCAGAGGGGTTAGAGTCGGGGCGCTGGGAAAAACGAATAAGTAGCGGAGACAAAAATTTAATTATTTAGCATATGACTCTGTTTTTAGATTTATTCATTTTTCCACTCTTATTTAACATTCTTTCGAGTGATACGAGTGAACAATGTCAAAAAGTTCTTGTTGTTGGTTTATTTTTTCCTGTTGTGTTTTATGACTCCCCAGCTAACATCAGAAAGCTTTTATGTAACGAAAAGAAAAACAAATGACTTAAGATATCAGACTTTGTCGAGTAGACGCTAACTAACAGTTCGTAGATTTCTTTTATTTCATTTTTTTTTGTGTTTGCAACACACCAAGTTTAAGCTAACTATAATCAAACACTAATACTTTTCAAAGGCCTTGGTATTCTCATCACCTTTTTGCGTGTATTTGAAATAAACTTCTTTCTTCTTCCCATCACTCACTCTTATTCCGGTCGACTCACTGTTCGCTGTTACTGCCTGTTGATGAATATTTAGCTAACTCATTAGCACGTTTCCTTTTTGTTATGATTAAATACACAACAAAAAAGAGTTTACTTAAATATTTCATTGTGCATTAAATATTTTTTTTATTTCTTCTTCTCTTAACGATTACATCACAACTTGCTGATGTCTGTTGTAAATATGTTGTTGAAATCAAATCAATTCTCACCTAGTCCCACTCATAAACCATTTTTATTGTATTCAAACACTTTACTCGTGATATATTAATCAGTAGATTCGAAAATTGAGAGAAAAAATTATCAGTTTATAAATTTATTTGACGGAAAATTTTTTAACTTCGTGACAAAAACAGCGAGTGGAAGCAACGATGACTTGTTAATTGGTTGAAATAACATGAACGTTGAATTAACACAAACACACTTATAAGTAATAAATGATAGTTTCTTGAACAATCAAATTTCTCCAGCAGGCCAACAATATCTCATCACCTTGAATATTACTTGAAGTCGTTGCATTCTCATCATGATCATGAATTACGCCTACCCTGTAGATCCGAATTTGTTCTAATTAACAAACAGAACGACAAATTCGGTTCTAGAGAGGTTTGTGTATCATGGAATTTCAACATGAACAAAATTTACGAGATGAACACTAATGATCCCATGAGGATAAGACAGAATGCTGATGGAGTGAATGTCAAATTATCATCACAAACTAAAGGTTAATTTAACGAAAAATGAAAATTGTTTTCTTTTATTTTTCTTTCCTTCTTTCTTCCTATTAATCGTGATTCCAGAGTAGGTGAAATGTATGATTCCAGTAATCGAAAAACATAAATTTTTTTCTTTCATATTCTTTGCAATCGCCAGGATGTAAGCGTACACGATAATCGAGAGCTGGATATGAAAAAAGTGTGCAATCAGCAAACAATAAAAGGGAAACACTCACAACGCATGAAGACGATAAAATGGATGTATTCTATGGAATATAAAGAAGTAAAAGATCTTTCGATACGTATAACAAGAAATTGGTTGGTAAGAAAGCGAGCAAGTGTACAGAATGGGGATTAATTATGAACATCTAAATTACGGCTCCAAGGGAACAAAATGAAAAGAAAATTCGACCAAAGAGAGACGAAAATCTTTATCAGATCGGAGTTTACAATTTATTCCATCACCCTTGACGATTTATCCTGAAAAAAGGAAAAAAAAACAAAAATCCTTCAATGTTGAATTTCTTTCTGCTTTCTTTTCTTTTCTTTGATACTTTATTACCTTTTTTATGTTTTTTAGGGGGAAAGAGAAGAAGCCCGCAGCCGATGAGAGAAAAGAAGGAAAAAATTATGAATTACATTACTTGAAATTCGATTGATATTCCCAACCATTTGCTTTAGAAACATTTCATTCTGAGTGAGAAGAGGAAGGGAAAAAAAATAAAACAAATTTTCAGGGGTTGTGGAAATGTGAATCGAAGCAAAGTATTGGATTAAACATGATTGAAATATGAAATGATTTCATACTCCATACTTTGCTTTCTACTCAATTGGCGCATGTTATCATTCATCTTCAGGCTGTAAATAAAATTGTGCTGCAATACTCGTTTTATTATATATTTTTCCTTGATGTTGTTTTTTTTCGCAACCCAACAGAAAGCGATAATCGACCATCATGGATTTCTAAATTTGGGTTGGAGAAAAGGTAGCAGAATATTTTTTTATTTAAATCTGAAACAAAGAAAGATTTAACAGATTAAAGGAAATAAAAGACACAGCCGATTCTTGTGTTTTCAATGTCCAACAATTTTATGGTCACAATTATCTTTCTTTCTTAATTTTCATCAGAAAAATTTTCTTTTCTTTATCATTCAAAGCATTTTGTTTATGCAACATTGATAAAGCTTTTTTATTTCTTTGTTGTGTTTGAGAGCAAAAAAGCGTGTCTTTTCTTTTTTCATAAAATATTTTTTCTTTCTGCTTTCAAATTTCAACAATTGCTTTGTTTTATAAATTATATCATTTTGACTTTTCTCTTCCTTCATTTAACAATTTTTACTACTGCGCACTATGTGCGAGAAACTTTTCCAAACAACTTTTTGTCACATTAGAATCTCAACTTCCAAAAATTTTTACGATTCTCTGTTTTTTATATTTTCTTTGCTTGAATATTTTATGGATAGCATATATATCTATGTTCAATAAATTATCTTGCTATGGTATCATAGCAAAGATGACAATTTTAATATAAATTTCTCTCATCATTTTTGTTTGTTTCTCGTCAAAGTTTTTTTTCCAAATTGAAGTGCAAGTAATTTTTTTACAGCAATTTCAGCAATTTCTTTAAAAAGAAACATTTCAACATATATTTGTGTATATATTGCTAAAAATACCAAAAACAGCAGAGATAATTTCATGACATTTTCAGCACCTACAATAAAATTGAACAAGTTTTTATTCTCTACAGTCTCGCATTATTTAACTCAGTTACTTCTTTTCAACTTCAATTCAACTAAATAAATCTCGCTAAATGCTAAATCACTAAATTGATATTTCTCATGCAATAAAATTATGCAAATGCTCTGCTTGGTTCGTTATTTTAAGAATGATTTGGGCGAAGTTTCGTATGAGCGCGCTTTAAAAGGTCAAAAAGTGCAAATTCAAATAAAATTGAATCGCAATTATTTATCCACCAAAAGTTTCCATTATTCAACGAATTAATAACAAATTAATTTTTATTTCTCGTTTTACGAGAGAAAGAGAGAAAATGACAAAAATCCATATAAGGATGAAAAATTGTTTTCACTCAAAAATTTCTTTTAGGAAGAAGAGATTTGATTAGAATTAAAATATCAAGTCTGAGAATGGTTTTTCACATTCCACAATCGATATTTTAATCTAATATTAACAACGAATATTTTTTATTGCCGTGGTCGATGCTTGGGCGAAGATTGTGGCGATGAGACTGAAGATGAACGTGACACAAGAGAAAGGCGCGATCCTGTATTTGAGCTGTTCGTCTTTCCTAAATAAATAACAGATCCCGACGAAGGCCTGCCAATATTGCTTAAATCCACACGAGAAGTATGAGCTGAAACTGGTGCGGAAGGTGGACCTTTAAAAAAAAGCAATTTCAGCGATTAAATCTCGTGGGATTTCCTTTGTCAGATTTTGCGAAGTAAGTTTATTGGAAAACGTATCGATTATCTTTTCCTTTTTAGATTGAGACGTTTTCTTACCTGTATAAGTATAAAAACCAGCGCTACTTTGCTGTCTATAGTTGTAATTTGCCGAAGGGCTTCGGTGGAGTCTTCTATCGTTAAAGTTTGAGGTTGTGGAAGTTAAGACATCATTTAAAGTAGATGAAGATAAGGAAACAGGAACTACTGGTAAATGTTTTTGATGTCGTGGTGATGTTGGACATGAAACGGAACCGGAACGACCAGGTTGCACACCTAAACGACTACTTGTTGATGATGATGATGAAGGTCGTCGTCGAAATATTCCGCCAGAAAATTTTGCTTCATGATTCATCCTACAGACACCTGATTAAATTTATAACGACAACAAATCCCACAATTTAAGCCACATTTAAACTCATGTTTTGCATAAATGAATTAATTTTTATTAAATTTTCAAATTGAAGATTATTTAATTAATAAAATGTGACTAATTATATGAATTATCATTGGTAGGATGATGTAAGATGATCATGAGAGGTTGAAAACAATCACAATTTTGCGTCTACTTATGACTGATCTCAAAATATGCAAACTTTTCATTTTCTATAATGTTTTCATCTAAAAATAAAATACAAAAAACAGAAAGTAAATTGAAACAAATTGTTCAATAATTAAAAGCTTGTTGAACGTGCAGGCAAATAAACAAGCATAAAGCATTAAATATGAATAATGATTTGAAGGAAAGAGAAACAGAGAATCGGGGATCGAAAATTTAACTCACCTGTTGGACAGTTTTCATTTCGTTTACAATTAAAATGACACAAATCTCTTGTCGCAATCATTGTATTGAAATGCTCTAGTGCACGGTAAATATATTCTTTATCACTTTCCACTAAAGCTAAGCTCGGAAAACGTTCTTTCATTCGGCTTCGCTCTTCTACTACTTTACAATTCTCAAACTCTTGTAACTGCAATTGAAATCCTGCATTTGGATTTGCTATCTTTCGACCAACTCGAACTACTCTCAATGCTTCACGCCAACATAGATTTGAGATTGACATGACGTAAGCTAAAAATAATTTTCAGACAATTAGATAATCAATATTCGTAATTGGTGTCAAACTTACCAACACAAATCGTAACAGAACGAGACATTCCTGCTAAACAATGAACAAGCACATTACAATCCTTTCGTAAGCGAGCGCCATGAATGAAATCGTTACAAACAGGAAAAAACTGGCAAAGATCTTGATCCGGATTATCTGAAATATTTGACAATAAATGTTTGTTGTTGATGTTATTTATAAAGTTAAGTTTTTTACCCGCTGCCATAACACAAAGATAATGCATCTCAGGATACAAATGCTTGGGATTATCATGGATTGCAAGAATGTGTGTTATTTTATGCATCTGTAATTGGTTTATATCTTTTGAGTCTCTGTAGTTACCCACATACAATCCAGGTAAAACCTAAAGTCGAAAATGATGGTTAAACTTTTTCTTTTCTCACTTAATCCTTTCATAAATGCAGTTGCTTACCTTATTCATGCCATTACCCATTGTTTTGTCTCGAAATAAATAGATCTTTTCGAGAAGGAACTCCGAGAAGTTAAAGAATGATAAATGAAATCCTTTTATAAAGGTAATTCGTAGCTGTTTCCAAAAAGTTTCAGGAAAAGACTAAAATCAATAAATATAAAATTATTCAAAGTTTTTCCTACAAAACTCAACCCGACAATTAGCCTACTGAATAAATATTGAAGACATTATGCCAAAAATAATTTCCATTTTTGCGTGATCACTGCTACAATTTCATGCATGTAAAAAAATCATTTCAATCGATTTTTCACAGCGACAACTTTCATTCAAATGATAAAAAAATAACAAGGATAATGCACTGGTGTTTGTTTATTTAAAAACACATTTTGATTATTAAACACAACAACTGGACTCTTATAGTAAATATTCTCCTTATATCTTGTAAATATAATTTTAAATCTTTGATTTTGTAAAAAAAAATAATAAACAATACAAACTCCTCGGCACTAAAGACAGTATAACAGTATAACAGTGAGAGCTTTCATTACAGGCCTTTTTTGTTATTCCGAGCTTTCGATGTCACAAGGGGAAATTTGAAAAAATACCATTTGGGGGATACCAAGGGGAGAAAAAACACCAACCAATGGAGGTTGCAGATAAAGTTTATTTTGATTTTAAAAATAACAAAAATATTCATTTTCGTCTCTCACACTTGATGACAGTCTTCAATGCCACATTTTTAAATTTACGGCAGAATAAAGAAATTCCCTTCTCATTATTACGGATCTTATTCTACTTTTCTCTATCTCATCTCTCTCGTATGATTATCGTAACGTAATTTGATTAATTAATTTTCGAAATATTTGATTGACATGGGCTGAAGAGAAAAAATTATATTCTTTTGTTATTGTTGCGATGAAGAGGAAAGAATAAGAACCTATCCGGCATGCTATTCGATCCAAAGAATAGAGAAAAAATATAAGAAAAAAGACATAAGACTCGCAGGCAATTGAAAATGAAAGCAAGACCTTCTTATTTTTCTTAGCATCTCGGGAACTTTAGACAACTAAGCCTTAATTTTTTCACAATAAATCATTGGACAAAATTATATGAAAAAATTACAACATTTTACACGCAGATACGACTGATGATTATGGAGAAAGTCGAGGAGATTAACGAAATTAATTCCTTAATAGAAAACATGGCGGTTTGAAATTGGCTGCCGGAGCGTAGCGACAAGAAGACTTCCCAAAATAGTTTAAATTTACCATAAATGTCATGCTGGAAAATTGATTGCTTATTAATTGACTACAATGAAGCAAATTTGCCAAAGAAGAAAAAAAAGATGACTGATCACGGTCGCATCCATTCTGTTTGTTAGAGTTCAATATTTGGACAGATTTTAAGCTCTTCAATCATCATTGAAAACCGATAAAGGGCAATGATGTTGTATGATGTACTATAACAACAAATATTCGGTTTTAGCATAAACATAGACGCTTCAAATAGAAATAAATTTAAAGATGTAAATGAAGTTTTCTTAGCTAAGCAAATAACTTCTTAAGTTGAGAGTTTAAACAACGAAAAGAATTTCAAAAACAAATCAATTTCATCTGACATGCATCCGAAAGAAATTCCGCATCTGAAGATAAAGAAGAATTCAGATGAAAAAAAAGGCAAACAGAGAAAAATTGAGAGAAGAATTTTCAAGCGTGGCAGAAAAAGGATAAACAAAAAAGAATTCTTTAAGGAAAATCCATGTCATCGATTTATGAAACTTCCAAAATTTCTTTACTTGTCAGCCTTCATAGTGAGATACTGAGATGACGCATCATCATTTGTACTTGTCACCATCTTCATAAAAAAGTGAAGCAAGAGATACTATTTACAAGAAAAAAAGTTACACTAGGCATGAAAGAAGTGTCAGTCGGGTCTTATTTTTATTTCTTTCTCCAACATCCCGTGAAAGAAATATTCATGAAATTCCACAAAAGAATAATATTTAAAACCTTCAAAGATATTCTGCCTTTTGCAAACAAACGACGAAGTTTTACAAAACCAGTAGCTAGAAAGCATTAAAATATTCTGCATATTTATTCATTCTCTTGGGAAATGGGAAAGACGAAAAAGAGATAAAAGTCCCTATTGACATGTTTTGGTTCTCACTTCAAAGATTTTGAATTAAAGGTTTAGCTCATTGTATTCAAAGCACATTTCGTTTTTATCTTGAAAATGTATTTTTGCCGCATTTCCACTGAGAATAGTCAGAGCATGAAACATTTTTATTTTCATCCATTTTAACTTTGTCACATCATATCCATGTGCATAAATAAAACATGTCTTCTGCAAGATATGGTCTAATTATAAGCACAGAAAATTAATAAACATTTCTCGAAGAGTGCGTGAGAGAGAAAGTTGCTTAACATAAGAGGAAAAGTCCTTTACAGAAAATTCTCTACTTCGAGTGAAAATGAAATAATAATTTTTCGACATATCCAGAAAATCGTGTAAAAAAATCATTAATCATGTTTTGCTGTGGTGTTTTTCGGTGGCGTTGGGAAAAACGTTGGAAAAAAACATTTTTCTCATTACAAAGAAAATAAACTCAGAAATATGAAGAAGAAAAAGAAACTTAAATACTGGAAGGTTTTATCAGCTATTCTTGATTGAAACACTGTGACTCTCAGGGAGTGTGTTGCGCTCGACGTGGTTTTGTTCGCATTTGTTGTATATGCAAAAGCATTATAATTAAGACATTTCATACTTTTTAATATGAATAGATTTAATTAGTTTTTCCTTCATTTCGACAGCGGAAAATTATTAAATTAATGATAGGTCGTATAAGCAACGCTTTAGCAACGACATTACGTGCAATGCGAGGTAGTCTTCTGCTCTCTTCCCATCATATAAGCATAGTCGCCGCTTTTCCATTATTTCAGTGTTCGCCTGACTGATTGTTCGAAAGATTTCCAATCAATTAATCAAAAATTGTATTTTTTTCTCTCTCTTGTTAGAGTTCATTAAAAGCTTAATTAACTTTAATAAGTCTTTGAATTTCTGCTGTAATACTCAAACAGCTTTGTAGGTACAATGAAAAAAAGTTTAATGAATTTCAAACTAAGTAATTACGCTGACGAGAGAACTTCAACGTCTAGTCGATATGCTTAATGGGCTGCTGTTGACCAAAATCTTCGATGTTATTCGTAACTTACAAACGATTCCTAATTACAATAAGTCTCAACTGTTATTTTTTTCCAAAATTAAAAGCAAAGGTGTAAAGGTGTTTGACGTTTTATATATTTCGCTTGGTATGTGCTGAGAAGCTTTGTAGCCGAAATAAATAAAAAGTAGATTTTCTATATTCTTCCCTTTTTTTGTGTAAAAATCAAAAAATAATCATTAATCATTCGGTCACGTAAAAATCTCTACTCCAAGTTATTTTTTTTTTCATCTCTTCAGTCTTGCAATGAAGAAAAGAATTGAAACTATTTTTTTTAATTCTTTTATGTTATTCTCGGGGATATCCAGCCAATTTTCAGTTGCCAGCAAATGCAATGAATTTCTTTGAAGCTCAACTTTAATTTTTAATTCCATTTTTTTCGAAAGGCTCCATTGCATCAATCAATAATTGGCTGAAAGTTAGAAGTTGCTGTTAAATTTGATTATTAATGATTCTCGGATGCGCAATGCTTGAGGTTCTTGTAACTGACCTAAAACAGTCATAACCTGTCTGTTCTCTTAAGAACTGTGCACAAGACGTGATCATTTTTCTTCCAAAGAAAGAAAGAACGAAAAATCCTTAAATTCACATTGAAACTTCTGCTTTCGTTATGTTGCCTGCATATTAAACTTCTATCAATTTCACGAATCTATGAACTCCCATCACAATCATCTGATGATGTTGATTCATTATTAATTCTCTATCGTCAGCTTTCACGAGATTCGCCAGATTACCGCAGATAAGGAAAATTGACAAGTTGTCTTCAAGCCCAAAACGGAATGCGAATGTTTTGAAGAAGAAAAATGCTTTTGGATCATCATAAGAACAAGCTAGTCGGTGTTGTGCAGACAGCTGATGAAACGAACTTTTTTGACAGTCATTATCTTTTAATAAATCCTCTTCCGACATTCAAAACGCTTGTTTCCCGTGACACACGAAACATGTGTAAAAAATAACAGTTGCATTCAGTTTTCAGATTTATAATGCACGCTTGTTCACCTTAAATTAGATTGTCATTTCAACATCCATGGAAGCGGAAAGATGGACATGCGATTGTTTTATGTAAAACAAAATGACAACATTTGCTAAGACAAGGAAGAATTGGTAGCAAAAATCACGCTGCTTTGAGAGAAAACATAACTCGTCATTGTAGTCGACTAAAAATAAGTTCAAATCAAAATGAAATCCATCAATATTGAGCTGTTGATTTGTGATAGACATCTTATAAAATTCCCCATGGCATCGAAGATAATTACACGTGTTTTATCGCTTTAAGTAGTTCTTGTTGGTATTTTTGTTGTCCAATGATTTGAATCTTCTCCTCCACTTCTTCTTCATCTTTCTTTCTCTCATTTAAAGTCTGATTACTGAATGATTAAGCGAAAAAGATTCAAATTATAATCAAATATAAGTTTAAGTCTTACAAGGTGAATGGCTTTAAGCTAACGTTTTATTTATTTTCATCAACAATGATGAATCAAAAAATCAGAAACCGACATGAATGATATTTTCTTATAAGTGAACTACAACTCGAAATTGAAACCAAATAAATCTCCATTTCATTTGACGATCAAGTTCAAACTATAACTAAATTCAATGGTCGGTAAACATAATGTTTTTGGAATGAAATGTAAGAAAAAAACAGTTGCGCACTTTATTCAATTAACTTTTAATTGTGAAGCGAATAATAAAGAAATTGATTATCATGGTTAGTTAGAGTTGAAAAATGAATGAAGTTATTTGAGTTAACACACGGGCGAAAAAAAATAGTCGAGTAATGATTGTTGAATGTTGAATTACCTGATGATCTGAGCTTCTAATTTGGAACTGATTTTGAATTCATGAATGAAAACTGTTTCAGTTTAAAATCTCATTCAATTAATCAAGATAAATTGTTATAGAATTTCTCTGCATTCATACTTGCATTGATACGAATTTTACTACTGAAAAAATAAAATAAAATGAATGAAATTTTTATTCTTGTTCAATGATAATATTTGAGATGATTTTCTTCACCCTCCATTATCAACAATTTCTAAGATGATGTCGTTACATTTTTTTTGCAGAGATTAAAGCTCTCAAGAGGTATCAAAATGCTAAACATCTCGTAAACATCAATGAAAGTAATGAGAAAAATATTCTGAAAGCGAAATAAAGCAAGAGACGATGTTTAAAAAGGGCGGAGTCAATATGATGAGAGACAAGAGGAATGTCAATGCCGAGGGGGTAGAGAGAGTGAAATATTTCTTCCATATAAATTTACTCAATTTCACAAGAAAGTTTTTGAATTTCACAAGAATTTATATTAAATTAATTCTTAACTTCACCGAGCCCCTCGGATGAGAAGAAATTTTTTATGAGCGAACCCCGAATGATTGTTCGTAGAATTCCATTGCGCACATCATGAAGCATAGGAGAATAAATTAAACTAACACATATGCAATGTTTGTCATGAGTTTTTTCGTTTCTTTCTTTTTCAACATGGAAGTAAAGCTTTTCTTGATAAGTAATAATTTAGCTAGAAAGAACACTTTACTTGAGAGACTATTGAAGCAGACCTAAACAAGCAGAGGCAAAAAGAATTCTGTCTGAATTTCTTCTACATGTGATAATGATTTATTGTAAATGCTGAACATATATTCACGATACAGAATAGAAAATAAACATGGATGAGCATTAAAGAGTGTCTTGTGCTGTTTTTATGGTTAAAGGTGCCTTTACAGTGTGTGTCTGGCGATGAAAGAAGAAAAAATCTCCTAAAGTGACTGAAAGGAAATTTTCTGATGACTCATATGCTCATCATTTGTAATTAAAGTTTATTTTTAGTCAAACAGTTAAAAATCAATTAGTCTGTCGCTTTAATTATCTTCACCATGATGCGGAAGAAATTGAGTGAAGAAATGACCTTGAAGAGCTTTTGAATTAGCGAGATGACGGCTTGTTTGGCATATTATGAAATATGATTGTGAAAATTTGTAACTAAATAAGAAAAAAAGTAATCATTAGCATTGCCCTAATTATCTCTTTTGTTTCTCTCGTCAAAACCAGAGGTCATGAACACATTAAAGCAGAAGCATCATTTAATTCTTTTGTCACAAATTGACGAAACCACGACAACAAACGGAACTGAAGCTAAAAAGCTTTGAAGCCTACAGAACTTAGATGAAAAAAGCTCTTTGTTTATCATTGCAGAAAAGAAGGGAAAAAAGTTCTCCCGAAACATAAAATATCTTTTGTCTCTTTTCGTTAATCACAAAACCACCAAACAATCAAAAAAGGGTGGAGCACGTTTGCCTTTAGCATGGAAAAAAAACAAGAAGCACAAAGAACTGGTTTTTTCTTCTCTTACTCGACAGAAAGCAAAACTGAAAAATTCCTTTTTGTTTCATTTTTGTTCTTCTCTCAGCGCGAGACTGCCATTCACATACACACACTCAACCAATGATCTAATGTCCGTGAGTTTGTGTTAAATGAAAACAAATAAGCATTGGCTTCGTATCGCTGTTGTTTGAGAGACTTTGATTTGAGCACAAGCAAGGAATATTTGCTGAATGGAGAAAACAGACAAAAAATAAAATTAAATATTTATCGTCGCTTAAATGACTCGGTCGGACGTGTTTTGTGGAACTGTGTGATTGTGGGCTCTTTTTTTATTGAAGTGTTTTGTGAAAAGTTAAAAAGAAAAAATAAAAAGCAGAAAAAAGAAACAAAGAAAATTATTACAAAGTTTAATGAGCGCGAGGAAAATGATTTTCAAAAAATATTTAACAAATAAAAAAATCTAGAAAATCTAGTGAATTAAATAAAAAGAAAAAAAGCATAATTTTCTTCTTGGAATTTTAATTGCAAAAATAAAACCAAAAGAAAATTGTAAAAGAGATAAAAGTGCAAATTATGAGCTCGTTTCTGATGAGTTACCCTCACGTTCAAGGTGCGGGCTATGAACCCAAATTTCCGCCAAGTGAACCCGACTTCCATCATCTGCACCATCATGCTGGTTACGGTGCGATGAATGGAATAACTGCCACGACAAATCATATGGATTATAACTACCATAATGGATATAATTATAATTATGGAACACCGTCGCCTTCGACACCGTTCTATCATCACCACCATCCGCCATACGGTTCACCTCAAATGCATCATCCAACGAATGCTCCGTCACCAAATATAACCCCACAATCGAATTCTTATGTGACAAATGTTATAAGTAATAATAATAACACAAGTGTCGGTAACAGAAATAGTTCAGTAGCTCCAAACAATAACAGCCTAGTGAATGGTGGAATTAATGTTAGTGAAAATTCCACAAATGTCGATAATATTGGATACTACAATAGTTACTACTCGAATACAAATGGACATCTTCCTCCCGATATTCCACTTCAATGTCCAACAACTGAACCACCTGCCAACACAGCTTTAGGATTACAAGAATTAGGTAAATAAATTTCTACAGAAATTTCTTGTGTTAATCTGTCCCAAGAATTCTGAATAATTATAATTCAAAATGGAATTAAAATTACTTTTCTGCGAAAACAGAAAACAGGTTTTAATTTAATGTACGATGAATATTTTTAACTTCACAGCAAAAGAGGCGTCGGTAATAATAAATTGTTTGTACACACGAATTTCCTCCTTTTAAAAGAAAAACGACGCAAATTTAACTTGCGATGAGAAATGAAAGAAGAATAAAAATTGTGATTGACGTGAAGAAACATCAAACATAACATTTGTTTGAAGATACAAGTGGAATTAAGATGGAAATCTTTTTTTAATATTTCATGAAACGATGAAAAGTAACAAAGATGATAATGCAGATTAAAGTGAATTGGAAGCAAACAATTATTAAGTAGTGGAATAATTGAAGTTATTGTCGCAATCACTTGTAGTTTAAAATAATTCATGCAAATGAAGGTCTTATTGTTCAACAAAGTCACAATTTATTTAAAAAATGTTAAATTAAAATTGCATCACTTTATGAGAGAAAAATTTAAGAAAATGTTTACTTGCAGGAATGAAGCTTGACAAGCGAATAGAAGAAGCTGTTCCCGCTGGTCAACAATTACAAGAATTAGGAATGAGACTGAGATGTTTAGATGACGGCAGTTCTGATCAAGTAAATAATATTCAATATTCCCACCCGCATCATTCAATAACTTTTTTGAAATTGAAATAAATTGAAATGTCTCGATTTGTTCACAGGATGATCTGCTTGATGATGATGAGGATAGATTAATATTGGATCGGTCGCCTGACGAGACTGGCTCACAAGACAATGATTTAGATGACTTGGATTCCGATGATGACATGGATGGAACGATGGCAAGTGATGGAGAACGAATAATTTATCCCTGGATGAAGAAAATTCATGTTGCTGGCGTGGGTAAGTGAAAAAAAATATGTTAAAAAATATTCTGACGCCATTTTGCGATCTTTCATAAAATTCCTTATTTCTATCCTAAAAACCATCCTCTCGATCTTATAATTTCAATTAAGTGAGGGTTTGTTATTTGTTGTGCTTAGGAAGAAAAACATGAAGCAAAAAAATATCGATTTCTTCGGAATTATGTCTGAACTAAGCTAAACGTGCTATTGTTCGACATGAGAATGAGAGAAAAATAAGAAACTAAAACTGCTGGTTCATTTCAATCTAAGCTCTATTGGTCAACATTTTTCCCATTTTGGAATGTCGGAAATCACTGCAGATTTATTTTTCCCTTCCTTCTACATATGCCTATGACGAATGTCAGAATTTCTGACTGTAACGTTGAAAGAATTTTAATTTTTCTTGTCTAGTTGATCGGCTCATCGGACTTTGAATTGTTGCGAATAAAAAAACTCAGCTCTTGACCTTTAACACGAGTTTATGTATGTTCTTCTGCCCATGAAACTATAATTAGAATTCTATTCACAGCTGAACGTCAGACTCATGAAATGTACACTCATTGCGATAAAAATCATGCCAGTCATCTTAGATTCAATTGCATTTAATAAAATTTCACTTCAATATCGAATTTTCTTATTCCACCACCCAGTGCTGTATCATCAAATTATCATAAATTTTCATAATTCAAACAGTTTCTTAAATTATGCAACACCTGATATTTTAACTCTTCTTTGTTGTAAGTTATAAGAAATATTTTTCAATTTACAAAAGTCTCATTGTGTTTAAAATTCAGTAATTCATCACAAGGTAAACAACAATAAATTCCTAGCTGCTCCCTCGTGAATCCTCAAGCAGAAGTAAGTCGAAAACTTGTTAAAGGGCAAAATAGGCAAAAGATAAAGTATCGATATTTACAAATGACAAAAGAGATAATAAATATTTTCCTACTTAACAACCAAGGGCGTCTAATGCTTCATCTCCGATACTCGTCACTCTGAATAACTCTCAGTTAAACACCAAACTAATTTCTAAGTCGATTTATAATGTTTGTTTAAAAGCGTTTAAATGATGATGCCGACACAGAACGTGAAGCCCTAAGCTGTGTGGCATTCCTATCAAGATATTGAGTTTGATAAATGCGATGCAATTTGTAAAAATCACAGCAAAAAGAGGAAAATAAATTTTCAGTATTGTTATTTACCTATAAACCTATTAAAAATCAATGCTCCTTTTTATTCCATCATTTGATGTTAATAAGAATACATTTAAGTATTGTCTACAGCCTATGTCGGAGACAGGAGGCATTCCATCTTCTTCTTTGATGAATTGACGTTGTTTTGATGTGTTTTCCGAAAGCACACACGAGAAACTGAGATGAAGAAGAAGAAGAGAATTATCTACATAAATACTTAGGTAGAAATAAGAGCCTTATAATAGGTTATCGAAGGTGGATAAACTGAGCTTCTCAATAGGTGATTAATGTGAAGCAATTGATCATGTTGAGATCAATACAGAAAAAGGTTTGAAGTGTCGGTTAATTAAATAAGATTATGCATTTTTCATCTTCTTTATGCTATTACCAACATGTCCTTGTGGAACTAATTTTCAAACCAAAACAAGTAATTTTTCATGTTCTCCGATATTTATGTCGATTTGTTTCCTACAAGATTGATTTGGCACTTCATAAAACTTCAATCAATCGAAAGGAATTCTTGTTTTGTGTTATTGTCGTGAAAAAATAAAAGATTTTCCCATGAAAATATTGCATCATTAATCTGACATATTTTTCTTTATTTAGCTACATTCAACACGGTTTAATTCAAAACAAAATAAAATCAATGCAAGCGCGGTTATTTGTTGGGGGTGCAGGCTATGATAAATCACAACTCATTAATAATTTTCACAAAAATTTGTTTTAACTTCTTTGATAAATCGTTAAAAATGTGTTTTGGGTATGAAATGAATAATTGTCGCTCGCCTAAGTAACGTCAAGCAGACGAAAGAGATTTGCGTCTTTATTCATACTCCAATGGACTAATTATTACTATTCACACATTTGTTTAAAGCTTAACTGGTCACAAATTAATAGAAGCGTCTTCTGGGTGTGAAAATAAATTACTATCATAATAAAATTAAAGACTCATTAATTGCACACTTAACACTTGTTGGTCATAATGACATAATAAATAGCTTTAAACAAAAACACTGAATGTTCCGCTTTATTTTTTTTTTACTTCTTTTGCCAAATGATTTTTAAATGAACGCGCCATTTCAATAATATAAACAGATTTGACCACCCAGTTTAAATGTTTCTACTATTAATCATACACTCAGAGAGTCTAATGTTTTATCTCCGGAATTTTTAGTCTATGGACTAAAACATAAAACCTGTTAGTGCGAAACTCGACATTTCGTAGCATTTAAAAGCATAAAAATGATTTTCAATAAATTCCAAATATCATCAAGTATCGTACAATGAGGAAATATTTATCACCTGGGAAGGGTTTTGTGTCAATGTAATTTGATACAGAAAACAATTACGCAATGTTTAAATGCTTTTGAGAAAATGATAGTGTGACATAATTTGGCTTAAACACTCCCAAAAGTAGCAAATAACAGTTTGTCAGATTACCGAAACTAGGTAGACAAAAACTCATAAGTATTAAGTCGATTGTGGTGTTTTAAATCATATTTCTAGTTTTTTTTCTTCTGTTTTTGTCATTCTCATTTCTCATGAGTCGTATGTTTTGTTATTTTTCAATGAGAGATATCGTCACTAAGATAAATGCTTCTGATGTGTAGTGTCTTTAAATTCCTGTTTTCTTGCCTTTTCATTTCATGAAACTGAGACGACGACGAAAGGCGAGAGAAGAATTAAAGTTTTTTTTCTTATAAAATTTCATTTGACTCAAATCAATCTTTCTGGTGTTTTGTCTTTTGAAGCTGCTGATGTTGACTCTTTTGAAATCAAGAAGAACAACTAATTTATTAAGCAATGTTTCTCGTATGAATGCCTTCCTATGACAGCTACTGTTTTGCCTAATTTTTTTTTACTGTGACTGTCGCTTCTGCGAGATAAATTTTTTGACTTCAAAAGCCTGTCATTTGATCATTGATTATCGCTTATCTCTGCTTGAGACAAGCAACAAGAAATTGTTTATTTCTTTAGTTTTAGATATTCTTTTTTGTTTCAGTTACCGGGTGGACATGTCAAAACAGAATAGAGAATATATTGTTACATGTTATCACGTCTGATACACACCCACGTAGATTTTTTTTCTAACCTTCATTCTTTTGTTTTAAGTCTATGCCGTCTTATTATTTAGCGATAACCACAGAAGTCATCCATCAAATTGTCGAAAGATGTTGCTGGTTGTAACAAAATTTTCCAACTTCTTGTCTTTAAGTCAAGAGAAAGAGTTACACGGTGACAAGAAGTCTTTGTTTTGTCGATTTGAAGACATGGTTTGCTCATTTATTTGACGATACGATTCTTTAAGTTTTTCGAGAACACAATTCGAATCAAGCGGAACGAAATTGATGTTTTATCTTTCAAACATTGACTACTAAAAAACTACATTTATTATATTCAAATATGACTGCGTTGATGGAAGCAGCTACAAAAGAAACTTGAAGTGAAATGATTTATCTTAAAGTTATGGCTTGAAATGTTGTTAAGACGCTGTCGATTCATTTTCACTGTAATTGAAGCGACCACACTGCGATTGAAATTGTTTCGAGACGAGTTCGATTGGATTTTGTTGCTGTTTACTTCAAGCCTTCTTTTTCTTTCGAATAATTCTCTTTAAGACTGTTTCATTCTACTGATTACATGTCCCAGTGATTGATACTCGCTTGTGATTTAAATTGTTGTTTCTTCACCGCGCACAACGCTGTTAGGCTTCTCTTGTACGCATACGAATCTGTCGATCTTTGATGAATATCTTGCTAATTAAAAATTAAAAAACTATTTAAATTCTTCTTATGAGAAGCGGAGGCAAACGAACGGCAAAATCTTGATAATCATGTCATCGATATAATTAGAAACAAATTTTGAAAGTTTCAAGTCAATTTATAAAATCATTTAGTTTGCAAAATTCCATTTTCTTTCTTTCCTTTTTAAGAAAAAAAAATGGAGACAAAGCTTCTATAATTAGCTTCACCGTTGCGTTAACTTCGCCACTTGATCCAACGCGGAAGCTCAACACCGATAAAGTAGGAAAATTGCCTTTAAAAATACAATTTCTTTGATAAAAATCTCTTAAAGTAGAAAAACTGTCGGCGCCTTACTCATCAAAAAAACATTGTACCTAAATCGAATGTTTCGACTATGTTTAAATATTGATCTTACTCCATGACTTCCCGAAAACAGAAAACAAAATTCTCCAACAATGTTCTGCTTTCCTTCACGCCGTAGGAATAAACTTTTATTTTTTTTTACATTGAAAAACAAGCGATCTTGCAAGTCATAGCTTGTCGATTTGGATATTGCTTTCAACTGGCTCCGACTGTAGTCACATGTGCTTTATATTTCTCTTGTTTTTTGCATTACAAATCATGTTCGTTGATTTTTTTTATTATTTTATAATCCTGCATTGTAGGGTCTCATTGCAAAGATGATAAGTTGTTTTTATTTCATCTCTTCTCCTCCTATTTTGGTCTTTCAAGAGAAATCTTAACTGTGTCAAGGTAGATGTTGATTGCTTCAACTTTTCACATTGCAATTGCTTGCAGTTTTATGCATAAAGCCAATTAATATCAAACTTATGCACATGCAATGAGTATGAGAAGAATGAGTAATAAAACTACAAAGTTAATTTCAGGTCATAATCAATCAATGACTAGTTGAATAAAAAAGAGAAATGAATGACAATTGTGTTGAAATATCGTGTAATCAATCAGATTTCTCGCAAACAGTGTTGAAAATTCCTTTCTTCTGTTTGCTTCAATTAGGTTTCATTAACGTTAAACAAATAATGATGATTGTAAAATCCATTAAATATCAGAGATAAATTAATGGATGTTTCATCCTAAATATCTAATAGACGTCGTCACCACACCAGGTGAATTATAATCCAATTAGATAATAATTAATTGCTGCTTTGTAAAACTTTCATTGCGTGATAGTTTTTCTCTCAATCACACTTTGTGTTTAGCATTCTTGTCAATCTTTTTAACACGAAAGTTTTCTCAAGGATAAATATTTATCGTCTCTGAAACTTAAGACGTGACTTTCAGGAATTTCATCAAAGAAAGAGAAAAAAATAAGAAAAACACTAATCGATGAAAATCCGACAAAATAGAATTTTCATCTTATTTCTTTGGGGAAAAGTTGATGAAGTAAAGCCAGCTTATCATCATCAACAACAACTTAACTATGAGAGTAAAAGTTTTCACTTGTCACATTCATAATGAAGTGTCATGATATTGATCAAAGTGTCTTCTAGTGATTTTCCGTAAGTCTCTTTAATTAAATAAACAAAACATCATCGTAAATGACGCGTGAGAAAAAGTTGAAGTTCTCAATATTTAAAGGAAAAATTGAAATATCAGAAAATCGATGTTGGAAAGAAATTCTTATCGAAATCAAAAAGAACAAAAAGAAAAGAAATGAAAGACATCAATTGAGACATTCAACAATAAATTTCATTTCGTTTTGTTGATGGAAATTTGGCCCTCAATAGAAACACATCATCAATACTCTGTGTCGAGGAACTTTGCCAACTTTGTTTGATTTCCTTTGAACACAATGGTCGAACAACGAAAAAAAAGTTGCTTCGAATAAAGGGAAAAATCCAATTTTTGATTAATGGAAAAAATTACTTTATATCTTTGAGTTTGATTGGCATGTATGAAATGAAAGAAATGTTTCCGAGACAAAACAAAGTTGCTTTCAACATTTCTTTTCCCCGTTTCACAAAATGGTCGAATCCCTTTTTTGCCTTAAATCCACTAGACACACATGATTGCAAAAAGATATCCTATTACATGTCTAAGTTTCTTTTTACTTAAAAATAGACCATTTTAAACAACATGACAGTTTCAGTTGGCAAAACTGCTTACAATGTAAAGAACGAATAAATCTATTCCACACCCAACGCATGTTCGTCTTGTTAATAACAGATCTGTGGTTGTTGAAAGTAATACAGTTTAATTTTCAATTTCAGAGATAAGAAATCTCATTTAGCTTTTATCGTATCTTACAATACAGCATATCTTGACGTTAGAAGCTTGAGTAAGAAAGAAATAATGAATTTATAACTTTGTTATCAGTCGACTAACATCGCAGTACCTCAAGCAATCGACCGACCTTAAATTGCTTTCAGCTTGTAAATCGAAACGAAAAAGAAAGCAATTACTTTGTTCTATAATTTCTGGCATTGTATACGAACTCGTAAAATGTTTGTATGTGCTATTTCGTCGTCCTACGGAGTATTTTTATTTATTCTTTTTTGATGTGGTAGCCATTTCATGGAAAGTAAATAAGAAGCGATTTACGCTACGTCATGATGAAATAAAAATCGAAAAAAAGTTTCATTCTAATTTGGATTCTCTTGTGCACACGATTCGCCCTTACTTACTACTATTCATGAAAGAAGAAATCAGCTGGTAGTAGCAAAATATTTCTCCACAGGAGTTTTTATTGCCAGAAAGTTTCAACTTCAACTCGACTCATCAAATCAATATTCTCCCAGAAGGAAAAACCTTTAATAAACCGTCAAGCGTCAACCCAACCCTTGACGTTTCATAAAATTATTTTCGATTGCCAACCCTTTCAGTTGTGTATTTTCTGATTAAAATGAAAAATTACATTTTGCTGTTGATTCAGTTTTGAGAAAGTTTCAATTTATTGAAGAGTGAAAATATTTTAACAGAGTTTTTAAATGTCTAAAAGAAGAAGATGAAAAATTGATGATTGTGGGCCAGCCAAGAGAAGTTCTTAATAAGTAAGATGTAGTTGAACTTTTTTAAATCTGTTTTCCCGATAAATCTTCAGCTTTAGTCAGCCAAGAATGGCATCTTAATCATTCATTCAAAGTTCTTGAAAACTTTTTCCTCAAACAATGAGTTTTGTTATTCCGCATTTCCTTTCATTCCATCAGAAGAAAAAATTCATAATCAAACTCAAATGTGTTTTCGTTGTTGCCTTGACAGACTTGTTGTGAGAATAACAATAAAAAAAGCAGACTGGAAGATACTCCATGGAGGACTCTTTCTTATTTTCGCCTTTCTTTCGATAAAAATTTTTTTTACCATTTTTCAATGTCGTAAAAGTTGTGTTCGAATTTCTCTCGGTTGTGAATTTTCTTTTCTTTCGTCTCTGTTATTTTTCTCTCGATTGTGAATTTCGAGTGACAGGATAATAAAATTAATGATTGTGTATAAAAGTCTCTCTTCATACACACAACAAGCATAAGCAAAAGCAAAAGCAAGCAAGCAAACAACACAAGCCAGCAGTAGATTAAATTGATTTCTAATTTTTCTTTAATTTTTATTTTCATGGAAAATACTCAGTGAGTGGCCAATACTCGATGCATGACATACCAAAGCGACAGCGCACGGCTTACACACGTCATCAGATACTGGAGCTTGAAAAGGAATTTCATTATAATCGCTATTTGACAAGGCGCCGTCGAATTGAAATCGCTCACACATTGGTTCTCTCTGAACGTCAAATTAAAATATGGTAATGCTGCTAATCATCGAGCTTCAATCTTATCAATCTAATGGCTTTTCTCATTCCACCTTTCATTTCATACAATTTCTTTAGGTTTCAAAATAGACGAATGAAATGGAAAAAGGACAATAAATTACCAAATACTAAAAACGTGAAAAAGAAGAACCCCGATGGTTCCGTTCAGGTCACTCCTGGCACGGGAAAGAAGGGTAAACGTGGAGGTAACAAAAAGCAACAGCAACAACAGCAAACCACCCAAAGCGAGGTAAAAATGGAAATGTTTAAAGATGACGATTTTCATGCCTTACTCTAAAACTTCAATTTCCCCTATCGCTCGCATTTTCGCTGATGACGAACATTTTTTTAAACAAAATTTATTCTTTAAACATTCAAAAAAATGTTACATTAAAATAGTGCACCGTGGATAGTCTGGAAAGTATGACTGAAAACGGTCTTACAAACAGCAACAACAACAGCAACATCAACAGAAATGATGCATCATCATTCATATCGTCGAGTGATGTTACGGGCCTTGTGTTGAATCAACAAACAAATGTGGCGAATAATAATAACAACCATTTGAACATGAACGATGCTCTTAATAATATAAAAAGTGATTACGGACTGACAACTTTGTAGAGTAAAAGTTTTTTTTATTATTTATTTTAATTTTCGCTACTTGTTAATTAAGGCACGTAAATTGATGGAAAGAGAAGGAAAAAAGAAACCACCACGTTCGATTAATGTGTTTTGCCTAAATTACTTTAACACCTTAAATATGTTTTATCTGTTTCATTTATTTGTTTATTTGTTTCTTTATTATTTTTGTAATGAAAATTGTGGTGATATGTAGAAAAAGAAGAAATCGAAAAGGTTAAAAGATGGTGACGAGTAGGAAGAACGAAATAAGTAAGATTAAGCAACAACTTATTCATATCTACGTTGCTCTTAATTTTGATTAATTGATCTCAATAAGAAATAAAAAGAAAAACTCTCTCTAATTTGGAATTTATAAAACTTTATTCGTATTTGATTTCGTGACAAATTTTTTGTGTTTGTTGAGATCAAACTTTAAGATTATTAAAAGTTTTCGTCATTATGTTAGGTGACATACTTGAAAGATGATACTCGTAATTGGTAAAAGATGAAAAAAAAAATTATATTGAGAAAGTTAATGAATTGTGTCACGTTTTAAAAGCTCAACGTAATCATTCGTGATACATTTTAATAACATCTCCCAAATTGCACATAAATATGGAGACAAACAATTCGGAAAATGCAGTGAAAATTAGATTTTAAGGTAAAACTTTGATTGTATATAATTAATGTTAAGCGCTTGCTCATAAATTTTTATCTGATTGCTGAAAATATGTTTTATTATTATGTCACCAAATCAGTGCAAGAAGACAAAAATTTACCAAAAAAGTATTAAAAACATTTAAATATAAAAAATCCCCTCCGGCTGAGAATTCTTTTCATAGATTCCACGTTCGTTCACTAGGTAAAGTATAGAAAAACTTTCTAATTTAAAGAGAGAATTGATCAAACATTTTTTAAAGTGACTCCGACCTAAGAAGACAATATGACACATTAAAGTTGTTTAATTACTAGACATACCTCAATAATCAACTGTCCTTATAAACCTAAATAATTTTTCTCTCAATCCTTCAAATTAAACTTTCATTTTGATGTGAATTACAAAAAGTTAAGAAAATAATTTTCGTGCCATTCTATGAATTTAAGAATCTTTCTTAAATATTGTTTCCTGAATGATTGTAAGATTTTATTGAAAGAAATTTAAACTTATTCCAGTTTGAATTTGTGTCATATAAATCCACTCATCATTCTTCCACAACGTACCTTTTATTTGTGGTTCAATTCTACTATTTAGATTTAATTTAAATCTTCTAATTGTGAATATAAAATTGATTAGGAAAGACATTTTTATGTATATGTTAGAAATAGTTTAACAAGGACATATGAGATGTAAGTGTTTGAAATTGACGAACTGCTGAGACGTTCGTGAACAAATAAAAATGATTATTTTAGAAAAATATTCAGTTGTTTGAGATTCTTCTTTTACTGACTTTGCAAGTCATGCAAGGTTCATGAATATTTGTTTTTTTTTCACCTTTTTCCAGTCACAGTAGCTGATGGACAATTTACTATTATGCTGACCAATTTGAGAGAATTAGTTTCGGCAATAAACAACACATAAAAGAAATTCTCGTTTAAAAGATCATAAACAGCAGTTAATCCTTTCAATTGTCGTCGGTCAAAAACGCCTCCGAAATTTTCTCTCTTATGTCTATTGCAAAATATTTTTCTTTGTCCTTTTTCGCAAACATTGAAATGAGATGCAAGCAAAAAGTCAATGGAGTGAAAGGATTAAATGACCGACAAACAGGATAAGTTACTGACTTTTTAAGAACTTTTAAAAGAAAGAAATGGTAAGAAAAATGGACAATTTTTTCTTCTCTTTTAATCCAATTATGAAAAGAAAGTTCCAACATTGACCGATTCTTGAAAGCATCAAGCTGTGACAAAGAAGTCTCTCTTAAGGGAATTTTATGATAGAAATTCAGAAACACTTTTGATGTCATTGCTCAATAACTTTTCTTTTTAATAGCTTGATGTCATCTTCCCGAAGGAATGAAACTTCCTGTGAATTCTACTTTATTAAAAAAGAATAAGCATTCAAAATGAGTTCTCAACGTCATTTTGTTTTTGTAAGAACACATATGACGTGAAGGATTTCTACGACGCTGTGCAAACAAAAACACCCCGAAATTTCATTCCGTTCGATATAAACCCTTGAGGACTAAGTATAAAAAAAAGGGAAGAAGATCAGAAACTTCAGCTCATGAAGAAAGCAAGGAAAATTTCCATTTCGGGAATTGAAAACGATGGCAAGTATCATGATGAAAGAAATGAAAATTAGTTACATACGACGATGCCATTTATCGAAAAATATGAGGAAAATAAGGGTTCGAAAGAAGAAAAAAATCATTCAAAAGAGATTTAGGGAGAATTTTTTTGACGTGAAGACTCGAGGGTTGTTCGTTATGTTACTTAACATGCGTTCATCACATTTGAAATATGCCATGCGAGAGTGGGGGTTTTAGAACGTATATCAGACGATTTCTGACATTATAAGACCTAAATTGCCTTCATTTTCTGAATTTCGTATATCCAAATTCATTCCTAGTTATTACAAAAGCTTAAGTTGTTGTTACACGTTTTACAATTCTCCCCGAAATATTGTTTGATATGAAATATTCTTCCCTCCATTCCTGACAAACTTCAAGAATTGTGACAAGCTTCATAATTTCAAGTGCACGCAAACGACAGAATAACATTGAGACAGTGCATAATTTTATTATTAATGCTAATTTTTTTTTTATACACAATATGCATTGTGGATCGCATAAAAGAAATAAATAAATTGATCCATTTGAACTTATTTCTCTTTCTTTTCCAATTAAAGTGTTTTGTATGAAAGATTCATTTGCTTTTTTAAATCCAAATTGGTCCCATGAGTGTGCAAAAACCGACCATCGTTACTTATTTGTAAATTGGCTTCGCTGAGTGAGTAAACGAACTCCCGTCGGCATATCAAACTTGATGAAATATTTCATCAAAAAAGTTAGCTTCAGTAGAATCGTAAATTAAACTAAATTGATGATAATTCTCACAATAAAACGTCCATTAAATATAAATGTCTTTCATTGCAGATACATGTTTAATCTCTTTATTATACCCCCAAAAATCTAATGACCACTGACGACAACTAATGTTCAACACTTTTCCTCCTATGTCCATTCGAAAGGGGAGAAATAAATTCATTTCATCATAAGCTCATGTTATAGGAATACAAATTGTTCCAAAAGTGATGCTTAAAGGTTGAAATGATTTTTAAAGTATTCGAGATTCATCTCCAATTAAAATGTTGATTAAACTTATCAAATTTAATAATTTGTGAAAGGTCTAAGAACCTCGAAATAAATTATCTCGTCGAACTTTTTCTTGACATCTGATAACTGTTGAAAATTTCTAAAGAAATTTAAGCATTCTCGATGTTCCAAATGCGAAGTCATTAATCAAAAAGGGATAAACTTTTTGCATAAAGGAAATCCATACAGAATCAACTACCTATATTGAAAAAAGAAATCACATCTTTAGTTTGGTCAAATAAATGCATTTTTAAATTTCTTTATTATCTCTCCAGTAGTCAGTTTGAGTTTGAGTAAAATAAAAGCAATTCCCTTCTTCACTCCCTTGACGTTATTGAGATTGTGATTTTTGATAGACATCAGGAAATTAAAAAACATGCTGGATATATTTTTGCGGAATAATTTATATGGCAAGATTTCATGATTAAATAACACCGTGACTTACTCTACTGTTATACGAAAGCTTCGAAAGCTTCCGAACAGTCCTTTTTATAACAATGTGTCTTGGCTAAATAATTTGAATAAAAAAACGTTAGAAATAGGTGACTTCGAAAAATTTTAAAAACATTTGAATTCGTTTTCTTTTATTTGGAATTCAACATTTAATTAATCAAATCCGACAAATCCTTATACCAATATTTCAAGATTATATCTCTTTAACTTTTACTATGCATAAATGTTCGCTTCTGGAAGTAAAGGAACGTGAGAAAATATCCTGTTTTTCATAGATTTTTTATTTGGCTATAATTTACCTTTCAAATAATTTGTTGAATTAATCAAATACTAATTAAATTACCATTTATTTATTGAATAACTTTATTTAACTAATATTTATTTTGAACGATATTCACCTAAAGAAAAAAGGAGAAAACTTTTAATTCCCTAATTCCACGCGCATAATACTCATCACTTGATATATCTTGGGATATGTTGCAAATCTTTTAGATAATCAGTTACTTTATTTTGGAGTCTTTATTTCTGAAATATACCGCTGTAAATAACGAGCTTCTGTTATCAATTGTCTCCAAAAGCCCGGAATAACAGGGTAGATATCAAGAAATAGGTTCATTTGAAGTGTCAGTTCGGTACAAAGCCTTTTGAAATCATAAACATGAAGATCCTTTCATAAATAAAACACTCAAAACATCCAAGTGTAAATTTCAATGGAATGAAAAAAGAAGCAGCAGAGAAGATGATTTTATACTATCGGTAACACTTAAATTAATTAAATTTATGTTGCAAGTTAATACGTTCTTTACCCATACATAGATGTCTCAGGAATTTTCCTAAAACGACAAACATAAATACATAAGTAAAGGATTTCATGAAAAGAATCAAAATTCTTCTTAAAGTATCTCATAAGCAGAAAGCTTTAAGCAACTTAAAGTTATCTTACAATACAATCTATCTTTCCCTCGATGTTTTTCCATGTTTCACAGACTTTGCTTTCCTATTTACAACAAATGCCTCGTTGAATGTTACTTTTCACACTTCCGTACATATGTCGCTCACAAATCAAAATACCATTTCCCTGCCTCGTGCAAAAACGTAAACGGCAATTTCCATTTATATTATTCTTTCGTTTTTGTCCCGAGTAAAACTGTGGATAAGATTTTTCGTCTTCAACTTCTCTTGTATCCCTTTCTTCTAAGTTTTTTTCACGCCTTAAGGATAATAACTTCCGTTTCTGTATGATAAAAAATCGTAGGACATCATGAAGCTTATTACCGTATATTACGCTCTGAAGAATTTCTGGCAAAACATAAAACATCATGTATGATTGTCATATATTTGGACTAAAAACCCTAACATGAACATCAAGCTTCTTAAAAGAAAATATTTACTCGTGAAGTTGAATCGAAAATTGTTTCCATGATTATATTTTTTCTTCTTTTAAGTATCAACTCGTCGACTGCGAATGTGTTGAAGTACGTTAGGGAAAATCTCTTACGATAATGTTAGTGGCTGTATGAGTGGTTGTGAAAATTTTATGAGGATATACATAATGTAGAATGATTTTATTGGGTGCGGTGGAAACAGGATAGGAATAGATTTTATCTGCCGTTTTTCCGAAGCTTTGTGTATGTTTGTGATGGAACTTACATCAGTATTTAAGTTGTTCTTTAAACCTTAAAATGTTAAATTTAAGAATTTATTGGGGTTTGTACTAGTTTCTGTCACAAGAATGTTAATTGATTCTAATAAAACGATGGGAAAATTCATATTCATAAAGTTTCCCTTTCAGAAAGTATTCCATTAGACAAATATTTGTTACACCAATAACAAATACTCCCCAAAAGGCAAAAAATGAATATATTCGCAAGAGAACATTTTTCTCCATCCAATTCTGTTAAATTGGTGACATGGAATAGAAACGAGAGAAAAAAGTTGTAACATTTTTCACTCAAGAAAACATCAGGAGGGTTTCGTAAGTTCTTCTTCTCGCTTTTCTTTCGTTTTCATCGAATTCAATATAAAGTGCTGATGGAATGATGATTTATCATAAAATAAGAGAAAGATTTCTCAAATGCGGATGTTGAAATAAGGATGAAGCCATTGAATGATTTGGTAAAAAAAATTCAACGAAATGAATTTTCTCTTGATATCTTTTTATGTCATGGCCTGGGTACATTTAATTTTCATGATATTTTGTTTTATCAGAAAAAAAAGAAACTTTTTTCTTCATTTCATTGTTTTCATCAAACGCGCTTGTAAGGGAGTGAAAAATCCTTTTTGGCACAATAATTTATTCAGGCTCCTTGCCCGATGAACATGAAACATTAAAGGTTTCTCTCACCCAATCCCACTTACACTCTCACATTAACACTTAATAAAAACAGCGAACGAGCAATTAATAATTAATTAGATAATTAAACAGAGATTTCAAATCACGAGTGAGAAAATGAATGAAAAAACTCTTTATCACCTCCAATCGGCACGAAAAGGATTCGTCAGGTATTTCCATTCTTCTTATTTCCACTTCCACACATTCCACAAGCTTGTAAATTTTTCTCCCCTTTTCTTTCTTCTCATCCACAACAAGCAATGATTAAGATAGACATAGGAGGTTGGTGAAAAGTAAAATTAAATCAACAATCCACTAAACAATCCTTCAGATATAAAAGAAAGAACAACAATAAAACAAAGTTTTCTCTATAGTCTCTGACAGTAATAAAATTAAATTGAGAAAAAAACTGTTTTCAGACTCCCAGAAGCTCGAAATGCTACCACTTGACTGAAAATGATTCTGCGATTCATTGAAAACTGATGCTGGTATTCACATCATCATCATCATCTCATAGAAGTGGAAAGAAAAAAAATCCTTAACATAAAATATGCGCACGTTCGTATCGAGACATTGCGCATTGTACTTCGTTGCCATTTTCCCTTTCACGACTTCCCTTCTATCGCTTCGTGTTCAAGCACGAAATCAGAGGTCTAAAGACAATTTTTCAACTCGCTATTTTGTAAATCTCGGATAAGTGTGCATGAGTTTCTTGAATGGAAAATTCGCATTTCTTAGAGTTTTCCTTTCGTATTGCAGAGCTTCCGGGTGAAAAGCGACGATAATTTTTTTTTAAATGTCTTCCGCAATAAGAAGGCATTATAGGGTTTAAAACGAATGCTCATTATTCACATCTTTTATGCATAAATTTATTTGCTTAGCAACCAACAATTTAAAGGGTTTTTGGTGTAAATCCGAATGCTCTTCGTCTACTTTTCTTTTCTTAAAATGAACATCAACTTCAACATTCAACCAGAGATTCCAAACACATGAAACCTCTGTATTTGAATGCTAAATGCGAGGGATAAATCTGGTGCTGTGTTGTTAAACGAAAATGGTATGAGAAGTCGTTCTTGTTCTCGTTTCTTTTTTTCTTTTTTTTCATGCTGTAATGTGGGGAACTTTACATGTGTGTTAGTCTTCAATCCAGCCATATTATATCGCATTTAATTGTGTTGTGTTGAGTGCATTGTGTACATTTCAACATCTGAAAAACATTTTCCTTTGCTGTTTTTGTCCATGACAAAATGAATGTGTTGATGTGTCTGTAAACTGTGTAATTTTTGGTTGAAATCTTTCCATCCGCTCGCTTCTCTTTAGGGGTTGTTATTGCTCTGTGTGTGACGGGAGAGAAGTGTAGAAACATTATTTTTGTTTGATAAGCACAGCCACTGAACATTTGTGTTGGTGACGGAGGGAAAATGTTACCATGAAAAATGGAAAATTGCGATCAATACTTTGTGGATATAAATTTAACTCTCATGGCAAAGGACATCATCCCAAAAGATGAAAAAGGTTTTAGTGCTGTAACAGAACAAAAGGAAAGAGCGGATAAAGAAAAGCGCCAGACGTTATATCTGAAAATAGTCAAACACATATAAAATTTGCAAGCACAAAACGTTCAAACGTTGATCAAAGACAGAAGCTACAAATTGTTTCTGTGGGCTTTTGCCACGCGTATCTATTGGAGCATACTGGGTGGATTATTGAGTGAAAAATGTTACACACTTGAAGCTGCCAAAGCCAGCAATGTAATCAATTAAGTATCATCGCCCTTTCACTTTCATTCTCGCTTTCTTCTTTCTACATTATTTCATCGCTTGTCATCTTCTATCATAAACGTTTCAAATCTACTAACAACATTATCATTTGCTTTGTTTCCGACTGACTTCCTTTCATTCAAAACATTCATATCTGTTCGTGAACATTAGTCATTCTTTCTCACACGTTTCTTTTCAAGGACTTTCTTGAAACAAACTTACTTTAACTTCTTTCAGTTGTTGTTTTTCTTTTGTCTTGATATACGCTTGCAAAGTCATTTGGTTGTCGTAGGTTAACTCACAAATTTTCTCAAAGGGAAAATATAAGAAAGGAAGGGAAACATTTTAATACAGAGACGGATTGGTGTACATAAGTAAAAGTAAAAGAATTACAGAGAACGAACATTCATCCTTCGTCTTCTTTTATCGAAGATTCTCTCGACATCACCAAGGGACCTTTTACCCACAAAAATTGTTCCGAAAGATGATTGATCACCGTCCATTGTTGAGAATGCAAAAATATCTACGAAAACGAACATGAGGGAGAAAGAAAAAAAAATACGAATGATGTCTTTTCGGGTTACAAGATGTATCATGATATAGAGCGACACAAATCCGGGGCGAATTAGAAACTTTACAATGATTATTCTTCTTGTTCATCTCCATTCTTTTTATGTGTACTAGAAATTTATCCCTCGAGTATTTCCATAATCGCAAAGCCAAACAGATGACTTGGGTCAACGGACGAGAATCACTTTATTTTCGAGGATATTTCAGCATCATTTTATGGCACATCGTTTATTGAATGTTTGATTGCGATTGTTTTCTATAATATTTGCCAATGTCTCAATGAAAGTTTTTCTCTCTATGACCAGTTAGAAACTTAAAGTCATTAAATTTGTTCTATAAGCTTACAAACCACGAAGTTTGTTCAAACCTTTAAAGCTGTGAACAATTTATAACATTCCAAACACACCAGTAATCCACTTTGTATTAATATCCCAAGACACTTATCGATTTTAACTTTCTCGTATGTTAAAACTATTGAAAGAACATCATTTCATGTAGCAAACAAGAAAAAAAACTATTTTAGTGTAGTGTGATGGAACATTATTATTATTTTATTAGAAGATTCAACCATAAAGCTATTGATAATATTGATTCTATAAGCTATATCTCATGTCCTGGGAATTCAATTTATAGCTTCGGAAAAAAAATTCTGTAATGCCACGTTGTTAATGGAATGAAATTCCGATGTTAAGACTTAGTGTATTTGTAACAGTGCAAAATAGTTTGACAAACGTTTGCAGAAATGCAGAAAGTACGATTCTTTTTTATTGTGCTTTTCTCTGTACAATGAAATATTTCGATTGAATAAAGAGCTATAAATTAATAACTGCATGACGTTTTTTTTAACGGGGTATACATGGGAATGAGAAGAGATATGAGAATCCATAAATAAACAGATTCTAAAGTACAGGGATTTGAAAGCCAAGATATTTACTAATATAAACCACACGTAAGCGCTTTGCTATCAGCACTTCAGTGTCCTTGAAACTTTGAGATAATAAATTACCAAACATCAAAATTCAGCATCATGCTGAGAGAAGGTTGTGGGGATGAATATTGAACAGCATAAGTCAACTTCGAAGATAGAAGCTTGTTTGGTAGCAAACGTTAAAACTTTTTCAATGTAACATCTGAGGAAAGCCTTCTTTTAGTCATCGCAATGGAATAATAAATTTTGTTTAGAATATCTGTATGTGAAATATTTTAAAAACATTGAAGTTCGAAAAGGAGTCAACTTTCGAATAATTCATTTTCGAACTTAGAAAAGCTTAAAATTGAATTTTCAAAAGCCGTTAAATGTTATAAGGAAAATTTCTATTTGTGATAAAATAATCTTATAAGAAATTGATATAACGATTTCTCTCATTCTTGTCAGATTATATCAAGGATTATATAAACAGAACAGAACTGAAGATAACGTATTTCTATTTACCTGCACATGTTTTTCTGATACATCATAGATGAAAAAAAATTTGTTTTGGCTGAAATTGAAATGCCCCGAGATATTAAAAAATATTTTAGTGAAATAAAAGAAATTTCTGAAAAGATAATAAAACTTAATTAAAATTTTACCTATAGCAATATAATTGCACACCTCTAAATACTTGATTTATTTTTAGTACTGGAGGCTTTTCCTGACAAAATATTAATCAACATGTGAAGAAAAGGAGGTTGAATAAAAGCTTGAATGTATTTAACTCTTTTTTTATTATCCCTTGCTTCATGTAGTCCTTTTATATTCTCAATTCTTGGAAAAAGTGATAAAGTTACATCACCTATTTTTATGCATTGAATTCAAAAGCGTTTATGATACAGCATAAATATTTTATGTCTATTTGTCAAAGCAAATGATTTTCTGATGGATGGTGATGTTTCGATTTTTATCGTTTTTTTTTCAGAAGCTCAAGAAGCCGTTATGGACCCCATCAATCTATTGATGACGTAATGATGATGGATAAAGATTTTTCAAAAAAAAGAAAAGAAAATAATGTTTTACAACAAAACCGATAAAGACCATAAAACATGTTTTGAAACTGCCCTCGAATAACCTCATACGCCAGATTACCGATATAAGCGCACATAAACTTCTGCTTTATTGTTCAATGGCCTTTTCAGCTTCTAGTTTATTAACCTTCTATTGAACGATTTTGTAGTAATTTTAAGAAGCTAGTCGATATTGAAAAATATTCCAAAGAAACAAGTTGCTCTGAATGATGAGTCAGAAGCAAGAGATTTTCAAAAAGTTTTCAACATGAAGCCAACACTTGAAACGACATCTTGCAAAGACTACGTAATGTTTTCTTGTTCTTTTTTCACTTTGCATGTCATTTCAATGCAATTAAAACAAAGCTAAGTCAGTTTTCCTGCCAGTCAAAAAGCTAACAGTAAAATTTGTTAATTCATTATTGATTGGGACGGACCTAATTATCATAAATATATTTCTGGATTTCTGTCTTGTTTTGCATTTGAAATGTCAATCCGACATGACTTTACGTTACTTGCCGTAAAATGGGGGTTTTTATGACGTGCCCGATAGTAAACCGGAGTCCAGAAAGAGTTTAATGTTGGTAAATTGGTTTGGCTTTTTTTTCCTTCATGAATGAGTCTAGTTGTCGACTGACCATAACTGCCGATTGTTCAATACATGATATGGAAGTAATTTAGAGGAGTCTAGGAACAATCAATTAGCTCAAAAATTGCAATCATAATTAAGAAATGAAGCCGGAATTGTTGTTTGTGACGTGCACATAGAGTTGTTCTTCCTTCTTTCTCGTGCCAGTAATGAAATATATATTTAGATTCTTTTCAAATGATAAAAGCATTTGATTGAAACAAAGCACCGTCTCGTGTTGTATGTTTGTTGTAAAATGTCAAAATGAACACACAAAAATTTAACAAAAATTCGACGAGCCGTCGTCGAGCTTCGACCATAATTTTAAATCAATTAACCCCCTCACTCACTTATTCCGTCTTTTCGCAATCCTATTTTGAGTGAAGATTGAGCAAAAGCGACATTTAGGTTTTCGTTACACAATAAGACAGATTAAATTGTTGGCGACTTGAAGTGAGATCAAGTTATGAATCTTTGAAGTATTTATTAATAAATTGCTGAATGATGATACATATTTTTTCATTCATTCTTTTAGTATCTACAATTTGAGACTTAATACGAAGAATCTCAAAAATGAATACAAACAAAAAACATTTAATTGAGGAACGAAGTTTTAAGAATCTTAGATTCATTACTGGCAAATTAAGATGTAAATAATTTTAAGATTTTTTGTCTGTTTTGCAAATAGTTGGAATTATCTCAAGATAAATGTTGATATGAAAAGCACATCAACATTAGTTTTAATATCATTCACCAAAAACAATTTCATTGATAAGAAATGTGCATATAAAAGTGAAGATGCTGTAAAATCTCTTAATTAAAGTCAATAAAATGTTTACCTGAATCGCCTAAAGTTTCAAAAAACTTTCTGTGCACACTGGGAAATTCCAATGAAGAATTCTGAAATGATTGAATTGAGTTCTTAATTATTTTAATTGTTATGCTATTTTTAGGGTTAAGAAAAAACTCCTTACCAATTTGAAGCACCGAACATTTATTTGAAAGGAAAAACATATCATGACAAATAAAAGCATAAACAAAAGTTATTTCATTTTCATAGACTTGGAATAAAAGGATTACGAAAGATTACTGCTTTGTCGACCGTTTCGTGCTTCAACATTGTGCTGTTGAAATGATGGAATATCGTCAAGAAGTCGGACGTCAACTCAGTTTATAATCCTTTCATTCTAAAGCCAAACCAGAGAATCATTTTTATGATACTCATTGTACCATAAACAAGTCTAGAAATGATCCTAATCCTGATGTTGACAAATAAGAATTGTTTATCAACTTTCTTGAGTCATTGTAGCCAAAGCGCATTACTAAAGGATACAACATAATTTGTTAACGTAACCAGCACAAAATAGAGCGTCAGGAGCAATAGCTTTAAAAGATTTATGGCTGGTGCTGGTTATCATATAACAATACTTTATTGGAGGGATTATAGGAGTCGTTTTTTGACGCCTATACGAAAGCATGGCGAGTCAAGTCTCGTGTAAGAACATGAAAAAATGACTTGGTAAGAAAAAGTGAGACGCTAAAAATCTGCGTTTTAAATCATCCAAATATGTACATTCCGTTGAAAGTTTTTTGATGTCGACAGAAATGCAAATCTTTGACCACAACTTGGTATTTCTTATAAATATCTTTGTTATGTATCAAAAAATTATCTCAATGTTGGATCCTATCAAAACATCATTTTGGTTACTTAAAAAAGCGAATATTTGTTTATATGTAGTTAAATATTTTGAATGCACATATTTATTATATATTTAATTTATATAGGTCAGTGTGGTGATCGATGTACTGCAGTTTATGAGATCTCCATGCAGGTGTGTGAGTGTAATCTGAATATCCTTTTTTCTCTCTTTGAAGTACATACCTGTGTACATAAATCATTACATGAGATTTGCATCTATTTATGTTATTAGTGTTAGTAAAATGTTTACGGAAAACAATGGAATAAAAGAATTGACAGTCAACGTACGTTTATCAAAGCTCTTTAAATTGAAAAGCCAACCTCAACAAGTTGTATTTCTAATTGAATAGTCAACCTGATCGGAAGCACCAATTCTAGTGCTCGTGAAATATTTCTCTTAACATTAATTTTTTAGAATATTTTTATCAAAGTGACAATAGTTTTAAAACATTTATATTGAACATTTATTGAAATTCTGTCAAGTCAGAAACAAGTTTCATTTCTAAACGACAAGTGAATGTGAAAGGAAGCATCTTAAGAGCTGCGAAAAATTTCTTCAGCATTAATTTTCCAAATATTTTAAAAACATAAATTTGGAAAATTTTCATTAAATATTAAACAAAGTTGAATCAAACTCATACAAGACAATCAAACTCTTATTTCTAAACGACAAGTGAATGTGAAAGGAAGCATCTTAAGGCTGCGAAAAATTTCTTCAACATTAATTTTCTAAATATTTAAAAAGCATAAATTTAGAAAATTTTCATTAAATATTAAACAAAGTTAAATCAAACTCATACAAGACAATCAAACTCTTACTTTTAAACGAAAGTGAACCTGAAAGGAAGCATCTCCAGTGCTGTGAAAAAATTTTCTCAAAATTAATTTTCTAAATATTTGAAAAGCATAAATTTGGAAAATTTCCGTTAAATATTAAACACAACGAAATCAAACTCATACAAGACAATCAAACTCTTATTTCTAAACGACAAGTGAATGTGAAAGGAAGCATCTTAAGAGCTGCGAAAATTTTCTCAACATTAATTTTCTAAATATTTGAAAAGCATAAATTTAGAAAATTTTCATTAAATATTAAACACAACTAAATCAAACTCTTACTTCTAAACGAAAAGTGAACCTGAAAGGAAGCATCTCCAGTGCTGTGAAAAAATTATCTCAACATTAATTTTCTAAATATTTGAAAAGCATAAATTTGGAAAATTTCCGTTAAATATTAAACACAACTAAATCAAACTCATACAAGACAATCAAACTCTTATTTCTAAACGAAAAGTGAATGTGAAAGGAAGCATCATCTTTAGTGCTCGTGAACATTTTTCTCAACCTTAAAAATTCAAATTATTCATCAAAGTGATAAAATTCAAAAAACTGTTTTAAAAACTCAAATCAAAGTTATAAAAATCGAAACAATTTATCTAATTACGACATTTTTATGAAAAAAGCGAACAAATTTGGAAGCGAAAACTGAATAACCTTTAAAATCGCATAAATTCATCAGTCACCGGTTAACCGATTAGATATTCATAATTTCGATTGATAAAGGAGAAGCAAAAACAATAACAATAATGTCTTCTGAAGAAGCGTATTACAACTTAAATCTCAATAATCTAAAGAACATCCCATTGTTAGTACCGGGCGCAATGCTCGGACAAGGAACCAGGGAAATGCATATTCAACCGATTCCTGCTGTTGCAAATAATGGATCAGCCAACAGTTCCCACGAAGAACAATCAGCAAATACCGAAGAAAACTCTGATGGTAAGTAAAAGCAATAAAGCGTCATAAGAACCACGACCCTTCCTTCTTCGTCATACAGAACATATTCTTCTTTATATTTTTACGATGATAAATTGACTTCAATATTGTTTTGGGCTTACTAAAAGAAATCTCAAGGAACAGCACAAAACTTAAAAGACGCGATTTTTATTTAATCAAAACCAATTTTTATCACATTTTGCGCGGCAAAAGAGATCATCGCTGTTTTGCTTAGATATTAAATCATTGAGAAGTCCCAAAATGTGATATTACATCACACATAGCTAGCATATTAAAACATTATACGAACAGCATAAATTTCAATATGTTACAGACTTATAGGGATTTTTTTCTCGGCTATGCCGCTATCATGCAAAGAAAATTGCTTTTGACAAGCCAACACAGAAAAAATGGTGAATTGTTTGGTGATCCCACATAGGAAAAGATGGAAATCATTCAAAGTCACCACACAGCTTCAAAAGATTAGTTGAATTTATCATTTAATGCAGGGTGGGAAAACCTTTAAAATCACCAAAAAATCTTTCTCACATTACGTGGATTTTCCAGAAAACTTTATCGGTTTTCAAACATGTGGTCGCAAAATATCGTCGCGACCGATGCGCGGGGAAATTCCTTAATTAAAAATCTTCGCTGATTCGACGTGTGTAATAAATTTTATGACTCTCAATAAACCTGTATATAAGAAAGAGAGGATAATGAAGTTGAAACATAAATATCGCGAAGAGTGTAAATTAAAATGATTTGCCATTTTGATTTCTATAATTTCTGAGAAGAATTTCAAAATTATAAAAAATAATTTATGCTGCACATGTTGCTGAATATATTCCAAGCCCTGTAAAATCTGAATGACGTAACATGTTCACCATCTAGACAAAAAATACGAACTTTATTGATATGTCACATACGTTTATCATCATATTGCTTTAAACATATTTTTATTCAAATTTCCTTCCATTCTCTTTCTCCCACTCTCGCCATCGGAAACGAGCATAGCTTGTCGCTCAACATTCACAGATACCCATAAATCCTTAATTTAATGGCTTTTTCTTTCTTATTTTCCACGACAATAACAAAAAAGGCGACAGAGTTGCTTGTGTGTGAGATAGAAATACGCAGAAAAGCAAAAAAAGTGGCAAAGATTTGAATTTTAAATTTTTCAGCTCAAACCAAACTTCATCTTAGATTTCAAATCTTTCCTTAGAAAAAAAAATCGTTTCTGGTAGAGAAAATCTTTCCCTTTTCTATCATTATAGTAAACATTGAAGAAAAAAAGACAAAACGAAGACGGAAAATTTTTTACAAGACAATTTTTTTTTCTTTTCCAAAGCTTACGACTTCAAAGTTTTCCTCAAACTTTTAAACATCGAGTAAAAAACAGAAATCTAATATGCCGCTTGTGGGTTTGAGTCTTCTTATTTGTCTCTCATATCACGCCAAGTTGAAGCTTCTTTTTATTTCAAAAAGTTTATCTGTTGAAAAAGAATGAATATCTTAAAATGAGAAGAAAATGTAAAGCGAAGTAAAACGAATTAAATTGGTTTTGTTCCGCAACAAAAGCAAACGATTCTAAATTGAAAAATTATTGAATACTCTTTAAAACTTTTCTAATGACAAAACTTTTTATTTCAGATACAAAATCAGGAGAAAACAAAGGAATACCAAAACGCATCAGGACGGCCTTCTCTAACTCCCAATTATTGAGAATGGAAGAAGAATTTGCAATAATTCAATATTTGAATCGTCCCAAACGCATCCATCTGGCTAATGTTCTTCATTTGACTGAGCGCCAAATCAAAATATGGTGAGAGTTTATAAAATATTTTTCAAATCAAGCAAAATGCTAAAATTTATTTTTCTATTCTTTCAATTAGGTTCCAAAATCGTCGCATGAAGTATAAAAAAGAACAGGCTGCTTTAGAAGCAGTAGCTGCTGCTGCAAATGAAGCTGCTCTGAATCAAGCTGCTTTAAATGGAGCTGCTGTAAATGGAGCTGCTGTAAATGGAGCTGCTGTAAATCAAGCTGCTGTAAATCAAGCTCTATTATATCAAGCTGCCAACAGGCCAATTATGAGAACTTCTTCACAAGCTGGAATTAAAAAAAATAATAATAAACAAAAAAATATTAATAAAGAAAAAAATATGAAAAGCGTCAACAAAGGCCCTGTTGACCGCCTTATGGTGTTCCATAATCAAATACGTTATCCATCAACAAGTACTAACAGAATGGCAACTACATCGTCACAATCAAATCCACCGATGTCAGTTCATTATTCAAGGATGAACGTTCCGAATTCTTGTCAGAATTATGCTGTCAACAATCAACAAGTCTCGCCTAGTACTTCACAACAATCATCAAACTTTGTTACTTACAACATTGACGTGAAAAATTGTCAGCAAGCAAAACCAAATCACAATTATAACTATAACAATGGCTACAACAATCATCCTTCGTCTTTGTCGCCACCTTCGGTCAGTTCTGATCATACATCCAACGGTTCACCACAGAATGAATCATCACAATATGATTACATCCCAAATGGATTAATGCACAATGGATCACCGAACTACAGTTACAACCACCACGGGTTGCAAAGTAGATCGCCACACTACATTTACCTTTCGAATGGTGCAGTCCAATGTGCATCCCAACAATGCGTTTACATTCCAAATGGATATGGTTATACAAATCAATCACCACAAGGCTTTACTACTCCTAACACTTCACCTCATAATGTTGGCATTCCAAATGCATCCCGACAAGGATATGGAACTCAAAATGCTTCACCACATTACTATCATAATCAAAACACTTCACCATATAACGTTGGTGCTCCCAATGCCTCCTCTCAAAACTTTGGAGTTCCAAACGCTTCACCTTATAACACCGGTGCTCCAAATGCTTCACCTCATAATGTTGGCATTCCAAATGCATCCCCACAAGGATATGGGATTCAAAATGTTTCACCACATTACTATCATAATCAAAACACTTCACCATATCACGTTGGCACTCCAAATGCTTCACCTCAAGGTTTTGGAGTTGCAAATACTTCACCTTATAACGCTGGTGCTCCAAATGCTTCACCTTATAATGTTGGCATTCCAAATGCATCCCCACAAGGAAATGGGATTCAAAATGGTTCACCACATTACTATCATAATCAAAACACTTCACCATATAACGCTGGTGCTCCAAATGCTTCACCATATCACGCTGGCACTTCAAATACTTCACCTCAAGGCTTTGGTGTTCCAAATGCTTCTCCATATCACGCTGGCACTCCAAATGGATCACCTAACAGCGTTGGTATTCCAACAAATAATCAATACAATTATATGCCAAATGGATCCCCACCGGGCACTGATTACATGCCAAATGGATCACCTCACAGCGTTGGTGTTCCAAATAGTTCGCCACATTGCATTGACGTTGCAAACGGATCACGACAAGGTATTCCGAATTATTCACCACAAAGCGGTAGTCTTTCAGATGCATCACAACAAGGCTTCGGCATCCAAAATGAACCGTCACAATATGACTACAATCCGATTTATGATTTATCCAGTAATGATATTGCACTTGTAACAAGTTTCTTCGCCAACTCGGAAGCTTCGATTGATTTTGACCCTACAATGGATACTCAGGGTGCGCATCAGGGTGCACATTAAAGAAATATCAATTCTTACCGCATGATTTAGAATTTTGAGAACAGTTTTTGAGATTTTTATCGTTTAATAAAGAATATTTTTTTTTTTTTTTAAATCCCATATTTATTATACTCTGATAATATAAACAATAAAA